AATAAAGGATTCTATATACAATCTATGATTTTTAAAGATTAAGTTAAGTAAATAAAAAATTAGTTTTAGAACTTGAAAAAAATACACCAACAAGGATTTTTATGTCATATGATTTTAATTTAATTGCAGTAGTTATAAATAATCAAAGCATAAAAATTTATGATAATTTAAAGTAATAATATATCAAAGAATTCAAAGAATGTAAAAAACCAGATGATTTATAAATATCTAAAGATAATAAATATTTAGCTTATTTAGATTTTAATGAATAATATAATCCTGGCAATATTATCTATATATTAAATATTGAGGATCCATCAATTAAGAGAGATCTAAAATTTGATTAAAGTGAATTAATAATTTACAAGTTCTCTGCAATAGATTCAAATCAGATATATGCTTTATATAAAGATCAAACAGTAAGACATTGGGATTTAACTTAAGTATAACCTTCCATAAAAGCTGAGGTTACTTTATCAAAAAGTTTTGATTTTTAAAGTTCCTTCAAATTTTCCCCTAACCTTAATTTCTTATTCAATAGGAACTAAACGAATTTGGTGATATGGGATTTTAGGAAAAAAGAAGAATTCATTATTAATGTTGAACAAGAATTTGACGATATTTTTTTTTCTTAAAATGAAGATATTTATGCTGTTATTAGTAAAGAAAATAATATGGATTGCATTATAATATTTAAAGACAAAATATCATCTAAAATATTTTGGAATGAAGTATCTTATGAGAATATGAAGTACATTGAATTCTCACATAATAATTCTTAAATGGTAATTTGTTTTAATTATTCTTTCTATCTCTACTAAATAGATGAAGAATTGAAATCTAAAATTCTAGGATTTTGGAGATCATCGAATTATATAGAAAGATGCTTTTTAAATCCTATGAATATGAGTTTAGTAATTCATTAAAGTCATCAGAATAAAATCGTTGTAATTAATTTAGAGCCAATAATAATTTATAAATAGTATGTCATTGAGTATAAGTAAAATTGCTAATATCAAATCTGTTGTTTTTCTCCTGATAGTTAATATTTAGCTATTTTGTCCCCTACTTTATAAATATAGGATTTATAAGATCTTTAAATCTTTGAAGAATTTAAGGAATATTAAGGATATTGTATATCTTTTAAATCAATAGATATTTTAGTAATTGCAAATCATTTTTAATGTTATTATTATTTATAATTTTTAAAAATAAAAAAGTATCAAAATAAAATAGAGGTAATAAAAATTTGGAATTTTCAATTCTAATCTGAAATAATTTAAATAACTCATTTATTTATATTATTTAATGTTCAAGAAAGAATAAATTATTCCTACATAAACAGAATAGCATTAGTTGAAATTAATAATTTTAAATTAGATGAATCATAACTTGAAAATAAATATCTGAGCTAAAAAATATTTAGAGCAATTTTTCATAATGAAGGAAATTTAAATTTCTAAGAAAGTGGAAATTACTTTGCTATAAGCAATCTAAATTAGATAAAAATATTCAACACTTAAACCCTTTAATAGGAAAGATGCTTTTTTTTAGAAGAAAATATTGAAAGATCTCAAATATTCTATATGTCTGATGAGAACTTGATAATGTTTTTTTTTAAATTTTGTGTCTAAATATTAGATTCTACAAGTTTCGAAATGATTAGATAGAAAGACTAAATTAGTGGTTGTCCTGAATAAGTTGAATTTTCTTAAATTTCAAAATATTTAGTTTTCAAACGAACACACAAAATAGAGATCTATACTTTTGAAAATAATGAAAAAGATTTCTTAACATTTGATACTTTTTAAATAAATGATGATATTATATTCGATAATATTGCATTATCACAAAAAGGTGATTTACTTTTAACAGGTGAGCATAATTCTAAAGATTTCACAAATTCAATCACATTATGGAATATAGGATAGCGTAAATAAATATGCACTAATAATAAAATAAACAATAAAGTAACGATTCTTAAGTTTTGTCCAGATGGANTGACAATTTAAAACTGCTTTTTAAATCCTATGAATATGAGTTTAGTAATTTAAACATACAATGACCAATCAATTTTTGAAATTTAATTAGAGCCAATAATTTTTAAATAGTATATCATCGAGTAAAACTAAGATTGCTAATATCGAATCTGTTGTTTTTCGCCTGATAGTTAATATTTAGCTATTTTGTGCCCATATTTATAATTATAGAATTTACAAGATTGTTAAATGATTCATGAATTTAAGGAATATTAAGGAAGTGCCATATCTTTTTAATCAATTGATATTTTAGTGATTGCAAATCAGTGTTAATTATAATTTTTCAACATTAAAAAGAATGAAAATAAAGTAGAAATAATAAAAATTAGGGAATTTTCATTCTAATCTAATATGTTTTAAATTGGATTCAGCTAAACTCATTTATTTATATTATTTAATGTTAAAAAAGATATAAATAAATCCCCAAAAAAAAGAATTGCATTAGTTGAAATTAATAATTTGAAATAAAATGAAGAATAACTTGAAATTAATAATCCGAACTAAAATATATTAAAAGCAATTTATCATTATGAAGGAAGCTTGGCTTTCTAAGAAAGTGGGAATTATTTTGCTATAAGCTATGAAAATAAGATATAAATATTAAACACTTAAACCCTTTTTTAATAGGAAAGATGCTTTTATTTAAAAGAAAATATTGAAATATCTCAAATATTCTATATGTCTGATGAGAACTTGATAATGTTTTTTTTTAACTTTTGTGTCTAAATATTAGATTCTACAAGTTTCGAAATGATTAGATAGAAAGACTAAATTAGTGGTTGTCCTGAATAAGTTGAATATTCTAAGATTTCAAAATATTTAGTTTTCAAATAAACTAATATCATAGAGATCTATACTTTTGAAAATAATGAAAAAGATTTCTTAACATTTGATACTTTTTAAATAAATGATGATATTATATTCGATAATATTGCATTATCACAAAAAGGTGATTTACTTTTAACAGGTGAGCATAATTCTAAAGATTTCACAAATTCAATCACATTATGGAATATAGGATAGCGTAAATAAATATGCACTAATAATAAAATAAACAATAAAGTAACGATTCTTAAGTTTTGTCCAGATGGAGTTACTTTTGCCGCTGGTCTTGAAGATGGATCTATTAATTTATATTCAATCGAAATATCAAAAACAAATTTCTTTAAATAATAATCGAAATTGAATAAGAATTTTTAGAAATTTTAAATTATTTGCATTAAATCATTCTCTAAATAATCACTATTAACTGCTTAATAATCCATATTAACTGCTGATTCAAATATAATATCTGAAAATAAGTCTATTGTTGAATTGTTTTATTAAAAAGGAGGATTAAAACCAAAAACTGATAAAATAGAAGTATCAAAAATTTGAATATTAATAATAAATAAATTATTCTATAAATTTATTCTATTTAATTAAATGATATTATATTATGACAATTAGNTGATTCATGAATTTAAGGAATATTAAGGAAGTGCCATATCTTTTTAATCAATTGATATTTTAGTGATTGCAAATCAGTGTTAATTATAATTTTTCAACATTAAAAAGAATGAAAATAAAGTAGAAATAATAAAAATTAGGGAATTTTCATTCTAATCTAATATGTTTTAAATTGGATTCAGCTAAACTCATTTATTTATATTATTTAATGTTAAAAAAGATATAAATAAATCCCCAAAAAAAAGAATTGCATTAGTTGAAATTAATAATTTGAAATAAAATGAAGAATAACTTGAAATTAATAATCCGAACTAAAATATATTAAAAGCAATTTATCATTATGAAGGAAGCTTGGCTTTCTAAGAAAGTGGGAATTATTTTGCTATAAGCTATGAAAATAAGATATAAATATTAAACACTTAAACCCTTTTTTAATAGGAAAGATGCTTTTATTTAAAAGAAAATATTGAAATATCTCAAATATTCTATATGTCTGATGAGAACTTGATAATGTTTTTTTTTAACTTTTGTGTCTAAATATTAGATTCTACAAGTTTCGAAATGATTAGATAGAAAGACTAAATTAGTGGTTGTCCTGAATAAGTTGAATATTCTAAGATTTCAAAATATTTAGTTTTCAAATAAACTAATATCATAGAGATCTATACTTTTGAAAATAATGAAAAAGATTTCTTAACATTTGATACTTTTTAAATAAATGATGATATTATATTCGATAATATTGCATTATCACAAAAAGGTGATTTACTTTTAACAGGTGAGCATAATTCTAAAGATTTCACAAATTCAATCACATTATGGAATATAGGATAGCGTAAATAAATATGCACTAATAATAAAATAAACAATAAAGTAACGATTCTTAAGTTTTGTCCAGATGGAGTTACTTTTGCCGCTGGTCTTGAAGATGGATCTATTAATTTATATTCAATCGAAATATCAAAAACAAATTTCTTTAAATAATAATCGAAATTGAATAAGAATTTTTAGAAATTTTAAATTATTTGCATTAAATCATTCTCTAAATAATCACTATTAACTGCTTAATAATCCATATTAACTGCTGATTCAAATATAATATCTGAAAATAAGTCTATTGTTGAATTGTTTTATTAAAAAGGAGGATTAAAACCAAAAACTGATAAAATAGAAGTATCAAAAATTTGAATATTAATAATAAATAAATTATTCTATAAATTTATTCTATTTAATTAAATGATATTATATTATGACAATTAAAGATTATATATAAAATCTTATATATAAATATGCATCATAATACTACAGTTAATATTCCATCTGATAATTCAAATAAGAATTTATCAACTTCAGTCTAAAAACTTTCAATACAACTTTTATCAGATTTAATCTAGATATAATAATAAATATTACTTCCAATAAAACTTCAGTTGAATTAGATTAGGTTGAAATGTTTTTAAATAAGATAATAATCCAATGTTTATTGTTTTAGATACATTTTATGAAATCAAATCAAGATTTAAGTTTTATTTAATTGAATATTAAAATACTTTATTTGTGAAGATAACAGTAGCAAATGGTTATTATAATAATTTTTTATATTTATATAAATGCTACACATTATAAAATAATTTTTGTTAAATTTAACTTTTGTAGCATTTATATAAATAATATCCTTCTAGGGATACTTTAAAATTAGTGAAGCATCATAGATGATATAAAATGTATTTTAAATAATTCTATGAAAAATAGAAAATTGGTTAGGTATATGAAATTTCAAGCATACTAATTTTGTAATTCTATATTCTGATAGCAAAGTATATCAATTATAGAAGATGTTATTAGATAATAATATTGGCAATGCGACAATTAACGTAATTAATCTACTATCCTTAAGCAATTTGACCTACCTTCTCAAAATATAATTTCTAATTGTATTTATAAGAGATCTCTTGCATGAAATATTAATAATAATAATATTTTAAATGTAGTAGTTGATGTTCTTTTATTTTTCAAATTTAAGCATATCATATTTATAAAATTCTCATCAAAATTTAATTATTAAATATGTAATGGATAAGATTCTATAATATATAAAATAAAATCCAAACAAACTTCTTTCTTAATATTTTTATCTTTATTAGCTTTTGATGATAAATATTTGAAAATAATTTAACAATCATCATTCCTACTCTATTATCCACTCTACATAATTTTAATATTTTCAATCATTTCAAAATGTTTCTTTTTACAAGGTACTGAACATACAGGCACTCTAGTATCTTTACAAAAATAAGGAGCTGGTTATCTACATAAAATACACCAACCAAATTTTCCTGATGTAATTCCATTTTCAACAACCTTTACTTCTATATAATTTTTGTATTTAATATCTTCTGCTTCCCATGCTTAAGGAACAGATGCTATAGGAATATTTGCTTATCCAGTTTTTATTCTTTCATTATATAAAATAACATCATCTACCATATGTCTCAATGTGATTGACACATATTCAACAATATCTCCATCTGATATTGCTACTTCTTCTATCTCTTTAGGTTCATCATAAAATGAATTCCATGACAAACCTTTATTCAACATATTTTCCATATCAACTTTTACTTGACTATTATCATATACACTCTTTATGGCCTATTTGATACTATTCTTTATAGAACCCATTCCTAATTTATAAAGATGTAAATAAGCTTTAAATGTAGACAATAATGTCTCTCCACTAATAATCAATCTTTATTATTTAAATAATGCATCTATGCATTTTACAATCAAATAATGTAAATTTTCATCTTACAATTTAGTACAGCTTATTATGGATTCTACAATTGAATCTATGAGCATCCTATCTTTCTATTTACCCTTTTCAAATTCTAAGTAATCATAAGAATAACCATCTATAAAGTTTTATGATATCAATTTCTTAAAATAGAGGGAAATTATACTTCAAGATCATAGAGGCAACATTCAGTAATTTTATTATGTTTGATATCGATACAATATTTATAGATGATGAAATACTTATTGGCATTTGTTGCAAACCTATTAACATCATTTTTTGTCTATTCAATTTGCTCTTATTATTAAATTATTAATACCTAATGATTTATCAATCAATGTCTTAAGACTAACCATTTATTTTGGAAGAAGCTTAAGGAGCTTATTTAATGAACTAGTGAGCAATTCTTGATAAATAACATGACTGTCTTAATTTTAATTCATTTTAATTATAATTATTTATAAAATAATATTAATAATGTTTATTAATTTAATATAAATATTAATTTTTTACAAAAACTCATTATTTACAAAAAAAGTTATAGACTAAATGTTTTACATAATATTTTATAAAAGAATATAAACAAATTTTAGTTATATTAATAATTGTTTTACGAAAAATATTAGAAACACATTTATGATGTACTAACTCAATATTATCTAAATGAAAATCTTTATTGTATGTGCTTTCATTTATTATTATTTTTCACGAATGGAAAAATATAATAAAAATAGTATAATTATCATAACTAATATTTATAACTCTCGTTAATATTGTAATATAACTTTCATTATTTAAAATGATCACCTATTGTTTGAAAAAAGATGATAAAATTTAAGTTAATCAGAGTTTGAAAAAGCTTTAGCCTTTAAGCTGCTAAAAATGTATCAAAAATATTCAATACAATTTTTCATTATAATTTACAAGATTAAGTAATTGCAATTTTTATTCTTAAGATTGTGCTAACAATGATTTTAAGAAATTAAGAGGAGGAGGATGTGGATTATCAGTTGGATAAGTAGTAGAAAATTAGAAATTAGATTAACAATTACAGAAGAGTTAAGATTAAATAACCTCAAAATAATTACCCAATAATTTTTCAGCTAACCTTATTGAATCCTTTAAGTTGATAGTAGATGAAGCTCGACTCTTTTGTGAAGCAAATAAGAGGAATGAAATAATAAAGAAAATATAATGGTTGATATATAATAGAGAATACTTGAATTATTATTGTTGTGACGAGTAAGCAAATAAAGCTATTTATGAAACAGCAAAAACTAATTTTGAAAGTTTATTAAAAGTGCTTATCACCTATTTAAGAAACTCTGGATTTATTTGCTATTAAATATTATTGATTTGTAATGAATTGTTAAGAATTATGTATGTATTCTAATTTAGAGAAAAAAAGAGATTTTTAAAAGATGAAGATAAATAAAATTACATATAAAAATTATCAGAATTTGAAACATAATTAGAAATTGAATAAGCAAATGTTTGGAAAACAGGATTTGAATTTGAAATTAAAATTATGAAAATCATGATTATTAATTAAAAAACTGATTCTACTGAAGGATAAGATACACTAATAAATTTTTTTAAGGAAGCAGGAAAATCAATTATATCATTATCACCATCTGAAGATTTACTTTCCACAATAATAGAAGGGGGCAAGTATCTTTTAAAAAAAGGAATTGAAAAAAAATTATATCCAATAGAAACTTATTAAACTTATTACTTATTCTAATTGATAAAATGGTCAATCATAAAATCATTAAAATCTCAACTTTCTGTTTACAAATAAATATCATAATTAAAAGATATTTTTTAATAATATATATTTGTGTCTGATAATTGGATTATACATTTTAGTTGGATATAAATGATTATCGATATTATTGCTTATCGTCCTATCATAAATAAATCTGATATATCTATGAATTAATAAGACTAATAATTAATTAAATGGAATCAACTAATTGAAAATAATTTGATTCATTGTGTTACATTTAAGGAGGATGAGGCAATTATGAATTTGTTTTTAAACTAAGAAAAATAAATATATGACATTGAATTAACTAGAGAATTGGATAAATTTAGTAAGAAAAAGTTTGTACTATTTAATTAATTTCTTTTAAAAGGAGATCTAACTCAAAATGTAAATTAATGGGACTATTATAAAGAATTCACATTTAAAAAGTAAAAGGATAAAAAATAAGAAGATTATGAAATCATATTAGCAAGTTATGAAATCGAAATATTGTAAAAATTAATTAACAATTTAAAATCTTAGTAAGATGAATTATTATCAATTCATTCAGGTATTATAGAATCATTTTAAACTTATTTTAAATAACCATCTTAAATGTTATTATAGATTATTTAAGATGATTAATAAGCAACTTAAAAGCAATTCTTACAAGTTTATAAATAATTGATCATTTTATCTAATTACTTTAAAGAATTATCTAAATTTGAAGTTTCTAAATTGGATTTGCTTAAGCCTTACTTAGATAAATTTAAAAATAAAGAAAATCAAAAGAATTTACTTGATCTTAAAACAAAGATTGATAATTTTTAAAACACAGAACTTATTGAATTTATTGATCAACTTTTAAATAATTTCTTGATTGCTATTGAATTTACATGTATTACGCATGAAATGTAATAATTTTTAGACTCCAAAAATTAAACAGATTTAGAAAAATTAATTAAGAAACTTGATACTGACAAATCTTAAGAGAAGTTTTTAGGCTTTGAAATAGATAAATTTAAAAAAATATTTACAACATTTGAAAATAACTTTAATTAATTTTACATAAATTTAAGATCATATAAAGAAAATTTTATAAAATTTATTCAAAAGGAGTTAGATATAAAGTCTATGACAATTTAAATATAAGATTAGAACACCTTATAAATAATTGAATATTATTAATATAAAGATAAGAGTATCAATAAATTATTATTATAAAAATGGAAGGAGAAATATCAATTATTTGATTCTGAATTAAGAACTTTAGAGAATGTATAGTAAAATTTTATTGATTGTAAGTCCATCATTATAACTTTATAATTCTTAAAATAATTCATTAATATATAAAGTTAATAAATGATGATTATTAAATAATAATTAGAAAATTATAATTAACAAACTAATTTAACTTAAAATTAAGTGAATGTCGATAAAAAACAAACTATTAATGATATTTTAACTTAATAATTATAAAAAATTGAACCGTTGATCATAGAAGATTTCAGTAAATCTGATTAAGAGACTATTGATTTTAATTTAAAAAGTCTATTAAGTTAAATAGAGTCTGATTTTAATTTAATTAAAAGTGAATGTTAGAAATAGGAAAATTAAGATAATAATCATTCAATACTCTCATTGTTAACAAATGCCTAATTCATAATTCTATAAATATTAAATAAGAATACAGACTTATCGAATTAATAAGGTTTTTTGAAAAGCTATTAATAAAGTTTGAATGATTTTAATCAAAAAGCTAAAATAAATAAGGAAAAATTTGAAAACGAAGAAAATAAAGAAAAAGAAGAAAAAGAATAATAACTGAATGATTCATCTCTTATTTTGTTTAATAAAATTTTGGATGATGATCAACAATTAATTATATCAATTAAAGAAATAAAAAAATAGTATAAATTCTATGAAAAACTATTAATTTTATAAATAGAATTAATACTCTAATAAAAGAATATTATAAAGGATAAAGTAATACTAGAGTAAGATTAACAGAACTAATAGTTAAGTAGTTAACCAGATAAATTGAATTAGATTAAAAAAATAAAAGAGATGAGAGAGTAACATTTTAATTAAAAAGTAAAAGACTCTATTGAAAAACTATTTAACAACTTTGAAATTCAATTTAAAAATGATAATAAACTTATCATTAAATTAAAATTTACAGACTTTTTATAGTTTTTTTACTCTCTATCTAATTCTGAATATCAAAAAGGATTAAAAGCTGATCAAATAGAGGACTCTATATGGCAGGATATAAAAAATACTTATAAGGAAACTAAAGACAAGGTGGTTGATTTGTTAGATTTTAAACCTGATCAAAAGGTTAGAGAAGGATTTGTCTACAGCCTAATTAGACTTTAATATAGTGTTTAAGAATAAAAAGTTAAAGGTTTCTGTTGCCAATATCTACAATACATCTGGGTATTTGAAAAAGATTAAAGAGTTAGAAATTTATTGAAAAATAAAGAATTAGTTGAAATTTAAAAATAGTTATTTGCTTAGTATCTAGATAATTTGTCACTGACAATTAAAGATGAATTGAAGTTAAGAATGTAAAAGTTAGAAAGTCTACAATAAGAAATCAAGTTAGAAGGAAATTTATAAAAAAGAGAGGAACTTTAAATTTAATTAAAGAAGACTTATGACGAATTAGATGAATCTTTAGATAATATTTCTGAAATGTCAGACAAAATGGACATTAGTCTTATATTTTTGAAAGACATATCAAAGGATGTAAAATAAATTAAAGCTTCAATTGATAATTTATAAGAGAGTATAAATTAAGTAGGTGATGATATACGTAAACTAAGAGGAAAGAGATATGATGAATTATTAGAAATAAGAAAATAAAAAATATTATTATAATCTAAATTAACTGAAGTAGATTCAGTTTATGTTTAATTAACAACTATTGAATATGATCCTATTAGTGGGTAAATTATCAAATCTAATGATAATGAAATTAGAACTAAATTATTAAGTGAATAATAGAATGACTTTAAAGGAGAAGTAAATGAATTTATTTGGGATAAAAATAGTTAAAAAGATGTAATGTTAGTTTCAGGATTTGCAGGTTCTGGGAAAAGTAAAGCAGCTAGAAAAATTGAAGAATTTCTTTGGAAATAAAAAGGAACTTAATCAAAATGGATTCCAATATATGTATCACTTCCAACTCTTAAGAATCCTAAATTTAATTTATTTGAATAAGCATTAGAATCTGAAAATTATTAATTTGATAAATATTAGATAAAAGAATTTAGAGAAGCTATATAAACTTAAAAAGAATTCATTATTTTAATACTTGACAGTTATGATGAGATGAAATAAGATTGTATTTAATCAAATCTACTTTTGACAAATAAATTGATATAAGAATTTAATACAACTAATATATAGATGAAAGTTATTATAACAACAAGAAAAGAAATACTTAATACAGTTGGATATTAAACTTGGTTTTATGGATAAAGTCTATAATCTTTAAAAGAAGTTTAGTTATAAAATTTTAATGAAGATTAATAAAATGAATATTTGAATTAATATGTTGAGTTAAGTATTAAAAGGAAAATTAAGGAAATCTATGAATTTGTTAAATAAATTGCTGGACAAGGCTTTGATTTGGACGAATTCCTTAATATATGGGGTTTGATTTCATAATAAGTTAAGAATTATATCGAGAAATCTGAAATAAAGGGATTGGAAGGTATTTTCTTTAATAACACTGAAGAATTGATAATCGCAAAAATAAAAACCCATAAAACTCTTGAAATTTTAAAAGAAGAATAAACAACTACTTTAAGAAAGGATTTGCTAGCTTTGTGGAGTGCTAATAAATTTAAATCATCTATTAAAAGTGTTAATATTGAAAATTTATTAACTACTCCATTTATGCTGGAAATTGTTGTTTAAGTTTTACCAAATATGACCAAAAAATATTAAGGATCATAATAAATGAAAGAACTATTTATTAATAATTATTTAAAATTAAAAAAATAAGTGAGAATTTCCAAAATTACAAGAGAATTGTATCAAACAACAAATTAATAATTAAAAAAGAATGAATAAGATGAAGAATAATAAATATCTTAAGAAAAGGAAGAAGAATATTAATAGAAAAATGAAAAAGCTAGAATAATTTAAATTGTTGATATGCTTGATAATGAGAACTTTTTCTCAAAATATTAAATAGTTAGTTAACTAAATTATAAAGAAAATGCTATTATTATTGATAATACTAATATTTCAATAGGTTCTAATGAAATTCAATTTATAATAATGGCATTATAAATGAAAAGATTTACAGTTTTTGAATTTTATGAAAGTTTTATTAATTTTTATCATGAATAATAAATTCAAAAATAAAGAGAACTTGGTAAAATTTATAATTAGGATAGTTTTTCAATTGATATTTATTAATACTCTTATTCATTAGCCATAGATATGACTATAAGGGAATTATCATAAATAGGTTATAAACCATTAGGAAAATTGGATTTAAAAAGCAATTATAAAATTGATTAAATTATTGATGATTGGTTGAAATAATATTTTGATATTGAAGATGAATACAAGAAATTGATTAGAAGTTGTATTTTATTAAGTGCAAAGGGTAGTACTTTCTCATTTACACATAAATCAATACAAGAATTCTTTGTTGCCAAATATATTTATGATCTTTTGACATCTCTAAATAGTTTTGAATCTAAAATCTTAAAAGATAAAGAAGAAAATTTAGAGAAAAATAAAAAAATGTTAATAAATTCAGTATTTAATAATTCAAAATTTAATATCTCTACTGATAACTTTAGAGGATCAATAAATTTTATTAGAGAACATTTGACTAATGTTGAAAATATTAATTCATAATTGATTGAAATAGTTAAGCTATCAAGGAGTAAAGATTATTGTAGAGCAGCTTCAAATAGTATTCCTTTATTAAGTTAAATGAATGTTTATTTGGAATCTTAAGACTTTAAAGGTATATAGTTGGCCAATACGGATATGTCAGGTCTAAGTTTATTTGATTGTGATTTAAGTAACTCAATATTTGAAAATGTTGATATTAATTCATGCAATTTTAATTTTGCTGATTTATCAAATATTAAATGGACAAATGTTATTTGTAAAGAAAAACCATTTTTATAAGGACATCAAAATGGAGTTTTAGAAGTACGATTTTCACCTGATGGAAAATTTATTGTATCAATTGAAGAACAAGATAATAAAATTAAATTATGGGATGCTGATAAATATTAATTCATCCAAGATTTAGTAGGTCATCAAGATAAGGTTAATACGATATCATTTTCATCAGATTCTCCAATGCTTTATTCAGGGAGTGATGATGGCACTATCTTAAGATGGGATTTTAAGAATCCTTAATAAATTACTTCGGTTATTGTAGAAACTTTTGATAATAAGGTTTTAAAAGTAAAAATATCATAGGATTCAAAAAAATTGTATTTATAAGATGATTAATTCAATTTTTTTATTTTAGATTTAACAAAAAATGGTAAAAGGGAAGAATATATTCCACTATTAAAAAAATGTGTTGATAAAGATGAAAAATTTATTGAAGTAACTGAAATGTCACAAATTTCAGAATTTGCCTTACATCCAAAAAAACCAAAAATAGCATTGGCTTATGACAAAGATGAATTGCCTGAAGGAAAAGATGAATAGGATACGGTTAGTACAATAAAATTAATAGACTATGTAACACTAGAACAATAATATCTTAAATATAATAGATTAGTATCATAGTTTGAAAAAAAAATTTAAGGATAAGGTTTAGTATTTAGTGATGATGGGTAATATTTTGCAGTTGTTACTGATAATCAAGCGATTGTTTGGAATTACAAATAAAACACATACTAAATATAAATATAATTGTAATTCCAGAGAACAAACAAATCAAATTCTATTTTTTTTTCCTAAAAAAATGAACTAGTTATTTGTGAACAAAATTTTGCATATAAATGCCAAAATTATTAGCCTTAGGAGAAGTAGGAATGCATTGAAATTTAGATTTCTCCTTTAGGCAACATAGCTGCAGCTGTTTATGAAAAAAAACTAAGTATATTAGATTTAAATACTCAAAATCCAATAAGTTCAATATCGTTTGATTTTTAGCCTAATACGATACTTTTTTCTAAAAATGGTTCTAAATTGTCTTTATTTTTAAAAAATGAGGGGAGAGTTAAATAATTTAAAATTTTGGAAGTTTCCACTCTTAATACTATATGTTTTATACCTATTTGGAATAAGTATTGGATTAATTACATATTATCTAATAATTTTGAAAAGCTATTTATTTAATATAAGGAAGAGTATAAGTATTTTGGTAAGCGTTAATACCATGCCAATGATGACTAATTCAAATTGGTAATATAAATAGACACAAATAAAATTCATAAAGAGATAGAAAATAAGGAATTCTGTATAAGCAGTAAAAGATTTTGTGCTTAATATTAAAGTGGGGTTATAGCTTACATTAAATTAAATACTAATGCCATAAAAATATATGATTTAGATAAAAATTAAGAAATTGAAGAAGATATTTAATATGAAGAAAATGAAGTCTTGGACCTTTTATTTTCACCTACCCAAAAAGAATTAGCAGTTTTATATAAGAATGAGTTGCTTTTTTGGAATATAGAATCCAAGCCTTTCTAGATTAAAAATAAAATTATTTAGTTGGATTCTAATTTAAAATCTATTAATTATTCTCCAGATGGTTCTAGAATTGTATTAGAGTTTCAAAAATCATTTAATATCTATGAAGTCAAAAGCTGTAAACTATTAAAAACAGTTGAACATGATGATGCAAATACAAAAGTATCAATTTCTTTAGATAATGATTTAATTGGGTATATTTAAGATACATAAATAATTATTTTGAGTCAAAAAAATAATTATAAATAAACAGTTTTATAAGGCCATAATGTAGCAATCTATAATTTAATATTTACTCGTGATTAACAATCTATAATTTCAGCAGGCTCTGGTGAACTTATATTATGGGATTTATCTAAATTTCAGATTAAAGATTAAAAAAACACTTATATAAAGGAATATTAAATAACATTTTCATACAGTACTCAATTACTAGTTTTATTTAAATAAAATTTAATGTAATTATGGAAGTATTCTTAGAATTAATTAACATTTATTGGATCTTAAGTATTTGATTTTAGAATTAATGAGCTAAGCTTTATTCATGATGATTAGCATATTTTGATTAAATAATCAGATACTGAGTTATTGTTATGTAATTTAGATAATTTTTAATATTTACATACATTTTAATTGAGTTTTGAGTAAGGGGCTATATCATCTGATAATGTAATTGCATTAGCTGAAGAAGATAATAATATTAAATTATATTTAAATAACTTAGAAAAAGATGACTACTAGTTACAAGATTTCTCGTAAGTAAGATACTTAACATTTCTTGAGAATAAATAGAATTTATTATTTATTTAAGGATGGGAAAATATATATATATGGGATTTGATAAAAGGATAAAAAATATCTAAATTTCAATTATTTGAATATTAAACTGTAAAATAATTATAATTAAAAGGTGAAATATTAATTTCGTAAAATGAATACAATGTTTCTTTATGGGACTTAAGTGATTTAAATAATATCAAAATATGTGGATTTCATAATAAAATTAATTGTTTTTCTATTTAAGACAATTAAGAATTTGGATTAGGGATAATTAATTAATAATGGATTATTATTAAAAATATCTTTAATGTAGAATTAGCATTACCAGCCAATAAAAATGAATTAATTAGAAAAGTATTTATGTCTATAAAAAAATAATACTATATTATTTTATCAACATAACTCTTCATTTTAGAGATTAATACAAAATAAATACATTAATTTGATAAAAGTGTATTTGCAGTTGCATATTGTGAAGAAAGAGACTACATTGCAGTTTAAACATAATCAGAACTCTAATTAATTTAATTTTAATAAAATAGTTTTAACATCATCAGTTCAATTGATTTATAGAAGGAGAAATATTAATCATACAAAATAACTTTTACAAATGATGGACAAGGATTATCATTAAATTCATCTGATATGATTAAATGGTTTTCAATTACAAAAAATTAAAAAATAATATGCAGAGGTATGTTTGATAAAAAAGAGTTTAGAAAAATATAAGCATAAATATTTTGTGACAGAGGTTCTTCTAATAAATAATAATTACTTGCTGTTTTAGATTAAAATGAAAAAAAATTTAGAATTATTAACATCTAAAAATAAAAACAATTTGTATAGATTCAATTTAAATAAGTTTATTGTTAATAACCTTCATTAAGCTTTGAGTTAAGCTTTAACGAAGATAAAATATTCTTTCTGTTTGGTAAAGAATAAATATTTTCATTGGATATTAATAATTTTGAAAAAAAAGAGTTAAATCATTATCGGTTCCTTGAAAATCGCTAAATAAGAGTAATTGGAAGTGATTCATTAGTGTTTGTAAAGGAAAAATACAAATAAGGCGATCTAATCATTTAATATTAAGTATCAAAATCTTGTAATACTTAAATCACTTTAATTCAGGATATAACATACATGAATTATTTACCTTAATAATAATTATTAGCAATAAGTACAAAAAGTAATAATATTATCTTTTGGGATATCAAAGCTAAAAAGAATATTGGAACTCTAACGGGACATTAAGATACAATCAATCACATAACAGTTTCACCTTTTGATGGTGTACTTGCTTCAGTAAGTAAGGATAGACTAATAAAACTGTGGACTATTAATTAAAATGAATCTTCAGAAGTTCAATAAGGTCATTCATATTCTATTAGTTCAATTGCATATTCATAAGATGGCCAATTACTTGCTTCTGGAGCTAAAAAAGGAGAAGAATAGGAAGTACCAATATTTCTTTGGGATGTTATTGATAAAAAATTGATGATTCAACTAAAAAAACATAAATGTTCTATTACAAGTTTAGAATTCTCTTATTGTTCTAGATATTTAGTATCTGGAGATGATAATGGAATAATAGTATTTTGGAATATTGAATATCCTTAATTTGTAAAGGTTGTATATGTTATAAATGAATTTAACTGTTCTATTAATTCCATAAGTATTTCTAAAACAGAATAAACCTTATTCGCAGTTTATAATTCAAATTTAATTATAAAATGGAATTATGAGTAAATTGAAAAATAAATAGATGAAAAACATTTAATTTTAAATACAACATCTAAATTATACAGTTTTATTTAAAATGATTAATTTGTTTATTTTGATACAGACTAAAATAAATTAATAATTCATAATATAGAAACAAAAGAATAAAAGTGTTTTTAAATGAAATCAAAAATTAACTAATTATAAACTTCAGAAGATGGTAATCTAATTTTGGGTTTATAATCTACAAAATATGAAAAAACTTACAATTTACTTTGTTTTTAAAAATAAGATATAAATACTTGGTATGAAAAATAGATTTTTGGATCATAGGCAGATTACTTTTTACTTTCTCCAGATAATAAATTTTTGTATTCTAGAGTTCTCACCTTTTTGTAATATTATTAAAACGAAAAATAACCAAAAGTTAATTATACAATCTATGATTTCTAAAGATTAAGTAAAGTAGAGAAAAAATTATTTTGTAAAATTAATGAAAATTCACTCATAAGGATTTTTGTGTCATATGATTTTACTTTAATTGCAGTAGTTATTAATAATCAAAGGTTAAAAATCTATGATAATTTAAAGTAATAATATATCAAAGAATTTAAAGAATGTCAAAATCCTGGATATGTTTAAATATCTAAAGATAATAAATATTTAGCTTATTTAGAGTTAAATGAATAAAATAAACCTGGCAATATAATCTTTGTATTTAATATTGAGGATCCATCAATCAAGAGAGATCTAAAATGTGATTAAAATGAAATAATAATTTACAAGTTCTCTGCTAAAGATTCAAATCAGATATATGCTTTATATAAAGATCAAACAGTAAGACATTGGGATTTAACGGATAAATAACCTTCCATAAAAGCTGAGGTTACTTTATCTAAAAGTTTTGATTTTAAAAGTTCCTTCAAATTTTCACACAACCTTAATTTTTTAATCAATAGGAACTGGAACCAATAAAGTTTGATTATATGGGATTTTAGGAAAAAAGAAGAATTCATTATTAATGTTGAACAAAAATTTGACAATTTTTTTTGTTCTTAAAATGAAGATATTTATGCTGTTATTAGTGAACAACAAAAAGATATGGATTGCATTATAATATTTAAAGACAAAAAATAATCTAAAATAATTTAAAGAAAAAAATAATAGGATACGATACTCACCATCGAGTTCTCACATAATGATGAGTAAATGATCATTTGTCAATTTATGTCTATATATCTTTACTAAATAGATGTAGAATTGAAAACTTAAATTCTAGGTTTTTGGTATTTAGATTTGACAATTTAAAACTGCTTTTTAAATCCTATGAATATGAGTTTAGTAATTTAAACATACAATGACCAATCAATTTTTGAAATTTAATTAGAGCCAATAATTTTTAAATAGTATATCATCGAGTAAAACTAAGATTGCTAATATCGAATCTGTTGTTTTTCGCCTGATAGTTAATATTTAGCTATTTTGTGCCCATATTTATAATTATAGAATTTACAAGATTGTTAAATGATTCATGAATTTAAGGAATATTAAGGAAGTGCCATATCTTTTTAATCAATTGATATTTTAGTGATTGCAAATCAGTGTTAATTATAATTTTTCAACATTAAAAAGAATGAAAATAAAGTAGAAATAATAAAAATTAGGGAATTTTCATTCTAATCTAATATGTTTTAAATTGGATTCAGCTAAACTCATTTATTTATATTATTTAATGTTAAAAAAGATATAAATAAATCCCCAAAAAAAAGAATTGCATTAGTTGAAATTAATAATTTGAAATAAAATGAAGAATAACTTGAAATTAATAATCCGAACTAAAATATATTAAAAGCAATTTATCATTATGAAGGAAGCTTGGCTTTCTAAGAAAGTGGGAATTATTTTGCTATAAGCTATGAAAATAAGATATAAATATTAAACACTTAAACCCTTTTTTAATAGGAAAGATGCTTTTATTTAAAAGAAAATATTGAAATATCTCAAATATTCTATATGTCTGATGAGAACTTGATAATGTTTTTTTTTAACTTTTGTGTCTAAATATTAGATTCTACAAGTTTCGAAATGATTAGATAGAAAGACTAAATTAGTGGTTGTCCTGAATAAGTTGAATATTCTAAGATTTCAAAATATTTAGTTTTCAAATAAACTAATATCATAGAGATCTATACTTTTGAAAATAATGAAAAAGATTTCTTAACATTTGATACTTTTTAAATAAATGATGATATTATATTCGATAATATTGCATTATCACAAAAAGGTGATTTACTTTTAACAGGTGAGCATAATTCTAAAGATTTCACAAATTCAATCACATTATGGAATATAGGATAGCGTAAATAAATATGCACTAATAATAAAATAAACAATAAAGTAACGATTCTTAAGTTTTGTCCAGATGGAGTTACTTTTGCCGCTGGTCTTGAAGATGGATCTATTAATTTATATTCAATCGAAATATCAAAAACAAATTTCTTTAAATAATAATCGAAATTGAATAAGAATTTTTAGAAATTTTAAATTATTTGCATTAAATCATTCTCTAAATAATCACTATTAACTGCTTAATAATCCATATTAACTGCTGATTCAAATATAATATCTGAAAATAAGTCTATTGTTGAATTGTTTTATTAAAAAGGAGGATTAAAACCAAAAACTGATAAAATAGAAGTATCAAAAATTTGAATATTAATAATAAATAAATTATTCTATAAATTTATTCTATTTAATTAAATGATATTATATTATGACAATTAGATATATTTCAATAAATTATTTATATAAGATTACCTATAAAATCTAATAAATATACATCATAATACTACAGTTAATATTTCATCTGATAATTCAAATAAGAATTTATCAACTTCAGTCTAAAAACTCTCAATACAACTTTTATCAGATTTAATATAGATATCATAATAATTATTACTTCCAATAAAACTTCAGTTGAATTAGATTAAGTTGAAATGTTTTTAAATAAGATAATAATCCAATGTTTATTGTTTTAGATACATTTTATGAAATCAAATCAAGATTTAAGTTTTATTAAATTGAATATTAAANATTAGATTCTACAAGTTTCGAAATGATTAGATAGAAAGACTAAATTAGTGGTTGTCCTGAATAAGTTGAATATTCTAAGATTTCAAAATATTTAGTTTTCAAATAAACTAATATCATAGAGATCTATACTTTTGAAAATAATGAAAAAGATTTCTTAACATTTGATACTTTTTAAATAAATGATGATATTATATTCGATAATATTGCATTATCACAAAAAGGTGATTTACTTTTAACAGGTGAGCATAATTCTAAAGATTTCACAAATTCAATCACATTATGGAATATAGGATAGCGTAAATAAATATGCACTAATAATAAAATAAACAATAAAGTAACGATTCTTAAGTTTTGTCCAGATGGAGTTACTTTTGCCGCTGGTCTTGAAGATGGATCTATTAATTTATATTCAATCGAAATATCAAAAACAAATTTCTTTAAATAATAATCGAAATTGAATAAGAATTTTTAGAAATTTTAAATTATTTGCATTAAATCATTCTCTAAATAATCACTATTAACTGCTTAATAATCCATATTAACTGCTGATTCAAATATAATATCTGAAAATAAGTCTATTGTTGAATTGTTTTATTAAAAAGGAGGATTAAAACCAAAAACTGATAAAATAGAAGTATCAAAAATTTGAATATTAATAATAAATAAATTATTCTATAAATTTATTCTATTTAATTAAATGATATTATATTATGACTATTAGATATATTTCAATAAATTATTTATATAAGATTACCTATAAAATCTAATAAATATACATCATAATACTACAGTTAATATTTCATCTGATAATTCAAATAAGAATTTATCAACTTCAGTCTAAAAACTCTCAATACAACTTTTATCAGATTTAATATAGATATCATAATAATTATTACTTCCAATAAAACTTCAGTTGAATTAGATTAAGTTGAAATGTTTTTAAATAAGATAATAATCCAATGTTTATTGTTTTAGATACATTTTATGAAATCAAATCAAGATTTAAGTTTTATTAAATTGAATATTAAACTATAGAAAATGGTTATTATAATAATTTTTTATAAAGTTATAAATAATTTCCCTCTAAGTAACACCTAATATTTAATGAACTATCATATATTATATATTAAAAAACAATTATATGATAAATATAAAAATGTGTTGAGTATAAGAAATTTCAAGCATACTAATTCTGTAATTCTATGTTCTGATAGCAAAAGATTATTAAGATTTATATTTATTGTCTTAAAGAATGATATCAAATGCAAAATGCATAGATAGCTTTGGATTTACTTTAACAACATAGAACAATTATATTTCTTAATTTGGTAACTCTTCAATTAATTTATAATTATTATGAATTTAAGAATTTCTATCGAATAAAATTTAAATTCCGAAATTATCTAATCTAAATGGACAATTATTGATAACTCTAATTTCTAAACATATACAAGATTTTTATTAATCTAATGTATGAGAACAATAGATTTAAACAAAATCACTAACTCCAGTAATTAATTTTGAATTCAATTATAATTTAGTAAATATGTTATTTTAAGGTATTTGTAATGGTCTTAAATTCATAATCAAAGTATTTTATTGAGATGAAAATTGTTTTAATTAAAATATATTATAAACAATTTAATATGTTGTTAAATTTTGTAAATTTTGATTGATTGAATCAATTTAATTATTAATTTTATTTACAATTAATCTTATTATAGAGATTCTTTGTACTAAGTGATTTAACAAAATTTCTATTATTTTCTATTAATTATTCAGCTATTTTATCATTTTCCTTTATTGTAAATTGTCATTATAATCTGAAAGCAATCCCAAGATCTATTATTTGATATGATTCTCAAGAGTATGGAAATTAATAGATAGAAAATAGAGAATCTTATAGACATTTTATAAGAGATTAAGTTAACAGATTTAAGATTATATAGTTTAAATCATAAAACTTCTAAATTCAGCAAAAATACTGATAAAATCTAATTTCAATTAAAGTTTCTCTCATTGAATTTCCTTGTTTTTACAAATTAGTTCTTCAGGTTCATCTTTTATTTTAGTAAGAAACCAAATTGTAATTGTATAATCCTAAGAGAGCACTAGTCTTTTTTAATAAAGTAATTCAATTGATTTTTAAATTAAATTATTGAAACAATAAAGCAAGAACAATAATCGAGTTAATTGATTGGAAATAAGAAAAGATACTTCTAGAGTTCTTATTGATATTGCTATACTTGTATTAAAATCCATATCTAATAAAAGAATTTATAATTGACTTTCTTAATATAAATATTAGTTATTGTTTATTTTGGCATATCTATTTAATCTACTTCTGTTTCTTTTGTTAATAATAATTAAAAAATAGAATTCATTGCACACAATTTTTCATAATGAAAATCAGAGGATATATTAAATGTTTAAATTATACTATTCAATTACTTAATAGAATGCTGTATCATATGATTTTACAATTAGCATAAGTATGTATGGGATTTTTTTAAATATCTATTATTTTTGCAAAATCTTTTGGATTAGGTGAAGATTCTGAGAGATAACTGTATAGACTTTTCAAATAATTTAATTGCTTTTTCACTTCTACTTCAACATTATCCATTATTAATTTATATATAAAAAAATAGTGATAGTATCAAAATACAATACAGCCACATCCACCTTATTTTGCAGACGATTATTTTGTATTTTAACCTTACTATTGTTTGTCATTTTATTGTTAATTTTGAACTAGAGGACTTAAACGAGTGACAGCTTCTTTTGCTTCAATATTACCAGCTTATGCAGCTTATTTATACCAGTATAATGCCTGTTATAAGTTTAATTTAGTTCCTGTTCCCTCTTCATACAGCACAGCTAGATTATATTAAGCATTTTCAAAGCCACCTTTGGCTGCCTATAAATACCAATCAAAAGCTTCAGTTGGATTCGTTTACAATAATACTGTAGCCAAGTTGGTCATAGCACATAAATCCCCTTTATCAGCTGCCATTCTATAGTATTTTTTAGCTTCTTCAATTTGAATATGGGTTCCATTACCAGATCTATATATATTTCCTAGGTTATTCATAGCTGATACTGATCCCTTGGAAATTATAAATATAGCATAAATACTAGTTTAGCAGCTTTTTCAAACCATGCTCTACTCTTTTCAAAATCTTATTCTACTCCTTATCCAAATAAATGCATCAAACCTAGTTAGAACATTCCTTATTCATTCTATAATTCAGCTGCTTTGTTAAAATATTTATAAGCAATTTTATAATCAGGAGCAACAACTCTACCTAAATAATAAATGGATGCTAGATTATATGCTGCTTAAGGATGTTTATTAGCAGCTAATTGATACCTAAAAAGATTATAAATAAAAATACCATTGGATACATTCTTAGATATTTTATTAATCACCTTTTCCATCTTCATACATTAAACCTACTTTGAATTATGCATCGATATCTCCATCTTATGCTAGTTTAAGATGATGCTGTATTTCATCATAATCTGTCTATTGCATTAGATTATAAAAATTAAAATAAGAAATGTACTAAAATCATATTTCAATTTTTTATTGAAAAAGCTTTTCAAAAACAATGGCAGGACCTTATGAATCAAAGAATTAATTTAATTTCAATTTATTTCTAAAAAATAAAGTAAAACTACTATTACCTATTGTACTCTCTAACATCTAAGACACCACGCATTCCCATTAAATAACTCTATAAACCCAAAAGTTCTTTGTCTTCTTTATTATCATAAAAAGGAACAATAGGTATTCCATTATCTAATTACCAAGCATAGCTATAAGATGCATTATCAACTAAAACCATTTGACTTAGCGGTCTGTCAAATATTCTTAAATCTTTAGTATACATTCCACCTGTAGTCAAGATACAACTATCTCTAAAATATCTATGTGATATAAGTTTATTTTCAGGATCTAAATAATCTAAAACTTATTTAGCATAACATTGATGTGAGGCAGTGAAAACAATGATTTCAAATTCATCAACTAAAGATTATAATAATTCTATAGCTCCTGGACGTATATTTACACCTGCTTTGACAATTTCATGAGAATTAACTTTAATATTTAAAATGATATCAGATTTCTATTATATTGATTCATTACAATGTACTAATGTTTCATCTAAATCAAAAATCACAGTTATTTTATCTTAAATATAAAATTGATTTACCTTTGTATTTATCTTTTTATTTCATTTTGACTGCTTTCTTTTTGAAATCATTAGGATCTGTTGGTCTCAAATGAGATGCAACATATATTCCTTAATATGTTTAAAAGAAATGTTCTCTATAGAGAGAACTAAAATAATCATCTTAAAGTGGCCGAGTGAAAACTTACTTAATTTTTCCTAAATAATACTGAAATTAGACATTTTCTTTATTAAATTTAATGCTTTCAAAATATTTTAATTCGCGATTTGATATTGATTAAGATTACTATAATGATAATTATCTTGAATGAACTGGAGTTATCTATTGGGAATATGCCTTTTAAGGTTTCTGCAACATTCCATTATATATCTTTTTATAGTTTTGATCTTTGGATCCAATTGATTGTTATCTCTTATGTTGGAATGAAGTTGTAGAATTAATTTCAGATGTTAAAGGTCTAAAATCAATAGATGATTGCTTAGATTATTTGAATATGTTCAATTCAACATTTGGAGTTACTTTGGTGACAAGCTGATTAAGTAATAAAGATTATTATTAACTATTTGAATAATTACGAATAGGCATATCGTATTTTGATAATAGTATCTGATTTTAATATTATTATGTGATTGGTATTTCTTGATTAATGAATTACTTCTTTTTTTAAAGACTCTCTTGACTAAACTTTTTTTTGAGGAATTCTCTTCCAAATATATTAACATTAGAATTAGACTTAGAATTAGTACTACGAACTGAATTGATGATGTCTAGTTTCTGGGTTTTAAGATTTTGTGTAGTCCTCTAGAATAAATCAATTGAATTATTAGTTTCAATTTGGGGCTTAGGTTTCATAATTTAATTTATTATGTCATATAGCTACCTCTTTAAATTTATATTGATTGGTGATACAGGTATATAGATTATAAATACCATTTAAAGGTGTTGGCAAATCTTGTCTTCTTTTGTAATTCATAGATAAGAGATTCAGATAAAAGCATGAAGTCACTATTGGTGTGGAATTTGGTGCAAGAATGATAGAGTTTGATGGTTAGAATATCAAATTACAAATTTGGGATACGGTATTCTCAATATTTTAAAATGTTATAGGCAGGATAAGAATCTTTTAGATCTATTACTCGTTCTTATTATCGATCAGCAGCTGGTGCAATCATAGTTTATGACATCACAAAAAGGGAAACCTTCGAAAATATTTCTAGATGGTTAGAAGAAGCTAAATAAAATGGAAATCCAAAATTAACATTTACACTTGTTGGAAATAAGAGTGATTTGGAAGCAGAGTATATTATAATTATTCCTAATATTTAGTCGATAAGTTTCTTTTGAAGAAGGACAAGAATTTGCAAAAAATAATGGTATTGATTTTGTAGAAGTGAGTGCAAAGACAGCTAATAATGTAGAAGAAGTATTCCTTAAGACAGCATAACAAATTTTAGAAAAAATTAATAACAATTAAATTGACCCTAAAAATGAAAGTCATGGAATTAAAATAGGAACTGAATAAGGAATCAAAAAATCATTTATTAATAATACTCAATAATTGTAATCACAACCAGAAGTTGAAGATAAATAAGGAACATGTTGTTGAATCAGATATTGAATTAAATATCTAATAAAATTATAATAGATTTTTATATTAAATAATATATAAAATATATATATTATCATTATTTATATCTTTCTTTAATATATTCTTTTAGAATCCACAAATCAGAATTTACAACTTTATTTTTATTTTAATTATCATCTTAGAATTATAACATTTAAACATTTTTATCATTATTCTATTTATAATTCTTAAATTCATCTAAAAGACTAACTGAATAATCATCATAACGAACTTCTAATTAATTACTAATTTAATATTCAAATATGTTCAAATTTAGAAATTCATAAATATTGATATCATTCTATAATGCTACTTCATAAATGTTAATTAAAAATAATAGTAATTCTTATCTATAATTAAAATATTTATAATTTTCTGGAAGTTTTATTTAGACATTTTAATTTGAATAATAGATTTTTAAATAAAAACTATTAAATGCTCCATTTAAAATATTCTTAAATCTTACACAAAATTAAGTTAGATCTTTATATTTATTTTCAATTGATGAAATAATTTAAACAATCTAATTTAATTATTATTTGTATTAATTGATAGAATATTAGAAATTTCCAATAAAATCTTAATGTTATGAAACATTAACTTTTAAAAAAGATTTTTCAAGATCAATCTTTTCTAAATAACACCATGGATGTCTAAATAAATCTTCAAAACTAATTCTAAGTTTTGGATCTTCAACTAACATTTTTCTTAAAACATCTTTGCATTCTGCAGAAACTGATATGTGTTATGGAAATTAAAGCTTAAATTTATTAAATATATTTTAATACTTTACTAGTTTAAATTGCTATAAGTAAGTCTTATACTGTTCCTTTTTATGGTACAAATGGAGGTTAACCAAATAGAATTTGATATATCATTACTCCTAATGACCATATATCACATTTGTGATCATAAGAATTAGATTTTCTATTAATCTTTAATAGAATTTAAATACTTTAATATTTCTGGAGCCATTGTGATAGGTGTGCCACAATAAGATTCCAATAAATCTGTATTTATTAATGATTTAGCAAATCCAAAATCACCCAGTTTAATTTACATTTATTCATTTATTAGTATATTTGCTAATTTGAGATCACGATGAACGATATTTTTTAAACGTAACATTTTCATGGCATCTATTAATTGAAGTATAATTGGTTTTGCTTCAGATTCAGGTAATCTGTTTTTGAGAGAATTCTTTTTTATATACTTTTCTAAGTCTCCTTAAGCACAGTATTCTAATATCATATTGATTGAATCCTAGCTTTGTTAGACTTCTTTCAATTCTACTATATTTTTATGTCTTATTGATTTCATTATTGATATTTCTGTATGGAACAATTCAAGCATTTTTTATTTATGAAGACCTTCCTCCATATCAATATTAATTTATTTGATAGCAACAATTTCTTTAGTTTTTATATGCTATGCTTAATAGACAATAGCAAATGCTCCCTTTAATATAAATATAAATTCAATTACTTTGCCTATAACCTTTAAAATTTGATAATTCTATATTGGATGTTTACTCATATTTATATTTAATTTAATGAAATAAAACATGTCTAAATCAACTATGTAGGACACTAAAATTTCTTATGATGCACCTCCTTTAGATTTCTCAAATCTAAATATTAAATCATTAGCTGATTTAAAGCATGCAATTCCAAAACAAGGGAAACGTAAGTAAGCTCCAATAGATGAATAGAAGGAAGATAAAAAAAAGGAAAAGTAACAACAATAACAATAAGAAAATGAGAATATTCAAGTTCAATAGAATCAATAACAAGAATAAGAGGATGAAGATAAGTTAGAAGGTGATGAAAAAGAAAGAGAAAAACGGGAGTTGCAAAGATAAAAGGAAGAAAAATTGACACCAGTAATTGTTCGTACAATTGGATAACCTGTTTAATAATCAACTAATGTATATAAACCAACAATTGATGAAAAAAAATAAACAAAGAAGCAATTTTAAGTATAATTAATACAATGTTCATTGATCTTAAGTTATAATAAATTAACATCCTTGCATAATTTTTATAATATCATAGATTAAATAATGATTAATTGTAAATAATTGTAATGGATTGATTTATCACACAATTTGATTGAAAGTTTAGATTATGTAATTATAATTTATATAGATAGAATTTTGCTGAATTACCAAATGTTAAAGCATTATATTTACATGCAAATAAATTAAAAGACATTATGGAATTTGATAAATTATAATGTTTGACAGAATTGAGAACCTTAACTGTTCATGGAAATCCATTTGATGCCATACCAAATTTTAGATTGTATATAATTGGATTGTTGCCTACCTTAAAAAAATTGGATAGTGTTTTAATATCTAAAAAAGAATTAGATAATGCAAATGTATGGAGAAATACATTTAGAATGATTAAACCACCTATAATTAAAATATGAAACTTAATCTCGAAATTTTAAATTACGATAATCCACTATCTAACTTCTTAGTTAAAATTAAGTATGGCACCTAAGTTCATTAAACTACAGTAGGAAATAATTGGAATCAGAAGTTTACTCTTGAAGTAAAAAAGACTGTAGATTTAAAAGTGGAAGTATGGTAGAAAGATCAAGAATTTCATTTGATTGGAGAATCAATTGTTCCAAAATTGGAATAGATCCATTAACTTGATATTGTAGGATAAGGTAAAAAAGAAGGGGTTTTAGTAGTGGAATATAAGGAAATAGAACCTTAGAATCCTAAAATCAATCAAAAATTAGAAAAGCCTTAATCATTAATAAAAAGATTGAATGAATCTTTAAATACAGATGTTCAATAAAATTATGGAAATATCTAAGAGTATTTCACATAATAATTTGAGAATCATGAATTAAATCATTAATCTAAATAAACAGCTTCAAATTTATTGATGGAATCATTTGAAAAAACAATAAAAGGATTGTAAATTAATGAAAATTAATATCATTTTGATGATTATGAATAAAAGAATGATATTGAATAAAATAAAATTAAAGCTCTTTAAAAAGAACTTATTAAAAAGGATTTAAAAAAATATGAAAAGAGTAGAAGAGAAGTTAATTTATAAATACTTGATTTAGATGATATGGATATAAGATTTGAATAATAAGAATAAAAATAATAAATTTTGAATTTAAGAAAAGAACTTGTATAAAAGTTATTATATATTGAAGAGAAAATAGAACACTTAAAAAGACATTTAAAATTAGATTAATTAAATAAACATGCATAATAATCAATTATGAATAGTATGGCAGAAATAAGTTAGATTAGTATGTATAGAGAACCAATTGTTAAACCTGAAGTGGATCCATAGAAGGAATAATAAAGATAAGAATTTATTAAGAAATAAATGAAAGAATGGAATGAATTATAAGAATAAAGATTAAAATAAATAGAAATTCAAAAATAAAAAATATAAAAGACTGAAGAAAAAATAAGAAAGTAATAAACATTAATTCAAGAGGCTAAGACTAAAGAAAAGAGAGAAGAGATAGAATAAAGATTAAATAAGTTAAAAGAGAAATAAAAACAAAGAGAATAAGATTTATAAGAATAAAATAAGAGATATTTGGAAAAGAAGAAATAACATAATCTTGCAGAAAAATATGCTTAATAAGATGCTTCATATATGATATAATTGTAAGAAATGAGAAAAAATAAGTTGAAAGAAATGAAAAACCCTGAATTTAATATTTAAGAAATTATGTAATTTGATAAAAAGATTAAAGAACTTAGAAAGGAAAAAGCAGCTGTAAGATAAAAAGAGTGGGATGAACGAGAAAAATAATGGAATAAATTTTAAGCATAATATTATTCATAAAGTTATAAGAGAGCTAGATAATATTACAAAGAGTAAGATTTAAAAGTTGATGAATCTAAAATTAAAGCCTAAGAACGTCTCAATCTACTTAGATCTTATGATAATGAGGTTAAATAGAGATATTAACCTCATGTATCTTAAGAAAAGAGATCAGAAATTGAAGATAACATTAGAAAACTTAAATATGAACCTAATTTTAAAAAATATAGGGAATTATCTGAAAAGGTTAAAGAGAAACATATATATTTTGGAGTAGAACATAAGGATTAATCAGGCAATAAGAAAGTGAAACTAAAACCATTAGAAAATATACCTACTCCAATTTCACCTAAACGTGTAGGTGATTTCTATTTAAGGGAACATGCTATTTATAATAAGAAACACATTCCTCCTTTACCAAGACCACCAGAACCACCTAAGTCAAGTTAATCAGAATAAAAATTAGTTATTAAAGATTATTTAAAAGAATAGAGAATAAAAAAGCAATTAATAGAATAATAATCAGTAAATATTGATATATATATGTTAATAGATGAAAAATATGAATTAAACTTTAGGATTAGAAAATGATGATTAGAAGATGATTATGTAAATTAAAAAGTAATTGGAAAAATTGGAGCATATTTGATATTGTTATTATTATTCTCATAATATTATTATTTATTTAATCACATATTTATAGAATAATGGTTAAAATGTTAAGAATTTTATTTGAATTTGAATTTAAATGAAATAAGGAGAAGGTGATACCAAGATTAACTAAATAAATAAATAATCATATATATATCTTAAATTTTTGTAAATTATTTTTATTTTAATAAATTATTCAGGTTAATACTAATCGATGGACGAAGAGAAAAAATAATATAGCAAAATCAATAAAGAGATTAGACAAGAAATTATTGATAAAATCTGCTTATAAAAAAAACCATTATTAGAGGTAATTCGATAATTTTAAATATTTAAAAAGGTTGCTTAAGAATACTCTTTATTGGCATCTACGTGTAAGTCTATCGTTAACACTTACATGAAAGAAGGCAGAGTTGGTAAAAAAGAATCAAGAATTCGTAAATTAAAAAAAGTAGTAACAACATACCACATTATTTTAAATCCTCTATAACCACTACTCTCTTAAGTGTAAATATAAAAAAATGTTGAAAATTGTGTTGAGCAATCATAAAAAAGTCGAAATGAAACAGAAGAAGTTTAAGAAGAGAATAAAAAAGAATTATAATCTTTAGATTAATCAATATAATAATGGACTTAATCTTTATTAACCTAAATCTAATCATTAAACCAATAGTATAAGGATCCATAATATATTCGTTAAAATTGAAATGATTAATATAGATTATATGCATTTATATAATTATTAAAATAATATATATATATATATATAAACTTCTGTAATTCTTATATGATTAAAATAATTTACATTATCATATATCTCTCCAATGAACTTTCATACATTTAATTGCTTCAAAATAATTACCTTAAGTTTCCATCCAAAATTATTCAATAGTAGTTTAAGAAAATTCATCACATTTCCACATTCCTGTTTAAATTCCATATTCACAGAATGATCTAAACATATCCAAAGGTGCTCCATTTAATTTTATACCATATTTTTAAGGTAAGAGTACATGTTTAGGTTAAAAATCATGTTAAAATAATTTGTAAATAGAAGATGCAGTTATTTTAGTACCATTTTTTATTTTATGACCATCAAAATGCATAAATAATCTAGGTAATGACATATGATATGGTGGTACATGTCCCTTAAAATAATGAATAAAATATAATTACCCTTAAATCTTTATCAGATTCATAACGAAATGATGGTAATTGTGATGGTCTATAAAACCAATTAATACCATCAACAGCTACTAATACTTTATATTTTTCAGTATTATATAATTATTCCATTACTTCATAAACAGCATTAGTTGCATAATGAGCATTTGAAATACCATAATCAATAATCTCTTATAAGTATTAAGGTTTTGGAATTTTCAATGTAATTCTTGCAGACATAATTTAATCTTGGGCTTCTTCAAAATCTCTTTCTTCTTTAGTTATAAATTTCTCAAAATCTTTGAAATGATATTATCTTCTTTCATCATATAAATTGGGACAAGGATCAGGATCATTATCATGAACACCACTTAAATTGAATTTACCATAAAGACTTAAATCTACTTAAAAGGTTTTTAAATGTTCTTGATTAGCTTCTTTAAATTATTCTAACCATTCTTAAGCTGCTTTTGGTTACATATATAATCCAGTTTTAGGATGTCTTTTAGCTTCATATTTTAATGAAGTCCAACTAAAATACTATTAATTTATTTAATACTTATATCCAGATGGAACAACTGCAACTATCCATCCAGTTTATTATGCATACATAATTGCTTACATTAATACACCAGATTTACCAGCACCATGATCTCCATAGAAAAGTAAATTACTTGAATATCCATAGTATTATTCCTATAATTTATTAATTGATTTAATACTCCAAATCTATTTTCAATTAATGTTTTTGGAACTGGAAATGGATTATTTACATATTATGTTAGATCCAAAGTAAAATCTTTAAATTGTAATGTTTTTACAGTTGAAAATAATAGTTCAGGCATAGATGCATTAGGTTATTATTTATCAATCTTTTCCAATAATTAATCAACAAGAGATTTAAAGAATTCTTTTCTTTATTCTGGAGTTCTTAATTATTATACTAATTCCCAATGATTCAATATAACAGTCAATAAGGCATCAAAATTAACACTTGTTGCAAATATTCTTTAAAATAATTCATTATTTCTATGTTTCTTAAGTTCATCATTAAAATCTCCTTTTNATCAAAATGCATAAATAATCTAGGTAATGACATATGATATGGTGGTACATGTCCCTTAAAATAATGAATAAAATATAATTACCCTTAAATCTTTATCAGATTCATAACGAAATGATGGTAATTGTGATGGTCTATAAAACCAATTAATACCATCAACAGCTACTAATACTTTATATTTTTCAGTATTATATAATTATTCCATTACTTCATAAACAGCATTAGTTGCATAATGAGCATTTGAAATACCATAATCAATAATCTCTTATAAGTATTAAGGTTTTGGAATTTTCAATGTAATTCTTGCAGACATAATTTAATCTTGGGCTTCTTCAAAATCTCTTTCTTCTTTAGTTATAAATTTCTCAAAATCTTTGAAATGATATTATCTTCTTTCATCATATAAATTGGGACAAGGATCAGGATCATTATCATGAACACCACTTAAATTGAATTTACCATAAAGACTTAAATCTACTTAAAAGGTTTTTAAATGTTCTTGATTAGCTTCTTTAAATTATTCTAACCATTCTTAAGCTGCTTTTGGTTACATATATAATCCAGTTTTAGGATGTCTTTTAGCTTCATATTTTAATGAAGTCCAACTAAAATACTATTAATTTATTTAATACTTATATCCAGATGGAACAACTGCAACTATCCATCCAGTTTATTATGCATACATAATTGCTTACATTAATACACCAGATTTACCAGCACCATGATCTCCATAGAAAAGTAAATTACTTGAATATCCATAGTATTATTCCTATAATTTATTAATTGATTTAATACTCCAAATCTATTTTCAATTAATGTTTTTGGAACTGGAAATGGATTATTTACATATTATGTTAGATCCAAAGTAAAATCTTTAAATTGTAATGTTTTTACAGTTGAAAATAATAGTTCAGGCATAGATGCATTAGGTTATTATTTATCAATCTTTTCCAATAATTAATCAACAAGAGATTTAAAGAATTCTTTTCTTTATTCTGGAGTTCTTAATTATTATACTAATTCCCAATGATTCAATATAACAGTCAATAAGGCATCAAAATTAACACTTGTTGCAAATATTCTTTAAAATAATTCATTATTTCTATGTTTCTTAAGTTCATCATTAAAATCTCCTTTTAAGACATTAAACATAATAATAAAATATCCTTCTTTTTTGAAATTATCTTTAGATAACTTTTTATAATTGAATATTTGTGGTATTCTTTTACTTGAATCAACATAATCAATTGTTTTAAATCCTTCATCTGTCATCATAAGTGAGAAATTTTTGGATAATTCAATTAGGTTTTTTTGGAAATCACCTGGAGATAAAAATTTGAATGTTTTCTTAAATAATTCATAATTTAAGGGAATCCATTTTCCAATTTAGATAGGATTTAAATCTAACCAATTTTGTAAAAATAATTTTGCTTTTTCTCTTGGCATATTACTTTTAGTATTGTCTTCAAGATCTTTTATTGATGTTGGATCTGGTTATTAGGCTAATTATTCAACTTACTTTCTAATATAGGCCTAATATGATTTGATTATATTTTACTTATGTAATTGATTCTCTTACTACAGGATCTACTTTTTAAAATACTTTTTCAAGTAAATCCAATTCTACTGATTATTCAAGAGCAGGTAATACTTCATAAGTATATCTTTTAAATAAATCAACTTAATTAACTCTTTTTGGTGCTAATACACCAGATTCTTTTTCAACTTATTCAGGCATTGAAAAAAAAGGTTTTGTTTAATAAAACTTGGTTGTAGTAACTTTAGCCTATTAATAATGTTTCAATTTTAGTTTCTTGAATGCTTCAGATGCAGCTAACTAATATTATTATAAACATAATACATACCTTCATAACTAAAATTTATTTTATTAATATAAGTAATGTACAATAATTAAACAATTAACATATCACTATGCACATAGATCTTTGAGAATATAAATTCTACAATAAACTTATATGGTATAATTTAAAAAATCATCACAATAGATATTATTTTGAATCACATTTTGGTAAATTAGGTTAGTATTTGGTTTTATCTAATTGGATGCTCAATCTCATTAATTTTAGATACCTTCTTATTTATAGTCTTTTTATATAAAAGTCAATTGAGATAGAGTCCAGGAGACATTTTTTTAGGTAGTTTCGTATTTGAAATCATTATGGCAATATAGTGGTATATAACTGCAGTTTCCTCTTACGAAAAGAAACCTTTGCAGAGTAATTCATTAGAATGTTAATTTACAGCTGCATTAACATTGATATCACGTAATAATATATCACTTATGATTCATCTAGACTTAGGATAATATTTTTATATATTGGCTTTTTTCTATTTTCTTACAAGATAAGTGAAAACTAGTTTTAAGGCAAAAAACAATATATAATGGTTAATCCACTTAGGAGTTATTATATTAACATTAATAACATGTGTTATAGTATTTTCTTTGAATCTGACAGGCAAAAATGTAGATGGAAAATGTTCTATCGTTACATCTCTGTTGGCAGAGTACATTTAATAATTTTAGATAGTTATGTCATAACCTTAGGATATACATTGACAATTTTAATATACGTTTCAATAGGAGGATATTCAATTTATTATATTAAGAGAAATATACCAAATTAATATAAGGAGAGAGCATAAAAGTTTCTGAAATTTAGTATAATTTATTTTTTGACTTATTTAATTTTGATATTTGCAGCATAATTGGTTGAATTATTAGCTAGTTTAAGTTGTACTTATCAATGGAAAATGAACTTAAATGCTATGTATGACACAGCAGCATTTTTTGATGTTATGATATTAATACTTTTACCTATTATTAGAGTAAATGATCCTTATACAAAAAGAATATTACTTAAAATGTTTGGGTATGGATAGAAACAGAAATAAATAATAGAAGAGAATGAACTTGAATTATCTAAACATAATAGTAGTGTTGATTAAGATCTTAGTCTTTTGACTAGTGGTATTTCATAAATTAGATAATCTGAATTAATTATTAATAGAGAGAGATAATAAACAGATGATAATCCTTTTGTTAATGTTTTATAAAATAAAAAGAGAGGATAAATTATGTGTAAAATGATAGCAGGACTTCAAATTGATTAATATTCTAAATATAATTCTTTGGATGTTGAAATTATTAATCAGAAATCAGATAATATCTATGAAGAAAAAAAGATTTATAAATTTATTAATGATTAAATTATAACTACAATGCCATATAATTTATGTTAAGAATTTGTATCTTTAGTAGAAGATTTTCCATAAATTAAGGTAATTTCTTATACACCTATTATATTTCATACTATAATGAATAGAGAGAAAGAGAAGTTGAATATTTATGAATCTCTTGATATTAATAATAATTTTGAGAAGATAACAAATGCAAGTAAAAATGAAGGTGGTAAATCAGGTTAATTTTTCTTTTATTCCTAAGATAATTAATTGATTATTAAGACAGTAACTTAATAAGAATTAAAAATTATACTTACTATGCTTAAAAATTATTTCTTGTATATATTATCTAATCCAAATACATTAATTGCTAAAATTTATGGTCTTTATACATTTGAATAAGAAAATCAAAAAAATATCAACATTATTGTTATGAGAAATATTGCTAAAACTTCTAATACATTTAGAATCTACGATCTTAAAGGTTCTAGTTATGATAGGGAAGTTGCTAAAAAAGATACTAATCTATAAAAGGTTGTATTAAAAGATTTAGATTTTTTGAATATTGAAAAATATCTATATATTTCCTAAGAAGATGCAAGTTTTATTGCAGAAAATGCAATTAAAGATTCGAATTTCTTTAAGTCTTAAGGATTAATTGATTATTCCTTAATTGTTTTTAAGATTCTAAATGAATAAAATCAAAATCTAATTCCAAAAAAATAAGCTAATATATTTATGTGTGATGATATTAGGTATAGATATCATATTGGAATTATCGATTATTTGTAAGAGTATAATGTTTAAAAATAATTTGAAAAATATACCAAAAAAATTATTAAACTTAATTAAAATTTAGATACTAGTTCATAAGATCCTAAAATATATGCTAATAGATTCTAATAATTTATTAGAAGAATTACCAAAATTGAATGATATATTATTTTATACTTTCATTATTATAAATTTTATTGTTAAATTATGAGTACTAATTGTTTAGACTTAATGGACATACTCAATCTAAACTAAATTGAATCAAATAATTATTTATTAGAAAACTACTTACAATATCAAAAGACTCCATCTAACAATACATCTATTATTACCACAAATAAAACTATTTCTACCAGATAATATTCATAAATCAGTTCACGAAGATAAACTTAAGAAACTGGCTATCGTAGTATTGCCTACTCATAATAAATCTAAAGGAATGAATAAACTAAATAAAAGTAAAGATCTATATCATTTACACCAAATATGGATTAAATGTAATAGTCTTTCTAAAAAATGGAATTAAAGATGAATAAATTCTAAATATAATAACCAGATAGAATTGATTAAAAATATATGATTACTGGTTTTCTTTAAATGAGTTAAGATTATTAAAATATTATTTAAGTCATCAAGAAATATAGTTAGGATTTAAATAATGTCTTAAAATGTTACAATAATAATTATTATTAATAAGCTTATTAAGTAGATTAATATTTTTAGAGAAATTCATAGTTGTTGACTAATAATGTTTAAAAATATTATAAAATTAAAGAAAGTTTTTATAGATTTTTAAGAATGGGAATATAGGTAATCATAAATTCATAATTAAGGAACCATATAATTAAAGAGTCTAAAAGAAAATTGACTTATTAGAAAAGTAAAATCATATATTTGAATATTTTTAAATGTATGTAGAATTATTTAAATTCATTAATTAAAAGGCTTTTGATTGCTTTAAAAATGACTTAATTAGTATTCATAATTTATAAGAATCATCTCCTTAATTTAATTTTGGTGAATCATTTTCTAAATAAGTTTAAGAATTTAAACATAAAATATTAATTATTTCATCAACACAAGAAGCATTAATTTTAAATATAATATTTTAGAATAAAATTGATGAAATTTAATTATGGATTTAAATGATATTAAAGATGGCAAACTTTAAATATGTTTATTATATAAAATATTTATTAGTTTCAAAATCATTATTAAAAAAAATAATTAAAAGTAAAAAACTATATAATCAAATCATTTAATTATTAGAAGAAGCTCAATAATATTAAGCTACCATCTCAACTTTAAATATATTTTATAAAAATTAAATATAACAATTTGTTAATGAGTTTAATCAAATTAAAAATTAAATTATCTAATGGAATGTACATTTAAGAGAAAATGAATTATGTTAATAGGTACTTATATTAATAAAAATGAACATTAAACTTAAAAGAGTTAATAAAAATCTTCAAATCTTAATTTCGGTAATATATCCTTTTTTTAATTTAAGTAAAGAGAATCTAATAATCTTGATTAGAAATTGTTATCTTAAGAAATAGACATAATACATAAATTGAAAATCTAATTATAAATCAATAGTCATATTATCAATTAAATAAAATAAAATACAGAAATCAAATATGATGAATACATTTAATATTAGTACAATAAATTTATTATATTGAAAGACTATTTTTAGAATTTATAATATGAATTTGATGTTTAATGAATATATATTATCATAAAAATATTATTTATTCCTTTTATCAAACAATCATATTACATTTTAATTCTTTTTATGAATAAATTTAGTAAAAAGTTTTATTATAATTTATTTAAATTAATTCTAAAACCCATAATATATTAAAATTAATAATAATATTTAAAGGAATTAAATACACTATTAAATTTCATACCTTCTCGGCCTTTTGGCTAAGATCAAGTGTAGTATCTGTTCTTATCAGAGTGATATCTGATATCTCCTACGAGGAGAATGATATCACTGCAATTTTTAAATGGGGCTGGGTTTACTTGGGGCTTGCTCCGGTCCCAGCATAGTCGACCCTGACTTACACGACCTCGGGGAACGGCTAACCCGCTACTTTTTAAATTAAACAAACGAAATTTATTATTATTATACAAAAAGGGTGACCATTTAAGTGTAAAGAATTAAATAGAAAATTAATTGACTTTTTTTCTGGTGTTAATGTTAAATAGAAATTAATTTTAAAAGGAATTGAATAGGTTAAAGAGTGATTTTGCTATTAAATAATAAATAATTATAATGTTTCGAATGTTTGATCCTATGTATTAGTCAATGAACTAGATCCTAGAGGAAAATGGTAATATCTTATGGTTGGGAGATTGCACTGCTGCATATGATAGAAGTTTGTTAGATGCAAGAGGAATTAAGACAGTTTTAACAGTAGCTGCAGGATTAAATGTTTCTTATCCTGAAGGTGGAATAGTACACAAAGTAAATTAGATATATATAAATACAAGGTTTATCATATATTGGATATTGAATCAGCGAATATCGCAAGACTTTTTGGGGATACTTGTAATCAAATTGGAGAAGGGTTAAAGCGAGGAGGTGTATTAGTCCATTGTGCAGCAGGAGTGTCAAGATCAGCTTCAGCAGTGATAGCATATATAATGAAGACTAAAGGGTTGAGTTTTTAAGAAACATTCAATTATGTAAGAAAGCGAAGAAGTGTAGTATTTCCAAATTATGGATTTCAAAGATAATTAAGAAATTATGAGAAAGATCTCAAGACAATAAAAGTGAAAGAACCTTAAGGAATAGAGATGCCAATGAAATAGACATAAAAAAAGCCTTAAGAAATTGCAATGGATAAGCATGAGTAATTCAGTATTTAGTATTTGGAATAGAAAGCAAAGCTCCTCTTAAAACCTGTGTCAGGTAATCCAACATTCAATAGTGGTTATTCAACACCATAAAAATAGTTCTAGAAGTAGAGAATGTTGTATCAATCAGCAAAGGTTGGAAGTCAAGAGCCAAAGTAAAGTTCAATAACATAGAATTCTACTAGAGCAAATTCTTAAATGAAAAGAAATATTTTTGAACCTTCATTTAATTAAACATATTAAGGTCCTCAGATAGTGACTTACTAAAAAAATAAACTTATAGAGAAGATGCCAGATATTAAGAAAAAGACATTTTATAAATGAAGATAATATATATATTTAATTAATTTATCCTCCAATATAATATTGAATGAGTATCGCTAGTAATTTTATTATAAATAAAAAATCATATGTTTTAATTAAATAAATACAAACAATTTCCACCACAAACTCATTCATTTTATTTCTATCTCATTTCAGCAAGTACATTGAATACTTTAACCAAACCTTTAGCTGCAATAACTTTCAACTCTCTTTCTTAATCTCTATTGGTTGATACTCTTGGATCAATATGTCCTTTTTCAACAACAGCCCTACTATGTTTAATTTTTCTAACTTTTTAATGCTTTTCTTTATTCCAATTTCTTTTTGTTTTTATTTTTCACTTGTGAGTTCATTTAATATTTTCTATTTATCTGCCATAATAGCCTTGTCACTTTTAACATCTCTCTTAATAACACCAGATAACAATTATTTTAATGATTGTTTTGTTTATTATTGTACTTCTTCTTGTTAACTTTCATGTTCCTCTTAATGTTCATCTTCATCCTCTGCATTAAATTTCTTAATCAGATTCTTAACTTTCTTAGATTTTATTTGTCTATTCAGCATTTTATATACAATAATAATTTATAGATATAATTAAAAATTAATATTTACATCACAATTCATCTTTATCATAATCAGCATATTATAAATACTTATGCATAAAAATTCTTAATTTCTTTCTTAAATTTTTTTACATTGATTTTGCATTATTTCTAACTTGACTAGATTTTACTTCTTAAGATCAATATTAACAATAACTTTCATAATTTCTTTATCATCTTCATAATCATGTTATTATTTAACCTTCTTTTAGAATAGATTTGATAATCTTAATGGTTTTTTCTTATTTCTTAGATACTTATTATTATTGCATTTTTCTATCTTCTAATTTCTTATCTTTATTTCTCTTATCGTAACTGCAAATAAATGAAATAAACGCTGCTTAGCCTTTTGATTAACCTATGAATTAATAAAATCCTCTATCATGTTATTCAAGTTATTGAATTGCTTTTCCATATTTTTCTTATCTTGCTGTTCTACCTGATCTAAGTTACTATGATCTTCAGGTTGATCAAATTAAATAACCAAAATGAACATCATCAAAATCAAGTCCTCTAGCTAAAATATCTGTAGTAACACTATTGGTAATTTTGAAATTACTAACTATTTTTTATATCTTTTTTTAAGCCATTTATTCATTCATAATTAAATATTAGCATCAGCAAATTGCTATTTAAATATGACACTATAATAGACTACAGAAAAACAAGTATTAGAAAATATAATACTCTTTTTATTTTAACATTTTTATTCAATTAGATCAATTAATCCAGCAATTTTATCCATTCTATTTTCAAATATATGATAATAGTTTTTAATTTTGCTGGCATCTTTTCATTATAACTAATCTTCACTTATATAGATTTCTAAAAAAACATTACGTAAGTTTATTCATTATTATAAAATAAGCTAGATCTTCTCTATTTTAGTAACTTAAATAGTATATATCCTAATATTAATTTAGTATTCATTGTCTATCTACTAAATCAAATATAAATATTCCAAAATTTTGAAATCAATTTACAAATCAGACATATCTAACAATTATCTTAACTTATTAATTTTAGCTATGAGTATATTATATCCTTTTTCATTTAAATAGTTAATATCATTTTTATTATAAGTTCCAACTATAGCATAGGCAATCTTGACTTGATTTACAATTTAGAATTTCTTTTCTACATCTTAAAATTTATTATTCCAATTGTCTTGCAGATGACAATACCAAACCAAATAGTTGATTATCTAATTATTTCTATTTTGAGAATTGATTAAATAATGGAACTAAAAATATTAATGTATTTCCAGATTCTGTTTAGGTTTATACAGATACATCATTATTATTAATGAAGTGAAAAATCGATGCAATCTAAACAGGGATCAAGTACTAGAATTTAAACTTATTTGCCATAAATTTTTGAATTATTGGCTTTAAGTTGAATTGAGACCATTAATTTTATGTTGTCATAATTATTGAGAGAAGTGTATATAATAATATTCACTCATTCTCAACTGTGCTCCAATCAAAATCAACTCCTTTTTCTAAGAATTCATTTAAACGATTAGCTTTATGTGCACGAGTCATCAATTCCATTCCTTAATGATATTATTCTACACCAAATTGATATTTCTCAGTCATGTCATGAAAGGTCTATTCTACATCCCTACAGAAATAGTTTTTTGTTATTTAAAAAGACATCATTGGCAGAACTCCATATTAGAATAAGAACTTAGTTGGTTTGAATGAACTTCTTCTAAATATAGTTTTATCCAATGTCAGCATCAGACAACTCATACTTAAAAAAGCACTATATGTACGAGCTTTTTCTAAAAATTCAGCTTATTAACAATCTTGCATATCTTCTTGAGAAATCAAACCAAAGCAATTATTGTATTAATAGAAATACTTGAATACTTTTATTTTGTCATTTTCATCTAGGTAATTTTTTTTGAATTGTTCAAAGTTTGTAAGTTTTAAATTTTTCATATTAAATTTATGATTATAATCAATTTTTCCAAACTTTTATTCAAAAATCAAATAACTCGTTTTTAATTCGTTTAATGACAAACAATAATTACACAATCTTATATATTGATTACTTATAAAGTTGAATAAGTAACAAATTATATAACTAAATTGTCTCACAAAATAGTATTATATACTTATTTATAAAAAGCCTTAGATGATTTATGTTACAATATTACTGAGAACTTTGAGAGAATCCTATAAAGAATATATTTTCAATAGAATTTAAGATGTAATCAAATATATAGAACCAAATATTTTTATACATATTATATAATATTTATTTATTAAAGGTCTTAGATTTATTGAAATTTTTATTTATATCTTATTTTCTTATTAAGTATTGGAAATTGATGAGGCTATTTCAAGATATACTTGATTAATTAATATCATCTTTCATAAATGAATACTGAATTTTAAAGAGATATAAAGATATTTAGGATATTAAAGAAAAATAGAAAAATATTTGTATTATATTTAGAAATCTATTATTTAGTCTAATTATTTGTTAAACAATTACTAGTTAAAATCAATACTTAAATTTCTATGAAAATTATTTAAGATAATAAAATTGATATATAATAAATAAATAAGATATTTTTTTTTAATTATTAATTGTAATAAATCATACTTCAGGCTTAATTTCTTCTGCTTTTCTAAATATAATATATAATAATATTACTTTTTAACAGTTATCACTAAAGCCTTTTCCTCATTGAAAAATCTTGTCTTAACTGGACCTCTTGAAACTCCTGTCTTTATTGATTTAGTATAATTAGATTATATTATTCCAAATTATTTAATTTCTTCATTTGTCAATTCTCTAGGTTATTATGTTGAATCTCTAAGTATAATCAATTATCCATCATTTGTTATGAATAATGGTTATGATCCTAATAAATAATCATCATTCTTTAATGGAATCCACTAATTAATATTTATATATATATATACTTCTTCATTTAATAATTCATATCTATTGAATCTATGAACAGCAACTATTCTACATACTTCAATATTTTCAGCTTAAATTCCAAAAACTTAAGTAAATTAATCTGCTAAATCTGCACCACTTTAATTTCTACTAACAACAAATTCAAATCTTTCTGATAGATCCCATTTTTCTTAATCCCAAAATCTAGCATGAATAAATACATCTTTAGATGTTAAATGTTACCATTCATCTTACAATTATTCTATTGCTATCATTCTCATTTCTACAATTCCTTATTCTTTCAATGGTTTATCTCTATAAACTTTATTCAAACGATCAGCTATTCTTTCTCTAAGTCTAATATGTTTAGAATCTAGTTATATTCCACTTTTCTCAGAAGCCCAAATAGCTAAATCATTTATAAATTGACTTATAGGTTTATCTCCTGGAATAGAGTACTCACCTAATTCTTAAAATTAATAAAAATTCCTATCCTCATATAGATTAGGAGCAGATGCTATTGAGATTATACATCTATATTCTCCTAAGTGTAAAGGAGTACCTATATCTAAATGGATAGATGATCCTCTAACAAAATGATTAAGTCCAACTTCAATAGTCATATCTTTTAATTCTAATCCAGCTCTTCCACCTCTTCTTAAAATTAAATTTTTATGTGAAATTCCTATTTATTAACAGATTCTTTCTTTTAATTCCATCATTGTAGCTCTATTATCTATTGTACATACAAGTGGATATAAATCTTCAGGTTAACCTTCTTATATAGAAACTTAAACTGTTTTAGTAGGATCATTGAATTTAATAGTGATTCTATGTTCATCTATTTCAAATTCTTTAAGCCAATTACTATTTTCAGTTTTCGGTTCAAGATAGAAAAAACTATTCTCATAATATCCTTCAATAGGTTTATCTAAACTTAAGATTTCTCCAAATTCACCATTTCTTTTTAATATTTAATATTCTCCTTCTAATTTATATTCTTTCTTTGATTATTCAACTAATTCATGTACAAAATCATTTTTATTAATTGTTACTTTTTTAGGTTATAAAGTCTTTTCATCTAATGCTTCTAAATTTTCTTTATAAAGTGCAACTCTAAAAGTGATAGCTTATTCATTATATGGTTTCCATTCTTCATTTTATTATTTAAATTCAATAGATACACATTTATTTTATAATTTAAGTGCTGCCAATGATCTCATTTCTTTACCTTCAAAAGTATCTTAAAATTAATCAGTATATGGATTATAAATTCTTATTCTACAATTATCTCTATCTTTAATTTAAAAATGATCAAGTACTAATTATCTGAAATTAAGAAAACTTGTATTATTTTCTAGAGTAAATGTTTTAACTTCTAATTTATAATGAGCTTTAATTGTTATAGGTTTTTAAAGTGCAAATAAATCTTCTGTTTAACCACCTTATTTTTTATATTCTTCTAAATTTATTCTTTCTTCTTATAATTTTAATTAAACATATTCAGGTAATTCATTTTCTTAAAATTATCCACCCCAAGTTCCCCAAGATTCTTAATTTGGTTCAACCTTCCTATAAAATAACATATAAGCACTTCCACCAGAATGACCTCCAAATGTTTTTACAGGAATATCATCTGGATTAATATAAGTGACTGAACTATCATTAAAACAATACCATTATCCATCTTCATGAGAACGTATATAAGCAAAGTAATGACCACCCATAGCACCACCTGAATGATTAAGAATAGAATATAATTAATAAACATTTGGACCATCTTTTAAATATTATCTAATTTAATTATCTTATTCTAAAATTGAATCTTAACATTTCTTCTTAACTAATTCAATATATTTCTTTCTCTCTTCTGTTGTATCTAAAATTGGTTATTATTATAATTTGTCTTTATCTTCATCCTTATTCTTTTTTTATTTATCATCTTAAATTTAAGATTCTTATATTTAATTATTAGATTAAACTTTAGATATATCTTAATATTCTAAATCATGATCAAAGATTGGTAATGGAGGTGGTGGAGGAATATTAGTTTTATTTTCATTATTATTTGTTTATTATTAAGATTATTTTATATCTTCTTAGATTTATTAATGAATGATTTATTAAATCTATTCATCTTCTTACATAGTACCAAATGTATCAATAACATCACCTTATTATTTTGCTACTTTCTTTTATTGTTTAATGAAATCTTTTAAACCTTAATTGGGTCTAGTTACTTTAGTTGTTTTTGTAGTATGTGATGTTGATTATACTTTATTTGTAGAAGTTGCTTTAAATTATTATTTTTTTGGTTAAACCAATTCTTCAAAATACTATGGATCTGTATCTTCTGATATTTTATTAGGTATATCATCATAAGTTTTATTGTAATTATTCATATTAAGAACAAATGGAAATGCCATTTTATCATCCAACTTTTCTCTTCTCATCATTATATAATCAAATGCAAAACGATTGATATGAACATTTAATATTGATGGTAATTTATAAATTAATTATCCTCTATGAGCATCTTATTTAGCTTAACATGATTCACAAAAATATTAATTATTCCCTTCTAATTTCTCTGGTTTAAGACTTCTTTAAATAGCCAATTCCAAACTATTATTGTATACTTTACTCCATTTATCTTTCAATATGACTGTATAATCCATAAAGATTTCTTATCTTTAACTTTCATAATTGCATTTCAAACATTTTGTGTAATGAAGATATGCACCTTCATTAATATAATTATTATACCTTCATACAATTCCTTTACAAAATTACAATTCTAATCACTCTATTCTATTGCATCAAATAAAATACGAATAAATTCTTATATATCATGCTATTAAAATGCTTAATGAATATCCCATTAAAATGATTTTGTTAAATCTCTTGTATCAATATACTCAAATATTTTAGTTTGAAGTCTTCCATATAGTTTTTAGAGTTAAAATGGTATTGAATCAATCTCTTCTCCATGTATTGAGTGTTCATACTTCCATAAATACAATCCTCTACGAAATTCTGGAGTCATAAACAAAGTCTATAGAACAGAATTCATATAACAAGTAGCACCTATGTTTTATAGTCCTAAATATGGAGCATCAATTTAATATGAATTTGTTGTCATTTAAATTTTATTATTAACTCATTTCACTTGATCTTAATTAATTAGGATTAAGCACCCTTATAAAATGATTATTTATGAAAATTATTTATAAATTTACTCAACAAGTTCTTTATCAGAATAAGCAATATTCAATTCTTAAACCATCATAATTATCTATACCAAAAGAAGCATTCATAGCTAAAATAACTAATAAAGATGGTACTACATCTTTACATGATCTCAATAGAGAATTAAAATAAGATTGCACTATTGAATTTTTAGATTTCACTAATTAAGATGCTAGAAGAGTCTTTTGGCATTCAAGTGCTCATGTTTTAGGAGCTATTCTAAGTAAATTTGGAGCTGAATTAGAATTTGGACCATCAACTGAAAATGGGTAAAATTATTATATATATTATATCTATTAGATTTTACTATCAATGTAAATTGGATAAGGAAATTGAATTAGATTAACTAAATTAAGAAATTGAATAATATTTGAAATAGAAAAAGCATCTTTTTGAAATTCAAAATATATCATATGATGAAGCATTGTAATTATTCAACAACAATTCATATAAATTAAGTAAGATTAAATAAACAGCCTTATAAAATTATTAGATTTATAAATTAGATGATTTTATAGATTTATGTAAAGGTCCTCATATTGATCATACAAATCGTATTTATAAATTAATAATTAATCATTCATAACCTTACTAAAATAGTTATAGATATTAAGGTATTGCATTTCCAAATTCCAAATTATATTAAGAATATCAAAATTAGTAAGAATGTGATCATAGACATATAGGAAAACATCAACATTTATTTGTATTTAATAAATTAGCTCCTGGAAGTGCATTTTTTTTACCTCATGGAACAAAGATTTATAATAAGTTAATAGATATGATTCGTAAAGAATATAGAGAAAGAGGATATTAAGAGGTTATTACACCATAATTATTTCATAAAGATTTATGGAAATAATCTGGTCATTTAGATAAATATGCAGATAATATTTATATGACTCATGATAATTAAATGGGATTGAAACCTATGAATTGTCCTGGTCATTGTTTATTATACAAAACATTATAGCATAGTTATAAAGAATTACCAATTAGATTTGCTGATTTTGGTGTATTACATAGAAATGAAGTACATGGTACATTAACTGGATTAACAAGAGTACGTAAATTTACATAAGATGATGCTCATATATTTTGTACAATTGAACAAATACAATAAGAAATTAAAAATACATTAGACTTTTTGAGTAAAGTATATGGTCGTTTTGGATTTACTTGGGAATTAACTTTATCAACTAGACCAGATAAATTTATAGGTGATTTAGAAATATGGGATGAAGCTGAAAAATAATTAAGAATTGCATTATCTGATACACCATATACAGAAAATCCTGGAGATGGTGCATTTTATGGTCCAAAGATAGATGTTTTAATAAGAGATCATAATAAAAAATAACATTAATGTGGTACAATTCAATTAGATTTCAATTTACCAGAAAGATTTGATCTTACATATCATCATGAAAATGATAAATTTTCAAGACCAGTAATGATTCATAGGGCTATTCTGGGTTCTATAGAAAGAATGATGGCTATATTAACTGAGTAATATAATGGAAAATGGCCATTTTGGTTATCTCCAAGATAAGTATTGATAATTCCTGTAAGTGAAATTTCAAAATCTTTTGCAAAAGAAATTTATGATTAATTATATAAATTAGAATTTGAAGTGGAATTGGAGGATACTGAATAGACTTTGAGTAAGAGAATAAGAAAGGGAGAGATGTTACATTTCAATTATATTTTAACTGTTGGAGTTAAGGAACAAGAATCTAAGACTGTAGATGTTAGGGAGAGAGGAGATAATCATAAACATTAATCAATGAAATTAGATGAGTTTATAACAAAAATTATTTAATTATGATTCAAAAACCTTAAGAGGATGGTCCACTTCAGCCGTTTGATTTATCATTTCGTGGAGATGACCAAAGGTTTATGGAATTGGAAAGAGCCTAAACAGTTTAAGAATTCGTAAAGTCTATTGAGAAACGAAATTTTGAATTCGAATTTTAATATCTTAGACAAAGCACTGAGACTAAAGAACATGATAAATAACTAATTAAGACTGTTCAAGTTTAAAGATTGAATAGATACACAAATATATTACCATGTATATTAATATACTCATTTATTCTTAGTTTCACATTCAATTGTAAAACCAGAAGCTTAAGCAACGAATAAATTTAGTACACCTAGAGATAAATTTTACATCAATGCAAATTACATAAAAGGAATAAATAATGTTGAAAAACAATACATAGCAACTTAAGGACCAATTCCAGAATCTATTGATGATTTTTGGCATATGGTTTGGACTAATAATGTTGGTGTCGTGATAATGTTGTGTGCTTTATTTGATAGAGGAAGAGTATTCCTTTTGCTTTACTTAGATCCAATGCGAGAAGTATTGGCCAAGTGCTGGATAGAAGGCACAATTTGGTCCCTACGAGGTGAATACGATTTCTTAAGAAGAGGCTCCAAAGACTCTTTTTAAAAATAAGATCATACTCAAATGTTAAGATGAATAAAGAGAGATTATTCATTATTAATGGGCAGGTTGGACTGATTTTGGAGTTGTTGATAATACTTAATTTAAAATTCTTGATATGTTAGCAGAAGTTTCAAATACTGCTGGTATGTAAAATAAAAGACCAGTAATTCATTGCAGTGCAGGAGTAGGAAGAACAGGAACATTCTTAGCTATATGTCATTTAAAATAGTTATTAATTAATAATCAAGCAAAAATATCTGTATTTAGTATAGTGAGAAGATTGAGAGAGTAGAGAGCCTTAATGATTTAGACACCTGAGTAGTATCAAATGGTGTATAGATACACAATATGGTTGATAGAAAATTTGAAATATATTTGATATTTAGATAAATATTTTAATAAAATTCAACCTCTCATAATTGGCTATTAATATTTTATTTTATTTATATATATTATAAAAATTAAAAAAAAGAACAGCCGATTGAGAGAATTGAACTCTCGACCCTTTGCTTACAAGGCAAAAGCTCTAACCACTGAGCTAAACCGGCTCGGTTATTAAATATTCCACTTATTCATTTATGAGATGCCCGATTCATTCATTTCATATTATTATTTAAATTATACTTAATATAATTTAGGATATTAACATCTTGTTATGATTATAATAAAAATCACTTACTTTACACTTTATTTTATGATTAATTCCTCTTTAGATGTCTTTTAATCCTTCCAATATCTAGAATTAAATAAGAAATAAAAATAAATCTAAATTTACTATAGAATAAGTGGTATGATTAAGAAAATATCCTCTTTTCAAAGGTATTTTCACTTAGATTTGGAATATTGTCTAATATATGAATTCCTTATAAAATAAAAAAATGAAAGGAATTGATTTATTTAAATAAAAATTAATATATGACTACAGTGTCTGTGGATTTTTTGCAACAGATTACTCTTCTCGGTAAGCAATTTTTGTTAATTTCTATAGACCCGATGAATAGGAAGTAAACTATCACAGAGTTAAAGAAGGTCCTCACCAAGCCATTGCTATTGTCTGATTTTAAGAAAATTTGGAAGGCTCTCTATTATGGTATTATTTTTTTTAATTTTAAGCAATGTGGAGCTCAGATAAGTATCAAAATCAATAGATTCTTGCAACTGAAATATCATAGCTAACAAGAATGTTCTACTCTAATTTCACTGCATTCATCCAATTTTCTAGAGCCATGTTCCATGTATTTTTGGTTGAATGGGAGAAGATTGATTATTGGCGAATTAATAAATTTATGCTATTATTTAGGGAAATCATAGAAGAGTAAATAAAAATATGCAAGCATTTTAATTGGAAGACAGTTCCCTAATTAATTGCTTTATATAATGAGACTGTTTTAAATCTAACAGAATTTTAGACAGGTATGATTCAATATCATAACTCTATTAGTATAAGGAGCTACATTACACTTTATCTAAATATATGTTTAATGTTTAGCTAAACATATGAGTGATTCTACTGTTACATATGTTCAGGTTAAGGATCTTCTTGAAGGGTTCTTAGATATTCTTAAACACAGTCCAAATAAGACATTGAGAGATAAAACAATACAATATGTTTATGAGTATATAGAAGAGAAATAAGCTAATGAAACATATTTACCAGCCTTTGATTCCAAGAAATATGGGAATTATGTTTTTAAATTAGCTTCATAAGAGTAATATAATATAAAGTATCTTTTAGGAATGTCAATCCTTAAAATAGGAAAGCTCTTTATAGAGTGGCAGAGATTTTTAATTTTAAAGAAGCAGAGGAGGAATCACCTAAGATTGAAGTTGAAGAAGTTCCAAAAAAGAAAAAGTAAAAAAAAATATAAGAAAATCAATAAATGCAAAAACCATAAGAAAAACAATAATTTGAAGAAAATTATGTATAATAATAATAAAATGAAGAACAATAATTTAATTAGTAAGAAGAATAAGAGGAATAAGAAGTGATTTAAGTACATTAAAAAGTTATAAAAAAAAATGGAAAAGAAAAAGTAGCAAAAGAAAAGGAGTAATAATAATAACAAAATACAAAAGCAAATTAGAAGGAAGAGAAAGCCATATTGAAATTACATAAGAAATAAGAAGAACAAATAAATTCACATTATATGCAAGATAGTTTGATTCAAGATGAAGATACTATAGAAGGTGATGATTATAGCGAAGTTAGAAAGAATCCAAATAAATTAAAAACTTTAAAAGAGATTATGAATTCTGTTCCTGTGTATTTGTTTATGAATCCAGCTGAAAAACGCAAATACTTTAAATCTATTAATATGAAATTTTAAGAAGCTTTGTAAAAAGAAAAGGGAACTCATTGTACACACAATAAGAGTGTCCACTTTGATTTAGCTAGAAATAAAGTGAAAAGTAATAATGTGAATTTATTTTATTAGCTTTCAAATAAACAGACAATGTGCTAAGAATTTCTAAGTCATGAATTTGATATTTTATATGTATAATAAATATGGCAGAGAATGTGAAAAAAATTACTCTTAAAAAATTCACTTTAGACTTTTATTTGGCTAAAATTTGAAACGACTATTTAATTACATAAATTTACATACGCATTTACAAAAAGAAGCTTTAGTTCAATGTATTTTCTTTCTATTCCTTCTTCAGTTTCATTCATTTTTGAACATTCTAAAATAGTTTCATCATCCCTTTTACTAGGACGAGAAGAATAACTAAGCTAAGATTTACGTTTTTTTACTCCTGTTATATTTTCTATATATGAATCACGTTTAATTTATTAAATTTTATCTTAAGCTTTAATCTCAGGAGTCAAAGAAAGATTAGATTTACTATTTCTTACTCTAGAAATTGAATTAAAAGAAATCTTGCTCAATCTACTTAAAATACTAGGTTAAATTCCCAATAAAACACTATTATTGAAATCAATATCAGATATTGTATCATTAAAACTACTTATTGATTATATTCTATTCTTTTTACGATGAATTTCTGGAGTTAAAGTAGATTTTTTTTATTCAGGAGTCCTTAATAAAGAATTCATCTCTTATTCAATAGACTAATTTAATTAAGATCCCAAAATATTATTAGATGACAAATCTTCCTTTGTTTTTCTAAATCTAAAAATATTATGTAATCTTTATACATAGATGGTTTACTATTGAATAAATTGCTACTAGTACTTTATCCTTCTTTTTCTCCTTTTTAAGAGATATTCCAATCAAAAACCAATTCTTTTGGTACATAATTGTGTTCATTTTATACTTTTCTAAATAAAGATTAACAGTATTTATAATTTGGTTCTGATTTAAAAGGTAAACCTCTAACATAATCTAAATATCTTCCAAATTCAATTGGTAACCCTTTACATAATTCACTTACTTCCATCTTCATTTTCATTTAGCCTACTTACTTAATTTTATTTTCTTCTGAGGTGAACTATAAATTTTACCATGGCAATTAACCTTGTTTTTATATCAATAAATCTATATACCTTTAAGTAGAAATATCAACATATAACCAAGTGACTCCATATCATCTCTTCTACTTAAGGAATAGCCTTTATGAGCATTGATACTAGCATATCTAGTAGTCCCTATGAATGGTTATTTTTCCCTAAAAGATCTAATTTTGATTGAATTTATTGATACATATGAGATTCATTTTCATCTTTATAGAACTTACTTATGCCAAAGTCTACAATGTATAATCGACTCTCATCATCATCTTTTCCAACTAAAACATTTTCTGGTTTTATATCTCTATGCAACACTTTACTAAACTATTTCAACAATATACTTCTTATGTAAGCTTTCTAATATGTTGATCATCTATTCAGCTACATTAAGGACACATTTCAAAGAGAATTTTCTAAAAGTCTTCATGTAATGAGTTAAATCTCTTCCTAAATGTTGTATTACAAGAACATAAGATTCCTGGTCTTTTCCAGCCCAATACAATTTTGGTATATGTTATAAAGGTTATAATCTTCTTAAAATTTCTGCCTAAAATAGTAAAATCTTAATACTTCTCTTAATAAGCTTGAGTCTTCTTTATTTTCTTTATCAATCTTTATAGCAACAAAATTTCTAGTATTAATATCTTAACCTTAATATACAACTCCAAATGACCCTGCAGATATTCTTTTTTTTGTAATGTAAACATTATTGATAATTTTCTGATTATTCATTTTAGACAATAATAATAATAATAATAATAATAATAATAAGTATTGTTAAATGAAATAAACATATATATTTAAATGATCTAAATTGTAATTAAAGTATATACAATAAAATTAATTAATCATACTTATTATTCCTCATCATCATCATCATTACCTTCTGAATATTATAAATATTCTGAGATAAGATCTTCTATATTTGCACCAGCTTCAGTGAATTCCAATTCATCCATTCCTTCATTTGTATACCAATGAAGAAATGCTTTTCTTTTGAACATAGCCTAAAAATTGTTATGGATTCTTCTAAACATTTCATTAATAGCAGTTGTATTTCCAATAAATGTTCCTGAATTAACTATTCCCTTCTAAGATACATTACATTATGAAACCTTCATATTATTTGGTAACCATTAAACTTAATTTTAAGGATTCTTTTTCTAAAATTGAATCATTTATTTTTCAACTTCTGAACTTGAAAATTATCCTCTATATATACAAGCTCCACTTAAATATCTTCCTTATTTGCAGTTGATTGCACACATTTAATTTTAAGGATCAAACATTTAATCACTGACTTCTGATATTTTTAATGATCTATATTATAAACTTTGTCTAGAAGTTAAAGGGGCAAATGAAGTTGTGAAGAAATGTAATCTTGGGAATGGTACCAAATTCACACTTAATTTTCTTAAACTACTATTTAATTATCCTGGAAATCTAAGTGAACAAGTTGTTCCTGACATTGAAGCTGAAATTATATGATTTAAATCTCCATAACATGTATTCTTAAGTTTTAAAGTATTTGTACAAATGTTGTACAGAGCTTCATTATCAATTGACATACACTATTAACAGTTTTCAATTAAATGATTTACAGCAACAGCAGTATTATAATATTCTACTACTGCATCACTTACTTTTATTGAAGGAAATACAGAATATGCTTAAAATATTCTATCACAATAATCCTCTTACAATTTTGACAATAATAAAGTACCAAAACCTGATCCAGTTCCACCTCCTAAAGAATGAGTCATCTAAAATCCTTATAAACAATCTGAATTTTCAACTTGATGTCTTATTACATCCAAAACTTCATTCAATATTTCAGTTCCATTAGTATAATGTCCAATTGCAAAATTATTACCTGCTCCACCTTAACTAAAAATAAAATTGTCAGGTCTAAATAATTTTCCATATCTGCTTGCTCTAATACTATCCAATGTTCCTGGTTCTAAATCTATTAAAACATTTCTTGGAATGTATCTGTTTCCATTTACTTCATTAAAATAAACATCTAAATATTATTGAATCTCATGTTCTTATTCAATTAATTATCCATTCTCATCGATATTATGTTCTTAAGCTATTTCCTCCCAAAACTTAGTTCCTATTTGATTTCCACATTATCCTATTTATAGTTGTATAATTTCTCTCATTATTTTCTTTAATTATGTCTTAAGATTTCAGATTGTCCTTTTTATATATGAATAAATTATAAAAGAAATTTTAATTAATTACTTATCATTGCTATTTTATTAGTATATATTATATTTATCAAGATTATTATTTAATATTATTAAATCTACAATTTATATGTCCTAAATCCAAACAATTCAAACACTTTGCTTCTGGAGATTGAACATCAAAATTTAAATTGCCTTTTTCTAATTTTTATTCACAATCATAAAAAGAATGATTAAAACTCAAACAAATTAAACAATAAAGTTATTTTTCTACTTCACACATTTTCATTTCATGTCCATACTATCTACAATTCCAACAAAATTAATAATATTTATAATCGAAATAACGCTTCGACTTTTAATACTTTTTTTTATTCCACATCTTATTATGAAAGTCTTCATCACTTGAAGATAATGATTATTGAATAAGATCTGTTTCTGTATACCAATCCATCTCTTTTTTATTTAAAAATAAGTCCTTTACTTTTTACAATAATTTAGCTTCATTTGTACTTTTCTTTGTTGCATCAAATAATTCATAATATTGATTAGCATCTTGTACCTTAATATTCTACACTCCTAACTTATCTAAATTAATTACTATTATACTTATAATAGGTTGCTTTTCAAATTAAAATGCCTTATCTTCAGAATCACTACTACTATCCTCAAAAAGATGAATCATTATTAATTATTATAATTTAAATTTTCCAAAAATATGTTTCTATTTTCAATTTTATTTTTAAAAACAAAAAAGGTATACTTTTTACATAATAACTCTTAAATAATTTTCATTTTCTATCAAAGTTTTTACAAAATCAGAACTTCTTTTACATGATAAAAATTAATACATAACCTTTTTTACTAGAAATGCTATATTTATTAAGAATCATTTTTATAATTTTTAATTTATAGAAAACTTGTTAAAAAGGAGAAGATCTACAAATAATAGAGTTAAGATTCATCTATTATTCTGCATAAGGTTATAAATATCGATTAAAAAAACAAAATAATAATAAAGTTGTTTTAAATAGCATCGTAATTACTGAATTAAGTATCATGTGCAAAGGTAGATGGAATATACTCATAATTATAATGAAGCTATTGAGAATTATGAACAATTTAGAATGTACCTATATTTATACTTCTTATTATATTAAATATTTGTTTAAACTTCCAAGATATACTTAGAAATAACTATCAAGATATTCACTTCACTTATTGTTTAGAAATTACAAACTATTTTATTCAACTTGAATTCATTGGTTTTAAAAATAGAGTGGAAATTATTTAGATTGTTTAAGGTTGTTAAAAAGTATTTTATTCATTAAAAAAATTAAATAAGGATCGCAATAATACTATTATCATCTTTATTATATATTCAATATTTTATATTTATAATAAGTGGGCAATCTCGAAATATTAAATTCCGTTATTAATCAACAAAAATGAGCACATAAATATTATTATTATTAAGATATTATAAATAAATAATACTATAAAAATACATCTAATTCAAAATCGATAAATGTATTTTGACATCTTAAATTTTATGATTTCATGATAATTTAATTATAAATTAAATATGAAATACTGAAATTTAATTTAAATGATAAAAAAAGTAACATTGAAAATAATTGAAAAATTATATGGAATTAATATCTAATTCATACTAAAATAATCATTCTTACTCTATTTCTTTTTCTTCATTTTCGTTAAGGTTTTAGGAATTTTCTACTACTTCATTTTATTCAATTTTTTATTATTCTTATTCCTATTAATTTTCTACTTCCTATTTCTCTTCATTTAATTCTGATTCCAATTAAATTTAATTTTATAGGTTTTCTTCATAATTATTTTCCTTTGTAATTTATTCAGTGTTATCTATAGTTTATGTAATTTCATCTTCTTATTTTACTTATTCTTCATTTTATTCAATTTGATTAGTCTTTTCACTTTATTCTTCTAAAATCATTAATTCTTGATTTTGAATTACTTAATTTTATTCAGAAACTGAGACATTAATTTTTTATTATTCTTCATCATTTAAATTTTATTACTATTATTATACTATATTTTGTTATTCTGATTATTGAAGTTTAACTTAACTTTATGTTAATTATGTTTATTGAACCTTTTGTTAACTAAATATTTTTAAATATTTTACTTTGTAAAAGGATACTTCTTATTATTTAAAGAATTCAATACAATATTATCTTTTATTAATAAATTCCATAGAGTTTAAATAGAAGTTTATTCTCTAAACAAACCATCATTTACTGATGATTTAGGTTTGAATAAATGTTTTTGAAGAACTTTAGCAACTGATATACGGACATTTTTAATAGGATCCTATCCCAAATTTATGAAAGCTTCAAGAAAATCAACTTGAAATTATTCATATCTCATTAGTTTTTCACACATAATAACAAAACTATTTTGAATACATTAAATACCTTTATCTTTAATTGAACATATTACTATTTGCAAAACCTAAAATATTTTATTTCAAAACACTGAAATATAATTCATTTTGACTTTTTGAAAATTTATCATAAAGTTCAAATATTTATTTTGCAGCCTAAATTAAATTAAAAATATTTACTGCTTTTCTAACAGCATATACATTATCATTACATAACTTAGTTGAGACTGGGAGTATAATAGAAAATACAGTTTCAACATCAAAAACTTAAGCTAAATGTGAAATTTATTTAGCAATTAATTCTCTGATTCTCCATTTCTTTTAATCCTTCTATATAATCAATAAGATATCAATTAATGATGCTCTTTTAGATTCTTCTATGGCATCAAAAAATAATCCTAGATTTTCAACTGCACCATGTTTGATTTCATCATTTGGATCTTAAAGCAATTATTCTAAGACTTTAAGTAATTCTTAATAAGCCAATTAGGGTCCCAATAATTTAGCTAAAACATGAATACTACAAGCCAAAGGTTTTTTTACTCTCAAAGAAATATTATCTATTTATACCTTATCTTTATGATTAATCAATTTCATAAACAATTTACTAAGTTATGGCCATTTTTTATCAGTATAAACTTAGAGTACAGCTGGGAAATATAATGCACATTCAATAACAATCTATAATATATAATTGAATTTACTTCATTATCTATTCCTAATTCTCTTATGTCAGAATCATTCATTTTCAAATAGAATTCTAAGAGTTTATCATTTATATTTTCTGATCTTGTAATGATAGATATGTATTTTCCTAATTATTTATATGCATGCTATTTAACCCATTTATTTTAATCACTTTTTATATTCAATTTTATTTTACTCTAATAATGCAAGTAATCTTCCTGTAATCAAATCAAAATTTTCTGTATCTGTCTATTCAGCTAATTTAACTATAATATCAAGACATGCCTTTCTTGTTTGCCATGTTCTTTCTTCAGTTTTTCTATATTAATTAATCTAATAATTTACTTAGAAAAGAATGGGATTAATCTATGTTTTATAAAATCTTTAGAAAGAACTTTAGCAATGTTAGCCAATTGAAGAACAGCCTCTTTACGTATTGGTTATTTAGCATCATCTCCTTTAGATAGGATTTCTAAAGCTATGAATGATTCTGATAATTCAGGTCCGAAATCTGCAGCCAATTAACCAAATAACTATAAAATATATTATAATATTAACTTTAACGGCAATCATAACATTCTCATCATTATTATCATCATGTGCCATTTGAATTACTTAAGTAAGAATTAGATTTCCTCTATCTCTTTCATTTAATTCTTTGGCAACTACACTTATAGAATTTCCAGCTTATTCTTTTATCTTATTATAAATTTATTGATTACATCAAAATTATTAGATTTTAATAATTCTTATAAAGCCTTCACTACATGTTGTTTTATGAGTTCTTAACTGTTTTATTTTGTTTTCAAAAGTACACAGATTTACTCTAATTGGGCTATAAAATTTTTCTTAATTTCATCAGCATCTTCTAACTAAAAATTAAAACTTCATTTTACTATCTACTAAATTATTGTATTTAAATTTTCAATTGCAGAATCTCCTATCCATGTTAATAGTTCTCCTAATCTTTTTGTAAAAGCAAGTCTATCTTTACTATTTAATTTACCTCTCTTTGTAATGGCAATCCTTAAGCTTCATGAGTTTTTCCAATACAATTTAAGGGTTTTCATCAATAAATACTGCATCTTCCTCTCTTCTTTAAATCTATTGAACTGGAATATATTCTTCTCTATAAATTTCCTAAACAATGCTTCCTGTATCTAAATTAATAATCAAATCATCATAGATACCAACAGGAGGATTTTCATTGGGAGAATTTTACATATCCTTTAATATATATATTTATTAAATTTTAAAATGAAATTTAGCACATATATTCAATAACATGAACTTGGATGATAAATGATAAATTGTTATATCACTTATATGAATCTAATTTACTCATTATAAGAATGAGTTAATAGACAATAATTGTATATAATAATAATTTATCATTATATATTTTATACAATACATCAATCATCTTCATCATCTTCATCATCATCTTATTCATCTTCTTCATCAATTTCATCCTCATCATCATCATCCTTCAAATCTAAATAATAAGACAATGATTATGGAATTATTTCTTCAATTATTGCTTCTCCTATTTCAAGATCAGCTGTAATCTTTTCTTCCTTTTATAATTCTTCTTCATCTGTTTATGCAGGAGCAATATCATCAAAAAATTTAAAGAATGATTTTAATTTAACTTCTGTTTCAATTATTCTAGTTTAATTGGTTTTCTTATTTCTTTATTTCTTCTTTTTTATAGTCTTTGTAACATTCTTTCCTTCTTTCCAATTTATTTATGTTCCATTACATTTATAAGGTAATTCACTTTCTTCATTATTGTAAATAAATTCTTTCTCTAATACCTTGTTTTCAAAGTATTGATTTGGATTAAACTCAAATCTTAATTTAAAATCTCTATCATTATCACCAAAACTAGCAGTAATACTTTTTAAAGATGCTAATACATCTACATCTTTTTATGTAATTTTTGATCCTGTGATACCTGCATGTTATAATACTTTTGACCAATAATCAGAAATTGGTTCAGCTTCTTTTATAGTTGAATCTTTCATTTCTTCCTCAGTAGGTTATCTGGTTCCATTAGCTAATGCATTTACTTCTGATAATTCTGGAAGACAATTTTTTAAGTGATCTGTTGTTACCTTATTGACATTTTCTGCATATTATTTTTCCAAATTAGACCATTTCTTTACATAATGAATTAAAGCAACTGCCTTTGATAAATCTTCAGGCTTAAATTTTTGTTTTATAGCTTCAATCACTCCATAATCAATAATCATAAAAAATTAACCTTAATTTATTTTATAATTGCACTTATAAATTAAAGAGCATTAAATTTGTGAAAAAAATAGATTTTAATTTTATAAATATTATTAATCATATAAATGTTTTAAATTTCAATCCTTTTTTAAATTTCAAAAATCTTTAGATATTAATAGAATAATCTAATCTATTAATAAACTATGTTACAAAATATTGATTGTTCCTCATTTTCATTAACTCTAATATTTGATTATTAATTAGATACTAAAACAATAATTCTAATTTCTTAAAATCTATAAAATTATATCTACATAAGTTCTTAAGATAATTACGAGATTCTAAAGGTTAGATCAATTTTATGTTTACATATTAATTAATTTAGTTATGCGCATAATAATTCGAATATTTAAAATAATGAAAATTTTATTATTTTGCTTATGAAATTTCAAATGAAAACGAAAAACCCTATACTGATAAAAATTTACTACAATTTGATTTCCTTTAAATAAAGAAAAAGTTCATAATCTCCTTATATGATATCTTAGACAAATAAGGTAAGAAAATCCTATTTGAAATTTATTTGCTAAAGATCATCAATAAGATTGTAATGAAGAAGATCTAAAATATAGATAACCATATTACCCATCCTTTATTAACCAAACTAAATTAAATATCCTCCCCATCCTTCCAAATTTTATATACATTAATATCCACATCCTTTTTCTTATTGATATAGAACATCTATTGATTTTCCTTAATATGATGAATAACATTACTATAATCCATTGATAGTATATCAAGGAAAGGATGTAAATGTAAACAATCTTAATGCAAAAAGAAATATTGTGAATGCTATTGTATCAATTAAAGATGGAAAATTCTTTGCTAATTTGAAACTGTATGAATATACCTGAATCCCAAGATGTCTTCATTGATTAATTATAAAAATTGTTAAATCCATAAATATAGTCTATCAATCAATTTTAATAAGTTCAAGTGATGAATGATAATTAATACAATTCTATTTAAAAAAAACAAAAAAATTAAAAAAAATGAATAAAATTGGTGATCCCAATCAAGAACACCATATCGTGATAGTTAATTAATAATTACTAAAAAATTATAATGATTTATTATTAAGTGCCTCAAATCAGAGTTATAAATCTTATTTTATACTTAAAAATATAAATTAATTCAATATCAATATCTTTTTTGAATCAAATAGCTTTCATTTTAATTTTGATATTATTAAGTCTTAGGTTTATCGTCTTTTTCCTAATATTGAGAATGTGATCTTTAATATTGAGGCATACATTTTTATTGAGTATTTTAATAGTAATATGGATAGTTTACAGAAACATTTTATTATTATTTTTGATCATATCTTGTGAGTGTGTGTAATTAAGGAACTCTATAATTCTAGACATGCAAAGGAGTTCTTAAAGGTAAAGTTTTTTCATATCTATCTCCATAACTTTCAGTATGTAATCTAACTTTTTAATCGAAATTTAGAAAGATATCATCTTTTTCAGGACTTACTTCTCTTGAATCTTCTTAAGTATTTTATCTAAAAGTATAATTGCTAGATTAATGATGAGTTTAATTGCATTATAATTATGTTTATTATTATTATAAGACCTTTTATTATTATTATTATTGTAATTAGGATTATTATTACTATATTTATAATATATCTTAATAATATTATTACTTTTATAATTCTTATTATTATTAAATTATTTATTCTTAAGTTAGTTATTACTAATTTTATATTTAAGTTTGCTATTATTATTAATTTTAAATTTAAGGTTATTATGTAATTTATTATGATAATTTTTGATTTTATTGTAGTTGATTAAGATTGACTTATTATTGAACATTAGATTCCTAAGAATTTTATTTTTATTATTATAAATTTTTAATGAAATTTTCTAGTCTCTCCTTTTCCTAAGACCATATCTTAGATCTTTCTGTTAATTCATCTTTTATTTATATATTCTCTTACTATATCAATTTATTCTACTATTGAAATGTAATAATCTGTTAATTAAAATAATTTTAGAATTATTATGCAATTGTTTCTTATTATTATTCAATTTCTTTCTATTATATAATATAAACATTACCAAAAATGAGTTTCTTAATTCACTAATTTGAAGATTATAATTTTATTCTAGATTAGCTATACAAGATTAATAAGAGACCTATTCCTAATAAAGTTATTGCATAAATTATTGTTCTTTTATTTAATATTCCTTTAATGTATCAACATACTATTATTACTATGCTATTAAAACTTATTTTTATTGTTCCAATACCATACACTTTCTATGATATAAATACTAAATTACTCATTAACTGCTTTCATTTCTTCATTTCTTAAGGCAATTTAATCATTTTTTTCTAATAATTAATTGTTTAATATATCTATGTCATTTAATCGTGTTTATAGCATTTCATTAAGATTTTAGTTTTCCAATAATATTTATTAGAATCTATATTCTATTTCTTTTTTATTCTTAGATTACTCATCAATTAATCTACTACTTAATTATTCATTTGCTTAAGTTAGTTAAACTACTTTTTATTAATAATTCATTAATTTTTATTGTGATTCTTATACTAATAATGTTCTATTTGAATAATTATTTTATTTCATAATTTCTATTTCTCTCATTAAGCCAGAATTTATTTCAATTAACTTTGAATTTTCTGTAATGAGTAATTAAATTTTTGATTACATTGAGGTAAGGTTTTTTTCATTATTATCAATAGGTTATTCTATAATTCTAAAACTGGGTTCAGATTCTTCTCTTTTAATAGTTTTCCTTATTCCAATTTAATTTGTGGAATTATAATTATTATCTAAAGTTGGAGATGTTAAATTTTGATCTTATGGTTCATTAAGATGCATTTATAAAAACTCTTAAAATGATTATTTAGATTCTCTTTCACAATTGACTACTTTAAATGAATCTGACATTATTTCGAATTTAAATAAAACTAAATGTTAAAATATTTAAATTTGTAATATTGTTTAATATAATTATTCAAAACATAAAGTACTTTATAATTAAACATATTTCCTTTTAGATTATTGTTCATTTATTTTATATTGATTTATTTTATGCATTAAATATTGATATATGTAAAATAAATATTAAAGAATTCTGCTATAGAAATGTTTTTGTGTAATTAATGTATTGTATATGAATAATGTTTCAAAGTCCTAATTCTTTGAAATTTGGATTTGGTCTTGAATATTCATTGGTTAAGAAATATCTATAATGAATAACAAAAACTACTCTGGGAAATATTTCTTAGCTAATCCATAAGAAGCATTCATTCTGACACACAATTAGAAATAATTTCTTGCATCCAAACATTCAGGGACATAGGAGTCTTCAAATAGACCAAATTGATTTTTGCAATGTTGTGCCATTCTATCATAGAGATGACAAGCAAGTAATTGATTTGCCTAATTGATAATTTGATATGAATACTTTATATTCGACAAACTCAAATTTTAGATTATCCAATAATTTTACATGATTTTTAGTCAATGTTTAAAGATTGATCATATTTCTAAACATGAAATCTGTATAATAAGATTTATAGAATACCTTCTTCTTCCCAAACTTCGTTATAAATTGGCATCTGTATTAATTTAGGATATATTTAATTATGAATAAAAAAAATTGAGTATTAAAAATTAATTAAACAAATCACATTTATTTTTTTAATTTTTTATTGATGATTTAAAGTGTTTTAATGTTATCTTTGAGAAAAATAAGACTAGTTTACCATTATTCTAATATCTCCTCATTATCAAACAATAATTCAATCCTACCATCATTTTAAGTAATGATTGACATAGGCCAATATAAAATTCCACAAACAATCCTTTCTTCTTGACTTAAAATAAATTTTTTTTATATTTATTTCTTTATTAAAATACTCTATTAAATTGTCTTTGGAATTATTACTCTCATTATTTAATCTAATTACAACAATGAATCAACTTGCTAAATAATATAAAAAATAATACATTAATTCTCATTTAATTTTTAAATTCAATCTTATCCAAGTTTTATGATAATGTCATCATTCTAGGACAATATCCACAAACATTTGGATTTTAACAAGTAAATGGATCAAATTCCATCTTAGTTAAATTTGGTTTAGTGGATGTAAATCTTTTAAAAATCAATACACCTTTTTATAATGGTTTAGTAATTCTGAGTATTTCTTATTCTATTGGAACTAAATGATTTGATTTATTTGAGAGATATTAGGAATCCTTTGAATTATAATAAGTTTATCCATTATTAGTTGATACATTACAAAATAATTGCCTTTATTATATATCTTTATTTAAAGTTGAATCAAAAGATTTAGACTTTTTATGTTTTTGTATTTATTCAGATAATGAATTTTGTTCCTTAAATCTAAAAACTTAAGGTTGTTAACTCTTTTAAGTCTATGGATTTGATGGTTAATTATTGAAAAATAATGGCATATATGGAGATGGTATAGAAATTTATTTTTATGTAACTTCATTTAAGTTAGACATTTATAATTAAGATTAACCTAATCTATTAGTAAAGCGCTTTGTTTATTCAGATAGTGGAGCTGTGATATTTTAAGATGAATTATCAACAATTTTAACTTTATTTAGATTTAAGTAATTTTAATGAATAGGAGTTGTATTGATTTTGTTAGATTATTCCATTTTGGATTTCTCTCTTTTTGAACTTAATTATTCTTCAGTAATGGTTTATAATCTAATAAAATCTATTGATTAAGTTTAATTTTCGATGGGTAAATTCTTTTAATTAAAATAATTATATTATTATTATTATTATTATTATTATTATTATTATTATTATTATTATTATTATTATTATTATTATTATTATTATTATTATTATTATTATTATTATTATTATTATTATTATTATTATTATTATTATTATTATTATTATTATTATTATTATTATTATTATTATTATTATTATTATTATTATTATTATTATTATTATTATTATTATTATTATTATTATTATTATTATTATTATTATTATTATTATTATTATTATTATTATTATTATTATTATTATTATTATTATTATTATTATTATTATTATTATTATTATTATTATTATTATTATTATTATTATTATTATTATTATTATTATTATTATTATTATTATTATTATTATTATTATTATTATTATTATTATTATTATTATTATTATTATTATTATTATTATTATTATTATTATTATTATTATTATTATTATTATTATTATTATTATTATTATTATTATTATTATTATTATTATTATTATTATTATTATTATTATTATTATTATTATTATTATTATTATTATTATTATTATTATTATTATTATTATTATTATTATTATTAATATTATTATTAATATTAATAGTATTATTATTATTACTACAATGGTAAATTACATTAATTATTTTTAGACTTTTCAGATTAAAGTAATGTTAAATTTAATTCATTAAAATGTTATAATAAGGAATCATCAGCAGATAATTAACAAGCTGATGAACACTTAGAATTATTCTCTCCATCTATACTGTTTATTTGTAAATACTATTGTAATTAACTAAAGTGTAAGGAATCATCCTTATTTAAGTGACTACTTAATACTTTTTTTGTTTATTTATTTATATTGCTTAAAATATTAGTACAACTTTTAAGTTAAGAATTACTATTATCACTTTTCTGATCTTCATTATCATTATCTATTTATGATAAACAATCAAAACCTGTTAATATTTCATTATATATTTCTTCAGTTTTTTATTTATTTAAGATTTCTTATTAATATAGATCTTTTTTCATAGTAATTTCATTCAATTATTATTCTAATTATTAATTTTCTTATTCAAGAACTTCTACTCTTTTTAATAATTGAAATTTAGATTAATCTTCTTCTAAAAGATTATTTCTAATATTTTAAACTTATTATTTCTTTTAATTCATTGTTTATTTTATTATATAAATATCTTCATTTAATGAATTATCAACATATTCAATATTTAATTGAATAGCTTTTTCTAATTTCTCATGATTTCTTATTATCTAAATTATACCTTAAATTTTTTTATTATATTATTGTGAGATTAATTGATTAATCTATTGCTCTTATTCTTTAAGAACCTATTGATACACATCATTCCCATATTAATTCTTAATATTCTCAAATTAATGACCTTATATTTAGAAAATAATACTTTACCCCATTATTACATATAAGTTGTCATAGCAAGTATTGTTTCTTAATTGATTTTCTCTTTTAATACTTTATGTTATTATTCTCTATCCCGTATCAAATCTGCTGTATTACCTGTTAATTTAAATGATGATGATTTTTTTAACTATTAAATTTGTAGGTCCAACTATTCTATTTTAGTTGCAAAAGTAAACTCAAAATTGCTTTATATTTTATGGAATTCTATTAATTCCTCTAATTCTTCCACTTAACCTATTAATTCGGCTCTTTACAATAACTTCCCATTCAAGTCTTCCATCAACATTGATGCTTGCTCTTACAAAATTTATTAATCCTAAATTGCTTATTTATACATCTTATTTAAACTTCCAACAGTTCTATCAATCTTTTTTTAAGTATTTGGAATAAAGGTGGATTAATAATTTGAATTTTCCTTATTCATAGTATCATTAAGCAAATCACTAATCCTTGAATTTCTTCTTGAAATATCTCTTGACTTACATTCAACATACAATAACGAAGGCTTTTTGGATTTATTATTAAACATAATGCAATATTTTAAATAATAAATTCAAATACAAATTATATACTGTTACTTTGTAATATATATTATTATTATTAAATATAGTATTAATATACTCTAGAATTTATGTTCATTTTAAATTAACATATACAGTTCTCTCCTTTCCATTTCTCAAAACAACCATTACATGACTATCTACATTTTCTGTTACTCCCAATAATTTTGTTACATCTTTACCATGTTATATACTCACTCCATCAATAGATTTTATTATCTCTCCTAATTTTAAGCCAGCTTTCTCTGCAGGACTATCAGAATTTATTTTTATTATAAAAGCACCTCCTTAATCAGAAGTTTTCAAAGTTAATCCCAAATAAGGTTTAACAACACTCTTTCCATTTTCCAATCCTTAAAAATATTAAGATGGCACCACTTACGTCTTATTTCTAAATTTTCCACTTATTATACCTAACAAATCACCATTCTTATTTAAAACAGGACCTATACAATAATAACATTATTTCTTACTTCCTGGACTAGAATTACATCCATTCATCAAAATAAAAGGGAATGTTTAATTTAAAGCTTCCTCACCTACTAATCGTATATCTAATGTAAAATTGCTATCAGTAATAGGACATTATTGAAACTCTTTTAAGCCTTATTCATCTGTTCCTAAAACATAAGCATTCTATCCTATTTCATATTTTGAGAGATTAAATTAAGATTTCTATTGTTATATTTTTAAGATTGCTATTCCTTCTTCTACTTTAACTATTTCATAATTCTATAGCTAGCCATTTATTTATGCTGAGATTTATGGTTATTAATTTTCGAATACTTCAGAACTAGTAACTACAAATCCATTTTTTAAAACAGCTCCTTATCCAATTATTCTTCCATTTAGAAAGAATTTAACAATTGAATTCTAAGTTTATTTATTTAAAATCTAAAAGATTTCTTCACTTTGATTCTTTCTACTTCCCCAATATATAAATGAGGCTGTTGAAAATAAGGCAATCTTAGTCATATAGTTTTACTTAAGAATTCTAGAAAACATAAAATAATAATATTGATTAAAAAAAAATTATAAAATATATTTTAAATATGTTTAGTATTAGAATAATATTCAAATCTATAAAATTAATTTATTTTAAAGACTTTCTCAATTTTAGTTATAATCTAATTTATTTAAAATAAGAAAAAGAAGTAATTTCATTTAGATTGTACCTTATATAATCATTAATATTAGTAATTGATATAATTTTATAATATTCTAATATTTGATGTTTTCTAATACTTTCTCTTAATAATATACACTTTTAGTAGTTTTTATTTTAAATGCTATTAAAATCTAAATGAATAATTATTTTTTAAATTCTTATTTGTCTTTATTCTTATAGATTATTATAACATTTTGTTTTTCTTAAATTTGAAAGTTTGTTTCATATATAATGTTAAGTTAGAAAATCAATTAAAAATGATAAAATTGAAAACAAAATTACTAGAAATGATAAGAATATAAATCTTTTAAATTTTCTAATTTAAATATTTCTTATCTAAATACTTGGTTAAATTTCCTAAGACTAATGAAGAAAAAAAAGTTAGTACCAGAGAAAAATGGTAAAATTTAGGAATATCAAAAATAATTTGTAAAAGGTGTAAATATAAGAGTTTAATTTATCATTAAAAGATGTTTAATTAATATCAAAGATCTTACTTATAATTTTATAATGAGATTTTTGGATTTTTTAGAGTTTATTTAAATTAAAATGATTATTAAGGTTTTAGTAGTATGAGAATATTGCAATAATACAAAGAATATAAATAGAAGATTTAATTAGAGCAGAGTGGAAGCATAAAGAAAAGTTCTAAAGGGGTAAAAGAGTTTGTTTACATTCAATAGCTATAAATATTCATTAATATATTTATTAGATATTAAATATTTTAAAAATGAAGGCTCTATTCTGTTTAGGAGTTGGAATGTTGATGACCTAATAAGACAACACTGTTCATGCCTGGTTGTACAGAGATGATATTGGTGCCTTTTGGGGTATCAAGGGATATGAAGAGCAAGTGACAGAAGTGGGTACACATAGAGGTCATATGTCATGGCCATAATATAGATTTTTGGGTACATTCGATTCTGCTAGTGTTAGAAGAGGGTATATAAATTAGTGATAGTTTAGATTTCTTGTTTTCTCAAGAAACTGTGGTAATTGTCATGGTATTGTGTATAAAAAATATGATGTTTTATTGGATAAAGTTTACAAGCAATTAGAGTTGGCTGCATTAGTAAGTAATTTTACAATTCATCCTGCTCATCATCACTTTAAACAATTCTACTATTAGGAATGGGATGAAAGAGATAGATATATCCATGACAGTAAGAGATTAATATAATGATTAGGAATCTATCCTCCCTACTTCTCTTAAGATCAAGCCAAAAATGCCAATGGTGGAGTATGGCCAACAGACTTTTCTAAAATCAGACTTAGACCAGGAGGTGTCAACTATATTTATAACATTTTGACTGGATATCATTATAAGCCATATTAAGGTTTAGATGTTCCAAAAGGAAAGGCTTATAATCCTTATTTTGATCATATGATTATTGGTATGGTCAGATAATTGCATGATGGTATGATTTGAATTTAATTATTAAGGACTTGTTGATTATGAGGATGGCACTCCTGCATCAACTCCATAAATGGCATTTGATGTCACTAATTTCATCCAATTTGTTCAAAGAAGAAGCGGTTTTCAAAGACCAGACAAGACTGTCAGATATTATATGTTCTTGACAGGTGTTGCTTTAATTTATCCATTTGCCTATTTGAAAACAAGAGGATTTTACAGAAACAATCTTTCCCTCAGGTATCTTTTCATCATAATCCTTCAGATGGGAAATGTACGCAGTGAGAGATGGCGTTTATTACAATCATTTCAAAAAGGGATGGAAGAATTCCAGAGCTATTCAATTCAGAGGTCAAGTCTGGGCTTGATTTATAAACATTATTCACAAAATATTACAAATATTATTCTATGTACTCTATTATCAATTATTTCATGTCTCTATATCAAATTCAAATTTATTTAATACATAATAATCGCATCTTCTAAAATGCAATCACTTTTCGTTAAATGTCAAAAGTGTCAACAAAGACCAGCCACTATTAAATGTTCATAGTGCAGATATGGATAAACATATAGACTCTGTTATTCTTGTGATTCACAAGTCCATAATAGAACTGGCCCTATTGATCAACAACACAAAACTGAAATAATTCCATATTAAGGTATCATCTTTAACTTGAAATAGAAATGTATTTAAAAAATTAAAGCTTTGTTCCAGCTCCTTCTTAATCTGAATAGAGGAATTCTCAAAAAAAAAATGATTTCAAAGCTTAACCTCCAACTAAGGATTATTTGGGTTATGATACTAGAAAACAGGATTATTCTAAGACAATTGAAGTTAACAGAAAACCTGAATATGTTGAAAAAAAACATGATTATTTGGATAAGAAATTTGATAGCCATGATAAAAGATATGATCAACAACACCAAGGTTTTGACAAAAAACAATTTTCTTCAAACTCAAAGCCTTAAGAATTTGAAAAATCCAATTAGAATTTAATTAACTAATTAAAAGAAGAGCAATAATAAACTGATAGATTAAGGGCAGAATTGAATTTAGTTAAAGAGAGAGAAATGGAATTCTAGAAAAGACTGTATTCTAATATTTATAATAATATAGATCAAAGTTAGAGTAAGATTATGAACAAAAACATAAGGAAGATAGATAAAAAATATAATAGGTTTAGGATGAAAATAAAAATTTACATTAAAAACTCAATTAAGTTAATAAGCATCTTAATGAGGAATCAAATAGAGTTAGATAGTATGAGTAATAAATTAGAGATCTTGAGTAAGCTCTTAATGAAAATGTTTAAGAGTAAAATCATGTATCAATTTTTATTTATTAATTAGGAAGAGATTTAATAAATATATGAAGAATCAAATATGAAAGACCAAATTATAGAATAATTGTAATAGTAGCTTCAAGATATGTAAGCACAAATTCAATAAATGGCAGAAGAATAATAAAATAACAGCAGAAATACTAGAAATTAATTATCTTCTAATAAGAAACTATCAAAAAGTTAGGATAATGAAAAGGATTTAGTGATTTAAGAATTAAATTAGTAATTAGAAGAAAAAAATGAAGAAAATCATAAATTGGAAGGTTTTTAATTAATTCATTAATATTTTAGACTTGATTGAAAATTTCAAGCAATTATATCAGCATATGAATGAAGAAAAATCTTAATTGTAAGAGGAAGTTGAGAAATTAGCAAATGAAAATAATTAATTTAGAGAAATATTTAGTGTAAATAATGTACTAAAATTTAGTAAAATTTGCATCTATTTGGGATCGATCCAGAGCAACTTAATGAAGAAGGAGAAGGTGAGTATCCTGAAGAAATTGCTGAAGAGAATGATGATCAAAATGATTGAAATTTATCTGTTTCATTTATTACATATTCTTTATGAAAAGTAAGGTTTCCATTTATATATCAACAATTAGCTATATTTTTTCTAATTGAAAGTTAAAAATTAATTCCAAATAATTATAAAATGAATAAATACTCCCTAAGATTTGACAATCCTAAAATGGAAGAACTTTATTTTTAAGATCAATATGAAGAATTATTTAATTTTTATACTTGGGCTTGCTGTTTAGGTACTATAAGTGCAATATGTGTTTTTACCATGGAATTTATTGTTCCATTTGGGTTTGGTTTTTGGAAATATACATTGATTATTATTCCATTAGGCTTTGGATTCAGTCATAAATTAATAAAAATGTTTCCCTAATATTTTAATTATGTTTTGGCTATGATGAATATTTCCTTAGGAGGATTAATATTCATTCTACTTTATTTTTTTTCCAACTCTAATTTACTATTTTTGGCAGGATAAACCGTCGCAATGATTCAATATAGTTTGCTTTTGGGTTCAAATATTATTACAAACATATTAGTTTTGTTAATAAATTAGATAGGATTGATGATATTAAGTTCAATAGTTCAAAACTACTTTAATTCATTATAACTAATGTTTATATTAGCATTGGTGCTAGTGCTAAAATCAATTTGGAGTAGTGAAAAGATGAAAAGATCATTTTTTTTATTGAAGTATCAAAACATTCAACTTCATAAATAATTAGACAATGTATTTTAATTAAAAATATTAAGATGTAAATTTGATAAAAAATTAAATTAAATAAAGTTAATAAATATTAATAAACAAGCTGAAAAAATAATTTAAGATTAAAAACAATTCATTTAATTTATTAGACAATATACTATTGCTTAAATTAGATCCCTCTCATAACCAATTCAAATGTTTACAAGTTAACGTCATATTTAAAGAACATAAACATTAGAATAAGTACTTTACAGTATGCTGGTAGGAGATGATAAAGAGAAATCATCTGAAATTTATTCTGAAGTCACTAAAATAGCATTTAGAATTTGTATATATAAAATTATAGAAAAAAATTAAGTTCATTTAATTGTGTTACTTTAAGAAGATTCAGAATATTAAAAGATATTAAAATTAAATAAAGAAGTAAAGAAAAAGAATCGCAATCAGAAATTATTAATGACATGTCTTGAAAATGCAAAAAAATCTTTATAAATATTAAAGTATCTGACAATAGAAATTATTGAAAAAAAACAAAAAATGCATTAAAATTCTTAAATGAACATTAAAATTATTAAAATACTCTCTATTTCTTAAAGTATTTTATTTAAATCTGTTCATGGTTATTATAATGTTCTTATTCTTAATAAAATGCAACAATAATTATAAGAGATCATATAATTTGACATAGAGATGTTGTCTAATGATGTAAGAAAACTTAGAAGTGTATTTTGCAACATAAAATAATTGCCTATTAATTATGAAGGTGATAATTTAAAATGTGAATCAAATTATGTATTAACATTATAATTGATTCTGAATTTACTTCAAGATTCATTTTGTGATAGAACTTATGAAAATGTTTTGATTAAAGTAGATTATTTATATATTTATAGACTTAATTATAATAACAAGAAAAAACTAAAGTGATTAACTATAAGGTCTATCTATTTATTAATGAAAAAACTGAGAGAGTTTGTATTCCACTAAATAGAATTATGATCAATTAATTTAGTTAACTCAAGAAAATAAACAAAAAGATAATGGAAATTATTGGATGGAGTAATTTAATAACGATAACTCAGGGAACAAATTTTGACTTAATTGAATTTTGTCTTTTACATTCTCTTAAGGAGTTTAAAGAAGCTATGAAAAGATGATTGATAAAATGATATAATTTTGACTTTTAAAAATATATATTTAATACTAAACTAGAATTAATGAACATAAAAGAACACCAAATGAAATTTAGATAAAAATAAAAATATTATAATATCTTTGTGATTTTGTATGATAATTTTGTAATATTCATATCTTAAAAATTTTTATTAATTAAAATAAAATGTCTAGAGCTATACGTAGATATGTGAATTCAAAGGAGGAAATGGAATACAATAGAGGATATAGTGCTGAAGAAATGCAAGCAGCTAAATTGAGAAAAGCTTTTGTCTAAAAATATATAGCAGATTTTGATACAAATTTTTACAAGACTTAAGAAGAAAGAGATTGGGGATATGTAGTCAGAAGAGAGTAAAGTTTTTCATAAAGATATCTAGGTATCGATATGATGTGACATATACATCACTTGTTGATGGATGGGCATGTGCTGCATTAGTTTCAATGGCTAGAATGTTTTAGACAAAAAGATTTTCATGGGCACCTTATTTTGTTGTTTGGCCTATTGCTTATCTTTACTTTTAGCCAATTTAATTTTTGAAACATAACAAGAAATATTTTGATATGTGTAATTTAGGAGAAACTTATTATCTTGGTAGAGAAAGAAATAAGGTTCTGGCTGAATGTAATAGAATCTTGGATAGAGAAGATTTCTGATCTTTAACATAATATATACAAATATAATAATATTAATTTATAATTTTATATTATTTATTTATTCATTCTTTTTAAAGAAACCTACGAGCTTCGGTTTCAACTAATTTCTACATTGAAATATTTGAATGAATATTTCTTAAGTATTTATTTTTTTGAAGAATTTCCTCAGCTATCTTTTTAGCAATGTTTTCTAAATTTATTTCCTTTTTTTCTGGATTTTTTTGAAGCTAAATTTATTTATTTTATATTTTACTTATTCTTCTTCTTAAATAGTAACATGCTTTTTATTAGGTTTTTGAGTAGCATTATTATTCTATTTTAATGCTTTCTTTGCTGCTTCTTTTTATGTCAATTATGGATTCTCTATACGTATTTCTTCTATTCTCTTCTTTAAAGCTTCTACAACCGTTTTAACCTATTATTAATAGTATTTATACTTCTAAATCATTTATATATTACTCGTAATCTAAGTTTTTAGTAAAATCTAATAATTCATTTAATTCTTAATCATCAATTATTTCATCCCCTAATTCATTATTATTTGCTTATAAATTTTATTATTCTTATTATATTTCTTCTACTTTAGTTGTTTTATTTTGCAGTTAAGATGCTTATTGTATTTATTATTCAGTCTATTAATTTTATTTGTCACTATTTGATCTATACCTATCAGGATGTAAGCGAGATTGAACTTAAGAACAATGTAATGCAGTTTTTTTCTCTTTAACATGCTTTTGAAAATTTTAAAGCCATTCCTTATGCTAACTCAATATTGGTTTAATTTCTTAATAGATGAAACATGATAAATACATTTAATGGGTTAATGAATTTACAGTTACTTAACTGGATTGTAACCGAGAGGTTCAGCATGTGTTACTCTTGATACAAAAGGTCTACATATATATTAATATAAGTTTACTTATGATAATCTAAATTAATAGATGCTTGTGGTCTATTACAAAGCATTATCCCTTTATAATGTTCCATCATTTTTTACAATAATATTTATAATTTATTTTATTAATAACAATTTATCAATAATCTATGTTCATACAAATAGAAATTAGTTCATCAATAATAATTAGAATATAATGAACAAACTTATATATATTATAAGATGATTTTTTAAAAATAATAAAAAGTAAATAGATTTATTAACAAAGGAATAGAATTTTATGATCTCTTTGATTGAAAATGGAGCTAATTGCAATGATAATTAAGATTTTTTATGAAAAAATAGATAAATTAACAAAAAATATTTATAATGATCTAAAATATTAGACTAAAATAAGATCTCTTTATAATTAACTATACTATGTTATATGAAAAAATAAAATAAAGTTGAATCAATCCTTTAATTATAATTCTTGCAATTCTTTTTCAATTTATTAATATTCATTAGCCATTTCCTAATTTTAAAATCTGAATTCTTCTTCAAATGTGTCCAAATAATGTATTAATTATTATTTCTATTTTTCACTTGCTTCCTTAATTAGATTACTAGATTACTTAGATTCTGCTATCAATAACTCTTTCCAAATCATCCATCTTATAAGACTTACTTTTTTATCGTTGATTCTTCATAGCAATAAAATGTGTCTATGCTTATATTGGACCCTCTATGTTTGCTTTTAAATTTTCTCTAAACTTTTCTATTGCTTAAATGCCATACTTATCAACTTAAAATTTGAAATCTTCTAATTTCTAATAGATTTGTAAATACTTACTTTAGTAACAAATTCTAAATCTTATTATTTACATGTCCTTTACAAAATGTGATCATTTACAACTTGTGTTGATGATTCAAGTGTTTTTTTCAATTCAACATCAATGTCTCTTAAAAAAGTCAAATAAATTTAGTACATATTTTAAAAATAATAAATATATTATCAAATATTTCTCACCTTTTGTTCAGTGATTTTAGTTCCTTTTTTAGCAGCTTCATAATAAGATCTTTCAACTTCAAAATAAATTTAAAATCCATCAACTCTTTCATTATTTAAGAGTTATTACACCCATTTCTTCTATCCAAAGAAAAGTTTACCTAGTTATCTACCTATACCTGAGTGTTGTAATAGATCATTAAAATCTTTAAAACTGTCATGATACCTAGGATTTTATTTACGTTTAGAAATGAATTTTTAAACCACTGGACATTATATGGGTCCTACTTCGGTTTCAATCCAATTTCTAAAATGTCTACCAAAGGTATATGGCACATTCTTATATCGGCCTTGCTTTTTCTTTTTTATAGTTGGACATTTCTTTGCTAATGTATTAGGATCGGTGTCAGCCTCAGCTTAACACCAGTGATCGGTTAGCTAAAATTCAACTTAATCACACTCACTGTGTTAATATAGCTGCTCTTCTTCACTAAAACTATCTCTTCTCAGTAATGGACACATTGCCTTCATTTCAATAACTTAAATTATTGGTTAATAAAATCTTAATTAATAAATCATTTTAATATTATAGAGGCAAATTATAAACAGTTATCTACATTATGTGAATAGTTTAATATAATCAAAATTAGATAAAAAGAAGATAAACAAATCTATATTAAAGACTATAATGATTCAATTAAATTAATAAAGAGCAAAAATTACAAAATTGCAATAGTTTTTAGATTTAAAGATAGTAGAAGTATATGAATTTTATGATTTATAAGAGATATTTAATATTTTCTATTAAAATTTAAATAAAATCAATAAAAATATTTGTATAGATTAAGAATCATTCTAATTCAGATTTAAATATCTTATTCAATCTTATATTTCTTTTCATATTATTTTTTCTTTTACCTAGACAATCAGTTCCATCATTTTCTTCTTAATGAACACTCATAAACTCATTAAAATGTTATTTAAGTGGTTTTTTTAATATTTTTTCCATTTCTCTCATTGTATGTAATGAATCTTTGTTTTCCATTCTAAAAAATGTTTAAACTGCTTTAGTATTTGCTTGAAATTCTCTAAGTTAATCAATACTTTTATGAAAATAACTAACTTATGGTTATGATGATTAATTAGTTTTAATAGGTTGATCTTCTTTTTCATTTTCTATTGGATTAAGTAAAATATTTCTTGAGGTTGATATAATTTAATGATCACTTTTTCTCTTAGGTGCAATAATTCTTTCAGTATTACTTTATTATTATTAAGATGATAAAAATTCTTCTGATTTTTATTTTAGTAATTTACTTGGAGTGAGTTGAGGAGTATTAAGTGTAGTAGATGAAACATTATTACTTGTTTGATAATTACTTTCTAATTTCTCCATTTTTTTAAAATTATGATTTGTATGATATGATTAAGGATGTAATAATTCTGGAGAGATGGATGCTGATTTTGGACTAGAGACATGAATTTATTTGAGTTATTTAAGTTTTGTTGATTTAATTAATTTATTAGCTTATTAAGCATAAAATTTTGAGTATTCTTAATGAGGTACTTTTTCTTTTTTTTCTATTTATATACCTTTTTGTAATAGATATTTTTTTAAGAGTTCAAACTTTTCATTAACTGATAATTCATTATTTTATTATTGATGTCTTTTTGAATTAAAACTTTTGATAGTTTCCTTATAAAAATCAGAGGAATCATTATTAACATCCTATAAAAAATTTAAGTTATTGATTTAATCAAGTACTTAATTTTTTGATTATTATCTTAAGTTACGTTTATTGATTGTTTCTTAAATTCTATGTAAATTATGATGTGTTTCAAGTGTCATAGAAGATTCTTATACCATAGTTGCAATTTCATTTGGTGAGAAATCTAATTAAAGTATATCAAGGATTAGATTTTATTTTTCTTCATCATTTTCTATATTGTTTAGCATATCAATTTCTAATTCCAATTATTTAGAGATTGCAATAATATGGTTTTTTTCATCATCTTCTTTTTTGAAGAATTATCTAAGTTTTGCTTATTATTTTAAATGTTAAATAATGATTTAAACTTATTTAAATTGAAGTGGATTAAGTAATTTCAGTCTTTTAGTTAGATCAACAAATGTTTTAATTTTTTACATGGATTTCATAGTATGTTCAAATCTTTTTTAACGATTTCCTAATCTAATGTAAATGAAAAGAGATATACAGATTCTTAGCAACTTAAGGATTTGATTGGAATAACATTTTTATGTTTTAATTAGTATTTATTATTTTTTGTATATATTATAAAGCAGTTATCATGTAAATGGAATTAAGAAAATACTAATTTATAAAATATTGACATATGAAAACATCAAATTGAATATGGATTTATCTACTAAAGAATTTATGGATTGAATGTTTAAAATTACCATGAAGATGGATAATGAGATGGCTAATGTTGAGGTTGATGTGGATGTGCATGTTAATTTTGATGTTGATGTTAATTTTATGTTTGATGCTAATGTTATATAAATGGTTATTAAATATGTCTAGGTCCTGTTGCATTCCATCTTCTATAAGGATTGTAATTATTTCCTTTATTATTTTAATCAACTAAACTTCTTAATTCATAAGGAATATCATTTTAGGATTCTCTAAGAATCTCAACTAAGTCTTTGGCCATTCTTGCATCTTCATCTGAAGCAAAGAATGAAATCGATTGACCAATAGCTCCAGCACGACCTGAAGAATAGATTGAAAGTGAATACCAGTTCTACCAATTCTGTGTACATAATCTTCGATTACTTTTGGCATATCATAATTTACAACGATTTCAATATCCTTTATATCTAATCCTCTTGATGCAACATCTGTAGCTATAAGTGCTGTAGATCTTCCATTTCTAAAATGACTCATTACATAATCCCTCTCCTAAATATTTATAATATCATATTACGCTCTACTTCTTATCTCCATGTAATGCGAGACATCTAATACCTTCTCTATCTAGAGTCTTTTAAAGTTAATCGCATCCCTTCTTGGTGGAACAAAAGATCAATATTTTTTTGTGTGCAATGTCCTTCAACAAATAGAGCAACCTTAATATATTCAAATAACAAAGATATTGATGATCTTGTATATATATTTTGATTCATCAATAGTTTGATTATACCTTTAATTCTTTTCAATTGCTTTCATCACGTACACTATTTATTTAATCATCTTATTTGATGTTAGTTCCACATTTCCTATTTAAATGTGAACTGGCTCTTATTTACAAAAGTCAAGTGCTAACTTTTGAACTTCTTTTGGCCAGGTCGCAGAAAAAAGCATAGTTTATCTTTAAGGACGGATTTAATCAACTATCTTTCTAATCTGTGGCTCGAAACCCATGTCGAGCATACGATCGGCTTCATCGAGTACGAGGAAACTAACCTATTTGAGGGTGGTACAACCCTAATCCAATAGATCAATCAAACGTCCTGGACAAGCAATCAAAACTTAAGGGCCTTTACGCAATTGACTTTTCTGTATATAGCGATCTTGTCCTCCATAAAGGCATGCTGCATAAAGTTAAGATCCCACTGAAAACTTTTAGAACTGATCATATATTTGCAATGTCAATTCTCTGGTTGGAGCCAAAATTAAACATTTGGCATCATGGGATCTAGCTTATGCCAAAATGTGGACAATCGCTGGTAAAAGGAAGGCAAGAGTTTTACCAGAACCCGTCTGCGCTATTCCAATGAGGTCATGTCCAGTTAGTGCAATCGACCATCCTTGGGCTTATATGGCAGTGGGTCCTTTGAAACCGGCCTTCAACAGCAAGTCCATCAATATCTGTGGGAAACATTAAACATCCTCAAATCTCATGATAGGATCTGGGACATTTACATGTTGAGATCGAATGAAGATATTATGTTAGGCCCTATATTCTTTGATTGTCTCTGCGCTTGATATGGATTAGATGGGCTTCACTATTAGAATTTGAATTTGTACATTCATAAACACCTTCTTGATAGGACTCGATGAACGTGGGCGAGGTGATCTTGAACGACGACTATGATGTGCTCTTCTTCTTCTTGAATGATGACGTTCTGACGATGAATCTGAAGATGAAGAAGAAGAACTTGAATGTCTCCTGTGTTTCTTACTATGCTTCTCTATACAAATTCAATTTTAAAGCATTTACTTCTGTGGCTTCTACTAGAGCTGGAAGAATGTCTTGGCATTATTTTAATAATTTAAATTCTATAATATCATCCAATAAACATCACTTCATAAATTCCGATAATTACACTCTACTGAGAGTGAATAATTAATTAATAGTTGATATATAATATATATATTAATATCAATGTTTGAATTAATTTAGAGTAGCTCTTATACTTTCTTATTTTTGACTAAACAAAATATCCTTAAATTCATGATGATGTTTTAAATTGTAAGAAATGGCACTCCCTTATTCTTTCAACATACTAACATGATCTTCAAGGTTTTAGGATACATCTTATCCTATTTAATCAGACTAAATCTTCCAATTATTGTTAATTCCAAAAAATACTAAATCAATGATAAGAGCCACTAATAAAATTATAAATAGCAAAGTAAGAGGTATAACAGCACTTAATTTGTATAATAATTTATTTGAGGCATCATTCCAATTTTATGAAACTCCCATACCATTCTAAGTATAAATGTATGGGTAACCATAAATTAATACACTAAAAATTAAATGTAGTAAAAGAAAGAAATGGGTAAATTTCAATGTGATAATTCCTACAGATTTTAATTGTTCCTATAATTTTACCTATTATTTTTCATTATAACAATGATATTTTAATAACATATTCTTATCATAAATATATTATAATCCTATTTGTATTGCTCCTAATAGTGGTAATAGAGGTATGCCTGCTGATATAATTGTTGATAGGAATATACTAAATAATAATTTAGCATATCTAAGTCCAGTCTTAAAAGTTGGATTACTATTGATTAATGGAGAATCACGTCTAAATGATTTTCCTGTTTTGATATCTAAATTCTATCTTGATTGAACATTATAATTTACACTCTCATCTAAATTTAATAAAAAAAGAGTTTAATGAGATTAATTATTATTAGTATTATTATTTGCAGGAGTTTTTAATTATCCAGTCAATCTTTATCTTTCTTCATCATTTTCATCTGTTAATAAAGAACCAATTAATTATAATTCTTCCTAATCTCTTATTCCACCAATTATACATCTACATCCTGATACAATACTTAAAATAATCAATTTTAGAGTATAAAATATTGATACCCATAAAAATATCAATCCATGATTAATAATCCATTTTCTATCTAAATCATCACTGAAAATTAATGATTTTTCTATTGATGTATAACTTTAAATTACTAATACAATATTTCCAATTGTTTCCCATGAAATTAATATTGGTACCAATAATGTATAACATATCAAATAGACTATAATTCTAATTAAAATAACTTTTTATTCTTAAACTAAATAAATTTATTTTTCTTTATTAATGATTAATTCCAAAAAGATCCATCCTAATATATCTGCAATAAATATCCAAAATCCTGTTATTATATAATAAGCTGTTCTTGTAAAATCATTATCCAAACAATATTCAGTACATTTGACTGTATTGTTTCTTGCATTCTTCAAAGCCATATTTTCAAATACTATCAATGGTGCTAATAATATTATTGCTACGACCAAATGCATAAGAATTATTTAAATATTATTTTTTTCTTAATAATCCATATTTTCCCATTTAATTTCATTAGGATCAGGTGCTTCTGTTACTCTTATAGTATATAAGCCTCTAAGTTTTAATTCTTAAGGTTAATTTTAAAATAAATAAATGCCATTCCTAATTAAACAATCTTAATTATATTTCTCATAAAATAGATCACGATCAACTTTACTCTTAAAGACAACGAAAGCCTTTATTGATTCTAAGTCATCTGGAGCTAAGAAGATATTGAATTTCTCTGACAATTCTTTTGTAATATCTTTTAATTCATCAGTCAATACTCTGATGAAATCTTATCTTACATACATATCTGCTTATGATAATCTCTTAGAAAATACTTCTAACTTTTTCTTTTCTAATCTGATCTATCTCTCTTTGAATGCCTTATTCTTCATAATGCTAAGAGTACCCTAGAAATTACGAACTAAATATATCTCATGTGTATTAGATTAAAGAATGGAACGTAAATCTTCTGGATCAATTGTAGCTGATGGAAATCCATTTATTTCTACACTCCAAGGTGAAATACTAGAAATTTTAAATTATGAATCTTTGTTGATAGCATTGTATCGTAAATATATTAATGACAAAAAGTAAAGAAGTGTTCCAATTGCATCTCCTAAGACTCCAATTAGAAATGCAGTTTCATTTGAAATATCAATATTAGCTACTGTAAATGTTTCTAATTGTAGCTGAAATTAATTGAATATGCTATTTCCTGTAATGCAGAATATTAATTATGGTAAGTGAAGTATGGCGAAGATGATCATTAGTATAAAGTTCCATTTAAGAATACGGAAGTAAAAGACAATTGAGTTATCGAAACAGTTATCTATTGATGCAAATATGGACTCAGGTGGTTATTCCATTTTAATAGTAATAAATATAAATTAATTAAATAAATGATGATGAAAAAAAGATTATTATTATAACAGTTAGATCTGGCTGCTCCAAAAAAGCAGACTGGCCCTTATAAGCAATTCTTGTAAGAATAATTAGCAATTTAACATCTTAAATATCCTTAAAGAACAACAGATGAATTAACAAAATTGATAAATCTTATGTGGAAGGTGAGAGAAAAAAAGAATAATCAAATGTATTTTTAGCACAATGGATACGTGAACATCAGTGAGACAGAAAGGGTGCCTGTTCCTCAGCCCCCTCCTCCGGTGTTGATAATGTTTAAAAATATATAATGTGAAAAAGCTTCCAAAAAAATATGAGGCAACTCCTCTAGTTTACACATCCAGAGTATAATGGAGAATAGGTGGATCACACAATTAAATTCGAATGGACTTTAAATTCTACCCAAAGATAGAAAGCAGCTGAGGAATTCAGATAGTTGAGACAAGTTTAAATTAGTATAACAATATGATTAGGAATTCGAGAAAGAAAAGAAAGAATTTATTAATAGGTATGGTTTCTGGCCTCAACATAAAAAATCTTAAGGTGAGTAAATTGATAAGACCAAATAATCTAGTCCAAAATTAGATCCCCTGGCTTTAAATCTAATGAAAAAAGTTAAGCTGGAATGAAATTAATGAAAAATGAGATAAAAAAATACAAAACAAAACATACTTTGTAAAATTTAGAAAAAAAAAAAAATACAGAACTTTAATCAGTTCTCATTCTCTCATATCCAGATATTGGAATTACTTAATTTAAAATTAAATTTTTTCTTTTCACCTAAAAGAGCGGCAAAATAAAATACTATTAAGATACTATCTTATCTATTCATTCTTACAAATTGGATGACGATATTTATGTGTGTTTACTGTTTTTCACATTACTTAAACCTCTTTTCAATTTATTTGTTGTTTTATTTATCATCTATGCATAAACTATTTTATTTTATTATATTTAGGATCCTCACCATTGGAAGAAATCCCAACCTCCATAACCATACCAACCAACCAATCCATCCACCATAATTATGTATTCTAACTACCCAATTACCATCATAAACCCTTCAATAATGCATAATATCATTTTCAATCACGTACATTTTTATTTTTAGAATAATGAATCAATGCTTTGAATGTTAACATTTCAACCATTAAACTAATCCAAAATCATTACAAAGATCTTGAACTAAATACTTTATATTAACAAGTAGATTAAACTACTAATACAAAGATTAAAGTCATCATGTCCAGATACCTCCATGAAAGTGTTTACAACCTATATATCTTTAAATTTATTGATTCATTATTAAATTTCTAAATTAATGATCAAATTACATTTTAATATTTATTATCATTAATAAAATTGAAACTCTATATTATTTTAATATCTCTCATTAAATTATAAATAATATTTTACATTTTTAAATATAAATAAAATATATCAATATTCTTCTCTAAATTTTCATTATTTAAATATAATTACTAGAATTAAGTTCTTTTTTTACAATAGAACCTTAAATATATAAAATAAATTTATTATTATAGTTGTTACTTAATTTAAAAAATTAATTTTATAGTGATCTATTTATAATGAAGAATATATTCTAAAACTTAGAGTAATATGATAAGAAGATCAATAAAAATTGACAATTTAAAATCTATGTTTATTATTATTTGATTATGCTTAATTTTGGAACTAAGTGTACATAATAATTAAATAAATGTTCGTTAGAGCACAAGTTCCAAAAAGCAGAACTTCATTAACTCCATAGAATTTCAAACCAATTTGCATAGAATAACGTGGAGATTGTACTCCAACAAGAAGCAATAATATTAGTTACTATGAACACAGTATTCTCATTTAAGAACCATCTCAATAATCCTTATAGAATTATACTGGAAGAGTTGAAGAGAAAGTGTAAAAGAAAGTGATCAATTCCAGTTCCTCTAATTTGAGAAATAGATACATTTCAGACAAGGAAAATTTAGTAAGGGTTCCTGGATAATCCTTTGGAGGGAATTAACCTTCAAGTAAGGAATTAATGTAGGTTATAAATAATCTAAAAAAATAAAAAGAAGACATTTGTTGTACACTTTCTGAGACACTCAAAAAAAATACTCTAATTCAAGAATAAATTGATGTAATTATTAATATAAAATAATTTAGATTGTTAATATAGAAATGGAATAATAATCTCTTAATTATTAATAAAGTTTAGATGAATTTATGAATGAATTTAATGAACTCACTTAAAAAATATCATAGTTAGAGGAACAGAATACTAAATTATTTGAATAAAATGAACATTAGAAATGGTATTTGTAATAGATTTAATGTTAATCTTCAAGGTATTAAAAATTTAATATGAATATAGATTTAATTAAACTCACAATTTTGGAACAGGTTGATTTTATTTAACTTAAATAGATATAAACAATAAATAATTTTTATATAATATAATTTAAATGGCAAGTTTTGCATCTAGAACAGGGTAGAAAGTAAGTCAAATGTTAATTTTTAGATTAAAGAATGGTGGGGAGCTAAAGTTACTGTTGATCCTTAATTGGAAACTAAAAAATAAAAGATTAATGAGATAGATCAATATATTAAAGGATTGTCATAATCATTTAATAATATTTCAGCATTGTTTTAATGTAAAAATAATAATTTAATTTAGAAATGCATGGTCATATGGGAAGAATAAGCTCAATCACTCAGAAATTATTTGAGAGAGAAACTGATACTAATAAGAGAATAGGAATTGAAGTAACATCCATGTTTGGTAATCTTTCAGAATTGTTTCGTTCAAAAGTATATAGTAATTATAAAGAATAGACTGAACCAACATCTGAATTGAATAAAAATTATGGAGAATGGTTTTAGACTATAGAGACTTTAAAAATTCAACTTGCAAATTTTTCTGAGGTTAGATTGATTTATGATCATTATAAATTAAAAGTAGATGAATTAGAGAAAGATAGATCTAATGCACTTACAAAAGGATAACCAGAAGATTTTAAATTATCAGATAAAATAAGGAGAGTATCAATTTTAAATATTTATAAAGAATTAAAGTAAATTATCAAGTTCTGAAACAAATTATAAATAAAAGTTATCTGAAATATTAAATAATATGAATAAATTATTGGGAAACTATTATAGAATGATAAATTAAAGTCTTGATTCTGTAATTAAATTTAATTATATTTAGTTTATAACAATCAATTATGATTTATATATGAATGCTAAATCAATTGTTAAAAAAAATTAAAAAGCATTTAATAAATTTAAATATCCAGAATTAGAACCTATAATAGATTTATTAAGAGAATAAAAAGAGATGTCATCTTTATTAGAAAGAGAATAATAAAGAGAAAAAGAATTGAAAGAATTAAAAGACAAAGAAAAAGAAAAAGAAAAAGAAAAAGAAAAAAATAATAATGAAAAAGATGATAAATAATAATAATAATAATAATAAGTACCATTATAACAAACTCCATAATGGGAAGTTAATAATAAATTTAATCCATTTGGTTAAACACAATAAATGATCAATAATCCTTAAATGATTAATCCTATGATAAATTCTTAAACTGATTTTACAACTGGATTTGGAATTAATACAATACCTAAATAATAATAATTTAATATTAATCCTATATTGTCTTAAAGATAATCAATACAATCATAAGGTATGAATAACAATTTTGCTATGAATTTTCCACCTAATCAAAATAGAGTAGATATATTTGATGATGTTGGATTATAAATGATGAGTGATTTAAGAGCTAGTTAAATAAATAATTGGTAGTAATAATAATAATATGCCTAAAGTCAAATTCTTAATTAAAATAATTTTGTTAATAATAATCCATTTATGAATTCATAACAATTAAATCAAAGACCTAATTTGTAATAAAACTAAGGATTTTCATAATTTGATTCCTAAATTAATAGATCTTAATAACCAAATCCTTTTGCAGAATTAGATAATGAGACTTAAAGAAGGGCTATGTATGATAATCCATATACATATAGCTAACAATTTTAAGATAATTAGAAGACTAATCCTTTTGCATGATTAATATTAAATCTATTTATAAATTCATTTTTATATATTATTTTGAATCAATAATGAAATAAAAGTAATTAACAACTAAAAAGTCAGACATTGATCTTGGTAATAAAGATCAGTTAAATTATATAATTGAAATTCTCTAAAAGGATTAAAGTATAAGGACAAATCAAGATGTTGAAATAACAAGGAAAGCTTTTATTTCATTCAAGTTTTTTTAAGACTTAGAATAATAGATGGGTCAAGAGATGGTAAGTAATTTATATAGATAATTATCTCATGAAACTATTAAAGCAAGATAAGTAGTATTTAATCTTGGAGATATTGGAAAGAAGTTTTATATTATACTTTCTGGAAGTGTTTGGGTTCTTATATAGAAAAAGGGATTATAAGATGGTAATTAGATAGGAGAAGAAGAGAAAAAAAAAGAGGAAGAATTAAGAAGATAAAATACAAGAAAGGCTACATTGAAACATTAATAAAGTATGATGAAATCAAAGAGAATTAAAAAGTAAGAAACTTTTTTTACAGAAACAAATCAAGTGCTTATAGATGAAGTATATTCAAAAATGACAGATGCAGAATATTTAGATTGTCAATTTCCAACATTATAAAAAGTAGGTTTAATGAAATCTGGGGATAATTTTGGAGAGATTGCATTAACTAAATAAGTACCAAGAACTGCTACAATTGTTGCAGCTGAAGATACAAATTTTGCAATAGTATCTAGGGAACAATTCAATATATTATTATCATCATATTATGAATATATACAGTAACAAAATGTTATGTTTTTATAAAAAGTACCTGCATTTACAGAATGGAATGAATAGATGTTAAATTAAATTTATTATCATTTTACATTTGAAGATTATAAAATGTTTGATGTAATTTATAAAGAAAATTAACCTTCAAAGTAATATTATTAATAATGGTAGTAAAATTTACATTGTAAAAAATGGAGAAATAGAGATTTCTTAAAATATAGAAGTTGGTACTATGATTACTGAAAATAATTTAACAATTTAAAGATTCTTTAAAAAAAATGATAAAAAATATGAAAGAGTGAGAACTGGTATAATCACATCTGGATTAGTATTTGGTCATTAAGAAGTTATTAAAGATGTGGTAAGAGAACATAGAGCTGTTTGTATTAGTTAAAAAGCATAAGTATTTTCATTGGATAAGGATAGATTTTTATAATATTTTAAAAAAGGAGGAGCTATTTAAAAATTAATTAAACTAGATCAAACTAATCATTCTCGTAAGTCTAAGAGTGTTTCAGTAATAAAAGATCTTAAATCATTTTCTCCTCCAATTGCATTTAGAGAAATTCCATATTTTGAAGAAGATGACAAAATTTCTGATTTTGTAATAAAAAAAGCTAATAATGCTGTAGATAGAGTTGGAAATGAACCTAAACGTAATGGATATGAATTTTTATAAGGGAAAGGTCATATAAATAAAGCACATTATAATTTTTAAAAGAATCTAGAAACATTGAAAAGAAATTTAAAATATAGTGAACCTTTAAATATTAATACAGGATTATTTGAATTAGATACAAATAAAGGGACAGCTATAAGTATAATGAATAAAGTATTAAATAAAATTGAATTAAAAGGTATTTCCAAGTGCAAGTCGTCCAAAATATGAGATACCAAATTATTCAATGACTCCAAGAATAGTAATAAAATCATTAAAATTACCAAAATTACTAAATGAAGTAGATGTATTATTGTTTTCCAATAAAGAATCAATGATCTCAAATTTAACAACAACCTATAAATAATAAGCAGCAATAAAAGAAGATGAGTGATCTCATAGATTAATATGTTTAAAATTTCAATTTTTCTTAATTAATTTTCGAGTTTAATATTGATGATTGTGAACAACATTTTCATCATTATATTTAATTGAACTTTCTGCACTAATGATAATTATAAATTAGATACCTATTTATTTTTTACTTGGTTATTCTATTTTCTTTGATTCTTCATACTCTTATTTTCTAGAATTAGTTTTGCAAATTTCTGATTCCTAATTATTATTGTCTATATCATACTTCTAATCTATTGATTTTAGAAATCAAATCCCCTTTCTCTTATAATAACTCTTTAAGTTATTGAGTTAAGACTACGTTTGCAATATAGAGTCTCATGTATTCATGTTAATAATTGATTCCTCTTTTCTGTTCAAATGACACTACAACCTCATCTTCTATGTGTTCTCCCATGGTTGGAGTGTATAATAAGCCTTTTCGAATGGAATCACTATTAAATAGCTTATGAGATGTACCAATTATCAAGCATTTGAATTCAAATTTATTATTATTAATGATAATACATTCATATATATAAAATTATTAATGACATTATATTTTAATAATATTGTTAAAATGATTAAATTCAGATAAATCTTTTTGATTATTCTTGCAATTGTAATTCCTGTTGTTCGAGGTTAAATGGAAGACATTAGCTTTGGAGAAAAGCATATCTACATTAACACTTTCTAGTAATATATAGAAAAGGTACTTCTGTTAAATTAATAAGATTATTTTTGGATCAATTGGAGGAATTGTTCAATATTTGATCTGTTGTTCAATTGTGGAATACTATAATCCAATGCCAAAGAATAAATTACGTCTTTAGAATATCTTTAGGGAAATCAGATATGGAATAGTATAGCTCATATTTGGATGTTTTGTATCAATGGTATATATTGTATTAACATATATAAGTCCTTTTATTATTATTTATATCCCTATACTCCTTACTATAAATATTTTGAAAACCATGATTATACAGTGATTCACTTCCTATATGGAATAACATTTCATTGGATATGGACTACATGTACTTTTCTTTATATCTTATTTAGGTGTAGGATATTGGACTCATAGAATGCTTCACTTGAAATACTTTTATAAGTACATCCATAGTGTCCATCATTCATTCAAAGAACCTACAGCCTTTTGTTATTGTGCTGCTCATCCTTTGGAAGGATTCATAGAAGGTAATCTTCTACTCCATACTGCTGAATTGATATTGCCTATTCATCCAATGTAAACTATGATTTATGGAGGATTGATGGCTTTCAATGATCTCTTTGCCCATGATGGAGGGTAATATATTGAGTAATTTATATTATAGAAAATATGATCATTCTGATCACTATAGACATCATCTCTATTATGTAGTAAACTATGGTGATGCCAAGATTGATAGATTCTTTGGAACTGCATATGATCCTGTATTTATATATATTAATTCTAGAAAAACTATCCAGTTAAGGAGAAATGCACATACTTACCTGATTTTAAGGATAAAGACCATCCTCTATTTTAGAGATACAAATGAAAATTTATATTAATATTAAATATAAATTTTATATATGTGTATCGAATTTGCTTTCAAGAGAGGTGGAATTACACTTATCAGAAATTTCCTTCATTCAGCTGAAGGTGTCAAGAAGTACTCAATATTTCATATTTAATTAGTGGACTTCCAAGTGTTGTTTAAAACAGATTATCCATTAATTACAAGCTCAGAACATACACTCAAGGAAAAGTCACTGATATCAGATGTAAATTATATGACTTAATACTTTAGTTATCACTGATCCAGTTGCAGGATATTAAGCCAAAGGAGACAAGAAATGATTTATTATCAAAATAAATAAAATAATCACCATTTCATAGCATATTAGATGTTTAACATTTTAATCATAACTTGTTTTCTCTTATATATTATAATAATCAAACAATCATAATTACTATGTAAATATAATAACAAATATTCTTATTTTCTAAATCAATATTTCTCTTAAATTAATACTTTATTTTTTATTTCTTAAGTATGTCTATATATCTAATTAAAATAAATTATTATCATTTTTTAAGGTTTTGAGTTTATTCTCTCAATCAATCAACAGAGAAATCTCCCATTAAAATATTAAAAATTGAATATACCAATAATTTTATATCTGATTTCTGAAATATAAATTTATATATTTTGAAATCTTTATTTGAAAATCTATAAAAGTATAAAAAATATAATAGTTTAAATTCATAAGAATAGATTTTATTATGTTATATTTTTAATTATTCCTTATTTATATTAATTATATGATTAATACCAAATTAATATTATTCAAATATAATTATAATATAAAAGTTCAATATTTATGTTTATTATAACTTTAAAAGTTAGATATTCATAAAGATAATTTGATTGAGGTAACAGTAAAATTATTTTTGAGAACAATAATATATGAATGATTAATTTTCTAAATGGAGATCAATACTATAATATAAATTTATACTTATAGATAACTAAATATATATTTAAAATTAATTGTTAGTTACTTTTAAAATAGGTTTTAATTATTAATTAAAATATTCAAATAGTTTCAATCTTAAACTGCAAAGACAGATTAAATATATATAAAATCATTTAATTTAATTTGTTATGTATAATATCAATTCATTCGACCTTTTGGACTTGAATTTAATGTTCTTTAACAATATGTTCATGTCCAGCATTCTAAATTAGAACAAAGTCTGAATAACCATGCTTTAATAATATTGTAGCAGCAGTTTTAGCTCTGGCTCCTGAACGACAATAGATATGTAATGTCTTGTCTTTTGGAATCAAATCAAGCTAAATTAAATGAAGATGGATATTTACTTGATTTTCTATTTAGAATAAAGGGATCATCAAAGATCCTGGAATTATTCCTGTTGTTTTAAATTCAACAGGGTTTCTACAATCTATAAACACATGATTTTGAGGTTAATCCTTAGTATCTAAGAAATCTTTCAAATCAACTATATTTAATTATTAAACTTCTCCTCCATTTCTAACATAATTATCAAATCCTCCTTCCAAATAACCCAAGATATTTTCATATCCAATTCTAAGTAGTCTAATAATTGTTATTTCTTCCTTGCCTTCATCTGCAACAATGACAATTCTTTAATCAGGTTTGAAGAGTATGCCAACAAAAGAAGCAAGAGTAGCAACTTATGTAATGTTAATGGAGCCTTTGATAATTCCTTTATTGATAATATCTCTGGAGTCTAATATCAAGGCACCATCAGCAGCAACTTGAGTAAACTCTTAATAACTCAATGCTTTTGTAACTTTTGATTTAATATTTTAAAGATCATTAGCCCCTTGACGGTTCTAAGATGTAAATATTTCAAATAATTACTAATTGTACATCGTGGAAGAAATACTAAGGAGGAGCTGGTATATCGGTTGATATTTTAACAAACTCTTCCTCAGTAATGTTCTATAATGCCCAATTTTTGAGTTTCTATTCACCTATAGTACTTACTGTTCCTGCTCCAATAGCTTTACCACATGAAGATCCTGCTCCATGTCCAGGATAGAGAATGACATCATCATTAAGTTTCATAACTTTATTTCTCAGAGAATTGTAAAGAAGTTAAGCAAGTTGCTGAGTAGTTAAACCTGAGGATTTAGATGCAAGATCGGGTCTGCCAACTTCTTCAAGGAAGAGAGAATCTCCACTGAAAACTACATGGTCTTTACCATCCATTACTAGTACCAAACTACTTGATTCTAAAGTATGGCCAGGCGTATGTAAAACTCTAAGATATGCTCTTCCTAAAGGTAATAGTTCTAATGATTGATATTAAGATGGATACCTTCATCTTATGCAATTTTAACTTAATACTAAGTAACAGCTTAAGGACCCAGTACAATTTGAGCTCCTGTAATTTTAGCCAAATCTAAGTGTCCTGCCACAAAGTCAGCATGAAGGTGAGTTAATATAACATATTTGATAACAGAATTTCTTGATTCACAAAATTTACTAATAAATATAGGATGGGTTCTAATACATATACTCTTCATAGTCTCTCATAGGGTCAATTATGGCAGCTTCGTTGTTGGATTCAATGTAATAGGAAAATTATCCTAAACAACTGACTTAAAATTATTGTATAAAGAAGTTCTCTCCAATTTGTTAAGCTTTTGGAGTATTAATATAAGCTGGTGTGGCAGTACATGAATTCATTTAAGATTATCCAAATATTTTATTTTAAAAAGATTTAGATTTTGAAATCCTTTACATTTCAATGCAAACCCATAATTTTATGAATTATAAATAATTGTATAAGAATATCTAATTTACCTATTTTGATTTGTATAAAATTGATAATTCAAACATCTAATAATATTCTTCTTGGATCTTCAATTGAAGTAGATAATCTCTTAAGGAAAGTGGCAGCATCTTTTCCATCAAGAATTCTGTGATCATAAGTCAATGCAAGATACCTATGAGTATAATAAATAATGTTTACATCATTGGACGAGCTACAATTTAATCATTTCTAACAACTGGTCTATTAACAATAGCATGCATTCCTAAAATAGCAGATTGAGGAGCATTAATAATTGGTGTTCCCATCAAACTTCCAAATACTCCACCATTTGAGATTGTGAATGTTCCACCAACCATATCATCTGCTGAGATTTTTCCTTATCTTCCTTTTTCTGCTAGATCAATAAGTGTCTAATAATTTAATAGTCTTAAGTACTCTTTCAATATCAGCAAAACTGAGACGTTCACAATTTCTTAAAACTGGTACCATAAGTCCAGTGGGTGTAGCAACAGCCATAGAAATATCAATGTAATTTCTATAAACAATATCAGTGCCATCAATAACTGCATTAACAATAGGTTGTTCTTACAATTATTTGACAGCAGCTTTAATGAAGAATGAACTGAAACCCAATTTAACATTATGCTTTTTTTAGAAATCTTTCTACATGGCTTCTCTTGCTTCCATAACAGCACTCATATCACATTCTTAAAATGTTGTAAGTAATGCATAAGTATTCTAAGCATCTTTTAATCTTTAAGCAATACGTTATCTCATTCTTGACATTGGTTCCTAAATTCATATTTAGTTAATTACTCTTTTTTCTGTTCTTTAAGTAGGAGTTGTAACAGATGGAGCAACAGGTTTTTTTTCAGCAGGTTTAGCAGCTGGAGGAGGAGTGCTCTTTTAGGCTGCAGGTGCTTCTTGTTTTTATTCTTATTTAACTTCTTGTTTCACTTCTTGCTTTTATTCCTTTTTTGTTTCTGGAGTTCCTGTTGCACCAGCTGGTTTAGCAGCTGAAGTATCAATTTCATAAAAGGGTTTGCCAACTTCTACTTTAGCACCATCTGCAGCAAACATTTAAGTAATGATTCCAGAATCTGCACATCTAATATCTATGGTGACTTTATCTGTTTCTATCAATGCAATCACATCATCTTAATTCACATAATCTCCCACCTCTAATTATCAAATTTAACAAGTATACTCTTTTGCAATTCTTTTACATCTCCTTCTGTAATTGAATCACCCATAGTAGGCACATTCACTACCTTTTCTAATTACTTAATTTAAACGTTTTACTTGAGAAATAGAATTTTGGTATTTGTGCAAATTATGTTTACGATACTTTGAACAAAGAGATTGCAAACTATCTCATATCTTAATTAAAAATTTAGAATAATTATCCAACTATTATTGTGTATTTAATATAATAATATATAATATTTTAAATCATAATTCATCATCACATATAAACATTTTTATCCACAAATATATTCATATCTTAACTTAATAATTAAGTCCACAAAATTTGATTTACAAATAACTTTATTTAATAAATTAAAAATCATATGATATTATATTATTGTTACATTTTATAATAGATTCATATTAATTTTTCAATGTTTAGCTTTTCCAAATCCTACCATATTCATATCTCTATCATAAATGCTCAAGTATTTTGTTAAAAAGATATCTCCTAAAATCCAAGCTGGACCCTATGGATCTGGAATGTCTAAAGGCATAAATGCTCCAATGCATTATTTAGGAGATCCTTCAATGAATGCAGAAGCTGAAACTTCATTACTCAAAGGAATTTCAGTTCCATCATCTTTCAACTCCATAATATAATCTTTAGCTTCAAGATCATAATTAACTCCATCAATTTTAAATGTAAGAGTTGGTAATTCTTTCAAATTAGAACAATTATCATCTATATTGGTAAGATCTAAAATTAATATAATATATAATACCTAATAATTTCATTAAATCATCATATGGACCAGTAATTAATGAAGTACCAGTATCAGCAACAACTTTGCAACCTTTTGGACAGAATCCTTAATCTTGACCATTGACTAGAATATTCTCTGCTTTAATCATCCAATAATATTTATCAATAACAGGATGATAATGAACAGGACCATCAAGTTTTGTGACATCATAACCACCAAAAGTAAGTTATGATTCATAACTATTAACTTTGTTGCTCATGTAGAATGAGAATTAGTTAGATTGTAATTTCTTTTATTTCATTATGTTATCAAATAATGGATTTAAATTATAGGCAGCCATAGAAGGATATGCTAAACCAACAATGCCATCAAATCCAGACTTATATAATAATTTAATAAAATTACATTTTAAAATACAGCACCATTTTCTTCAACTATTTCAGCAATATTTTAATCTTCAACTTCTATTTCTCCTAATTTTACTATATCTGAATTGACTTCTCCATTTAAATCACCTGTACCAAATTATACATTTAATGCATAACCAAGATGTTTAGAACTAAAACCTGGTTTATATTGTGTATGTTATTTGCATCCTTCATTTTTGCATTTAATGGAATCAATCCAGAAATTAGCAGATCCTGTATCAAAAATAACTTAAAATTCTTAATCACCTACAGTGATTGGACCAGTAAATTAAGTATTCTTGAAATTATGTAATTTAAGATTTGCTTATCTCTTCTCTGTACTTTATTGTGGTTTTGGTACATAATCTCCAAATTCAATTTCCTAAATATCAATTGGTGTCTATTATCTGAAGTAAGTTTATTTAGTGGTTAAAAAATCATACATTTCCTTAGCTGATACCTATTTTCATTATTGACAAGTTGAATACAATTGTATGGGTTTCCTTTAACTTTATTGTATAGAGTTTATTTTCTTATGATGTAGTAGTTTACTCTTATAGGAAAGTGCCTTGCTCTTGTCCACAGAAGACAAAGACAATTAGAAGAGAGTATAGGAATATGTTCATCGTATAAAAACGATAATAAAAATTTATATGTAACCACTTTGTGATCCAGCACAGGATAGAGTAGTTAAATAAGTTCCTTTACCACCTCATCGACCTTTAGATAATGATCTGATGTTTCCAGCAAAGAATTAAGGTAATAGATACATACTGATAATAGGGAAACCTGATTGGAAACTAATAAAGGAGCATTTAGAAAGAGAGGGAAGAATTGCAAAGAAAGAAGTAATAAAATTAGTCACAATGGCTAACAAAATATTTAGTAAGCAATTGTTCATTATAGTAAAGAGAATGAGGGTGGTTTGATACATCTTTCAGATCCTTTGACGGTAGTCGGTGATATTCATGGGTATGTTGAAAAAATATGTTAGACAATTTTATGATTTTCTTAAAATACTTGATGTTGGTGGTAATCCTGAAGCTTAGAAATATGTGTTTTTGGGTGATTATGTTGACAGAGGACCATTCTCTATAGAGGTGTTAATTTTGTTGTATTCTCTAAAAATAAATTATCCACGAACTATATATATGTTGAGAGGTAATCATGAATGTAGATAACTTACATCATTTTTTAATTTTATGGATGAATGCAAATACAAATATGATTAAGAATTATATGATGTGTTTATGGATTCATTTGATAATCTTCCATTAGCATGCATTATTAATAATCAATTCATTGCACTTCATGGAGGAATCTCTCCAGAATTAAGAAATGTATAAAATAATTCATATCAAGGTTACTGATGTCAATTTAGTAGAGAGATTTAGGGAACCACCAAAGAATGGTTTATTTTGTGACATCCTTTGGGCAGATCCTGTAGACAATGATGATGGAATTTGTGAAGGATAGTTTAGAATTAATGAAGTTAGAGGCTGTTCTTACTTTTATGGAATGGAAGCAGTCAGTAGATTTTTAGAAAGAAATAAGTTAATATCTGTCATTAGAGCTCATGAAGCATAATTAGAAGGATATAAAATGCATAGATGGGATGGAGGATAAGATTTTCCTATGGTAATTACAATATTTTCAGCTCCTAATTATTGTGATGTCTACAATAATAAAGGTGCTGTAATCAAATTCAAAGTATATAATTATTTTATTTATTTAGAATAATGATCTCAATATTCAATAATATAATTATAGTTAACATCCATATCTATTACCTAATTTCATGGATATCTTTACTTGGTCTATTCCTTTTGTTGCAGAAAAAGGTTATACTTAATTTAATTATTGTAGTCACTGAAGTATTGTTCCACATTATACAACCTAGAGATGGAGAAGCTATGGATGAGATAGTAGATGAAGATGATATTGCTAAATTCAAAGAATTAGTAGGAGATTAATAACATAAAAATAAAGATGTTTTTTTGAAAAGCAAAATCAAATTTGTTTTTAGAATGATGCAAATTTAAAAAGGATTAAGATAATAAAGTGAAAGTCTAGTATAAACTAAAGGTGCTTGTCCTGATAATCGTATACCTAAAACACTTTTAGATAGTATTAAAGATTGTAAATATTATCTTATATATTATTAGCAAATGGTGCATTTTAGACTGCTAAAATGGCTGACTCTATCAATGAGAAAAGACCTGGACTAAGTTAATGATATTCATATCATATAAAAACACACTCATTTAATTAATATTTCAATTATAAACATTCAAATTGTTCCACTAAATGGAATTGGTATATAGAAATGATCAAAACTATCTACTGTCTTACTAACACTCTCTGTCAATACCCATTATTTCATTCTTAAATTATTCAATCTCTCAGTATTTACTTCATTTAATTATTTTTATAATATTAGTAAACTTAAATTTAATTTCTTTACTACTTCTGTATTTTTTAATAACTTAATAATATATACAATTTATTATACCACTTCATTTTGAATATTAGTAATGTAATAACGATCTGCCAAATTGTACAATGATTATTAATACTTCTTCAATTCCTATTCATATTCTTCTCTTTCCTATTTAATTTGCTTTTAATATATTCCAAATTATTGTTGTATTTCTTAAACATCAAAATTATATGGAATCTTAATATATTATATAATATAATTATTACACTAAAATATCCTGGAATGTCTTTTGCTCCATATTTTTTTGTAACATATAAACATATCTAAGGATCAGACTTTTCCAATCTTGAGAAAAAAGGAGATAATGCTTATACATTCATCAAATTTGTTGTTTTTGGTATCATTTTTTCAACAACTAATTTTAATCATATAAATTATCCATACATATATCACTTTATTCTTAAGTTAAATCTTGATCAAAAAATATTAATCTTGGATCAATCAATTAATCAAATATTTGAAATAAGTTAGGTATCATATCACATTTATCAAGCATTATACTAGCCCATAATCTAGGTTTTATTTAAGGCATATTAGCTTATCTCATTTATTAATTTGCATTCTTTAAAAAATTGTCATATTCTGATTACATTTGAGCTGAAAAGATAGATGCTCTTAATGCTAATTACTCAGATTCTTTTGTTGATGATCTTTTCTTTAATGATGTTGTTGTTTCAAAAAAGTTTTTCTTTACTTTTTCATATTAATTTGTATATGTAACAAATGGATTAGCATGCTTTTCTTCAAAATCCTTTCTGATTTCCTAATATTTCTAATTTATTTATTCCCTTATTTAAGTTGTCACTCTATAATAAATTCTCATTTACTTACTTATCTATTGCACCTTATTAATCCTTTCCTAAATATGCATCCAATACAATTGTAAATGGTAAAAACTTTCTAGCTTTAGTATTTTACTTTTCAGCCATATAAAAAACTAATTCTTGTGGTTCTGTACGCTCATTCTATGAAACAGCATCAAAATAATTATTAAGAATCTTTAATGATCTTGTATTCTCCATTTTCACATTATCAGGTGCATTTTACAACATATCTGGATGAATTGCCTTATAAAATTCTGTTAGTTTAGATTTATTTTTAAAAGTATTTGCTGTAGAACTAAATGCCACAATTATTTTCTATAGCATTTAAAATAAGAGTAAATTATAAAAATTTATTATCAAAAATAATTAAAATAACAACTCAAAAGTTTTAAAAACTTCATGAATATCTTTAATTTATAGAAACTCTACTAAGTAACAAAGTTTAGTTCTAAATTAACAATTTATTATTAGGAATAGTTTAATAATAAATATACTAAATATTAATATAATTTACAATCTTATCATTATAATTAATAAATAGACATGCTTAATCATTAATTTAAAGTATAAATTACAACAATTAACTAATTAATAAAAAAATATATTTATTTTCTATTATATAATAAAAATACCTTTCATTAATTGTTGTGACTAATATTTGATCAATTTAAAATAAATTTAAGATATTGATAGTTTCTTGAATTATAATCATAATTATTATTTTTTACTTAATTTATTTTAGCTTTTAATATATTTATTCTATTGTATAAATAATTATTGATCTATTTATTTTATTATTTTTATTATTTATCATATTCTTTATTCATTTTTAAGATTTGCTTTTATTCAACTAATTGATTAAACATATATTTAATAATTTAGAGTATTTGTTATTCTGGATATATATATGTTGTTATTATAATATTAATCATTTTGGTCCTTAAGCTGCTAGAATTGCCATTTCTTGTGCTTCTTAGGCTTCTATTTTTTCCATATATTCTTATAATTGTTCTGCTGGTACTTCATCTGGCATTAATTAGGTTTATTTAATTTCATATTCAGGTTCTTCAGGATTCATCATCAATGAACCATCTGCAGGTTAAAATGGTGAATCTACTCCCTTTTAATCTGGAATTGAATCCTTCTCAAACACTGGATTAAGTTGATTTTCTACAACATCAACTGGCATTTGATCAGATGGATCTTAAGTTTAAACTTCAACATTCAAAGCATTCATATAATAGTCATCATCAGAACCTTTGGTTGATGATAATTGTTTTTATTTTTCTTCTTCATATTTTTTTTATTCTTCTAAATCTAATTAATCTTGCTCTTAGCTAGTTAAACTTATTTCAGATTCTTATTGCTCTTATTATAATTATTATTCTGTATATTCTGATTATATTTATGTTTCTTAGACTAATTCAGCTTCTTTCTATACAGTTTCAGCAGATTCTGAATAGCTTTTATCATCATCAATATATTGAATTTCTTAAGTCTATACCAATGATTTTTATGAGTTTGCAGCGTTCTATTTATGATGACGAATATTATGACCAGCAAAACTTAAAGAAATGATTGCTAATATCAATATTGCTTGTTTCATCAAAACGGATTATAAATTTATTATTATACCTTTATCCAAATAATCACAATATTCAATACATATTCTAATTCACTTACCAATAACTTATCATCACAAAATTGAGTAAAACACAATCTAAACAAAATGCAATTTCTTAAATACCATAAAAATAAATCAAAATTACTTAAACATAAATTAAAGTAAAATATTGAGTTTAAATATGTGTAATATAATTGAATATTAAATTAGTTAATAAGTTTTGTTTATTAAACACACTAAATATAAATTATGCTTCAAAATAAAACATAATAATTCAAATAATTAAAACTGTTAATTTAAAAATAAATCTTGGATCTAAAATTAACAATCAATATAAATAAAATATTTATATCAACAATTAATCTTCCTTTATTAATGAATAAATTATTGAAATTATCTCAATTAAAAATTGAACTCATTAAAATATTAAAACAAATTATTCCTCCTCTTAAGATTCTTACTCTATTTAATTATCAAGATGTATAAATACTAAATTATATATTTAATAAAATTAAAGGATGAAATATTTCAATAAGTAATTAAGTTACAGTTATTAGATTATATCAATATGTTTAATAATTTATAATAAGAATCTTTATATTAAATTTAAAATGGTAGTTTATTATTTTATTATTATTTTTGATTTTTAATCACTATCATCTTAAGATCTATCAAAATCAATACAAAATCATATATTTTAAATATATCAATTATAGAATTTAATTTTTTTTTTAAGATCAATTAAAACATATAAAATTTTATAACTAAACCTTTTTTTAATATTAAATTTAAATTAATTCTAAAACCCATAATATTTTAAAATTAATAATAATATTTAAAGGAATTAAATACACTATTAAATTTCATACCTTCTCGGCCTTTTGGCTAAGATCAAGTGTAGTATCTGTTCTTATCAGAGTGATATCTGATATCTCCTACGAGGAGAATGATATCACTGCAATTTTTAAATGGGGCTGGGTTTACTTGGGGCTTGCTCCGGTCCCAGCATAGTCGACCCTGACTTACACGACCTCGGGGAACGGCTAACCCGCTACTTTTTAAATTAAACAAACGAAATTTATTATTATTATTATTATTCATATCTCTTTAGTTATTCCTCATACTTTAAACTTATAATCAAAATTATTAATTTTAAATATATACTTTAAATTATATTCACATTTGAAATGAATTACATTTAACATAAAGAAAGAGGAAGTCTTTCAATAAATAACAATATAAACAATGGTTTTACTTAAATCTAATAAAATTTGTATAAATAAATAAATACTCAAATTTATTTAGATTTTATGTTCTTTCATTTAATTTAATAACATAAACTTAATAGTAGATTTATGTAAATGTTAACTATGAAATATACTAAATAAATAATTTGATTCTTAATTATTATTAATAAAAAATGAATAAAAGCATCTTTCAAAATAATTAAAGAGCTAATTAAGCTTTAATGCACTCTTAAATAAATAGAAACATAATGAGAAATAATCTAAATGCAGATCCGAATATTAAACCAGAAGAAATTGTTGTTGAATCTGATAATATGCAATAAACAATTTATATTAATCCTAATCAAGATTATCAAAAAGTGATTCCATAAGTTATAATGCCAAGTGTTTTTAAAGGAAATAGACAATAATTAAAGCAGTTAACTGGCATCATGTTGAAGAAAAGTCCTCATTTTATTTAAGGATTTTAAAAAAAATATTGTATTTTAGATAATAGAAAGCTTTCTTATTATAATCATGAAAAAAAAAATCTATTAGAAGGATCATTAAATTTTGATCTTTAAGAATACTAGTATTTTGAATAGCGAAATAGTGAAAACAAAATAATTGAATTTAGGTACAGACACAATATATGAACTTTAGATTAATTCCTAAGGGTTGTGAAAAATAGTTTATATTTAAGAATGAAAAGATATAGGAAACTTAGATATGGGCAGAAACAATTTAAGAACATTTAAATTTATCAAATGGAAGAACAAAATAAATGACTTTCTTGAGTAAAACTCCAAAATTTTGGAAACATTATTAATTTTCAAATCTATAAGTATAAGAGGATTGTGATAATGGAGATATAGTTCTATTTAAATCAAAGGATAGATTTGCTTCAGCATAAAGAATTCTACTTAATTCCGAATTTGATCATGTTGGAATTTTGTATAAGGAAAATTAATAATTATATGTATATGAGGCTGTATAAACAGGAGTTGGAACATTTCGTTGGGGTATTTTATAATTATATTTAGTAAATTAGATTATTTAAAACAATAAGAATGGTACAAATTTTATGAGAAAGTTTGCATTAGAAAATTAAACTATCCTCAAAAGAATGATTATGGAGTTTAAAAAAGATTTTTGGACTTTATTAATGAGAATCTAGGGAATGATTATAGCTTGAATATTGGGAAATTCTTTAGATTTACATCTACTATATAAAAATCATCAGATAGTTAAAAAGGAGAAAAGAAAAGATCTTATTTTTGTTCTGAATTGGTTGCTAAAGCTTATAAAGAAATGGGACTTCTTGATTAAGTAAAGTCTTCTACCCAATATTATCCAAATGATTTTACTTAAGAGAAACAGTTATAATTATTATAAGGAGCAACGTTGAGTCCAGAATATCTAGTTATTTTTGAAGGATGATATATAATTCATTAATTATTTAATGTAAACTTCTATTGATTTGCCTTCTCCATTGGGCATTGTTCAAACTTCTTCAATAACTAGTACTGGGAAAATATTGGGTCCAGATTATGAAACCAATTTAAAGAGTGCAGCAAAAAGGAGTGAAGAAGATAAATTATTTAGAAAGTAAAATTAAATGAATGATAATGATGAATTTGAAGCTATGGAAGTTTAAAATGGTGATTAAACATCTCTAATATATTATTATAAAGCTTTAAAGATGGATGAAGAATTATAACAAAACGAAAATGAAATTATCAACATTGTGTAAAATAGACCAAAATTAGGAATGATAGAGGGAAGTTTAATGAAAAAAAGTCCTCATTGGTTTTAAGGCTATTCATAGAGAAACTGTATATTAAGAAATAGAGTATTTAGATATTATAATATTGAAAATAAGAAACTCTAAGGAGTTTTAAATTTTGATGTTTAGTCATTTCAATTGTAAGAAATATAAGATAAAAATGGAAATACAGTAGAATTTATGTATAAATATCTCTATTATTGTAGTTTAAAACCTTTAGGTTAAACTCAAAAGGTATTTCAGTTTAAGGGAGGAACTTTAGAACAAACGAAAACATGGGTTTAATTGATAAAATAACATTTATAAGATTCTATAGGTTCATTGAAAGTGTTGAAATCATTAAGTTCATATGAACGTTTTTGGAGAGTAATAAATTATTTTAATTATATATTTTAGTTTGAACGCATTTCATCATTATAGATAATGGAAGATGCTGATGATGGTGATATTTTATTGTTTCAAGGCAAAGACATTAATTGTCATATTTAAAGATCATTAACATAATCTAGTTTTGATCACATTGGAATTTTAATACGTTTGAATGAAAATTAATTATATTTATTTGAAGCATTACCTTTACATGGAGTTGGATTATGTCGTTGGAGTAAATTTGTTATGTGTAAGTGGAATTATCTATATCATAAGTAATATCACTATATATTTAAATAGAATTATATATAGAAAATTATAGGTCATTCGAGATGAGAATTTTAAATCAAAAATACATGAATTTGTTACTGAGAATATTGGTAAACAATATTCTTTTAATCCAACTAAACTATTAAAATTTAAATCGACAATGCTTTAAGATCCATAATAATAATAAACTAGAACATTTTTTTCCTCTGAACTTGTAGCAGCTTGTTATAAGTTTTTAAATCTTTTATCTAAAGAGATTTCATCCACATAATATTGGCCAGGTTCTTTTTCTTCAGAAAACCAGAAGTTATCTCTTTAATATGGAAGTTTAAGTGAAGAATATCTAATAGATTTTGAGGGTGAATGATTTGTGTAATTAATACATTAAAACTCAAACTAATAATCCTATATTTTCTTTTATCAATCTCAAATTTTTAGAAGCTATTTCTCTAGCTTTTATACTACCAATTTTCAACATTTATTCTAATTCATTTTGATTCTAAAGAATTTATTTCTTTTTCTCAGCAATATTATTTAATTCATTAGAAATCAATTCAGATAAATCTCGTTTAAAATCAACAGTTGTTTTTGTTTAATACTTATCTATAACTTGTTCTATACTCATATTACTAAAGGCTTAATATATTCTCAAAAGATTAGAGATTTCAGGTCTTTTATCTTAATCAAAATATATTTATGGAATTGAATCAGTTTTTGACCTTTTAATTTTTTCAAAAATCTCCTCTTTTGAATCATCTATATTAATTCTATTTCCATCAATTGTATCTGATTTGGACATTTTTTTATTACCATCTCTTAAACTCATAATTTTTGGACAAGTAGCTATGATAACATCCATTTTCAATTACATTCCAAATATTAAGGTTCTACAATATTTAATTTAAAAAGAGAATTTAATCTTTAAACATAATCTCTAGTTAATTCAATATGTTATTTCTAGTCTAAACCAACAGGCACATATTATGCCCTAAATAAATTTAATTAATTACTGATAAAGTATAATGTCTGCTGCCATCAATAATGGATATGTATATAATCCAAGAGTTGAATATTCCTTCTTTTTATCCTTATATTATGTCATTTTATTAAGCCAATTTTTAGGGGCAACACATGATAGAATCCATTATAATTCTGCATGTTCAGGTACATGACTCTAGACAAAGAATATAGATTTGTTAGGATTGATTCCAGATGCAATTAATGTAGCTGCAAGAGACAATGTATCTGATTTTGTATTCTAATCAAATTTGATTTCATGATCTATTGTTAATTTATCAGTTAAAGCATGTAAATCAACTATACAGTATATATTTTGATTTCCTGTTTATTATAATTTAACCCAATTTCTAACTGCACCCAAATAATTGCCTATATGCATTTTTCCTGTTGGCTAAATTCCTGAAAAATACATAATTAAAAATATTTAACATAATCAATTTAATTAAAAAGAAGAAATTCATAATTTTAACTCATTTTTTTGATTTTATATAAAATCTATTACTTTTTTTTAGTTTGAATATATATTTAAACCTATCTTCTTTTGATATTTTAATTGATTTTCATTATATTATAATTTTGCATACTTTAATACACAAATCTATATTAGTATATTTATTTTACTTATGTTTTATTGAAGTTCCAAGGTCTATTATTGAAAGCTAAGAAAAATTCATGAAAAAATTATTTATTTTTAAGATTAATAAATGCAAAAACTCCTTCTAAATTACAAGGTATATTTAAATAATCGTATTTTTATGAAAATTTGAAATCTATCTCATTTTGTAATCTTTTTACTGTGTAATTATTGGGAATATTTCTAATCATTAAAGTAGTTCGTTTATCATTGATAATCTAATTTATAAATTGATATTACAGTTTGTAATGAAATATTGAACTAATTTTAAGTGTTCTCGTTCTCATTTGAACATTTATCTGGAGTTTAGTTAAAAATGGCAGTAAATGCCTCAAATTATTCAGTAGAGGAGCAATCTGTTTCTGTTGAAAAGAGGAGCTTCGATTCAGTTGAAATAGAATTTACAATATAAAATACTATAACCAAATAGGAAAAGATCATTATTAGAAGAACCAACAGAGTCTTAGTTTTCAATCCAATTTGAACATTAAGTGAACTCTTCGATATCTTGAAATAGCGAGGTTTACATCTTTAAATTTTATATATATATATTATTAATCAAACCTTTTAATACTCTAGTTTAGATTCTAATTTTTTGGCTTCTTTTATTTTTCTTCCTGCTTTGAAATAATCTTCTTCAATAACATAATCTCTATCTGCTCTTATGGCAAACATACCTTAGAATATAATGATTTTAATATACCTGCTTCAGTACATACATTTCTTAAATCTGCTCCATTAAATTCTTCACATAACTTTGCTAACTATTCAAAATCTACTTCTCCTTTAGTTGTAATATTTCTTGAATGAATCTTTAAAATATCATATCTAGCTTATTCATTAGGTAATGGAATTTCAACCTCTAATATATTAAATATTAAAATTAATACTTCTATCCAATCTACCTGGTCTTAAAAGAGCTGGATCCAAAATATCTGGTCTATTAGTAGCCATTACTACTTTGACTTTACCCAAATCATCAAAACCATCTAATTGATTTAATAATTCCATAAGTGTTCTTTATATTTCTCTATCAGCAGATGTTCCATCACTAAATCTCCTTCCTCCAATTGCATCTATTTCATCCATAAAAATAATGCAAGGCTAATTCTCTTTAGCATATGTAAACATTTCTCTTATCACTCTAGCACTCTCTCCAATGTACTTATCTACTATACTAGAAGCAACAATTTTCAAGAATTTTGCCTAAACATTACAAGCCAAAGCTCTATATTATATCTTATTATTATACCTTGCTATTAAAGTTTTACCAGTACCTGGAGGACCATACATTAAACAACCTTTAGGAGGTTTTACACCTACTCTTTTGAATAATTCAGGATTAGTTATAGGTAATTCTATAGTCTACACTTAAATTTTTATAGTTACTTCTCTTAAAACACGAAGTTGATCATTTAAACCTCCAATTTCATCAAATAAAACCTTTCCTGGATCTTCATGAGCCATATGGAATACTTAAGGATCTACTTCTCTTGGTAATATTCTAACTATAGTATATGTTTCTTAATCAAGTGCAATTCTTGTTCCTACAACCAATTTCTCTCTATCAAGTTTAGGTTTGGCACCTACTACATATCTAGGTCCACTATTCAATTTTGAAATATCTTAATTAAGTTTTTCATATTACATTTTTCATCATTTATTTTCATTAATATTTCACCAACTGCTTATCCTCTTATATTTAAACTTTTGATATTATCTTCAAACTTTTCAAAATCATTCTTCTTTTATTTTGTTTATGCTCTCACTAATCATTATTATGTAAATTTACATTCTTTGACATGTCTTTCTTTATCCTCAACTTCCTTTAATAATTTAATGTATTTTGCTTCTAATGCAATACGTTAATTTTGATCAGCCATCTTGAATATTTTAAATTTTATATATTTATATTAGATTAGGATAATTTATCATTTAATTTAATTCTAAATTGCATGAACAAATCAATTAAGTAAACCTATATAGCTTTCATATTGATTCTTATATAATAAATAATATATATATATATTAATTAATCATCATTAAATGGTTTTACAATTATATCCTGATCTTTTTTTGTATTCTTACAGTAATTTTTTAGTCAAATTATCATTAAAGGAATGTTTTTGTTAATATTATTGTAAAAGTTTCTTTATTTATAATTGATTTTCCAAATAATCAGCATTTAATTTTTATTATCCATTTAAATCTACACTTATATCTTTACGTAGCTTTTTTATAAATTAAAAATTTACTGAATGTTATGCTTCTTCAATTTATTCAGCACATGAAAATGGTCTTGGAATTTAAATAACTTCTTAATGTTATTTACGAAAACTATGAACAGAATTATTTGATCTATTTGCTTCAGTATGTTAAGATGAAGATGTTTTCTTTTATGGTTTAGTTGAATTAATTGTAGACTTTTCAGAACAACCTTTTATTGATTATTATCGTTTAAATTCTTGATCTTTTGATATATAATGATTTATTTACTTATTAAATTTAATACATTTTATGATGTCTAATTTCTTTGATGATTTATTGTATTTTATGATGTTTCATAATGAGATAAATTACTTTTTCTATTTTTATCTAAATATTCACTAGTTTCAGTTTAAACTCTACAAGCTAAATTATTGGATTTATTATTATTATTAGAGATATGTGTAGAAAATATTCGTTTTTATGAATTATTCCTTAATTTTTAATAATCATCTTATGGTTCTGTAAGTAATCTGTTTTCCTTTTAAAAATATTATATATTATTACATATTCTTAACCAAGAAATTTAAATTTATCCTTTTAACCATTTAATGAGATAGTCTACTATTTCATAAACTCATTTTCAATGTTATCTTTTCCCAATTATGTTTTGTTAGATTATTATGCAAATTTATTATTTTAAGAATTTAAATCAACTTTTGAATTTAGTTTTATGTTTTGTAAATCCTTTTCTTGTATCTTTAATTTTTGATTCAATACATTATTTTTATCATATAAAATCTTAATGTCAATAATTAAATACTTGGAATTGATTTTTAATTGTCTACAATTCTTCTTCTAAATCATCTTTAATTTTAAGTACATCCTCTAACTTTGATTATGTATTTTCAGCATATATCTTCAATTATTGCTCAATCTTAATTAGTTTTATATATAATACTCGTATATGTTGACGGATCTCTGCCTCCAATTTGATCAATTATTCTTCATAATCATTTTAGTTTCTTGAGTTTTGATCTTCTATCTATTATTCTAAATTGAACTAATCTCACTCAAAGAATACTTTATTTTGCAAGACAATCGAGAACATGCATCCAATATAACAAATTAAAGAAATGGGATCTGTATATAAATCTTCTTGTTTATCAAGAGGCACCACTTTCCTTATCTAACATAATAACAACTATATATAATTTATAAATTAAACTTGATCTTCTGTTTTTTAGATGCTGCTTTTTATTTATTAATATAATTCCACTACAGATTTTTAAAGTTTTAGATCAAATTTCTTTTCTGTATGTTCTGAACTATGTTTATAATTTGATTCTAAGGATGTATTAATATCATCATGATAATGTTATTACTATTGCAATAAATGCAACAAAGTTTTTGATTTTTACGACATTATTTTAAATAAATAACTGATTAGAAATAGAGGTTTAAAATAAATTTTAGTTTAATATATATATATATACTATTATATTACTTATATCTTTAAAAAGATAGAGGAAGTATGATATAGACATTCAAAACATACAGCTTTGAGTCATATCAACAGTAGAATGAGTCTAAAGATCTAATTTAAGATCAGGAATAAACTCACTTTCAATTGTTGATAAGTCATCCAAACAAAAATATTAGAGTTTTTTAGAATGTATTTGAAGTATATGCTACATATATATTCAATATATATACCACTTAAGAAGTTGAATTGTTTAATTTTTAATCTTAAGCAGGGAATAATGATGTTCCTATATTGATTTAATATTATACTAAATTCCATTAAACCATAAGAAGTCTTTTACTATTACTTAATCTACATCTATTAGTCATTTCTACAAGTCATTTAAAATAAATTTCGTTAACAATGATTTCTTAAAATGTTTGGTCTCAATTCTGAAATACGTTGTTTCTCTTTCTTTTTTTCATCAGGCTTGATTGTTTGATAAAACAAGTAAAAACAACCCAACATATATGTTTTTAGTAAAACTGATTTCCTTGGGAAAACTCTGCCTAAGTCTTCTAATTAACATGACATTTTGTAAAAATTTATTAATAATTCTTACAATCTTAACTTATAAAAGATATAAAGACATAATATAATATGACTAATAATTAGATAATATGACGTGCGTCTGTTGTTTCTATTAAAAAATTTGTTAAATCAAATTAATTTTATATTAAATAATAAGTTTGTTAAGAATTCCATGTTATATCAAATAAGTGAAATATTTTTTATTTAAATATAAATGAATATCCAAGAGTGACTGACAGAAATAAATATTTAATTTATATCTGCTAATAAACCCCGATTCTATTTTGCCATCTGCATTATGTTAATCAATTAATGTATTAACATATAGATTAAGATGGCTTTGTAAAATAAGTTTATATAATTGATAACTTACTTTTTTATCAATAAGGAACTAAATATTTTTTTAAATCTTAATAATTGATTATTATTAAGTTTTTTTAATGTTCAAGAGTTGTCAACAAATACTCAATCTAAGTGAATAAAAGCTAATTATACTCTTGATAGTTTAATTTAAGGCATATACTAATGTATGATAATATTGAATTATCTACAAACTCTGAATGCCTAAAATACAAATTTTAATTAATGAATTTGATTAATAATGAATTTAATATTTGAATTATATTATTATGATAAAATATTTGAGTGCTCATTTAAGATTGGCTCGTCATGATAAACCCATTGGAGCTTTGTTGCTTCATATACCATGCATTTGGGGAACCATATTAGGATAACCAACTTTTAATTTTTAAGAAATAATTTGGTATAGTAGTGTATTTGGAGTTGGATCATTCACAATGAGAGCAGCAGGATGTGTGGTGAATGATATGTGGGATAAGAATATAGATAATAAAGTAGAACGAACAAGACTAAGACCATTAGCTTCAGGAGAATTACAAATGAAGGATGCATGGATTAGTTTATTTGCACATTGTTCAGTTGGATTATTAGTATTGACTCAACTTAATTGGAACACAATAGCAGCATCATTTGGAATAGTTCCAATAGCCTTTTTATATCCTTTAGCTAAACGATATTTTAGTTATCCTTAATTAGTGTTAGGGATAGCATTTAATTGGGGTATAGTAGTTGGAGGTTTATAATTGGCAGGAATGTTAAATCCAGCGATTATGTTAGGATATACAGCTGGGATTGTAAATACTTTAATATATGATACAGTTTATGGTCATTAAGATAAAGAATATGATAAGAGTTTGGGATTATATTCAACAGCTTATACTCTTCCTAAGAATACTCCTTTGTATTTGACATGGGTATTTTCTGGATTGATTGGATTAACATGTTATGCTGCATCATATAATCCAGGTGTTTATCCATTGATTGCATTGAATTAATTAGATATGTATTTGAGATTGAAGTCAACAGATTTTGACAATCCTGAGAGTTGTAGTAAATTCTTTAAAGATTTCAAATGGTTTTAAGTAACTATAGCATTGATATTTGGAGCAGGTTCGTATATGAAGTAATGATTGATGAAATTGTTTTAATTTATATTAAATAAAGTAAATTTTTGGTAGATGTTTGAAAGAAAGGAATTGAAGGCAAGAGTAAAAAAAAAGGTTGAATAAAGTGAGAATTAAGAGATCATCTTCAGTATAAAGAGAAAATTAGGAGATCAATCTTATGATAATATATGTAAAATAAAAATCAATGAATTTTAAGATTTATAAAATGATGAGGAAATGATGCGATTTATAAATTCAAGGAAACAATTAAAAGTAAATTTTGATGATATTATTAATTAAACAAAAAATCTATCTTTAAATGATGAAACTAAAAAAATGTAATTTAAAAATTCAATCTTATAGTGTTGTCTTAGAAAAACTTTAATCTGAAGATACCAATTAAAATTGTGAAGAAACCTAATAGAAAAGTATTTTAAAGGATAGAAGAGAATAATTTGTAGATAAATTTAGAAGAGATATAAGAGAAAAAATGTTATAAGAGAATAGAAATAAAGTAATGATTTCATTTTTTATTATAGTTTATAATTGAATTAGAATAAGATAAGAATAATCTTAAATGTTGTGATCAAAAATAAGATGATTAATTAGAGAAAGATTATTATATAATGAAGTAAGTTAATAAGAATGAAATTAATTAAGAAAAGAAGAGTGCTTTAATGAATATTGATGCTAAATAAATAGAAAAATACTTTGATAATTATTATGTTGATAGTGAACATAATTCAAGTATTGATAGTGAAGATTCATAACGTACAGATTAAGATGCATATGAATATCCTGAAAATGAAAGTTCAGATAATGAAGATTTAGAAGTGGAGGAAGATTATTATGATAATAATAGTGATGATTCTTAAAAATATAAAAAGTATAGAAGAAAAGATATTTAAGAATAAGATGATTAAATTGAAATTGATGAATAATAATAAGCATTAGGAATTGAAATCAATTAAGTTTAAGCATTTATGAGTTTTATTAAATAACATGAATAAATAAAATAAGAAAAATAATGTTGGAAAACATTTGACTATGAAAAAGATTTTTGATTTATATTTAATCATTATATAAGTTTATTAAGAATCTTGATCAATTTGCAAATTATACTTTTTTTTAGTTTTTTGGTACTTATGTTTATGATTATTGGACAATTTAATTCATCTCTGCTTAAAACTTTTAAAATACATTTCCTTGCATTCCATGTTATGATGGTAAAGCTTGAAATGTAACAAAATTTTGAAATTATTGCTCTGATGAAAAACTTTAAAATGAATATTATTATATCGTTGATAGTTATGATGTTTTTTGTGGTTCCTTCAAAACCCCTAATTAATGTTATTTTCTCTTTGGATATTCTTCATCTGAATCTGATTAACTTAACATTTAAGGTTATTAATCCCCTTATTTTATAGATCCTCTTTTAGATGTATCTGGATGAGAAGTTTCATCATCATATTATAATGTTTCAACTCTATCCACTTTCTTACAACACTATCCATTTCCCATTAATTTTAATTTAATTAATACTGTATTAAAAAGTAAATTGATGTCCTTTATAAAAATGATATTTAATATTACTAAACATTTTTTTATATATATTATAGCATAATAGATAAATTATATTACAGGAATTTGACATTAAAAATAATTACTTTTACAATCTCAGAAATTTCAAAAATTATTATTATTATTATTACAATACTATTTATTTAATTAAGTAAAATAACAAAAGTCAAATATGTGATAATACACTACCATCTAATATTTAACTATATAATTGCTAACTTAATTGTTCATTTTTCTCTACTACTTCTTAATATTTTTGATATAACTATAATATATAATTTAATAATATACTTAAACATAATCCTATTAAACTTTTTTAGGTAATTTTAAAGTCTTTTTATTATTACTTTATATAATCTTTTCTATTTACAATCTTAAACTATCCACTTCTAATGCTGATGATCTAACTAAATCTTTTAATTTAAAATTCTCTTATTCTAAATGAGTAATTGTTCCAGTTAAATGTTTTATTTTTTATTCATATAATTATTTAAATTACTAAATTTTTTATTGAATTAAATCTATATCTACTAAATTATTATCTTTAATTGTTAAATCTAAATTGTTTTTTTCTTCTAATTCTTAAATTTATTAATTTTTCTTTTAAATAATCTTTTTATATTCTATCTACATGCGATCAAAACTTTCATTTTGAGTCTTAATTTAATCTTAATAATTTTTAATTTCTTCATTAAGTGTATTATTTTTAAATAATAAATCTTAATTATCAATTTATAACATTTATAATTGTGTTTTATTTTATCTTACTTATTCCTCTGCTTTTATCATTTATTAATAGTATTCATTCTAAGATTATGTTTCAGTCAATTGTTTTTCTATATTCTATAAATGCTACCGTAATTAACTTATTTCATTACTTTATCCATCATTATCATTACATTTTGTATTTTCAATTTCCTATCTTAAGTTTTCATTTTCTTATACCAATAATGGTACCATTTAACTATATTAATGAAGCATCTCAGTTAAATACTCAATCTATTTAAAATAAGATTCGGGATATTGATTTTGAAATAATTGACTTAATTTTTCTAATTCCCTATCCTTACATCTACATGTAATTTATAAGAATTCTATAAATTTTGCTTATTATGTTTAATTCAATTTGATTGTATAATCTAATTATTACATCAAATCCATTGCTTTATATGTATCATTTACAAATCCTTTATTAAGAGCCAACCAAACTTAATCATAATCAATTTATTCTAATTTGGTTTATGGAATGATGGCTTAAATTTATCTATCAGTTGGACATATTTCATCTAATGATTGATACAACTCTATAATTTTTGAACCATATATTTTAATTTGCAGAATCATTTTTTCGAAAAGTTCAATCTCAGATTCTACATTATCTTAAGGAAGCACTACAAGATTTGAGTTCACTTATTTGACATAATTCTAAATTTGGTAAAAGTCTTCATCAAATTCAAGGTACATGAATACAAATTTAAATTTATTATTGTTAATAAATATTAATAAAATTCTTCATCTTCTTAAATCCATTTAATTTTGATACATTTAAAGCATAAATATTTATAATTATTTCTAATCTTATGACATATATTCAAATTCTGTATCAATATTATTTGTTAGATTTTGGATGTTTGGTTTAGGATGTCCTATTTATTATTATTATTATTATTTTTATTATTATTATTATTATTCAAATTTTTATTGAAGCTTTTTTTATTTTATATATTCTGAATAATTCATTTATAGAATATCTGCTTCAATTTATTCTTATAATATTCTACCAATTATACTATCATTAGAATTATTAACATTTTAAGTTTCATTATTTTAAGTATTTCTATCTACTGCAGTTTCTTTATAATTATCTTATTATATCTATTATTGAAATTCAACTTCCATTTGTTAATCTTAATTAGGTTGACTTTAATTTTTGTTATAAGGAGATAATTCATTTTAAACTTATTTATTTATTGGATTCATCAATGGATATTTATTTAAGTATTAATCTTATATCAGATTTTATTAGAAATTTACGCCATATTAATTTTAAGAAGTTTGTATTGTTCTGAATTGAGCATCCTATTTCTATTATAATATATTAGGATTTTTTTTATTTTATTATTCATACAAATTCTATTAAGTCTATTATTGTTATAATTGATTTTAAGAAAATTTGAAGGGATGATTAGAATCATTTTAATACTAATCTTAGCTTTAATTCTATGAAACAATAGGCCCTTTAGAATTAGATGAAAATATTTATTTCTTTACATCTAAATTTTTGTAAGCCTCTTCAAAAACCTTTGGATATGAAATTAAATTTAAAAAATCTTAATTTTAGATTTAGTTTGGAAGCTAATAAGACTAAGGATAATTCATTTCGTCTTTCTGTTATTCTGTAATTTTAATACTATTTTATTTATACTCCTACTATTGCTAGACCTTATAGATATTTTATTATCGACAGCTTTGTTAATGAGAATTTAGATCTCTCTTTTTTATATATTACTTGCAATAATCACAAATTTCTGTTTTGCTAGAACAATAAATATCATGTTATGAATAATTATTTAAAGGTACTTCCATTTGACAATAGTTACAAAGAACTTATCTTTCTTTACAAATATGCTTTCTAAAATGATATTATATATAAATACGATAAATCTTAATAAGGAATATGACAAAATTAGCAAATTTCTTATTTATGAAATTCTTCATCATGTGATTCTTAATCGTTTTTATCATAAAGTTATCCACATCTATTGCATTTAATGAAATATTTTTCACAATAAATTTCATGTAATTACAACTTATTTTCCTCTACATATTTTCTACAAAATTTACAAAGCACCATTTTTATTATTTTTTTATATAAATGATATATAATTTATTATTTTCTATTAATTTTAAACCATTATAAACCTTTAACTTTTGAGGGCTTGTTCATTACTATACATTAATCAATAAAGTAGAAAAATCATTTTAAGTACACCATAAGTCTTGGTTTTAGAAATTTTTTTCAATTAATTTTATTAATGTAATTTCAAATACTCTAATGGTATTAGAAAGTAGATTTAATTTATTGATTTAAGTAACAATATTTTCATTTCAATAATGATCAATTAGCAAAGATATATAGAATTATAATGATTAAAATTCAGTTTTTTAGACCTACACTTAATTAATTACTTAGATATTTATAAATTATTGAGAAATCATACAATAATTACTTATATTTAGTACATGTGATTAAATTATTAATTCTAAAATATATGATTAAGTATATCAAACTTCTTTTTATCTTATCCTATTTATATGATGGAGTATATTTACATACAAAATTATCTAAAAAAGTATCATTTAAATATCAATAAATTCATTTTCATTATTATAAAAACTATACATATTATAATAAATAAAAATATGTTAAATCTTGAAAACATAGATTTAGTCAACAGCACTTCAAATCAAGTGAAAGTATTTTGCTATTCATTCTTTATTTGGACTTCAATATTTGCAATAATAAATTAGAAAGTCCATCTAAAGAATCATCCCAAGAAAATTTAAGATGATATCAAGAACAGAATTGTATCAATTATACATGGAGCCATAACATTCTGGGCTGCAGCTTATATTATTTTGGGTAAAATAGATATATGCATTTGAAGTTGAATAGCCAAGTTTTGGTGCAGTCAATTCTCAGACCATGCAATTTACAATGATAATTAGTGCGTCATATTTTGTCTATGATTTCCTTGCCTGTCTCTACTATGACCTTGCAGATATGTCCTTAGTCTCTCATCATTCTTTAGCCATTTGTGGATATGCTGTGGCTACAATCTCAAAGTTTGGAGCTCCATCTTCAATTTGTAAGTCTAAATTAATATTTTTTAGGGGGTTTGATGTCAGCTGAAGTATCCAATTTCCCTATGCATATGAGAGTGATCTTCAGACAAGTGGGATTGAGACATACTAAATTATATGAAGCATGTGAGTGGGCATATTTTGGTAATTAATCTAATAAACATTTATTAGCATTATATATTATATTCAGAGGTTCTTTAGTCCCATATATGGTATGGAATACTTGGCCAGAAAGCGAAGTTCCTTTATTGGTTAAGATAACAGCCACTGGATTATTCTTATAATCCGTATACTTCATATTTGAGTAAATCCACAAATAAATATTATTATAGAATGAAAAAGATTCTTACAAGATAATATTTCTAATATCAAGAAAGAAAGAAGAAAAACATTCATCATTATTGGTTTAGTGTTAATCCAAGAGTTTAAGAATTATCATATATTAACAATTAAAGAAAAGATAAAGTATTTTGAGTATGTATTAAAATATAAAATATTGTTTCAATAATTTATCATAATCTAAAAACTCATTAAAAATATAATCATAATTAAAATTAATATTATTCTATAATTATTATAATAGTTTAATTAAGTATTTTCCATATTTCTCAAACAAATACATTAAAATATTAAGTTAAAATCATTATAAGAATGAAAGTATAAAATATTAACATTCATTGACCATCAATTTATTATTTTATAGTTAATAATACATTGTTAATTTATAAATTATAAAATTAAAAATAAAGGAAGATTAAAGCATATTTAATAATAATTAATTCTCATATATATAATTAAACAGAAGTTTAACATTAAATCATATACTATATATAGTCTTTTTTATATATATCATAATCAATAATTTTTATGTCTTTAAACTTTATAAATGTATCATTTCTAACTTAAACATCTTTGTAAATATATTTATCGTTAATATTGTATCAATATAGTACTCAATATTATTGAACTCAATCCTCAATAAAAATTAAAGTTACTAAAGTTTGATCCTATATTACTTATAGTCTAGCCATTAAATTATGTATTTTAATTTAATAAATTTAAATCTCTTTCGAATTAAATTTATAATATCTATATAATTCCACCTATTATAAGATTGAGTATTATTCTTAGAATAATTCCATAACAAAGATTGTTAAAGTAGAAAAAAGTACTATTATAATTGCAATATTTTTAATCATATTAAATTATATCCATTTCATTATAATATTGTATAAAGAGATCTATTATAAATTTATAATTACCTTTTAATACAGAAAATAATTATTTTATAAGAAGATCTCTTTATAATTAATTTGATACTCTTTAAATAAAGAGATTGAAGGCAAAATTTAAAGTAAATATTTAAAAAATATAATTAATAAAATTATAATGAATTTCACTTTAGAGGGAAAACTTAAAATAGATTAATTTCTGCAATTACTCAAAATTTTCTCTTATCCTATTATTATATGTGATGATGAAAGTATTTAACTGATTTTAACTTAAAGAAATTCAATTTTCAGAAATACCGGATAATTAAAAATTTAATGAATTTAATAAATCAGATAAACCTGCTAGCTTTGCATAAATAAATAATGATTTCTTTAATGAATATTAATCATAAATTAGAGAAAATCATTTAAAATTTGCAGAAACAAGTTGTCTAAACATTAAAATGTAACAAGATGTTTGTTTATTAAATTCTTAATTGAACTATGTTTGTTGTTAAATTCCAATTGATATTATATATAAAGCACTTAAGCCATTAGCTAAATCTCACATAAAGGTTTTAAAATTGTCATTTTCTTACTTACTTATAGAAAAAGATTATGATAATAAATAAATTTAGTTACATTTTATAGTTGGAGCGTATTCAGAAAGAGGATTTTTCACTATCATGAAACCTGTAAATATGCTTCAATAAAAAGATATAGAACTTCCAAATTTAAATACTAAAGTAATAACTATAAATTATGAAAATTGCAAAACAATAATTCAACAAATGAAATCTTATCCAATTGGATTAATTTGTAATGTTGATGAAATATCATTCTCTCCATTATCTGTAGATTTAGAATAAATAGACATATGGTCAGGTGCTTTACCATATTATAATTCATCTTTTGTAGAAGAAATATATGGTAATTTAAGTATATAAGCAATTTATACAAAAACATATAATCCAATATTAAGTTATAGTGCAAAGGTTAAATAAGATTGCACAATCTATATAACTACATCTGAAAATGATACAAAAACAGCAATCTTATATTTTGTAGCAAGTGAATCAAACATCATAATTTGCAATAGATAATAAGTTATAACAAATGATGAATCAAAATAAAAGGGCAAGTTATTTTTAAATATTAACGATGAATTACTTGAAGAAATAGAATAAATAAGTAGTTAATTTGAAAAAAAGTTTTCTTAAATTCAAATAACTACCAATGTAAAAGATAATTACAATAATTGTTATGATAATTAACCTTTAAAAATGGCATATTCAGCTATTGATGATAACAACAGTAAAATGTATAGTACAATCAATTAAAAGGAACCTTTATTGTTTGTCCCACCAAAAGTTACAGGATCAATAAATGATGCTATTTTAGACTATATGACCAGAAATTCTTGTAAATAAACTACTAATACTTTATCACGATATAAATCAAATTTTTAGAATTGAATATATATATATATTTTTCATTTAATATTATAAAACCCTGAATCCTATCGTGTAATCCAATAGATTATAGATGAATAAAAAGCATTTGTGATTAGATTTTTAAATGAAATACATTAATTAGATTTAAATTAATTGTAAAATTTAATATTTATTATTACAATGTATTTAAATTTATAATTACTGACTTTCACATTTAAACAAATTTTTTATTGTTTTCTTAATTAATTTAAATGAGTTGATAAAAAGTCATAAGTATCTTAAATTCTTATACTTAAGAAGTTAGATGATATTCAAATAAAAAAATATAGTTTTAGAATATAATATAATATAATATAATCAAAATATAGTACAACACTAATTCTTCTATTTTTTGTTTAATTGGATTTAATATGCAGGATTACAAACATCTATATTATAATTTTTCCAATTTTCCACTACAAAAACATCATTTTATTATTTAAAAGTAACAATCTTTTAACTATTAGTTTCATCTTCTAGATTTTTGACTTGCATATAACATTCACTTAGAGAAGGTCCAAAAATATGAATTTTTTCATTTGTATTTTAAAAAGTATATTCATTAATTCTTTGTGAATTCATTTCTTTTTATTTATATGAATTTAAAATCATTAATTCAATTTTTATTTAAGTAATGAATATATATCAGAATTGATCCTATGATAATCTTCTTTTCTTCTAGTTCATATGGTCTTTATTTTATACATATAATTTTAATTAACTAACATAAAATATCTTATATAATTGATGTAAATTTATCATAGTTAAGAATAACCTTAAAGTTATTCAAAATTTAATGATCAACTTTCTAATTATGAATTTTTATAAGGGAAAGTTTAATTTTGTAGTTATTTTTATTAGTAAATCACTTAATAGATATCATCTGTATTGGATAAAGAATAATTAAATGATACTTGATTGATGTTAATAATTTAAGTATATTTATAAAAATAAATATAAATATATCATTAAAATTATTAATAAAAACATAAGATAAAGTTAGAAAAAGTGTCACTCATCTCAATTTTATTTTATTATTAAAATACACATCCAAAAATTGATTATTATTTTAGTAAAATTAATCATATAAGCACTCTCAAAAAATCAATAAAATCATTATAAAATTCATTATCCTGAAAAGCTCAGTCTTTTAAAATTCTTTAGGATGACTTCAACTTCAATGATAATTCTTCCATTTGAAATACTATTCAAAATCTTTCTCCTTGCAAAATCTCCTTTATCAGTTGTTAATGGTGCCAATGTTGTTAATCTAGGAGGGTTTTCCATATAAAATGATAGGGCTTGAAATCTCCAATCCAAAGATCTATCAAATTTTGAGAATTAATCTGTATTAGTAGCTAAATCTTCATTAGGTTTTCTTATTTCAAGATCTAAATTCTCTCCAGTTGGTGTCCATGTTTCACTAAATAGATTTATTATTTATACCATGTTATTTAATGATAACCAGCACTTCTTGGAAAAATTGCTGTACCATAACTACAAGCATCAATTTTATTTGATGAATCTAATCTCCAAACTTTTAATAAAGCTTTAGGCCATCCAATTATATTAGATACTGAAAAGTGTAAGTCAAATGGATGACCCCATGAAAAAAGTTGTCCTGGCTATTTGAATTATTTATTTGATATTTTTACATTTGCATAACTTGTTTAAGTTTGTATTCCTTTATTGTTTCCTGGTTGTAATAAATCCCATCCATCACCACAATCTATAGCTAATTCACAAAAGAGTCCATCATCTGTTTGAAAATCAAGTCCACCCACAATTTATCCTATTAAGTGTACTTCTGCTTTTAAATCAGCCTTGGTTTATTTTACTTCTTAATAATCTAATTGATTTCCTGTTTATTGATAAGGCATACTCATTTTCAAATTTTAATAGTAAATAATATATAATTTAACATAGATGATTTTATTGACATTTATTTAAAGATACCTTTTCATATAGCAATACAAGTATTATGAGAAAGAATACTATAATATTTAAATATATATTATAATACTAGTAATTCATTTTATATAGAAATTAAATTTATTATTAAATATAAAATATGATCAAATATGAGCTTCTAGATAATTCTGGTTGAATTTAAGAAGGAAAATATTTTATAACTAAGTTTTTAAGTCCAAAAGAATTTGTGATGCTCATTTAATAATTTATATTCATAAATATTATGTGTGATCACAGAAAAAGACAACTCACATATGATGATTTAGATAACTCAAATATGATACCTAGAGCACCTCTAATTAAGTATTTATATATTTCTATAATTAAGACCATTAAAAGATTCTTCCATCTTAATACCTGAACTATAATTAACTTATGAAAGTCCAAATCACTTTAAATAGATTCCATTAACAATTATATCTGAAGATGAAAGACTAGAAGGGTTTTAATTACCATTAGTGGGTAAACACATCAAAAAGAGATAAAGATTTTAAAGTGAAAATGTTCGTCACACAGTCATAAACATGATGGAAAGACAATTATTAAGTAGAAAATCTTCAAAAATACAAATAGAAAGCAATATATTTTGATATTTATAGACATCTCTGTATATTATAATGGTTTACATTTAAAATTATAGAACATTTTATTTAAATTTTATGAATCACTCTAATGTTTATACTAAATTATATAATAATTTAAATTATTTAAATTTATTCATATATATATTTATATTTATATGAAATTCATTCATTCATTAATTCTCTCCTAAAAAAGTTAGGATTTGTAAGCGATTCCTAATTATAATTAATAATTTCATTTTGTTCTCTCAATATCTTAAGTATTCTATTCCAATTCTTTAAATCCTACCTCATAGTACGACTAGTTCCAAAAATAAATTAACAATATTTTGCTCTAGACAATGCTACATTTGCTCTCTTCTTATCTTTTAAAAAACCTTATTTATCATTTGATCGTACAAGTGATAGAATTATTATTTCATTTTCTTTACCTTGAAATGAATCTACAGTGTCTAATTCAACATAATCTAATAAATTTCTTACATTATCTTCTGGTTAATTAAATTAAAAAGTCTCTTATCTTAATTTTTTTTATATATTCTCAGTTTAAGCTCTATAAGCACTTATAATAGTAATTGGTTTTTAATGATTTTGAGGTAAGGTTGAACCATTTAATAAATATTTAGTTAGTTTTATTATGGCTAAGCATTCTAAATCATTTCTTTTACTAGTTTCTTCATCACTTTCTGTAAATGCAGGAGCACTGAAAAAAAGTCTATTGCGATTATTAGATACCTTATATGAAATCCAATCAGGAAATTACATATTTTGGATTCCATTTCTCAATTAATTTTTATAAAAGAATTATGATGTAATTTATGCAAGATTTGGCATTTATCTATATTATTCTATCAGTTTTAATGTATCTTATTTTAATCCTTTAGCTAATCTCTAAAACAAAGATCTATTATAACCCAATTCATTTGATTCTTTTGCAATAACTATTGGATTGAGTTAATTAATATCTCCCAATAATACAATTTTATCAATGAATTTATATTTTACAAATGGTATTAACAAAGAAGGTTCTAATGCAGTTGGTGCTTCATCAACAATACACATTCTAAGTTTTACTTTTTCGAAATACTTTTCCAAACAAAGTTTAGAACAACTATTAAGAGTTGTAACAATAATATGACACTAAATAATTAATTATATTTTAATACTTATTCTAAGTAATCTTATTCTATCTCTTCATAAACTTTCTTTTCATTTTTAATTAATTAAGACCATTAACTATATAAATTTCCGTATGCTTCCAAGATTTTCTAATTGCGTGTTCTAAAATTAAGTTCTTCAATATAACTCAATAAAGTTATGAGATTACTTTATTAACCTGTCTCTTATAGATAAACTCCAAACTCTTTTAGGCCATTTTGCCTCATTATTAATTTTATTTCAGATGTTATACATTTATCTTCTAATTCTTTAAAATTTTTCTTAGTTTTGAAATAAAAAAAATGATGTTAAGATCTTATTTCTAAGCTCAATCTTATTATATCCTTGTCACATTTTTCTGGTCTTCCAAAACGAAGCACTTTTAATTTATTAGGCTTTTTGTTAAAACAATAGATAATTGAATTTTCTTCTTCAATATTCTTCTGAATTTTTCTAATTAAATCATTGACAACACTATTTGATTTTGCTAATAACAAAATACCTCCTTGAGAATTATTATCAGATCTTATTAATAATTCTGACATTATGGAAATAATACCTATAATGGTTTGTGTTTTACCTGTTCCTGGAGGTCCTTTAATGATTGTAAACTATAAAGATAATTAATAAATATTATACTCTTTTTGTAAAATCTAAGGCATGTCTAATTGAATTTAATTAATTTTCATTGAATTATCTAGTAAATATCTAATTTTAAAAGTATAATTATTATTGTATCCGTGCTCTTTAACTAAAATCTGAAGCATTAACAAGATTTAATTATTAACATGGACTCAATAATAATTTATAGAATGGACATTGAGAGAGATTAAAAATAGTTTCTGTTTCATTCAAATATGAACTTAAAGGACTTATTGGTATGAAATAAATAAGCAATTTTTAATCCCAAATAAAAGAGGATTTATACTTCTATTTTTTTTGATTTTCGATGCAAACATTTTTATAATGGTTTAACTTTTCATTAGTAGTAAATATGTTTTCAAAATTAAGCAATTTCTTCACTTCTTTTGTATAGGGCAATATTAATTAAATTTCATCTTTTTTCTTTTAATATATAGCTAAAGACGTAAAGTAATCATTTGGTTTATTTGGATTCCTAGTGTAAATAGCTCCAAAATATTGTTATGATTGTTTAAAAATTAAATATTGTGCATAATGATTATATTTCCAAAATTCATTGTCATCAGATTATTCATTATTCATTTGTTCCAATTCCCTCAACACATCAAATATGATACCATCCTCTCTATTAGGATCTGCATCTTCATTGAGTATAACTTCAAAAACAAGGGGAAATTAATCACTATCTTGTAAATTTTTTAGAAATCTAAATTATTCCCTTTTTAATGAACGATAATTTTCATTCTAAAGCAGTGGAAATACAAGGTCTTAATATTCTTCAACTGATTTAAATTATTAATATCCTTTTAAATTATCTACCTGTCCTTCCTAAATAGCTGTTTAAAAAGCTGAATTTGTGAGCACACAAATAGGTTATGAGTACTATTAGTATTCACTAATCATATTATTAATTTATTAATATCTTAAACTCTTAATAAATATTGTAGTATTTGAACTTAATTTAATAGACAAAAATTGTATTACAAATATAGTATTATAAATTTAAATATATAAAAAAAAATAATAAATTAAAGAATTTAAGTTCTTTCTAAAAGACAGTTAGAAAGTTCTTCTTTTGATAATAAATTTATATTTCTTTATTTATTTATTATTAATAGTTGTTAAATGACAATCAAGGTTAATAAGATGATCATTTCTTACAATTCTGCTTTAATACTTAGATAAAATTTTATGTATAAAACTCAACTCTACTTTTTTAATAATATAGATGTAATAAGTCAAAATTGATTAATCCTCTCTTCCCTCATTGATTAGGACAAGGATTAGTTTTTGAGTTTAAATTCCCCCTAATAAAATTGGCTAGTAGAGTTCTAGTTTAAAGTAATGCTGTTGGATCTTCAAAATTTATTCTAGAACTTAAAATTTTAGTGTTTCCTTTAGGATCTTTTTCTTTCTTTTTACTTAATGGTTATATTCTAACTGTATGTGCTGATGAATCCATCTCGATTGTATAATATAATAATTAATATATTTGATATCATAAATTTCGCTCATTTTTTAGTGAAAAACTTAAAAACAGAAACTATTTAATACTTCTTTTAAATTTATGAAATCATAATTTAATTAATATTTGATTGAAATAAGTATTCACTTAGGTTTCAAAGGGATTTAGATATTACTTAGATTGTAAATTGTATAAACACATATTTTCATTAAAATAATTTGGAATAAATAATAATTGATTTATTTGTATATAATAATCTAATAATTAAACATGATTACTTAAACAAAAGTCTAAAGTAGCATCTGATGTTTGAATTAGATTATAATAGTATTTAATTATTATGTATTATATGATATAGAATAGAATTTGAAAGATAATCAATAAATTTATAAAATATAAATAGTAAGTTGGAAATTTAGAAAGTGTTTACTAGTAATAATCATTGTAAATAAATAAAATAATGGGAAATGAATGTAAATGCTTTCAAGCATATGAAGAACCAACTTAAACATTGATCACAAAGAGTGAGAGATCAAATGAAATACGAAAATAATTAATTAGCGAAAGAAAACTCTTAAAATAAAGGAGACATAATACTGAAACAATATATTAGTCAACCAATAATTGTAATCAAAAATCATCAAAGTAATCTCAAAGAAATGATGTCTAAGGTTAATATTGTTACTTTTAAAGTATTAACTCTTATAAAGAGTTTAATTCACTCTAAAATCCTTTCTAGAAATTTGAACCAAGTTAATCGTTATAACATTAAATTGCAGAGAAGAAAAAGTCTTATAGTAATCTACTTTATGATGGAGATTGGGTATCTAATTAGATCATAATAGTTAGGTGAGGTTCGAGATGGTTTCGGTGAATAAATTTGGAAAGATGGAGCTCGTTATATAGGTGAGTGGAGAAATAATTAAGCTAATGGTTATGGTATCTTTTATCATGTTGATGGTGATATTTATGAAGGATTTTGGAAGGATGATAAAGCACAAGGATATGGAGTTTATATGCATAAAGATGGATCTAGATATGAAGGCGATTGGGATTAAGATCTTTATCATGGAACTGGTTGTGAAATATGGGTAGATGGGAGTAAATATGAAGGATTATATTCTAAAGGTATGAAAAATGGATAAGGAATTTATAAATGGCCTGATGGTAGTGTTTATGACGGATAATGGGAAGATAATAAAATGAATGGTTTTGGTAAATATACATGGGCAGATGGAAGATATTATGAAGGTTAATGGAAGAATGATATGATGCATGGTACTGGAATTCAAATATGGCCAGATGGGAGAAAGTATGAAGGAAATTATGAATTTGATAAAAGAAGTGGTTTTGGTATAATGGAATGGAGTAATGGAAAAAAATACGAAGGTTATTGGTTAAATGGTAAATAACATGGTGAAGGTAAAATAATAAGTGCAAATAATGAAACCAAAGTATGCTAATGGAGAAATGGTTAGAGACTTTGATATATGATATTGTTTTAGTAAATATCTAAATCTTATAAGCTACAAACTACAAAATTATCAATGAGATAGTAGTCATCTAATACAAGTATCAACCAGAATAAACGATAAAAGATCTAATGATTCATATATTCTGAACTTATTTAAGAATAAATCACTTATTCTATGGAATAAATAAGATCAAATTACAATATCAGAATTAGAGAAGGGATAATCTGTTTACTATAATAAATTTGTATATTTATAATAAGAATGAATAATCACGAATTCAAGAAAAATAAGACAAATAAATAGAAATTCTTTAGGACGAATTAGAAAAATGAATCATATTTTAATATAATCTTAAATTTAAATAATTCTAAGGTCTCTGAACAAAGAATATTAGAATATACAATAATATATTGTACCTATAGATTTAATATTTATTATATATATATTTTTATAGTTTTAAGTTTATTATGATAGAATATTTATTTAATGTATTACATATTAAATCATGTAATATTTTTATAATGAAAAATAAATCTGCAATTTATATAAAGATTAATTTATTTTTAACTCTTTATAAATGCAAGACCATGAATTATCCTAGTGAATTAATACATTTATTTATTAATAATCAATTTAGAATTATTAATAATAATTTTGGTGATTTACATAATTTTATTATAAAATGTGATCCTATTGAAATTTTCATATTATATATAATGTTTAAGGAAATAATAATAAAATATCCAAATTGTCAATGATAGTTTATTATAGATAATCATTTGATTTTTTGTCATAAATTTTTTTATACATAGGATTTCAGATAATTTATAGGTTCATCTCTTTTTAGATAATATAATATTGCTTTTTATAAATGATTAGTCTTTTCATTTATAAAAAAAGTGATATAAAATTATGAAACCTTTAAATAAAAATGTATAAGTAATTCATGATTGGCATGATGGTCCAGTTAGAGTGAATCTGAAAAAGTATTGGAAAAAGAATCCTATGGATTACATTTAATTACCTAAACCTTATTCTCAAAAGAATAAGATAACTTATTCAAAAAGAATCATTAATGATTTCGTTGAAGTTGTCAATAATAGATAAGAGATGGTTAATGGTATTGTTGAAACAGCCAATCATTTTTAGATGGCATCATCCAAAATATAAGATTGTTTTGCTGAGTTTTATGGTCCTGAAACTCATTATCAATAAGAATTAGATAGAGTTTTAGATAATGTCAAACCTGAATTTAGATACATAAAAGCAATAGCACATTAGAATCTAAAAAAAATACATAGTCTTTTGAGAAAGTAAAAACATGAAACTCAATAGGAATTGCATCCATTTAAAATAATGACTAAAAAAGATAAATTGTTTTTACTTAGTGATCCAAAAAATGCTGATATTTTAAAAAGTGATTCCAGATAATCTAGAACAGAAACTGTTACTATTACTCCTGGAGAGGATAAGTTTACATCATAATATAAAATAATGATACAAAAAGAACATTAAAGAGAACAACAAAAATAAAATATGATTTAAATTAGATTGTTTGATAGTTAACTGAAATATTAAGGTGATGATTTTGTAAAATAGAATATATTCAAATCAAACATGAAACATACCTACACTCCTAAAAATATTGATAAAAATTATTATGTTAATAATTTGAGACATTCTACTTAGGAATCTGTTGAATTTAAAAATCCATCCCATTTCAAAACAGCTATACATAGTCGTCACATAAGCAAATATACATCTCCTAATGGTTCCCAAGATTTGATCATTGGATATGACACTATCAAAGAAGATAAAGTTAATCCTTTGTAATATTCAAGTGAAGGCAATAAAAAGAGATCTTATCGCTCTTTTAAGGATTTAATAAATTAGCCTAAGGAATTTGAAATCAGAAATATGACAGATACAAAAAAATATACAAGAACATCATCCTAACCTATACTAAGTCATATATGATGTTTAAATTATCATTTTAATTTAAATTAAAATTAAACAATACTTCTTTTCATAATATTTACAGGATAATCTTATGTTTTTATCTTTATAAATGAATATCAAAACAAACACTTAATAATTATGTTATAAGAAGCTTATTATATTTGTGTGAGTACATAATGCTAAAAGGAAAGAATATTAAAAAATTGGGAATCCATTGTTGCTCATTAAAATGAAGGTCATGAAGTAATATAGAAAGAAGATTTAATTAATACTATTAATGTTAAATTAAACAAAAAGAAAACAACTTTACTTTAAGATTTATTAGCAAGAATTCATAAAATAATGAATAATTAAGAAGATGCTTTGATATCTTTAATAAATCAAAAATTTTTTGAATCTTACACAAATTGGAAAGAGTAAATCTAATCATTTTAGCAATTTTAAGATTCCTTACTTCCAAATTAAATTGATGAAAATACAACTATTTCTAAATTAATTGATATCTATTAGAATTTAGATAATGAATAACTTCACTTTTTTAAAGATTGTCTATATTAAACAGAATAACAATATAATGCACTCTAGATATAAATAAAGATGTCTTTAAATAAATCTGATGAATAATTTAAAATGCTTCAATAATCTTTATTTAATTAAATATAAGAAAATAAAAAGTAAAGAGAATTAAAATTATAATATCATTAAAATAACAATAAAATATAGATTGTTAATTTTTAAAATACATAATCAGAAACTGTACCAATATAATAAAAAGATATTATAATAAAAAATACAATAGATTTTTAGAATACTTTTAAGGATATTTAATTAAAGAATGATTTTTAAATTGAAAAAGAAACATTAATTTTACAAGAAATCAATCAATAAAGAGAATAGAATCAAAAGAATCATTATGATCGTTAAGAAAATGGATATAATTTAACTACTAATAATAACAATAATAAATTAAATGAGAAATCACAAAAATATATTGTATTGACAAAATAAAAGGAAATTCGTAATAATTAACATTTTGAATAATATTCTAATGTCAAATAAAATTCTGAAGAACTTATTTAAAGTTTAAAATTATAATCAGATACTTAATATATTAAAAAATCAGAAAATAATATTAAAGATAATAAATAGCTAACAGATATCATATCTGAAATTAAAATATTACCTTTAAAAGGATACAAAGATCATTAACAATAATAAAATAATATATAAAATGTTAATAGCAAAGATTAAATTGAATAATCTATAACTTCAGTTAATCAAATAATTCACTAATCATCCATTTCACCATCAAAACCCCCACCTTTAAAAGGTTATAAGGATAGATAAAATGAAGAACAAAAAAATATAAAATTAACAAGATCTAATGATAAAAGAAATTATTTAGATACTGATTAAATCAAAGATATATCATAAAACACATCAAAAAGATTTGATATAGATAAATCTGAAAAACATATGAAATATTCTAATAAATTTAGCACAATCTTTAGTATAAAAGAGTGTTTTGCTGTTGTTGATGGAGTTTTTAAATTAACAGATAATCATTAATTTCATATTTATTTAAGGTCTTCAGTAGAAAGTTATGAAATAGAAACAGGAATGATTAATTTAACTTAAATAAAGTAAAAAAATGCATTTCCATCAATTTATGGAATCAATGAAAAAGGAGGTATTTAATCAATTTATTATTTTAGAACTTTTGTTTAATTAAACAAAAACTCCAATTAAATTAAACTTAAATTAATCCTATTTATTTGCATATAGAAAAGATGAAAAAAATCTAATATGTTTAGATTCAATGAATAATATTCAATATGCAATACAATTACCAAACGATGAAAATTCTGATTATGTCTTCTTTATTAAAATGAGCAATCTAGAAGTCTAACTTATTTGAAGTATTAAGTATTTTGTATAATATACAGCATACATACATATATTTCATATTAATTTATTAATCATTCTTATTATTGATTTGATATATTGAGACATATAGTTAATATATATACCATTCTTTAGTGTCTAAATATAAGAGGAATCTTTTCTATTATTATATGATTACATACTCTATGGCTATGATTTTTTTATATGAAAGTTTGAAAGATTTCCTTTAATTAATGAATAAATTTAAAACTGCACTGAAGGTATGTTTCTCTTTTAAAGGGATAGTTAGGGAAAATCAAGGTGCTTAATGTTGCAGAGAAGCCATCTGTTGCAAAGTCTATTGCAACTGTGCTTGCTCGTGATTACAAAATAGAAGAAACCAAATCACAATACAACAAATTATTCAAATTCAATTTTAAGTTTGGAGAATAAGAAGCTGAAATGTGGATGACATCTGTTACAGGACATTTAAAGAATCTAAAATATCCTAAGTAATATTAGAAATGGGATTAATGGGATCCTCTCATTATATTAAAAGATGCAGAAATTGAAAATATAATTCCTTATGAAAAGAGTATCATATTAAGCTAAATCTAGGATTTTTGGAAGAGAATTTATAACGTTTTGCAAAAGAATGTAGTCAATTAATCCTTTGGTTGGATTGTGATAGAGAAGGTGAAAATATTGCATTTGAAGTTCTAGAAGTTTGTAAGGATTCAAATCCATAAATTCAAGTACATCGAGCTCATTTTTCAGCAGTTACTTATGTTGACATTAAGAAAGTAATTTATAATCATCATATTATATTTTAGGCATTAGAGAATTTAAAATAGCCAGATGAAAATTTATCTAATTCTGTACTTGCTAGATAGGAAATCGATCTTAGAATAGGAGCTTCTTTTACTAGATTTCAAACACTGTTATTATAATAGCAATTCAATTTATCTTCAATTATTAGTTATGGTCCATGTTAAATACCTACATTAGGATTTGTTGTATAAAGATAAAAAGAGATTGATTCATTTGTGAAAGAGAAGTTTTGGTTTATTTCATGTGAAGATTAAACAGGATGTTAATATAATTGGAGTAGAGGGAATATTTTTGAAGAAATGATAGTATTATTATTATTTGAAAGATGTTTTACAGAATAAGCAAAAGTAACTGATGTTTAATAAAAAGAAGTATAAAAGTGGAAACCATTTCCTTTATCAACAATTGAATTTGAAAAATTAGCTTCAAAAAAACTTAGAATATCTGCTCATAAAGCAATGGAACTTGCTGAAAAATTATATAATAGAGGTTATATTAGTTATCCAAGAACAGAAACCAATAAATTTCCACCTACAATTAACTTATAAAATATTATTAGGGATCAAACTAATCATCCTGTATGGGGACAATATGCATAAAACTTAATTAATTCTAATTTTGATTAACCTAGAGCAGGTACTAAAGATGATAAAGCTCATCCTCCAATACATCCAGTAAAAATGATGTCTGAATCAGAAGCTTAAACTACATAAGAATGGGATATTTATTAATTAATTACAAGACATTTCTTAGCATGTTGTTCTAAAAATGCAAAAGGATCTGAAACTACAATTAATTTATAAGTTAAAGATGAATCTTTTTATAAATAGGGTTTGATTATTACTGAAAAGAATTATTTAGAAATTTATCCTTATGATGAATGGTCATAATAATAAGTTCCAAAATATAATAAAGGGGATGTAATTTAAATTAATTTAAAAGTTCAAAATGGTAAAACATCTCCTCCTAAACCATTAACTGAAGCAGAATTAATTGGAATGATGGATAAAAATGGTATAGGAACTGATGCAACAATTCATGAACATATTAATACTATTTAAGAAAGAGAATATGCAATTAAAAAGGGTTAAATTATCAAACCAACTAAACTTGGGCTAGCATTAGTTGAATCTTATGAAGTGTTAGGATTTACATTACATAAACCACACTTAAGAGCTCTAATGGAATAAAGAATGAATGAAGTAGCATAAGGGATGAAATAGAAAAAAGACATAGTAGAAGCAACAATTGATGAAATGAGTGGAATACTAAAAGAATTATAGTTAAAAAAAAATTTGATCCTATCCACTTTTGGATAATATTTAGAAGCATTAAAAGATTATGATGAAAATAATGATGATGATAATACATAAAATAGAGAATTACCATAATAAAATTAATAATTATACTAACCATAAAGACGAAATAACCCAACATAATAATAATAATAATAATAATAATAATAATAATAATAATAATAATAATAATAATAATAATAATAATAATAATAATAATAATAATAATAATCATCAAACTTTTAGTCATAATGTAATAAATGTGGTACATAACTTGTAGAAATTAAATAAATCAATGGATCAATACTTGAAGTATGCTTAAAATGTAGATAAGGTCAAGAAAAATCTTAAAATAATAATTCTTCTAACTACTAATCCAAATCTTTTAAAACAACTAATATTGAAGAAACTTTCAAATGTAATTAGTGTAATAATTAAATGAAAATAAGATAATCAAAATTAAAGAATACTTAATTTTTTGGTTGTCTAGGATATCCATAATGCAATTAAGCAATATTCTTACCTGATTATATAAAATCTATTTAGAGAACAGAGAAAAAATGTAAAAAATGCCATTCTATTCTATTTTAAACAGAATATTCAGAGAATTCAACTATATAACAAAAATCTTAGTTGCTCTGTCTATATCCTGGATGTTCTGAAGGATTGAAGACTGAATGGAAAATTCAAAACAAAGAATCATAATAGACAAATATAAACTTTTCGAAATAAAAATAGGGTTACTTATCAAAGTAAGTTTAATGTAAAAAATGTAATGGTTTTGGACATCAAGAAGATGTGTGTAATTATAATACTAAAACCATGGTTTACTTAACAGATACCAAGTAAGAATAAAAAAAAAATAAACTCTGCCCTTCATGTGGTATTATAGGAAGACATCCAAAAGGCTCCAACTGTCCTATGAAAAGAGTAAAGAAGAAAAATGAATGAACTCTCCTTTATTTATGAAGTTAATATATAGACTCACTCTAAAATCAAATTGATTATCTTTAGACTAAATATTCTGAGTCTTCTTAGCAATAGGCAATTTAGGCCTTCTGTTTATATAAAAATTTAATCCTTAAAATATCTCTTATATCAATTTTATTTAAAATTAAGAATATAAATTGAGATAAAAACAAAAAGAATTATAACAATATGACTGCTCATTTCAGAAAAGGAAACTCATAAATACAAGCAGCGATTTTTCGAAATAACTTACTTTCCAACTTAATTTGAAATTTATTATAAATCGAACATTTTAGTAAATAAATGAATATTGGAAAGCAACAATGAAAAATTTTATCCAATAATGATTTAAACTTTAATTAATGTTCTTAATACTAAAGGCTAATTTGTTTTAGGCATAGAGTAAAATATGAACATGATTTAAATGCTAAATGATTTTCTGCTTAAATCTAAAGAAATTGTCAATAATCTAAAGTAAATAGGAAAAATATGTTTAACTATTTGCTTGAATTTTAAAAAAAAGTTTATTAAAATATATAGTAGTATACATATTATTCTCACTTGAATTATCTAACCTCAGATTTGTCCTAAGATTTTGAATAAACCTAGAGGGTATAAAACGATTTGCAAGGTTTTCTATCAATCATTTATAATTTAGTTTGTCGTTTATTAATTGCGAATTGTAAATTATAAATAGCAGGTTATCTTTATGTACTTATTTTAGTTAGAGGAATGCTTGTTTTTTCATTAGTCTCAAAAACAAAATAATCTGTATATTCAGTTTTAATTTAAAGTTTATGTTGTTTTGCTTTTTGAATTCTTGAATCAAGAGGAGCTCTAATTCCTTCAATATATATTCCACTAAGACGTTTTGACTTGGACATAGAACTCAAACTGCGTCTTTAGAGCAAATAATCGAATAAACTTTTTCTACCCCTTAAAGGAGTTGGCTGCATAAATTAATATATAATCCCATAAATTTTAAATACAGAAAAGGTATATTAAATGAAGTGTTAGTTAATTAAATAATGAATATGATGAAATTTGATAGGGACATCTGCTTATTATGATGAACATATCTTCGCTAGTCCTGACTAAATATATTATTTTTATTGAATTTAAAATAATATATATTTATGATAAAAATAATACTTGGATTGGTAATCCTAGTCAGTGTAGTAGCTTAAGATGCAATCATATGTAGTGGTTTCATTCGAATTCTAAAGGCAGATAAATAAGATATAAATGTGAATCAAATTGAAATGAAACTTTTAGGATCAAACAACTAATTCATTGATTATATTGAGATATCTGAAAATGGATTCTATTCTATAGAAATTGAAGATGATGGTACTCCATTAATCGATTACATTATCTTTATTTAACCTAAAGTTAAAGGATTTATGGCCAGTCCAAATTAAATTAATTTAAAATTCCAATCAAAAACATTTGATGAGGCAAGCTCATTTTGTAATAAATAATTGAATTTCTCTATCAAAAGAGCACCTGTTGAAGAGCCAAAATAATAATAATAACAATAATAACAATAATAATAATAACAATAATAATAATAGCAATAATAATAACATGAATAAAAACAATAGGAATAATAATAATAATAATAATAATAACAACAATAAGAAGTGAATTAAAATTAAAATGATAAAGTTGAATAGTAATAAGAATAATTAGAAATAGATTAACATATTGAATATATCAATAGTAATTCTAATAATTAAGATTATGATTAAACTTATGATGAGAAGTAAGATAAAGAATTAGAAAAAGAATAAATATAGGTTGATGAAATATAGGAAGAATTATTAAATGGAGATATTGATGAAAAATCATTTGATCATTTTAGATTGATTGGATAAATAATCTTTGATGGAGATTTCACTTAAACTGAGAAAAATTTATATTTCATTAAATCATTTAAAGTTTTTGATAATTTGGATGGTAATATATTTCATTTATTTTCTAGAGTAAATTTAAGGAAGAACATTAAGTTTCTAAAATTATTTTGAAGTAGAAACTAATGAAGCAAAAACTCTAAAATTATAATTAACTGTAGAGAAAACTAAAGAAAAAGGAGAAAGTGTCAACAAGTAGATAAACTTTGAATAAAAAATATCTAAGATTTAATTGCTCAATAGATAAATAAGTGCTCAACCAGTAAAAATATTATTTATATGTAGATTGTGTTTGCTATAAAGAAAGAAACCCAATATAAAGAATAAAATAAGGTAGGTTAGGTATTTGCACCATTATTAATATTTGGGTTAGTTTTGGCAATGTTTAATTATGATAAAATATTAAAAAAAAAGTGATTCTATATAATATGTATATTTATGTAAAAGCAAATATATACAATTAATAGTAAAATCAAGTTTTATTTATATTTTTTATTAAAGATTTTAATTAATTTTTTTCGAGTAAGGAGTGTGTATTTAGTATCTACAGAACATTATGTCATTATGTTGATATATTATATAAATTTTGTATATAATTATTAAATATAGTTTCAAATTTTACAATTAAGTAAATTTATAAGTATAAGAACTATTCTAATTTCATTTAAAAATAATACCTGAATGTTATTCAAATAAAATAATTTAATAATATATCTAAGATAAATCCTGAAAAATTACAAGTTTTCTTAACAAAAAATTTAGAAATAATTATTATCTTAAAAATTTATATTCTAAATTAATATTACTTTACACAAAATTCCTTAATTATTATAGATTTTAATAGATGATATTTTTTATAATATTTAAATAGATTGAGTCTGAGTCTCAGGTAAATGGCAAAGTTTTTTTAATGTAAAATTATTCTAACTTCTGTAAAAAAGGTCAAAAGTTATTTAGTAAAATTGAAAGTCATAATAACTCATCTTGAAATTGTATTTTAATTTGAATTTAAAAATTAGCTTACGAACTTTTATTCATTTAGAATATTGAATTGTTGTTTAGATTTGAATATTATTTAATTTAGTTTTAATTTTATCGAAATAGATATAATGATCAAAATCCAAAGTTTTTGTGAGTAATTTAATTATTTGTATAATTTTATACAGATTGTAGTGATTTATTATCCTGATTAACTTCGACTACATGTAATTCAATACGAAAATCTTTTTAGAAGGTTTTACCAGATTTATCCTAATGTGAAAATAAATGAATACTTTGCATGCTTTATCTAGCATAAATTTATCTATCATGAGGACACCCGTATAATCAAAGAAGTCACAATTAAACCAAGCTTGAAAGAGTTTCTCACTGCTTAGAAATTTAATTATTTTACATACCTTGAGAAAAATCCTTAATTTAAGAATTATAAAAGAACATCACCTTATAAAATAATGTCTTTGAGTTTAAATTCAATATATGGCTCTAATTTATATTCTTTAACAGGGAATTAATTTTTAGAATTATACTCTTTGTCTCTATTTTAAATTCTAAACCAAGGAGCACAACCTCCCAAGAATTTAACATTAGGTACTGGAATCAATCTGATTTTAACCAATTCAACTTATTTATTGGGCATGTTATCAGGAACCCACTTATTATTGAGAGCTTTTTCAAAATAAAAGATATATCTAATCTGTGAAGGGATAGTGACACCCTTGAAAAGTTTATTAAAATATTACTTTTTTATTTTTGGTTCTTATCATACCATAATATCTCATAGAATCATAAGCATTGGTGAATTATCTTGCATAAAGCATATAACAACATATCATGACACCAGTACGTCCCTTAAGCTTTATAAATATTTATTACTTTTCCTGCTTTACAATGAATTCCAGCAACATTTTTGTCATGAGTTTTTAGCCAATTATCCTAAATATATTATAAAATTAAATACTAAATCAAGACAGAATTCATAAATAAGAGAGAAAGTGGGTGCTTGATGATCTTGGAATGGAAATTCTGCTACTTAATTAAAATTAGAATGATCATATTTTCTTTCTTCACAAAGATTATAGACTTTATAATGTCCTGGATGTACTGAATCAAAAAATCTTCTAACATCCTACATTGAATTTCTGTATATAGATTCAATGTTTTCTGCAGGGAAACCCATAGCAATAATCTTTTCAGTGATATCTAATATAATGATTAAAGAATACATGTCAAATCTAAATTAAATCCATTGTAATTGTATCTTCTTTTCTATTTGGAAACCAATAATTTAATGGGATTTGGAACACTCGTTATATTTTAATGATTTCCACTAATATGTTGATTCACTTAATTGACTTCTTATCTTAATTATTGAGTGCTAACTCTTTCTCTTAAATTAATTTCCTATCCTTTTTAATCATCTTAATTAATCCCATTAGCCAATGCAGCAAAATCAACTTGTGACATATAAAAATTGTAATTTTCAGGATCACATTCATCTCCTGAATCTGATAACATTTCCTCTTCTCCTGATGATATCTCATTTTATTTTGCCCTCGATTTTAATTCTTCCTATGTTGCACTATGCATTATTAATATTATAAATGTCTCTGGTTAAGTTTATTACTATATTTATATTCAATATCTTATAAAATCAACCATTTGTAGTTTCTCCAACACCGCAATTCAAACATTCATAAAATTTTGTCGAAGGTTCATCACTTGCTCTAGTTTATATTTCATTGACTAATTTCATTTATTTTTATCCACAGTTATTGCATAAACCCAAAGCAATATCCTTATTAATTGCTTAAGCTATATATTTATTATGATTCATATCATTTGCTGATAGAATTTCTCGGCCTACTCCTCCTGCTATGGCTAATCTCTATAATATCTATATCCATATAATACAGTTGCACTTGTCCAATCCTCTGATCTCAATTATGCTGCTGTAGGTATGTCAATTAATCCTGTTAATAATCTATTACGAACACTTCCATCCTTATCATTTTGTAAGTATTTCAGAATCTCTCTTATTGCTGTTTAATATTGTCTTTCTTTATCCTTAAACTTCATGCTAATCTGACATAAACTCAAATGATATACTTCGTTTTCCAATTTTCTACAAAATGTAATGCTTTCTTATTAAGGAGTAGATTCATTTGAGAATTTCTGAATTATGGTCTACAAAACTTTCAATCGCTTAAGATCAAAATTTTAAGGAAGCCCCAATTAGTTTATAAAATCATTTTAATTAATTGGATTTGTATTTGCAACATCCACAGATTACTTTCTGTCCGGAGTTGCAGTTATCACAGGTGCCCTTTCTTGAGGCACAGACTTCTCATTTTTCTTCAATTTCTATAATGTTTCCGTGGCTTTTTCTTTGATTTGCCTACAATCTTATTCACTTAAAACAGAATCTCCATCTATTTCAATTTAAGAGAGTGTCCTTACAGTTTTAAGTATTTTGGACTCAGCAAGGGCTCTAAATTATATCAAAAATCATACTTTTGATCAATTTTTGGATCCTCCAATTGATTTAAAATACTAATGACTTATTTTTTTCCAACCTTTTTATATCCATGAAGCTTCTTTCTCATATCTTACAAATCTATTTAATCCATCAATTAAATTATTTTATATAAAAAATATTATGAATTATTTCTTTATTTTTAAGGAATAAATAAAGTATTTTATATTTAATTCAGAAATAAATGAATGAATGTAATCATTTCTATATATCTACTGAACTTATGCTTTATAAAACCAACTGAGTACTCTAGAAAAATATTAATTATCAAAATTTATTAAATTATGATAAATATACACGCGGCTTGTAATTGTAATAATATATTTGAAAATAATTAAGTAAAAATTTATCCCTTTGAAAATCCTTTAAATACTTCATTTTTTATTATCTAATGATGAGTTAAATATGAAAATTCTGTATCTCATCAATTCTTTTGTAAATACTGAAAAATGAAAATTTTGAATTGCAGCAACAAATCAAAAGTTGATTAACCCACAAATATCATGATTTAAATTTATTTTTTGATTTATATTTGGATATCTAGAATGGTGTTTAGAATGCTGAATAATTATTATAATCTTAAACAATATTCTAGGTTTTCATATTTCCTTATTAAAACTTAGATGAGATGTTAATAATTAATAGGGAGTTTCTTCTGTGTATGAGAATAGAGTCAATAAGGTAGTAGTGCAGTTCTTTGTATAAATTAGTAAACATGTTAATTTTTTTGGAGTTGATGAAAAAATAAAATTGAAAAAAATTGAATAGAGATGCTGTTGGATATATGTGCATGATATATGATATTAATCAGGCGGTGACAACGTCTCCTCTGACTGTTTCAGCAACAGCTACAGTTTATTCAACCAAATCAGCAGCGACACCAGCTGAGGTCAAGGCACTTCTTAAATGTCCAATGACAGTTGTGAATTGGGCGTTTGTGACTCCCATATTGGCATGGACTTCTTTTAAGTTCTAATTTAATATAAATGTAATTTCTTACTCTTCCTCCCCAAGCTTTTGGTCCTCCGAGGGCAGCACATAAAAATGAAGCTGTCTTGTTTGTTTAGTCAGCCATATTGATTCCATTGAAGAAATTGGCAACTGTGGCATCAGCTTGGATGTTAGCATAGAATTATGTTGTGACTGCTGTGACGGCAGCTTCTCCTCCTAATTATTCAAAAAGTGTCATGTTGATTTCTGGATGTTTTTATTAATCAAAATGCAGGATATATTGGATAGTTTTGAATCTAGAATATAAAGATATTTTGTAGTATAAATAAATGTGGCATGTTGCGTATTATTAAATTAATTTAGTAAATAAAATAAAAAGTTTATTTGCTGGTTTATAATATCAACAAGCTTAATCAGAATTATCTTCGAGATTTTTATTTTTTTCATCTCCATACAATCTGTCTGAATTTTGCATAAGGGGATCCATCAGTCCAGATTAAAAAAATCCTACTTTTTCTATTTCATTTTCTTTATCTGGTGAAGATGGAGGCATATATTAATAAATACTGAGTTCATTTTCAGGTACCTTATAAGCAGTAAAACTGAATTAACTTTTCTTTGGATAAGAATCTAATCTCATAGAACACATATTTGACACTTATTGTTAGGTTTCTTACAAACGAGTTTCTTGTTATAATTCCATAGAATGAAGATTAATTATCAATTATTAAGAACCTAACAAAATTGATTATTATCTTTTATTATGTCTCTATTTTAAAATTAATCTAGGATCATTTTTTCGATGATTTAATCTTTTCAAAAGACTTCTTTGACTTTCTAATAACTTTTAATCTTCACTAAACCATCCATGTTTTAAAGCAGTATCAGGATGAGGTCTGAAAGCCCAGTCCTTTTACAATAATTGAGTAATTAGATCTTTGGCTTCTTCAGAAACTCCTTCAAATAATTCAATAGGGAAGTTTATCTTAGCTTCTTTTATGTTATCTATTAAATCATTAAGACTAACATTAAATAAATATATATACTAATCAGCATTAAATGGTAATTATCCTGATAACATTGAATATAAAATACAACCTGCACTCCACATATCAACCATTTAACTAATATTTTTATACACAACATAATTTACTTGTATCCCTCTCCTGTAAATATTTCAGGAGCTGAAAAAGCAACTGTTCCAGTATATGTCCACATTTCAATTTTCTCTCTATCTTTTAAATCTCCAAATTCTTTATATGAATCACTAAATTTGCTAACATTAAAATCAGTCACTTTGATTTACTTTTTATCTAATAACAAAATGATTAGTACTATTTACACAAAGGATATTGTTTGGTTTTAAATCTCTATGACAAATACCGTTTCTATGCATATATTCAATTGCACTTAACAATTATTTAAAGATTTCTTTAGCATCTGCTTCACAATAATGACCCAAAGAATTTAAGACTTCAAACATTTCCTATCCTTCAATCAGTTCCATTACTACATATGCTTTACTTTCAGATTAGAAGCTGTTATCAAAATCAACATATAATTTATGTACTTTAACAATATTTTCATGTGACAATTTAATTAAACTCTTAAACTCAATGATCATCTAAAATTTAATGTTTTATTACATTTCTAATTATTTCATCATCTTAAGTCTGTACAATCTTTACAGCATATAGATTTTAAGTCGTTTTATGAATAATCTTTTTAACTAATCCTATACATCCTTCTCCCAATACTTCTAAAATATCATAATTCTAATGAAATTCTTTTGTATTTGGACATATGAATTCAGAATCAATTGAATTAATTTCTATATCTAATTTTTTGCCTAAATCTTGCAATTCTTCAATTTGATCTTTTGTAACAGGTAATGGCTTATTTAAAATATGCAAAATCTAACCTACATGTTATTTATATGTAATACCCTTTAAATTAAATTTTATACGATCTCTGTTATTTTGTATCTATTATTAATTAGAGTCTTCTTATTATGTTTTAAGAAAAGTAAATCGACCACTTGGCTTCCTTTCCATTCTTGCTCTGAGGATTTCACTTGGAGAATCTCGTTTTTATGTGGAAGGACTCAAATGCATAAATAATTAATTATAATTTGATTATAGGTTAACATTCAAGTATTATTATAGCTTAAAAATTTGACTAATTTATAGAGTATAATATTATGTTATTGATGAATGTACTAATAATCAAGAATTTAATTTATGAGTAAAATCAATAATTAAAGTTTAGAATGAAGGTTGATGATATCAACAAAACTATCGTAAAGGATAGTGAGATAAGTGATGAAGAGATAAATTAAGATGAACCAAATTAGTCTAAATTAAAATATGTAATAATGATTCTTGGGTGTTTATTAATGTTTGGAAACAATTATTCATTTGATAATCCATAAGCACTACAAAAATAATTAACATAAGATTTAGATATATCAATATCAAATTATAACCTATTATATTCTGCATTCTCATTTCCAAATATATTTTTAACTTTGATTGGAGGATTTATTATAGATTTTTTGGGTAATATGTGAATATCAATTTTAGGTGTAAGATTCGGGATCATTCTATTTAGTGCAATAGTTGTAGTAGCTTAAACCATTGTAGCATTGGGAGGAGCATTTAAAATCTTCTGGATTATGTTAGTTGGAAGAATCATATTTGGATGTGCATCTGAAAATTTAGTGATAGCATAAGCAGCTATAATCTGTAAGTGGTTTAGAGGAAAAGAACTATCAACTGTACTTAATAATTCAAAACTATATTTAAGGCAATTGGTTACATTATGACAGTACCTGAATTAGCTAGTGCTGCTAACTCATTTCTTACTCCTATGCTTTATGAATCATATTAGGGATTGACATATCCATTATTTTTTAGTGTAATTCTTTGTATATTTTCATTTGTGTGTGCAGTAGTCTTATGTATATTGGATAAAAAGAATGAATTAAATAAATTGAGTATATATTTATAATAAGAAGAGGGTTAATTTATAATTGAAGAATAAGAAGAAGAAGAGGGTGAAGAAGGTGAATAATAAAAGGATGATATTGAGAGAGTATCATTTAAAGACATTAAAAATTTAAATGGAACATTTTGGATCTTAGTATTAATATGTACTTTAACATTGGGATCTTATACTCCATTTCTAGATGATGCCAATGATTTTTTATAGGAAAAGTTTGAATTTACGAATGTTTAAGCAGGAAAAGTGTTGACTATCCCATATTTAATGGCAGGTATTTTTGAGACAATTTAGCAATCACCAGTCCCTTTTTTGGGCCATACATAGACAAAGTAGGAAAAAGAAGAAAATTCATTTTAATAACCTGTGTTCTATTTACTCTAACTCATTTTGCATTTGGAATGATGCCAAATGGTTAACATGGATAACCTAATTGGTTTTCTGTTATACCTTTGATGTTTTTAGGATCCAGTTATGCTTTATATTCATGTGTGTTAATTCCATCTATTTAATATATTGTTGCAGAAAAGGTTGTTGGAACAGCATTTGGTTTATTAGGAATGTTTGAGAGTGTTGCCTTGGCGTTCTTTCCAATAATAGCAGGCTATATTGTAGAAATATCAGAGGACCCTTAATAAGGATATTCAAATGTAGGATTATTCTTTTCTGGAATATCCTTATTTGGAATCATATTTACTCTCTCTTTATATTTTTTTGATAAAAAGAGTTCCATGATTTTAGATTTTGTACATCCAGAGGATCCTTCTGATTTGGAAAAGAAAATGCTTAGAACTACAAAATCTGAATCTAGTAGTGATGAAGAGGATGATGATTCAAGTGATGAAGATTCAGATGATGATTAATTTAAAAAGAAAAAAGTGTGTAAAAGTTATTCTAGTTTAAAAAGTAAGAAATTATTAACATCTCCTTAATTGAGAACTAGAAGTTTATACAATTGATATTTTAGCTTATTCATATATATAAGATGTTCATATTATATTATTATTATTATTAATGTTTTTTATTATAGCGTTTTTGTCTTTATAGCTATCTGTATATTCTAAGAATTTAAGAGAAAACTTATTAGTGGGATAAACTAAAAGATTCAACATTGAGAAAAACGATGAAAATATGATATATGTTCATTTGATACCTCATTCTCATGATGATGTTGGATGGCTCAAAACTTATGAAGAATATTATTATGGTTTAAATAATAAAGTTTAATGGGCAGGAATATAATACACTATAGATAGTGTTGTAAGATCATTATTCTTTGATTAAACTAAAAAGTTTATATAAGTTGAAATTGCCTTTTTTAAATTGTAATTTGTTTAATAACTAAAAAAAGGTGGTGGGATGAATAAAATGATGATGTGAGAAATAAGACTAAATACTTAATTAAAAATGGATAATTAGAATTCATAAATGGAGGTTGGTGTATGAATGATGAAGCTACAGCATATTATGAAGATATAATAGATTAAATGACTTTAGGACATTAATGGATATTAGATAGATTCTAAATTAAACCAACTATAGGATGGTAATTAGATCCTTTTGGTCATACTTCTGCATAAGCTGAGTTATTTGCTCTAATGGGTTTTGATGCTTGGTTTTTCAGTCGTATTGATTACTAAGATATGAATTTAAGAAAAGAATAATAGAAGATGGAATTGATATCAATAGTTGATTAATATTCCATCTTTACTCATATAAATTATAATCATTATGAAGCACCTCCATAATTTAGTTTTGATTCTTTACATTCTTAAGATCCAATTGTAGATAATTAAAATAGCATACATTATAATGTAGATAAAAGAGCAGAAGTATTAGTGGATTATTTTAAATCATAACATTAAAGTTATATAGGCAATATCTTAATGCATACATTAGGTACAGATTTTGGTTGGTCTAATGCATAAATGTATTATACAAATATAGATCGTTTGATCAAATATATTAATTCAAATAAGTAAAAATACAATATGTAAATAATGTATTCTACTCCATCTTAATATTTATAAGCTATTAATTAATTAAATTAATAATATCCTACAAAAACAGATGATTTTATGCCATATGCTGATAGACCTAATGCTTATTGGACAGGATATTTCACTAGTAGAGTATCCTTAAAATTATTAATAAAATAATTAGGAAGATTTGCTTAAATTTAAAGAAGATTTGTATCAACTCTATTATTAAATGGAAAATCTTAATATATTTAAGTGAATCGTTAATAAATAATAGATGCTTAATAAATATTAGATTAAGCTTTAGCAACTAATTAACATCATGATGCAGTTACAGGTACAGCTAAATAACATGTTACAAATGATTATATTGAAATGTTATGTAATGGACATCATAAGATTAGTCAGCAATTATATTAAATAATGAAAGAACTAATTGAATTTGAAATTCAAGATGAAACATCTTAAATAGTATTTGAAGAATGTAATTTTAATTAAACTGCATCATCTTGTTAACTTGTTTATGAATAATTAAAAAATGGAAATGCTGTTTAGATTAATATGATTGATAATAAAAATATTCCATTATAAGATTATGTGAGAATTAAAGTACCTAAATTAAATTTAATCATCTATGATTAAACAAATAAAATTATTAATGGTGATATAATATGTATTAATAATGATGATGATTGTGAATTGTATTTCATTTATAATAGAAATCCAAAATAAATTATTGAATATTTTAGAATATTACCAAATCAAGAAAATCCAAGTGCAATTATAATTTAACCATAATCAGAATCTTTAAAATACAATAGTTCTTAAGATTATATTTCACTTAATAACTCAAAATAATTTAAATTAACATACAAATACTATATTTCATCAGAAGATAAATAATATAGTGGTGCTTATATCTTTAGACCTAATGATGATTCTATTGAATTTGGAGAAATAAAAAATCATAAATTATATATTGGTAGACTAATCTAAATATTCTATATTGAAAGAGATTAAGTAAATACAAAAATTAAGAAATTATAACATATGGATGATACATATGAAATAGAATCATATATAACTGATATACCAATACAAAAAGAAAATGGAAAAGAAGTTGTAATGATTATATCAACAGATATCTAAAATGATGATACATTTTATACAGATAGTAGTGGTATGAGAATGTAATAAAGGAAATTAAATTATAGACCTACTTGGGATCTAGAAGTACATTAACCAATAGCAGGTAATTATTATCCAGTTAATGGAATCTTATAAATCTAAAATAATCAAACAGGAGAAGTAGCAGCTATTCTAAATGATAGATCATAAGGTGGAACAAGTTTACATTCAGGAGAATTAGAATTAATGATTCATAGAAGATTATTAAAGGATGATGCAAGAGGAGTTGGAGAACCATTAAATGAAAAATAATCTAATGGTAGAGGATTAAATTAGAACTTTTAACATACATTAACATTTTTTAATAAAAATAATTTACCAAATTAAGCAAGATAATTGTAATATCTTTAAGATTTAAAGCCAATTCTTATATTTAGTAATTGCAAAAATGAAGTATTTCCTTAACCTGTTAAATCTTTTAAAATTACATATCCAAGAGATTTAGAAAAAATGTTCACACCAAATGGTTAAGCTATAACAAAATTTTATTTATAAACTATTGGTGTTGATTAATATATTTATAGAATTCATAATTTAGGAGAAGAAGGAACATTTTAAGTGCCAGAATTAGATTAATTTTAAATAGTAGAAACTACTCTTACAGGTAATCAATTATGGACTGAATGGTTAGACAAAAAATTAAGTAAATTATCTCTATATTTTAGATTGGAAAGTATAGGAAGGATTACAATAACCAAAAGATTAACCAGTACATAATGAAACTGTGTTACCATAACAATTAAGAACTTTCAGACTTACTAAAAAGAGTAATTCTAATTAATGAGTATATAATAAAAATTATAATGGCATTTGTATATAGAAGTGAAATTAAACCTTCATATATTCCAAAGACTGAAAATGTTGGACCTGGATAATATGAATACAACCAAGATTCTGAATAAAAATCAAATCTATTTCCATTTAATTCAACGGTCCAAAAATGCCCTAATTAAAATTAACTAACAAAAGGACCAGGTCCTGGATCATATAATTTATAAGGATCTTTTGAAACTTAAAAAGTTATATTCTCATCAGATGAATAAGAAATCAAGATTTTAGAAATGCCAAAACCTATATCGGTATTCAGATCAAGTACATTGAGATTTAAAGACGACAGATAAAATGGACCAGGGTATTGTAACTTAATATAATATTTAGTCCTAATTATTATTTTTAAGAAGAACGTAAAAAGTTCTATTCTGTAAGTTAAACAAATCCGAAACCTAAAATAAATGTTATGGAATAATTAGTGAAAGATAACAAATACATTAATATACCATCTATACCATCTAATTATCACTTAGGTTATTAAGAAAATTAAGGTTAAACCTTTCTCTTTAATTCTTAGAATCACATTTAGAATAAAAAAATGCAATAAATTTATCTTAAGAAGTTGGACCTGGTTCTTATGATGCCAAAAGTATCTTTAGTAACCAAAAACCAAGAGGAGTTTCCTGGCACAAATCTAATTCAAAATAAAAACATATCGATATTGAGAATAATATTGGACCTGGCTATTATGATATTATTACTAATTCTTAGCCAATGTATTAAATGAAACCAACAACATCATTTAGTTCAAAATTAAGTAGATATTCAGAATTGAAATTTCTAAATCCTAAAAATAATTGTGGACATATCAAAAAAGGATTAGATAATAAATCATATAGTTTTCATCTTTCTACTAATTCTGGTACAACAGCTAGAGATTCTGACCTTGAATCAGAATATAGTTATATTGAAGTATTTTATTTATTAATATTAGGATGCCACTCCTGGACCTGGATATTATGAAAATGCTTCAATATAATAAACAATATCTTAAAGTCTTAAATAATCTTAGATCAAAGGTTCAATAAGATCTAGAGCTAAAAGATTTCTAGCTAAATCAAATTAAATACCTGGTCCAGGAAGTTACAAAGTAGATGTAGTATAACATAAACATTAAGTAATTTAACCACCCTTTTTGATTGGCAGCAGAAATCGTTTCGATAATAAATTATCTGAGACTCCACCACCAGAAAATTATAAAATAATCAATACAATGGAAGAAAGATTAATATCTAAATTAGTCAAGTCACCTTTAGGTTAGTTTGGAACAAATGAACATAGATTTAAGGATCCTAAAATTGAAGTACCTGGACCTGGTTCTTATGAAATTATGGATGATGATAGAAGATATAAAAATGGATTGAAAGGCACTGCAAGTTTTTTAAATCATAATCCAAAAATTTAAGAGTTAATTATTGCAGATAGAAATCCTTCACCTGTGACATATCATGTAGATTAACATACAATTGAGAAAAGAATAGTAAAAACAGAAGAGGATAATCCAAAATTAGCTATATATAAACCTCCATTTGGTGTTGGAGAGGAAAGATGGAAAATCAAAGAGGAAAGTGAAGAAGATGATGATGAACCTATATATATGAATAAATCGTAGATTAATTCAATTAATTTATTCAAAAAGAGAAAAAAAGATTAGCCTCCTTTTTTGATTAAGGTTTATAATTTTTTAATATATTCTAATAGGAGGAAAGATTTGCTTTAAGTGTGCCTAAAAAGATTTAACCAGGACCTTCAGATTATGCAGATGGAACTTTCCCAAATTGGAATAAGAGAACATTTAATCTCTTATTCGCAGAAATTTGAAAATAATTTAATTATTATGCTTAATTTCTTTTAATCGATTTGTTGCTTTTCTAATCGTGAGAAGCCTGATAAAGCCAATAGACCTATCTAAAAACCAGCTCAAACTATGTCTATTTAACCTATAGTAACTGAGAATACGTAGAGTCAAATCTTAGAAAATGATATTATAGAAACGGATTAATACCTTCAATTAGACAACCAATACTATATTGAACAATTAGAGTATAAATACATTATTAATTCATTAGTTTCCAATCTTCTAGTGATATCCCATCTACTCAATAGCCTTCTGACTACATGTTATAAGAAGAAGGAATAAACTACTAACCTATGCAAGAAGAAATTGACTAAAGTGCAAAAAAAGAACAAACTGTAACTAGAAAAGTAATTATTCAATTCTATTTCTATTAGAAAAGAGTACTCAAACTTTGGGATGCCACTGAAGATGCTCAATTACGTATACAATATGAAAAACACAATGGAAAATGGAATGAAATTGCCAAGCACATGCCTGGAAGAAATGTTTCTTAATGTTGTTAAAGATGGAGAAGATTGCAACCAGTCAAGATTGTATTATATTTGTATTTATTTATAGATTAAAAGAAAATAATGGACTTAAGTAGAAGATGAAAAGATCCTTGAATTAGTATAATAACATGGAAAAAATTGGAAATTAATTGCTTTACGTAAAAATTAATTCAACTATAGTGCCTTAGACTTTCCGGGTATTTTGAGTAAATAAATAAGAGAACGTTATATAAATAAAATCGACCCTGAAATTAATACTGGACCTTGGACTGAAGCTGAAGATGCAACCATCATCAAATTGTATTAGGAATATGGAGGAAAATGGAGTCTCATTTCTTCTCATCTTAAAGGGAGGCCTGTAAGTTTATATATTAATCTGTAGGAAAATATGGTCAAAAATAGATTCTATTGTTATATCAGAAGAGTTCATCTTGGTGTCCAAAATCCATACTAGATTGTTTATAATGAGAATTCTGATAGTGAACAAGAAAATTCTAATGATGAGATGGAATTTGAATGAAATATTCTAACCATAATTACATTATATTTAATTTCTTACAAGATGGGGGTTTATTATTTTATAAAAACTTATTTATAAATTATACAACCAAAATATATGTTTTATTTCATATTATTAAATAATTAAATACAATACTTTCTAAAATAATATTATTGATTATATAATTTATTGAATAATGAGTATCCATATATATATTGTTTATTTTAATATATTTTAGAATAAATTAATGAATGAAAATTGAAAAATAGTTTAATTAAAATGAACTATTAATCATAAAAATTGGATAGAGAAAAATGTGCTAAAGATTCAAGAATTCTTAGTATATTAGAATCTGGTGGTAAGATATTAATATTTTAATATAGAATCAATACTACTTTCAACTTGTTTATGGAAATTTAGCCATATTAATAAGTAATAAGAAAGAATATTGTTAATAACTAATAAGAATATATACAATATAACTCCATAAAGTACACTTGTAAATTTCTTTTCAAAAGTAGTTTCAAGTGTTAGAGTGAAAAGGTATTACATTTGAATAAAAATATATTAGAAAAATAGCAATATAATATATAGCTGGTGTTACAATAAGTAAATGTGGATTTGAATTTGTTATTCATGTACCAGATGAATATGATTATAGATATTCATCATTAGATTTGTAAGAGATATTTAATATATAAAATAGTCGAGAGAAAATATTGTCTACACTTTGTGATGCTTATTAAAAACTTTTAAAAAAGAGTTTGGCTATTTATCTTACTGATGATCTTACACTGATTCCATATACTACAACAAAAGTGGATGCTAAAAAAGGTATTTGTAGAATGCATGGACATCCAATCAATATTGATCCATAAACTCTATCCAATTTTGATTTTTCAACATTGAAATCTAATGAAGAGAATTAAAAATAATCAATAAGAAATACTTATGATTACAATCAACATTATAAATTACTTAAATATTTATATTAAGGGATGTTAGGATAAGTAATACTTGTTTAACATATAAAATCAGAGAAATATTATGTTTTCAAATTAATGTAGAAATAGGATGTTATTACTACTGATCATTTAAATCATGCTTAAATAGAGAGAAAACTCTTAGAGATATTTGATCATCCATTTATAATTAAATTAGTATAAGCATTTGAAACAGATGATTAATTAATATTTGTATTACCATATTATTAAGGAGGAGATCTATATACTCATTTAAAGAAAGAGACTAGATTAAAAGAAGAAAGAGTTAAATTTATAGTTGCATAATTAATATTAGCTTTAGGTTATATGCATGATCGTGATTATTTATATCGTGATTTAAAACCTGAAAATATTCTTATAGATTCTTATGGTTATATAGTATTAACAGATTTAGGATTATGTAAATAATTACCAAATAATCATTTATCTTATAGTTTTACAGGATCTGCTGAATACATAGCTCCTGAAATGATTACTGCTATAGGTTATAATAGAATGATTGATTGGTGGATGTTAGGAATATTAGTATATGAATTAATATTTGGAATCACTCCATTTTATTGTGATAATCAAAGTTAAGTATTTGAGTCAATCTAAGAAAGAGAAGTGAGATTTTCTACTAATATTGCAATCTCTATTGAATGTAAGGATTTTATAACAAATCTTTTAAAAAAGGATCCAAAAGAAAGATTGGGATATAAAAGAGATTTCTTGGATTTATAGACACATTAATGGTTAAAAGATATTAATTTTGGAGAACTACTTAGAAAAACTAATTAAACATGGAAATTAAATTTAAATGATCCTTTAGATTTAAGATTTTTTGAATCTGAAGATATAACTTTAGGTAAATAATAATTATATATAAGAATCTTTAAATGCTTAATAATAAGATAAAGCACTCATATAAAAGTTTAATTAAGAATTTCAAAATATTGAATTCAATCTATGATATTTATGTTCTATTTATGTATGTTGAATAAATTCATTTATTAAATAATAGACTGTTTTAATCTAAGAATAAAAATAATAAAAATTCATATTTTACTGTTCATTCAAAAATTTAATCTTAAGATACTAACTTCTTGAATATTTTATTTCCTATCATTTTTTCTGAACTTCCTGGACTAACAGGTCTAAAAGTATATAATAATAATAATTATATTACATTTCTTTTTTTAGAATTGCATTAACCATTAATGTTGCATTTCTTTAGGTTTATCTACGAGCAAACATACTTTTTTAATCATTATTTGATTCTACTTAGAATTTTATTTGATCAGTCTCTTTTGTTAAAAAACTTAAACTAGATAATCTTCTTAATTATGGTCTTTTTTCATTAACTTATATATTTAAATTTTCATATTAGAGTTTATCAAATTTATTTCTTTCTTCTTACATTATTTTAAAATCATTATGATCTCTAGTGTATTTAACTTCTTAATTTTTTACAATTGATAATCTTTTAGAAACTTTATTAAGTATTCCTCTCATAGAAGACATCTTATCAAACTCTTCCTTTTTACGTTTTTATTCTCTTATATAAATGATTTAATCTAATAAAGCCTTTCTTTACATTTGATTTTCTAAAAATTTCAATGCTTTCGAAACTTATAAAGGATCAAATGGATTTTTCAAATCTTAAATAGCTTAATTTAACATATCCTTGTTTCTTTTTTATTTAAGTAGATGTATTTTTTGAGAACAATTATATTTAATATCAGAAGTAGGAGTAAGTGATTTTTACATATTAATTTTATAATGAATTAACAAAAACCACCGTCAACATCAACAAAAAAAATAGATTAATCTGTTTCAACAATTACAAAGAAGTCATAATCAGCATCAAGAAAGGATTCATCATTTTAATAAGCAGCTGTTAGATAAGTCTTAGTAGGAGGATAACCAGGAGTAATATAAAATTTAAAATTGCAAAGGATGGATTATGGTGTTATGCTTAAGATTAACCTTCTCCTAATTTGGGTAGCATCAAGGAAATTAATAGTTAGATGAATTAAAAGTTTAAACAAATAGAATCCAATATTGAATCAGAAATAGTTGAAACTTTAAGATAATAATGTCATTAATTAGGGTTAGAATTGGAGAGTGTAAATGTTTAGAATTAAAATTTAAAAATTGACATTGCCTAATAAAATAAATATATAGATTAATAAACTAAAAAGTTAGAAACAGCAATGAAAGAAATTGAAAATTTAAGGAATGTTAAAGCATCTCTTTAATCTTAATGTGAAACAATTAAAGATCTATATAATAAAACTAAAAGAGAATTAGGAGGAATAACTTAAGATTTAGAATAAGAAAAGAAAGAAAATGAAGAAATGTCTTAATAAATAGCAAGATTATAAGGATTATATTAAGAAATGCAAAAAGCAAATAAAGCAGAAGTTGATAATCTTAAAGAGAGAGTAGAAGAATTAGAAGAAGAGAATGAAGAATTCAAAAGAAAATTTTAAATGAAAGGTGAAATAGATAAGAGATTAGATTAAGAAAGTATTGAATAATAATTATTATTAATAGGATTAATACAATAGAATTAATAAAAAGTAAATTAAATGTCTGAAAATGAGAGAAAATTAGAGAAGATGGGTAAAATTATAGAAGAAAATGCAACTCTTAGTGAAAAATTAGTAGAAAGTGAAACATTAAGAAGAAGATTTATGGAAAAGAATAATCAATATGAAAAAGAAATAAAAATTGTAAATTATCAATTCTATATTTATTAAGCTTTTAGAAAGTAAATTAGAAGTAGAAAAATAAATGATAGCATTAAAAAAAAGAGTAAATGATTTATAAGTTATGAAATCAACTAATTAAAAAATAATGGAAGATAAAATAAATAAATTGTAAGAGAAATGTACTTAATAGCAGCAATCAATTGAAAAATTAACTCAATAATTAAAAAGAAACTAAAAATAATAAATTAATAATCAACCAAGTTAAGAAGATGAAACATCAGATTATGAAGATATTGAATCTAAACCATAATTATTTGGAGCTTGATTAAAAGAATCTTATTTTTATAAATATAATTATGTTATCATCAAAGGAATATTAAAGATTTACTCAAACTCAACTATCTGAAGATCAATCAAATTTAGATACTAGTGTATATTTGGAATCACCATTATGTACCATTAATCGATAGAGTATTACAAATGTTTAAATTAGAGAGGTTTACTTTTACTATTGAAAACTCTGTTATGAGGTCTTAAAATGACAATTAACTCAAATCTTAATCCTAAAATAAATATTCTATACCTACCCATGAGAATATATAATTTCCCCTTAAAAAATCTTACATTCTCCAACGAGCACTCTCTAATCGAATACTTAAAATCAAATATAAAAATAAACTGTAAAAGAGTCAAAGTCAAATTTAAACCATATAGTTTCCAAAGATTAATAATTAAATTCGAAGACGTAGTGGTTGTGAACTTCTAAGTGATAAATAAGTAATTATATTTTATATTATTAGGTTAGACTAGCCTATCTATTTCCTATTACTTATGTAGCCTATCATTAATAATAAAAGGAAACTAAAAGAAATGAAATGAGAAAGAAAACTATATTTAAAAGAATGTCAAGTATTTTAATTAAACATTCAAATAATTTAAAATCTCAAACTAATTTAGGAGTTTCCTAATAGAAAATTATAGATGAGATTCCTACCAAATTGGATGAAAAATCATCTAACATTATACTAAAGTAATTCTAATAATAAATTGGATGTTTTAAAGAATAATAAGATTTATTATAAAATATGGAGAATTCTGAAAAACTATTACTATTATAAGAAGAACTTAAAAGATATTCTTAATCTCTTAATAATTCACCTATTATTAAAAGAAATTCAAAGAAATAATCAACTGAGAGATTTTTTGATTCCTAAAAAGTGGTATTAGATATTACTAAGAAATAACGCAAAACCTTTACTTCTGTTCAAAATTACATAAGTGAACGTTAATAATCTAACCAAACTAAATCTGTTGGTGTAATAAACAAATAAATACATTTTCAATATCAAAATTTGTAAAGTCTAACAGAAACAGATAGTTCATCTCCAATTAAAATAAAATCCACATAAACAGCTCGTCATTTCACACATATCAAATCTTTATCAAATCTCCCTGATATAAGAGAAGCATCAACCTAAAGATTAAATAGTAATAGAATCTAAAAAATTGCAGAAAAAGTCAAAAATATATACATATTTAGTCCTAGTAAAAATAAATTATTTTAAGATAAAATAAAAATGTGAAAATTTTTGTACTAATTAACATATATAAAAAATCTCTTAATTTTTAATATAATAAATATTATATAGAGTTTTTGCTTAATACACATATTAAATATTAGAAGTTAATGAATAAAAAGTTATACAATATATAAATTCTAAATGTTTTTTAGAAGACTTAATACATTTATAAGTTAAGAATATAATTTGAAATTATATTGATTTTAATTTAATTTTAAATGTCATAATAATTTTAGTAATTCAAATATTTAACTAGAGATGATATATAAACAATTAGAAATTTAAATCTTATTATTTTCTTCAAATTGTTCTATAAAATTTAGTTTTTCTTAATATACAAGGATTACAATAAAATTGATTAAATATTTACCAATAAAAATGGAAAATTTAAGAAATTTATCAACTTTTTTAAGAGAAATAGTTAATTAATGAGGGTTTCAAAAGGAATGAAAGTTAATTTATTTGATTATTATTTTAATTAAAAAAAAACAAGAAGGTCATATGGGATTGTAAATAATTATAGTTATAACTTATTAGAGATTTAAAGATAAGAATTCTTTTAAGTAACACATTTATGTCATTGGTTGTGGTTGTGAATTTAGCTTTGGTTTCATATTTGAAAGAAAATGATGGAGGTGATTATACTTAATTTTCATATATCACAAATATTAGCACAGCTGACCATGATAAATATCGAAATTACTTAAATCTTGCAATTTCTGCCTTTGTTTTGATGTTAGTAGGATTTCTTGCAGGAATGGTCTAACCATTTTTGAAATAAGCAGCTCTTGCTTATGTGATGGCATTGTTGATATTAGCAGGATATGTATGCTTATTTGCAGGAGTATTTATAAATGATACCTTCTAATACAATTTTGCAGATGGGAAATCATTTAATTACAGTTTAGCATCATTTTTTGGAATGGGGGGAGTATTTATTTAAGGAATGGTAAATTCTTGGAGATAAAGATCAGTTGAATGAATATTTATGAATTATTCAATATATTAAATGATATATCTTAGTTCTTTAATAGTTTGATAAATATTTAAATATTTAGGTATTTGTTATAAGAATTATCTTAATTTTATATTATTGTTTATAACTTCATTTTTTCTTTCTTGAATTGCTTCCAGAATCATTACTATCATCATCACTTCCATCTGATTATTCTTAAACATCTCCTTCTTGAAAATCATCATCATCTTCGTCTGAATCTAAATTATTTAGATCTGCATTAGCTTTTTTCCTTAAATTATATATATTAAATTAACTTTTTATTTCTACTATCATCATCATCATCATCATCTTCATCACTTTCATCAAGTTGAACACGAGGGAGTTCTTCTTATAATTTTCTAACAGCTATCTTTTTTGTAGATAAATATTAAGTTAAATTATCTAATTCATCTTTTTCTATACTAGAAAACAATTAATTTGAATTTTTATATACTACTTTTACATCAAAAAATTTATTCAAATTAGTTGATCCAATCTATTAATTAATCATAATAATATACTCTTTAAAAAATTACTTCCTTTATTTCTTCATGTTTAATATGTAAAACTGGTTTTTATAGATAAATTAATGATTTCTCTAATGGAAATAAGAATCCAGAATGAGGACCAACAGAACATCTAAGACAACATAAACCATTCTTTGTTTTAAAGTTCTTTGGTGTAACTACCTTTATTCCTGTTATTTCTGATAATAATTCACAAACTGTGTCATATAATGGACCTGAATACTCCTCTTTAATTTCTTTCCATCCAATTTCATCTAGTTATTGTCTCTGATACTTTAATTTAATTTAATTTTCAAAATCTTTCTTAAACTGCATAACTAAATAATTATAAGCTGTTTATCCTTATTTGAAAGGATGTTCTAATCCAATTACAAGTGATAAATTTATTTCATCTGGCATTGGCAATAAGAAAAACCTTGAAATGCCCTTGTAATCTGTTGTGAATTAATAAGTATTTCCATGAAATCGTATATCTTTCTTAAAGAAATCCATAGTATAACGTCCCCTTTTTAAAATGAATATATATAAATTACCTTGGTACTATCAAAGGTACATCATGTATTGTAAGAATTGAGTCAGCACTACTTTGACCAATTTTAGCCTTAACTAAAATTTCATTCTATAATTTTTATTAGAATGTAGGTTCTTCTTCTTCCTCTTCTTCTTCATCAAGTTTTTCTTAATCAGAATCTTCCCCTTATTTTTTTTTTTCTTATTTGACTTTCTAATTTGATTTCAAATTTTACTTATTCTTGTGGAGGAATGAAAAATCTCACTTCGCATAACATGTCATCACTAATTAATCATTGCAGCTATACTTTTCGCCACATTCTTCAGTTGTCAATTGTAATACGATGTCATTTTTCTAAGTATTTGAATTAACCACTTTTTTAAGTGGTAATTTGATTATATTGCTTGAATTATATTTCAGTGTCAAATTTTTATCATCAACTGAAACTGAGCCCCAATTGATTCCTTTGGTACATTGATCTGACATTTTAAATTAAAAAATAATAAACTTATATTTGGGCGCATAAAAAAATTCAATATTTATGATGAGGAATTTTCTTAAACAAATTTAAATGTTTGTTAGCTTAAATGAAGGTTCTCAAATCTTCTATGTGTCTCTCTATCCAATTAATATTCAATTTGAAATGATTCACACACAACAACACAGCTTAACACATTAAATAATATTCAAATAATTACTACTCTACTCTCAATATTTTCTTCTATCATAGTTAATAAAATACAAGCCAGGGCCTTATTGCACAATGAAATCTATCTAAACTCTTAGCCTATTTCCATATAAAATAAATTATCAATTGTTTTCTATATTAATATATCTACTTTTTCTTTATTATAAATTTATTCTATTAAATCTTTTAAATCCATTAATATTCTATGTACTAATTACAATGATGTTGTGAAACATAAATTATAATTTAAACTTTTACATATCTTTCTCTCTTATGATAAAATATCACTATTATAATATTTCTATTACAACACCTAAATTATCTAAATAGTTTTACTTCCTAACATAAATCATCAATGTATATGGGATACAAATCAACAAATTTTGATGAAATATAAATACTACAACCTGATATTAATTCCAAATCTTTAAGTGTTAAATGATAAGTGTTCTACAAATATTAATAAACTAATTCGATAGCTTTGAAAATTGACTCATTTGAGACTTTTTTAAACTTTTTCATCTTATATACCATCCAATCTAGTACTCTTTCTAATTGCTCTCCTGTAAAATCATGTTAATCAATATTCAAAAAGTTTGACTAGTCTATTAAATATTTTAATTACTTTTTATTCTATCACTAATTCATATTAATAAATTTCAGATCGGAATTTATCAAAATAACATAAGATATCTTTCTCTATCTAATTCACAGATTTAGTCTAAATATTGATAAATTGAAATTCTGCACTTTCCACTTTTATCAACATCCTCTCTATATTAAATGGGATTATTGCATTTCTTCTTTTACCTTTTGAAATTTTTTTGTCCTCTTTTTGTTATCTTAAAACCTTCTCCTTTATATTAATAAATGTAAAATTCATATTCGAAATATCTTAAAAGGCTGATCTAACTCTGTTTCTAGAACTCAAGAGTAGATCTTAGTTTGATTCCATTTTGTTGTGTTTGTTATAAAAATTTTTTTAGTTCATAAAATATTTATAAATTAATAATTAATTAATATTATATAAACTTAAATAATCAAATAAATAAAGAAATAATTAATAATTTTAATGATGCAATTCAGAAAGCATCCTATATATTTAATAAAGTTATTTAAATTCTTAATTAGTTAAATTTTTATAAAGTTTATATAATTTTATTACAAGAAACAATTATTAATATTTTTCGGTAATTATTTTGAAAATTAGTAGTAAAATTATAAACATTATTTTTGATTGCCCTACAAGATTTTCTGTAAATTATTTTGTTAAAATATAATATTAATGTTTAAATATATTTTAAGAATAATTAATAGTATTCAGATTTTAAAAATAGAAATTAAGTACTTTTCACCGCCCTTTATTAAATTGAATAAGATCAGAAAATAAAAGAAAAATAAATTTAATAAGGAATTTAAAATTAATGTTAGTTTAAATGTCTAAAATTTATTTCAATATATGATTCTATTTATTTTTTATTTAAATTCAAAAGTGATAATAAATATCTTAAACTTGTCATAATATCATTTAGAAATAGTATAAATTTTAGATTATTAAATTCCTTATTCAATTCATGCAGACAACTTAATAATTAAAATAGATTTTTTTTATAAATTGGAAATATGACTATGTTGCATATAATATTAATATATATAATTATGTTAAAACGAATTCTTTTAAATTAATCAAATTAATATTGTAATTTATTCATTCACTATCAAATAAAGCATTGTTTATTAAAATTGATTTACAGAAATTAAATATATTTTTACGAAATTAAACATTCTATATGGCACATATAATTGCTAATAAGTTAAATAAATTAATTAAGCTTCAAAAATGAATCTGATAGTTTTTGTCTATTTTCTCTTACAATCACATTTAAATCAAACAATGAATATTTCATGTGAATGTGCTCATATTATTGAAGAAAATAAGTGTAATAATTCACAAAAGTGTTTATGGAACAATATGAATGAAAAATGTTAAATAAATGTGAATGCTGAATCTTAAAATCAAATTTTATCCTATTGTTCATAATTTATGGAGGATGAATGTATTTTAAATAAGAAATGTGCATTTCACTTAGGAAAATGCTAAGATTTTACGAAATGCGATGACTTATTAAAAGATAAATGTTTAACATCATCTTTTTGGTGTATTTCAAATGGATAAATTTGTATTCCTAAGAATGAATGCCAAGAATATTAAAATAAATAAGTATGTCACAATAAAAATATTAATGGGAAATTTTGTATATGGAAAATGACAAATGATGGTCATAAATGTTAAAATATAGAAAGTTGTGAAGAATTGCCATAAATCTTAAATACAGATTATGAATGCAGAGAATAAATTAGCTATTGCACAACATCTAATTTAGGTGGATGTATGAGATCAAAAGATTATTGTAATATGTATACTTAAGAGGAGTAATGCTTTTAAAGTTATAATAATATAAAGTGTTTTTGGGAAGAAACATTAAATAAATGTTTTGAGAAAAATTGTACTAATAAATATTTAAGTACTCATGAAGAATGCTAGAAGTTTTTATCAAATTGCACTAGTAATGGAAGTTAATGTATAGAGAAATCAACATGTTAATCATATACTAAATAATATGGATGTGTTATAGATAATCTAGGGAATCCTTGTATTTATTATTAAGGACAATGCTATTAGAAAAGTTGTGTTTAAGCACCGATAATAGTAAAATCAATGCTTTAATGTTAATTATTTGATAATGGCAATTAATTCTGTGTTCCAAAAAGAAATGGTGGATGCAAAATAACACCAAATTAATGTGATTAATTAGAAACGTAAGATTCTTGTCAAATAGTTAATTAACTTGTAGGTAGATATTGTATATGGGATGAAAGAATATAAATATGTAAAGTAAAAGAATGTAAAGATGCTCCTTTAAATTTTGATCATAATTAATGTATATATTGGCTAGATGATTATGAATGTATAAGTGGATAAGGAAATGGTTGTATTTAAAATTTTGAGAATTGTAATGATATTAAGAATCTGAAAAGTTGTGTAAAAAATAAAAATAGGAAATAATGTGTTATTGAAAATGATGAATGTTTTGAAGAAGAATGTAAAAGTTTTAAATATCCTAAATATGATACAAATTAAAAATGTTCAGATAGATTAAGTATTTGCACTTATAATTATTTAACTAAAAGTTGTGTTAATAAAATATGCGAAAACTTATCTGAAAAGGAATGTAATTATGATTTTGAGATGAATAAATGTTTGATACCCTCTGGTTGTTAACATAAAAGATGTGAATCAGCTTCATTGCATCTAAGTTCATATGAAGATTGTCAAAATTGGGATATTAAATGTACAATAAATGTAATTGTTACTATAGATATGGTATATTTGAATGGATGTATAACTAAATATTTGGAATGCAACTAATTTAAGTATTAATAATAATGTAAATCAACCTTATAAGGGATTCCATGCTATTGGAATATTGAAGTAAAATAATGTGAATTTTAAACTTGCAATAATGCTCCATTCTCATTTAATACAATATCTTAATGTTAAGAATGGGTTAAGTATCACAATTAGAAATGTGTTAATAAATAGAATGGGGGATGCATTGAATAATTTCCTTAATGTTAGTAATTAACTGAAGAGTTGCAATGTAATATTGGTTCATTGAACAATTTATGCTTTTGGAATACTCAAACTAATAATTGTGAAGATAGAACTTGTATGAATGCATATACAACCTTTAATACTAATTTAAAATGTAGATAATGGTTATCATCTTGTAAATTAAATAAGTCTGGATTAGGATGTGAAACTGATTCTGGAATATATGATTTATGTACTGATGCACCAGAAATAGAATAATTTAGCACACATGAAGAATGCTAAGCATTAAATCCCAAATGTACACTTAAATTAGGATCTAGTTGTGCTATTAAATTAAATTGTGAAAGTTATTTAATTTAAAATGAATGTTTGATTGATGTTAACAATTAGCCATGTAAGTGGAATGGAACAACTTGTATAACATAGAGATGCACTGATATCCCAATTACACCTACTAGCTAAAATGATTGTCTTTTATTTTCTAGTATATGTATGATATAAACTTAAAATGTAACATGCATAGAAAAAAAACCAAATTGTACTGAATATAATAATGTTTCTGATTGTAATGTTAATTCTGCAGGTTAAAAATGTTAAATGGACACTCCAACTTGTTTAGTTGTAAAAGATTTAATTTATGCTACATCGTATTATTGTAGCTATGAAAATAAGGATACAGGATTTCTATATTAATATAGTTTTTCAGATTAATGTATTGAAACTCCCTAAGTTTGTAGTTCAGTTCCTTAAATTTATTGTAATGAAATAGTAACAATCAATAATGAAATATGTTCATATGATGGCACTCAATGTTAAGTCCTAAATTTATAATCAAATCCATAGGAAGATTGCAGAAGATATAATTCACAAATTACATAACGACAATGTAAATAGTATTCAAATACTTGTGAATTAGATTTTATTCAATAATTTCGTTGTACATATACTTCTTGCTTAAATGTTTTGAAAGGTTAATGCGAATTCATCACCCTGAATAATAATATTCAATGTGCCTGGAATAATTCTACATGCCAAGTAAGAACTTGTAATAACATGAGTGAAGAATATAGTTCCGTTTACTAATGTATATAATGGCTAGATTCTTGCTCGTATGATTAAACAAACAATATTTGTAATGATAGGACTTCATGCTCTTAAGAAACATCTAAGTTTTTATGTAATTAAGCCTCATATATTAATCAATAGGGGAAAAAAGTTTATTGCTATTGGAATTCAAACGAATGTTCTGATATTACCTTATGTGCATAAATTTAAAATCCAATCTCACATAGAATGTGTCAAGATAAACTGCCATCTTGCACTTCTTAAACTTCTTCCTAAATTTCTATCTGTGTTGAGACACCTTTGTTTTGTAATTAGATTTAAAATTATGATCAATGTTTGAGAAATTCTAAATATGAGAGATGTTAATGGTCTTACGGACTATGCTTTTAATTTAGTTGTAAATTGTAATTTTTACCTACATTTTATGCGCCAATTCGATATTAATTTTGCAAAAATAGGTAACCATTTTGTGTATTTAATCCATAAAATTCTTCGTGCGAGGAACTTAATTAATGCTAATTGATTCCATACTAAATAATTAATGAATAGAATTGTGTAAATTTTAGTTATCTTTGTAGAATAAATGAGTAATATGATAGTTGTATTAGGAATACAAAATGCTCTTAAGCATCTACATATTTTCAATATCAATGTGATTTATTTCTACTGCATAAAAAATGCAGGAGAAAAGAGTTTAAATATAGCTGCTAACCTAAAGCTTAATTTTGTTGGCAATATCAAAAATTAGAAAATTGTAAATTTGATTATCAATAAAATAAATGCTACTGGAAGGTATCTTTAAATTAATGCGTCAATTTTTCATGCAACTAGATTGACCAATAGGTTTAGTCCCATTAGGATTGTTAATAAATATCATCTGATTGTACTATCAATATTTAAGATTCAATATATTCATGTTTAAATTTACTTTAATGTGAATTATATTAATATGAATAATAATGTGTTATTAATTAGAATCATTAGATTTGTAGTTGGATAGATAACAAATGCATTTTTGATAATTGTAGAAATGCTGCTAAAAATATTATTTATAATGTTGAATCATGTGAGAATAATTATGGTAGTAATTGCACTATCAATGAGGATAGATCTGGATGTATAATAAAATAAAAAATGTGTAAATATTACAATCAATTCTAATGTTTAACTCCTAATTAAAGAAACTTATCTGGATTACTTTGCTTTTGGGATTAAATGAATTAAATTTGTTCAGAACCAATTTGTGATTAAGCTCCTTAGAATTATAATTAATTATTTGAATGTTAATCTTTTAATTATAACTGCTAACCTTCCTAATGTAGATAAGCCAAATGCGAAGATTTTAAATATAACACAGATACTAAATGCTAATTTGCACTTTCTAATAGTTAATGCACTACAAATGGTTTATAATGTGTTTAAAGGAAATAATGTGAAAATGCAATAAATTCTTAGGCATGCACTTATTCAATAGATTTTCAAGATTGTTAATGGTTAGAAGATGAAAATTAGTGCTTTCTTAAATCTTGTGATTCTGCACCTAGTAGCATTAAAACACATTAAGAATGTTAAGAGTACTTTATAGGATGCACTGCTAAGTTAAATGGAGGTTGTATTTAAATTACAACATGTAATTCAATTTAAATTAAAGAAGGATGCATAATAGATTAATTTAAAGTTAATTGTTTATGGGATGAAGGTAAGAATTAATGTATTTATTTGCTGTGTGATACTATTTGTGGAGATGGGATTGTAGGTTACAATGAAGAATGTGATGATGGAAATTTGTTACCTTATGATGGGTGTTATAAATGTAAAATATAATGTTAATATGGTTGTAATATTTGTGCCTAAAAAATGTGTTTGGATTGTGCAATCGGTTATGAATTAAGTTTGGATGGCTTATGTTATGAAATTTGTGGTGATGGTTTAATTATTGGAAAAGAAGAATGTGATGATATGAATAAAATCTAAGAAGATGGCTGTTTTGACTGTAAATTCTAGTGCCATCGCTAATGTCTCATATGCGCTTAAGGTATATGCTAACTTTGCTAAAATGGTTGGGAATAATACAATAATCAATGCAGATCTGTTTGTGGAAATGGTCAGTTAGTTGAGGAATATGAATAATGTGATGATGGCAATATTGATAATTTTGATGGTTGTGATTTAAATTGTAAAGTTGAAAAAGATTGGATCTGTAATTAATCATTAATTACAGGATTGAGTGAATGTATAAATTAAGAAGCTCCAAAAATCTAATTAATTAACCTATCTTAAAAAAAAAATAGTGAACAAATTATAATGATTTCATTTAATTAATAAATCAAGTTGAAACAACTTTGTAGTTTAGAAGATTATATTAAAATTAATGTTACAAAGGATGTAAACTTTGATTACACTATAGTTCCTATTAATTAGGCAACTTAAAAATTAGGAAATGTCGAATATTAAATTTCAATAAAGTTATTAGAATCAGTTTAAGAACCTTTTGCAACTGTGTCATTTTTAGAATCAATTTTTGTTAATAATCTCGATCAAGAGTTAGCATTGTTATCTTAATCTATAAGTCTAGGTACTCCTTTAATTTTATCTCTTGAAGCAAAGAATAGATTAGATAGTACAATATAATTCAATGAAATCATGATTTATGTATTTATAGCATCTTCCACTCTATCTGTATTAACAGGCAATTTTGATTTATTTTTCAATATGCTTGCACTTTTATAATAATTATCCTATGTACGATATTTAGCTGTACCATATCCAAGTCATTTAGAATAGTATTTAAAAATTTTTAAAATTATATCATTCTAACCTTTGTATGATAAATTACAGATTGACTATTATTTTTCGAAATTAAATTTTGGTAAAACACCATTTATTTAATCAAATAATCCAAAGAAAGAAGATCCTGAATTTAACAACGCATTTTTTCTTGTAAATGCTAAAAGCTTTTATTTAACTATGTTTACTTCATTTGTAATTTATGCAATCTCAAAAATAATCAAAAAGTTAAGTTGTAGCATATATAGTAATTTGTAATAATTCAAAAACTTTAAGAAACTAAAAATAATTTATATGATCTTCAATAATATAAAATAGTTTTCTGAAAAAACAGCAAATTACTTTATTTATTCTGGAATGATTAAAGTTTTTATATCTACATAATATTAGTTAATGTACAGTGCTTATAGTTAATGTCCAGAATATCATTTTAATATGGAATTTGAAAATATTTTTGTTACTTTTAACTCTTTCAATGCATTATTTGCTATTTCAATACCTCATTTATTTCTCTTCTATTCTATAGTTGTTCTATAAAAATAATACAAAATAACTACTAAAAATCGATTTTCAATATTTTATGAAAATGTAAAATAAACATATTGGTCCAGATTCTTCATTCCCTTTTCAATGGTAAAAGTTGCTGTTTATATGGGAATTGTTTGCTTTTTGTACAATTCCCCTATCATTTAGGTTATATCATTAACTATATTATCTAATGTTTACTTCTATTATCTTTTGGTTGTTCAACCATGTACTTAAAAATTAGAACTTATCAAACTCATTATAAGAGAAATTACATTTTTAATAATTGTTTCATCACTTTTTCCGTATACATTAGCTGTTGATGATAAAATCATTAGTTTATTGGGATGGATTCATATTGGTTTTTTTTCACTAATTATTGCATCAAACATTATAATAGATTTTATTAATTAATTATAACAATTATTTAATAAATATTAGAAAAATAAATTAAAAAAATTAAAAAAGAAATAGCAATAAGAGAACAATTAGAATTATAACAGCTTTATGATCATTTCAGATGCTAATTTATAAAATCAAAGGCTAGCATCTAAAAAATGAAATCTAAATATTGTTTTATTTAAATTCATATTATTATATAAATTTTTAAATTAATCTATATTATAGTTTAAAAATGCCAATTTCACATAACATTTAATTTAAATTTGATACCCATTTTGTTAGTATTTGATTGATGCAACATTTTAAATGAGGTCGCTAAATAAAGTTGTAAATAATATTAACTTTTCTCTTGTTCATGCAGTCTTTATATTAATTTGATTAAGCTGAATTACATTAATAATGTAGAAGCATAGTTAATAATTATAGAATAAATCAAAAGCGTATACCAAAATCAATACGAACTAATGAACATTTGAAAATTTCAGGATTTCAATTGTATTAATGATTTGGAATAAACGACTAAATTCTGCTATTTTTTAATTTTGTGATATGATATGAATGAGTAGCGACTGAAAAATTGATGTGTCAGTGAAACAATAGAATAAACCAGTACAATTTTCAAAAACGATTGAAAGTTGTATAATTAGAATTTATTAGGTACTCAAATAGGAACCTTAAAATTTAATTATTTATACTTGAATAATATTTGTTCAAGAGAATAATTATTTTTGGTCGGTTTTTTGAATAAGCATATATATTATCTATAATTATTATCTTTAGACATACTCACGAATTGTATTTTAGTAGAACAACTTTACATAAAAAAATAAATCAATAATTGATATTTGTATTAATTAATATAAAAACACTTAAAAAAATGCAGATTGAATATCAAAAAGAAGATATTAAAAAAATAGTAAGAATAACTTTTCTTCGTTGTAAATTAACTCAAATACAATTTTTAACGGATATTTGAGTGGGATCTTATTTGCAATGAATTTTGTCTAGATTATGGAGAGTTTCAAAAGTGATAGGTGAGGTTGTTTAGAATTCCCCTAGCAATTTAAGCTATGGAGTTTGAAGAGGCCCTCAAAATTTGTTAATCAGAAATCGAAAACCAAAATTCTATGTACGAAGCCAAAAATAAAAAATTAATCAAATAGCAAAAACTTTTACAACATCTTACTCCAAACAGAATTCCCTTTCTCAATCAAATTAAAATAATTTTACAAAGAATGAACTTCCATACTAAGATTAAAATATTTGCAATAGGAAGTGAAAAATAATTAAATTATACTTTGTGTTCATCCCTTTGAATTCCTAATAATTCATTCTAATTGAACCTCAAATTTTATTAATTAAGGAAATAGACAAAACTTATATATAATAAAAAGTATCTATAATGATTTTAATTCATTTTAAAGTGAATTATTATCAAGTATCCATTATAACATTTCGAAAAATAGTTAAATAACTTGAATATTCCTAGAAAAAAAAACATCAAAAATATGTTTGTAAGCCAAAACTCAAGAAACTAAAGAAAAAAGTGTATAATACACCTACTCCTTAAAATATTCAAACCCCTCACTTCAGTTTTTGTTATATATAAAAAATAGTTTCATACTACATTTATGAAAGTGGAATAGAAAATGACTCTCCTTAAAAAATTTGGAGAATAATATGGCAAAAGCTTTATAAAAACTGTATATCCATCACAAAAAGAATAAATATTATTGGTGATTTGATAAGGATTGTTTATATTTAAGCCTGTAAAAACAAACAATGATAATAACTTAAAATATTCTTTGAGAAATATTAATTGATATAAGCTAACCATTAACAGTTTATGAACTATCTCCATTATGTATATAATTCGGATAATTCTAGCTTGAAAGTCAAAATATGGAGTTTAGTTTGAGGAAGTAAAAATAAATGAAGGGTATAAGTTGTTGTGGAAAAAGTGTTACAAAAGTTGAATTCGAAACGAATTATTGATAATGTGTAACATTTATATAATAATTTATCTATCTATTTCATTTTTTAACAAGCATTAAAAGAATATAACATAAAGTCCAAAAAAGTTGGTATTAGGGGCAAAGATATTTTAATGAAGACCTATATAGCTGATCTCATCAGCAAATTATAATTAATATTACTCCAATATAGATTAATTAATTAAAAGTAATCAATTTTATGCTACATATATTGAGTCAATAATTGTAACTATTTTATTGATTCAATATAAAATATGCATTTGTGAAAAGAAAATTTATTGTTTCACCAACTTTTTATTGCAAAAGTGAAGAACAATATTTCTGCTTTATCTATAAAAATTTATATTTATGGTGAAAAGAAAAATTTCATTACACTTGTATAAATTATTGCTTATTAACACAATTAGAAAAGATCTAAATTTATATAAAATGAAATAGTTAAGCTTATAAAACAATTCTTAAATATTTTACAATTAATCTGAATTTTTTTAAAAAGCAATAATTTATACAAGTGTAATGAAATTTTTCTTTTCACCATAAATATAAATTTTTATAGATAAAGCAGAAATATTGTTCTTCACTTTTGCAATAAAAAGTTGGTGAAACAATAAATTTTCTTTTCACAAAAGCATATTTTATATTGAATCAATAAAATAGTTACAATTATTGACTCAATATATGTAGCATAAAATTGATTACTTTTAATTAATTAATAAATCATCTATGCTCTTAATTTGATCAATCTTTTTCGACCGCAAGACAGACAGCACCATTACTGTAAAGGTTCTTTACTTATGGAAGTACATATAAATTATTGATATAATAATAACTCTTTCAAAACTTATTCCCTTAGAAATCATTTCATATATATATATATAGGCATAAGCAAAGATATTATAAACAAAATTTATTTAAATCAAGTTTAACTGTTTAAACTCATTAAATTTTAAATTAATGAGACAATGATATACTTTTAAAATTATAATTTACTTCTTTAAAAAATAATTTGATTAATCAGACAAAAATAAACTATCTTAAAATTAAATATTAATTCTTTTTTAAAATATAAATTATATAATAATAATAGACTTTAGTACAATTTTAATAAAGGTCTATAAAAATTAATAACATTATTCAGACATAAATATACTATGTATTACTTAAAATTAATTCTTTATCTAATAAAATAAATTATAAAATATATAAATTTTAAGACAATAATGAACTAACATAAACTTTTAGTTCGCTTCTTAATAAAATAAATCAAATTCTATAAAATTATAAACTTACATAAGGAAAAATTTTAGATATGTAAATGTTTTACAAAAAGGGATATGTCTCAATAATTCATAGACAATATAGCTGTATAATTTCGATAGCCATACAATACATTCGTATTTTTCTGATATAGTAAAACAATTTTTTCTTATAATTCAAAAATATTAAGATTATATTTGACACGAACTGTTACTTTAAAACAAAAAAATGATAGAATAGCTTTTTTATTTCAAATTCCAACAATAAAACTACTTCTAAAATATTTAATAGTAGATTTATTTTAAATGGTGTTAGAATACTTTAATAATATCACATTTCTCGATAGGTAACTAATCCATAAGGATGGCTAAAATTAAGCCAAATACCCGACATTTTATTTTTGGTAATTACAACCAAAGTAGATTTGAATTAAATATATAATATATTCCAATCAGAAAGGGCAAAAATAATTGCTCCTTTTTATAACACTTTTCTTTTTGAGAGAACTATCTCATATCTGAGAGGATCATTATGAATCAAAAATTGAAATCTAGTAATTTAATAAATTGATATATTTTAAAAGCTTATTGCAATATTTTCTAGACCTATTATTAAATTTATTAATAATTATGTTATAACAGCACCCATATTTAAATTAGCCAGAAAATGTTGCCAATAAATACAATAAGCCTATCAATTTGAGCCAACAACTAAGTTTTTCTAAAAGTTTACCAGGTCAAGGAGTGCTACCAGAATAAAATTATGCAACTCCTTAATGGCAGAAATAAATGAACCCATAATTATCAAATCAACAGCCATAAATTTAAACTATCTAATCCAAATATATTCCCCAACAGTAGACCATTATTTATCAAGGTTAACCAACTTATGTTTAATAACCTCAATAATAATTTGTACCCATAGCTTATCCTCAATAATAATAATTCAGATAAAGTTCCCCTCCAAGAATAATCAAGATGAATTAATAGCCATAATAAGCATAACCAATCTACCGATAACCAGAAGTAAGAATTCCAGAATATTATCCACAACCTCCTATTTACTATGATGACCCACCTTTCTATGAAGAACCTATTTATTACCCTCCTCCACAAAAATCAATTAAACTACCTCCTCCTCACATTGATAATTATTTTATGCCTAACTAAGTTAGTTACATAAGGAATCTTGATGACGGACCAAAATATCCAGAATACCCCTTTAAAGTATTGGATATTCGAGATTATTTTAATAAAGCTCTAATAGACATGGCTACTTAAGAAGAGAAGATTGAAAGAGCTAAAGTATAGGTTTGCTCTCAATTAGATTTTCGAATTAATGGTTTGTTTAATCAGTTAGATTAAAATTAAACTGGATAACTATCTTAAGAGGAATTTGCAGTTGGATTGAAAGCATTTTCTTTGTAACCTGAGTAGTGTGATATCAAATTGTTATTTGAAGAATTTGGATATTAAGGAATGATGGATTTCCAATAATTTGCATATATGATAAAACCATAAACTGATCTTAAAAATACAAAAGCATATTAATAAGATGATGAAAAGGTACTTCCAGAAACTAAACTTCTAATTAGAAATCTATTTGTTACCTTGTTAAATGCAGAGAGTGTTTTTGAAAGTCTTAGATAATACTTAATATCTAAAGAAGAAGAATTGGGATAAAAAATTTAATACAATTAGATATTTGAAGAAATATTTTCAAATGATCATCCTAATAATTTAAGATTTTATCTTTAGAATCAAGGATAATATTTTGATATCGCTGTTATTAATAGCCTCTTTAATAGATTTGATAGAGAATGTACAAAAAGAATCACATAAGAATAATTTATTTATGCATTTTTGCCAAAGTTAAATAAAGATGATAATTATTTGTGATGAATTATAATTATTATTTGAGATAAACATATATTTTGTAATTTTTTAGAATGCATACATTCTTTTAAGCAAATTTAATTAAATAATTCTAAGCCTTTATAAAAAAATTTCATTCGAAAATAATTTATTAATAATAAATACATTCTGCTTAACTTTAAAATATTAAAGAAGATAATCAAAGAGAATGAGTCTTTATGAATTTATATATTTAAAGTTTAGTAAAGAAAACATTCTAAATTTAAACTTGATATAAATTAAAATTTATTTATTTATATAATGAGACAAAAATCTCAAACTCTTCATGAGGGCGGAGAAAGAAAGTTATAAGCAGTCGATTATGAAAAGTGTATATATAATTGCCTTTTGACGAAAAAGAAATTTATTGGAAGGGGCCTCAGATACCTTTATTTGTTTAAGAATTTAATTTGTATAGGAAAGGTATCCGTCTATCTTTAGATTTTGAGTCACCTAAAATTCAGATTCCTGAACGCCAATTTCGAATCAATTCAGAATTAAGAATTCAATGGACTTATACAAAAAATAAATTAAAATCAGTAATCTTTTAAGTAAGCGGCTAACAATTTGAATATCATGGAACAAATGATTAATTAAGAGAACTTAAATAGAAATGTGCATTATATGTTTTCCAAATCAAGATTTAAGATGAATATTAAGCTGAATCAGTTTTAGGAAAAGGGTCTTATGCAACAGTTCTCGAATTAACTAATTTATATACAAATAAACAATATGCTGCTAAATGTATTGATCAACAACGTATCAATGAAAAGAAGAATGGTTACAAATAATTGTAATAAGAAATAGAGACTATGAGAATACTATCCGAAAGAAAACATGACAACATTTTACAATTACACGAACTCTATATAGGAAATTAAAATTATTATTTAGTAATGGAAATGGCTAAAGGTGGCTCTTTATTATCTCTTATGAAAAAACGATAAACTCTTTTCAGTAGATAAGACATTAAGTTGATAATGAAATAGTTACTTGAAGGATTGGAATTCATTCATAATCATAATATTATGCATAGAGACTTAAAACCAGAAAACATATTGTTTATGAATAAAGATTTAGAATCATTAGTAATTGCTGATTTTGGTCTAGCATAATCAGTAGATACTCATCCTTATACATATCCTAAATGTGGTACCCCAGGTTTTGTAGCTCCAGAAATTCTTGAACAAGATACTGAATTGGCAAGATATACTGTATCTTGTGATATTTTTAGTGCAGGAGTTATTTTATATGTTTTGTAAAAGCATTTAAATTTATTTAAGATTAATTGGAGAACCTTTGTTTGAAAAAAAGGATAGGAAGGAACAATTAGAATTAAATAGAAAATGTGAAATAAACTTAAGTAAATTTCCATCTGATTAATTGGATGATCTTGAAAAGGATTTATTAATGAAGATGCTATCTAAAAATCCAGAATTTAGATGGTCAGCTAATAATCTGTTAAAACACAAATTTTTTGTATCTGAAGATTCGATTGAAAGTGAAGTAGATTTCTACAAATTAAATAATATTGCAATGTATGAAATTGATAAAATATTAGACTTAAGAAACAGGCAATGCCAACTTTCTCTAAAAACCCCTTTATTTAATTTGGTAAAAATATTAGTCTCATCAGAGATAAAACTTAAACCATTTCTTTAAGATAAAGAAATTGTACTTTAATAATGTAAACTAATTTAAGATTTGATAAATCTTCACAAGAATAATTAATTACTGAATAAGTAAATGGAATGGGATCTTTTAATTTATACAAAGATGAAATAAATTAAACTAATCCTTGAAAATTAAGTCATTCACATTTTATTTACTCTTAATTTAGACTTTATATATCAAAATTTATTTTGTATTTTTTTTTTTCTTTGAGAATGTTATTATTTTTCATTTTAAGAATTCATTTTGATGATTTCTTCTACAAGAAAAATTTATTAATAACATTAATGAGTTTTTTTCTTTATCGTTAGCTAAAAGACATTCTTTAATATTCATTTATAAATTTAATTTATGAAAAATTTATTCAAATATTGTGATTAATGTTCAAAAAAACCAGGAACAGTTTTCTGTTCTAATTGCTAAGCTAGATTTTGTTATGGTTGTGATGGAGAAGTTCATAATTAGAATTAAAATCACAAGACAGAAATATGCTCATTAATATGTATTATGTTTTATATTAAGAAATGAGATAAAATAACTTATATTCGTAATTTTAAGCAGGGGATTCCTAGATATTATTTTAAACACAATAAAATTAATTAGGAATAGAATAGTAGGAAAGATAATAATAATAATAAGAAGAATTAATAAGATTAGACTAAGAGATAAAATAAATTGAATAAGTTTTGAGCTCTCAAGAGAACAAATGGAGGAAATAGATTGAAATTTTAGAATAAGATTATGAAGAAAAGATTGCTAAATTTGAGGATAAGGTCAAGAAAAGTGAGAGCACAATTACAGAGATTAAATAATAATCTAAGTAAGAAGATCAGATTAGTGAAATGATGAAATAATTAAAAGAATAATTAGAAGGATAAAAGATGTATAATTAATATCTACAATCTATAGTTCATTAATATAAAAAGTTGATTAATAGAAAGTGTAATTGAATGATAAAGAATAATTATTACAGAATTTGATAAAGTAAGAGAAAGATTTTTCTGCAGAGATTAATAAAAAAGAAATTTTGATAGGGAAATTTAAAGAGTTGATATAATAGTAATAGAAAGAGAAAGAGTTGATATTGCATGAAAATGATAAAATAAAGAAGTAACTGGCAGAAATCAAGTAATTATTTAAAGAGAAACTGCCTTAATTGGGATTGGATGAAAATTTCTTCAATTTTGATGAGGAAGAATAAGATGGAGAAGAAGAAGAATAAGAACCTTAAATATAATAAAATGTAGAGGACTCAACAGAAGAAGACGAAGGTGTGTAATGAGTAAAATCTAATAAGTTTAACTATGAGTCATTCATTGTTATTTTTGATTCTAACCATTTTATTAGAGATATTATTCTATTTCTTCTGCTTCTAACCATCTTTTTTTAATTCCGTCCTTCCACTCTCCATATTTCTTTTCTCCATTTGACATATAATAAACACCAATTCCTTATTATTTACCTATAAATTAAAGATATTTAAATACCATTAACCCAGATTCCTTCATATTTCCTACCGTCTCCCCATTCAAATGAGCCTCTGCCATGTTTCTTATCTTCAAAGTATTCCTAAAGAATAAGTAACAATGGATACTCCTATATATTTTCTGCCATCTGGCCAAGTTACTTATCCATGACCATGCATTTTATTTCTTTTCCATTATCCAGTATATATTCTTTAATCTGGCCATTAATAAGTTCCATATCCATCTATTTCATTATCAACAAAAGTGCCTTCATATCTAGAACCATCAGCAAATAGTAGAATTCCTTTACCATTTTTTTTACCTGTTTTATATTCTCCTTCATATTTAGCCCCGTCAGGCCAAACTTCAATTCCTATACCATCCTATCTGTCATCAACCCACTTAATTATAGATTTATTATTTACATCTCCCTCGTATCTAGCCCCATTAATATGAACATATACTCCTTTTCCATTTGCTTTATCATTTTGCCATTCTCCCTCATATACATCTCCATCTGCATGAATCAATTTACCCCAACCACAACTTTTATCATCCTTCCATTATCCTTCGTAACATGAACCATCTGGCCACTATTATTTACCATTCCCATCTCTCTTTCCTAATAACCATTCCCCTTCATAAATTGCTCCTTTATCTAATTGAATTGGTCCAAATTTTTGCCTTTCAGTGCAATTCAAATAGGTTATACTTACTTCTTTTACAGATTAAGGTTCTAAATTTTTTTTCATTGACATGCTTTCATTATCAACTTAAAACTTTTCTCTTTCCTTATTGTTTTATCTTGGAGTTTCAGAAACCTATTATTATTATTATTAAAGAGATGACACGCTATTTTCTTTGTCATCATAGTCGTTTTGATCAGGATCTTCTAAATCAACCTCATTCTTTTTAGAATCTTTCGATACAATCTCACCATTTTTATTAGCGCAACAATTCACCTAGCAGCTTCCCATTTCAGTTAATTATTTATATATGTGATTTATAATATCAAAATTCTGCTTTCTCAATATCAGGAGGAGGAGGCCCACAAGGTTAAATCATTTTAGTCAAAAATTTATAGCGTAATCGACACATTGGTTCATTTTCAGCTGTACAGAAATAAACCTCAACATTAAATAGATGAATACCATTCTACTATGATGACCTATATGTGATGCCAATGTATCTCTATGTATATGATTATTCCAAACATATTTTGGAGTATCGGGATTTCCTGTACCAACATAACGAGCATGTAAATGTTCTGTTTAAGTTTAAAAATTGAATCTGTCTTGCATTAAATATTTAGAAATATATATAATTATTATTTAATTTTAATTATTGTATATTCAGGATAATCGTATCTCTAATTAATTATAAAAGATCATATGGACACAAAGACAGATTACTTTTATGTTTAATTTCATTTAAAAGATAGATAAAAATGGCCATCTAAAGAATTGAAAAAAAGTAAAGATAAAATTAATATTTTTATTGGTTTTGGGAGTATTTGTTAATACTCGTTTTAATATATATATATATTAATTATTTATTATAATATTCTATGGTTTTCATTTCCATGCATATCTTATAAACTTCTCAAAAACTTAATCATTGTCAATGAGTGAACTAATATCTGTAATATATTCTAGGAAATGTTATTGGGTAACATGCTAAACATCTTTCCAAATATCATGAAAATCTTTATTGGCATCAGCAACTGTTTTAATATTTGTATTTACATCATGACTCTTTGATGCATCATAAGATTCTTTAATCAAATGAAAAATTACAATTAAATTATTAAGAATTGATTTATGATTCTCCATTTGACAATTTATTCCATAATTAATTTACTAAATCGATTCTATATTAAGAAAGTGGTTCTTTAATTATAAAATATAAGTACTTCTTAAAAAAGCAATAAATTCAACAAAGGAAACTTCATCATCACAATTTTTATCAAAATATCTGAACAAATTATCATATTCTGTTTTTGTTAATAAAAATCCTGATTCTTTCATTGCCCATTGAAATTCTTATCTATTCAATGTTCCATTCTTATTTTTATCAGAATTAGTAAAAATAGTTGCCATTCTGATTACAGAATGCTAACCCTTTTTAATTAAGTCATTTCTAATCCTATTCAATGTATCTTAAGGAGGAGCTCTGGCAATTTGAAATACTGGATTGACATTGGCATTGTTTCCTGATCCCATTAATGCTATCAATCCACATATTTCATCATAGCATAATCTTCCACTTTTATCAGAGTCATATTTATTAAATAATGCTTATATCTCTTTTTCACTAAACACACAACCAAACTTTTATAATGCTTATGCAAATTAATAAATATCTATAGTTCCTTTGTTTTCCAAATCAAAATACATAAATGCCTTTTTGGCTGTCTTTCCTTCATCATCCTTTGTTACTGTTTTTTATCTGATTTTTTCAAATAATATAATTTCCAATTAAGCCAATCTTTCTGGAGAAACATAATCAGCACCAGATGTCACTCCCCAAGTAGATGTTAATAACTATGAAATATTATCCAATTATATAGATACATCTGTGAAATATTCCTCTTTTTCACTAGGAAGTGTTGCATTACAATCAGCATAATAATTTAAGAACTCATCTTCATTAATACTTTGACTATCCTTGCTACGTTTAGATATTGCATTCATAAATTCCTTTGTGACTTATTCAGCTGTCTTTTATCTTGTTCTTACTCTAGGATGATTTTTAGCCTAATAAAGTCTATAAAGACTTTCTAATTACAATCTCCCTTATCTTGATTAATCCAAAAATGAAAATGTATTTCTCACTACATTTATTCTCTTTTCACTCATATTCTCTCTAATTAAATTAACAAACTCTGCATATGCTATATTGCCATCTTTATTTTAGTCATATCTATCATATACTGCTCTCAATTCTTAAGTTGTTAGAAATACACCTATTTTTGATAAGAACTTCTAGAATTCATCCTTATCCAAATATCCTATAATCACTATAATAAATACCAGAGTTATCTCTATCAAATTCTGCCATCAATTAATACACTCCTTCTAAGTCATCTATTTTGCGAGCATGTAATTAACCTCTAATCTTATTTTAAATTAAGTCCAATTTGTTTCTCCAATCCATCGGTTATATTTTTATATATATATATTGATTAAATATCTGATTGTTTAAGCAAAATAATATATATAATTATTTAATACTATTATGCAATATAAAGTTATTTTCTAGATAATTCTAGAAGTATTAATAGTATATTCTATAGAATTAATAACAAATTACTCATATATGTATAAAATTTTTTTATATCAAACAAGATATTGAATTGTTAAATTTACAGATGAAAAAAATGATAGTAAATATTTACTATTTACACTTAATATTATCATGTAAAACAATAAATAATTGGTAATCTATAAATTAATAGAAACTTGAACTTTTCTAAATTTAGAAAATTTCCAATTTAATTATTAAATTATCAATTAATTTGTTATTACCATTTATTATTTTCGAAGAGGGTTGCATTTTAATGAATTGCGATTGGATATAGATTTATTTATAGAGATATAAATTATATATCAATAAATACTTCTATATCAAAGGTTGAAATTATAATAAAAAAGAAGTATAACCAAGTTTTAATAAATAAAGTAATAAGAAAATATAAATTTTGATTTAATGAAACTTCGATGAATTTGAATATTTATAATTTTATCATATTGAATTGAAATTATATCATGCAAAGACAGGATTTTTAAAAGAGCTTTAATTTTTACTTGAATTTACAATTGCAAATTCTCAAATGAATATTTCTATATTAATTATTATTAAAAGCTCATGAAATTATTTAAACAATGTTATAAAGAGTTCTTTCTTTAAGTTTAAATACAAGAACTCTTTAAATATGAGGAATCTTTAAATAGTTTTACTCTTTAATTTTAATCAGAGGAATTAGAATAGTCATATTAAAACAGGTAGATGGCAAAAGTAATTGTGTAATTCAGGATATCCATAATATTATAGATCTTAATAAATATAGGGTTTATGATCAACTCCACAGTTGTTTATAATTCATCAGATATTGTGAAATTTAGATCAATTTTTATTGGATGGATGTTCATATGCTTATTTTTATAGAAAATTTCTAAGAAATATTGGAATGTCACCACTAATATACTGATTTTCATTAATGGTATAATAAGTGTCTTGTTGTTTGCCTTCTTTACTAAATTTGTGAATACAGCCCAAACAAATATAAATGATGTTATGAGTCTTTCTTTGATATCTGGTTTGTAATAAGGATTATTTGCTATGAGCTTTTTTTTAATTTAATCAAACTACATTATGCAGAGTTTAACTATGATTAGTTTCTTCCTTATTTTAATGGGAATTTTTACTCAATTTTTGAATTATAGATTATGGACATAATATCTGCTTCTTATTTTTACATGTTATTTATTAAGGTAGAATGAGAAAACAAATAGATTGAATTTTTTATTAATCCATAAGTCTCATTAGAATTTAGAAGCATGTAAGAAACTTTATGATGAAACTGTACCAACTTCAATAATAATTTTGGAAGAGAATGTACAATAAGAAGGAATATATAAAAATGAATTATTAAATTCAGTATTTACATAAAAAGAAAAATTATATACATTGGATAGCAGACTTATGAATGTAGCTTATTTTAATAAAAGTGCATCTATTCATTTTGAAACAGCTTAGGAAGATATTTTAACAGAAAGATTGGCTGAAATAGAAATTTTGAATTCTGAAAATTCAGTTTTAAATTCTGAAAAGAATAAACTTTTAGATAAAATTTCAGGTTTACAATCTACATTATAGACTGAAATGCGTTTTAATACAATAAACTCTTTTGATTATTAAATTATGTAAATAAATAGAAAAATGCAATGTTAGAGAGTATAAATTAATTTAATTTAGGTTGTTAAATAATCTAAAGTACAATATTATGATGCTTAAGCTTAAGGTTGTTTATGGGATGGTAAATAATGTATAATGTTAATATTAAATGATACTACTGATAGAGTCTTAAGGATTAAACATCTCTAAGATTTAGATAATTATAAAGATAATTTATTGGCTGCTGTTTCTCATGATCTCAAAACTCCATTGAATGGTCAAAGTATTCTTGCTAATTTGATTAAAACAATGATGGAAAATAAGCAATCTATGGTTAGAAGTGATATTTAAGGTATTATTATAATTAATTAATATTTTAGAAATTGTTGTTCATATAGATGACATGATTTCAAATTAATAAATTTTATTAACAATGATAAATGATTTAATTGATTATTCATAATTAAAAAAATAAGGATTAAGATTAAATTACACTTAATTTAATCTTTCTGCATGTGTACAATAAATTAAGAATATATTTAAAAGGTAAATGGATTTAAAAAAATTATAATTTAATATTTTGGGATTAGATGAAAAAATTATAATGTATTCAGATCAAATTAGATTATAATAGATATTATTTAATTTGATATCTAATGCCATTAAATTTACTTTTAATGGATAAATTACATTAACAATTAATAAAATAAATTCTGGTAATCAATAATTAATTAATTTCTCTGTTTAAGATACTGGTATAGGTATACCTTAACATATCCAGACTAAATTATTCAAAGCCTATTCAACCTTTAATTTAGGAAATTAAAATTCATAAGGAGTAGGATTAGGATTAGTAATCTCTAGAAATCTAGTTGGACTATTAGGTCCAAGTGAATATATAGAAATGAATTCAATTGAAAATAAAGGATCAAATTTTAGTTTCTCGATTTATCTGAATGCATAACATAAAGAATGCAACATATTGAATAATTTATAAGTAGAAAATGGAACTCCTGATAGTGATCCATCTCCTATTCATAGAATGCCTAATCCTGTAATCAAAAGATAAAATAGAAAATATTAAACAGTTATTGATATGTCTACAAGTTTATATTAAAGATTAAAAATACTAATTGTAGATGATACAATCTTTAATATTTTTGTCTTAAAATAATTATTGAAATAGATTATTGTTTAATGTGATATTCATGAAGCTCATAATGGTAAGGAAGCATTAGAGAAAGTCAAAGAAACTAGATTTGATATTATATTTATGGATATCAATATGCCAATTTTAAATGGTATCTAGACAACCTAATAGATTAGATTGTATGAAAAAAATAAATAGTTTTAAAAGTCAACAATCTGTATGCTTTCTGCTTTCTAAGGAGAAAGAGATCTCTAAGAGTCTTTGGAAATAGGAGCAGATCTCTTTTTAACAAAACCCTTATAAATTCCAGCTTTAAAAGCAATACTAGAATAACTAAAATATATTTGAAATTGATTCTTTGATATTGATATTAATACTTCCATATTTGGAAATTATATTATTTATTATTATCATAAATAAATTACAATATATAAGATGCTAAAAAAACTCAAACCTATCCTCTTTTCTGTATCAACCTTAGGTGTAGGTTATTTTTTTGTTTAAAGAGAACTCAATATTAATTTGGGAATCTTTGACGCATTTTATTATCAATTTTATAAATACTCTCCTCATTATGCTGTTCAATTTATGAAGATTATGTGTTATTAAAATTTATTATGGAAACAAGATATTCCTATAAAAGAATAGAATATTAATAACTAAATAAAATTAAAGAATTAACTTGGATTAGCTAGTGGATTTGATAATGATGGTTCATTTATCGAAACCTTATAAAATTTAGGATTTGGCTTTATTGAAATAGGTTCAATAGCAGCTTAAAAAAATATAAGGTTTAGTGAAGATTTGAATACTTATACATTGAAAGTAAATTAAATTAAATATTACAGAATAATAGCATTGAGTATTTAAGTGAAATTCCATAAATGGGTATATTACAAAGTAAGGCCATTTTGACTTCACTTAGAAGAAATTATGCAATAAAAATACCTATTGGAGTTAACATTATGCCATCAGAAGAAATTTATAAATATACACCATATTTGATTGAAAATGATATTTCTAATGTAACAAGGTATAATATTTTTAAAAAATTAGAGAATTATGTTCTGTAGCTGATTTTATTGTACTTAATCTTGTAAGTAGTCAAAGAACTAATAAATTATATAGTGAGATTGTTACCAATAATACAGATTTAATTAAAAAGATGATTTAAACTATTTAAATCACTTAAATTGAAGAAATAGGATTATAAGCTGCTTTAGATCATGAAATTAAAAATGAATTGAAAGGAGAGAATTTAATTAGTGAATACTTAAGCACTACTTAACTTGGATTAAAATAGTAATATTTATTTATTATATAAGAAATCTAGTTGCTCCATTATATATTAAAATATAATCAAATCTATAAAAAAACATTTTTGATTTATTAATGAAAGAAGCTAATGGAAATTAAATTTAAGGAATTATTCTTTAAAAAGATATAAATTAAAATGATTTAGAATATAATTAAATACTTAAATAAATTAGATAATAAATTCCTAAATCATGCACTTTAATTAGTGTTGGAGGAATTAAAACTAAAGAATAATATTAGGAAAGATTAATTAATGGAGCTGATGCTTGTTAAATATTTTCATCTTTTCTTGCATAAGTAATATGAAATATTATAATTTATAGGGACCTCAAGTAATCAAAGATATTTTGTTGTGAATATTATAAAAATAATCAAAAAGTTTAATTATAAAATAATTAATTCAAAATTTATCAAGCCATCCTTTTATTCCTTTATTTTTATTTTTTTTATCTTTTTTCTCACCTGACTTAAAAAATAATTCTTAACAAATATTTTATTTATCTGCCATTTCTATCATGCTCAAAATAATACCTAAAATAGATTCAGCAATTTCAGGAGTTCTAAATTTGATATTATATAATTTTACTTATTAAAAATAGCAGAGAAAAATTATTAACATAATCCTTTTAATTATTCATATTGATTTTTTAATGTGATTAAATCTTAAGATAAGTCATTCTTTTATTCAAAGATTTATGGTTATTCTTCCAATTTTCTCATTTATTCAGATTGTAATTTTTATGATAATTCTACAATTTTAATCTAATTTTGTAACTATATTGATAATTCTTTATTTTAACTATAAATTATTGGAATATGTTATTACTTTTCTAATTCTTTAAGTGTAGATTTTAATTAATAAATCTATTATTCCATCTTTTATTTCTCTTATTCAAACTTATCAATCAGATTTTTACATGTTCTATTTAATAAATTATATTTATTTACTTATTTTCTTCTTCCATATTGTTAATTTTATTCAATAAATCATAATTTTAATTATCTAAATATTTTATATGTTCTTGCTAATCATTCTCAAAATCATTCTTAGCTTATTATTCTAATTTTATATCTTCAGCTAAATCATCTCCTACTTAGTTTTCTTCATCTTAATTTTCATCAAATAAAAATTAATTCTTTGATTTATTATTAGGAAATGTCTAATCTTTTTCATTTAATTAGTTTTATAAATCTTAGATTAATTTTTCTCTCTCAAGTATTATCTTAGAATATTTATTAGGATCAGATTCTGTATTTTAAATAGGACTAGGAGTGCTACCTCTATTAATAAAATCTTAAAGTGATCTTGAATATAAATTTAATATTATTACTTATTTTAATCTTTTAATTATATTATTTCTTCTTGTAATTAATTTAATTTTACATTTAATTCTTATTCTTTCAATTAAAATATATGTTATTACGATAAAATTTTTTATTCTAACATAGAATCATTATCAGATAAATTTTATTCATCATCTCCAAGATCTAAAAATTAATCAAATTAACATTAATTTTAACTTCTTCTTGATCTATTACTCAATATTGATTTATTCATCTTAATTTCTTTATATTAATTCTCATAATTCTCAATTTTTTCCTTTTATTCCTATAATTCAATTTATAAATTCTATATAGTTTATAAATGATCAGTCACCTTCAAATTATTTATTTTATATTCTTCTTATAAATCTTATAAATTTCTTTTTAAAATTTCATTTTCTTCTCTCAATTTTTATGCTTCTTAAGATTCTATATGAGCATCTTTCTATTATCTTTGTTTTTATTCTATAAATTATTATAATTCTAAATCATCATCTTCTGAATGCTAACTAATTTAATCTATATCTATAAATTTGTCTAATTATAGACAATTTTAACTTCTCTTTGATCTATTACTTAATATTGATTTATTCATTTATTTTTCTAATATATTTTCATAACTATCTAATTTATCCTTAAGACCTTTAATTTCATTTTATAAATTTGATATTGTTTATTCATGATCAAGATTCCTTTAATTATTAATAATTAATTCTTATTCTTAATCTGTTAATTTTCTTCTTAATATATCATTTTCTTCTCTTAATTTTGATAAAATAGCTCTTTCTTAATTTAATTCATCTTAATCTGTTTCATTAATCTATCTTTATCTTTATTATATTAATTCTAATATTTGTTAATCTTCATCTTCTGAATTCTAGCTTGTTTCTTCAATATCATTAAGCTAATCTATTTAAATTGCATTTACACTTCTTTTTGATCTATTACTTATAATAGATTTATTTAATTTAAATTCTCTCAATTCATTTATATTTTGTTTCAATTAATCAATATGTTTATCTTTCTCCTCAATAACTAATTTTAATTGAACTATCTCTTATCCTTAAATATCGTTATTTTATGGCATTTATTCTAATTTCGAGATTTGTAATTATTATTAAAACTCTAATTAAGTGAATTCCTCTTCTTTATTAAAATCTTCAATTTACTTTTATAAATTTTCTATCTATAGCTTTTATTTTGATATAAGTTATTGATCAGAAGTAACTCTATCTATATACTTATTGATAGATTCTCCTTAATCATTTAATTCATTTTATTTAGATGAAATTTAAATATCCTTTTCTTCAATATTTGCTTCTAATTTTGAAATTTTCAAATTTAATTTCTATTCTTATTTTTTAATTTCCTCTTACAATTAAAAAATTTAATTACTTGATTATTCATTAATCAGTTGAATTTGTTTTAATTCTTCTTCTTTATTTAAAAAATTTATCTAAATATTTTCCAATTTTTCTAATTTATCTAAATATTCTCTTTCTTAATTTAACAATTATTATTCTAAATTGTTTGATAACTATACAATTTCATTCTCTTTATTATTTAATTAACTAAATGCTTCATCTTTTAATTTAGATAATTGAGTAATTTAATTTCCATATTCTTCTATCTTTTAACTAATTTCTAATTCATAATTTATTAACTTCTATTTTAATTCACTTATTTCTTGATCTTTTATCAACATTATTTCATTATTTTTATTAATTATATCTTATTATTATTAAATTTATTGAATAAATTAAGAATTCTTATCTTAAATAATTATTAAATCATTTTATAACATTTATTTTTCATTCTAGTATTACTAACTTAATTTTTCATTAACATTTTTAAGAGAATTAATTTCTATATCTTTTTCATCGATAGAATTTTTTAGTTTATCAAATTATTACTAAATTTATATCATTTGAGAGTTTAAATCTTCCTTTATTCTTCTCTCCATTTTAAGATTATCTTATAGAATCTAATTATCTTATTATATTTCTTTATCTTATTTAAACTATTTTTTTATTAATTTAAAATAATCATTATATTTTTCTTAATATTAATTTTACTTCTATGTAACTTCTAATAACTTATTGGTTATATTGTTCATGAAATTATTCTATTATTAACTAATAGAACTTTCAATCTTCTTTAATTCCTCATTTTATTTATTAATTAATTCTTCTTAATTTATTTGATATTTTTGTTATTATTATTAAATTTCTATTTCTAAATTTAAAATTTATTCATCCTTTTTAACTAATTCTTAATTTAAAAATTCATTTTAGCTTTTTATTTATAAATTATCTTATAGTTATTTTTGAGTATCAAAATATGAACCTTAATTTTCTATTTCTAATTATTTTAATTTTATTTGATATTCTTAATTTTCCTATTATAAAACTGCTATTTCTTATTAAATTTATTTATTTATAAACATTTATGCTTCAAGACTTTCTACATTCTTATTTTTATCCATCTCTAATTCTTTATTTATATTTTTTAATGTTGATATCTCTTCTTAATATTAAAAACAATTAGTATTGATTATATTTACTTGTTCTTGTGCTTTTAAGAATTTTTAATTTAGATCAAAGATATTATTATTCTGTTAATCATTAGCATTTTCTAAAGATTTAATTAATTCTTGTTATTATAGTATTTTTACTTTTAATTTTTATAACTTTGTCAAAATATTTGGTTACAATTATTGAAGTTTTAATGATAATTAATTTAATTATTAGGTCGTATTTACTAGAACTTATAAATTTAATTATTGTGAATTGGTTATTTCTTCAATTTATTATGATTGATCTTTATTTGTAGTCTAGAGAAGTTAAATACACTACTCTTGATTTTTATTTTATTAGTTAAGTTCATTATTAATTTTTTATAAATCTAAACTCTTCTATTCTAATAGGCCATATTATAATTATGTATCTTTTATCTTTGATTATAAATCTTCATTTATTTATTAGAGTTGTTCTATATATTGAGTATTTTCATTTATTTAGTGATTCTTTAATTAATCAATTTCTTCTTAGAATTGATTATTTAATTATTATAATTCATGTTCTTTTTCTTCTATTTTAATTTTTAAGGTCTTTATTTCTAGTAATGAATTTCTTTCCATTTCAAATAATTTATTAGTTTGATTATCAAATTATTATATTTAATCATTGATAGTTTATTTTAATTAACTTATTTATTATTATTATTAAAGGTATACCTTATTCAATTCACTATAATTTTAATTTAATTAATCTATTTATTGTTATTTTTCATTTTTTTAAGTAGCTTAATCTTAAATTTAGCATTCTAAATTGTCTTTTTAAGTTTACAATTCAAAATGTTAATCTTATAAAGTCTTTAATTGAATTTAATTTTCATTTTGATGAGTTAAAAGCTATTGTTCTAATTCTTAATATTAATTTCTTAAAATATTTTCAGTTATTGTTAAATCTTATAAATTTTATTCTATTGTATTTTTTGTTAATGATAAACTTATTAACTACTCTTTCATAATTACAATCTCTTACTTAAGCTATAATATTTCTTACTCTTATTCAAAATTCTTTTTTTCTAACAAATTAATTATTTAATAATTATTTTCGTATTGCTATTCAAGTTTAATTTTTTGATCTTATGATTCCTCATTTAATTTATTTAATTTTGAGATTTCATTACAATAAATATTATTTTAAGTAATTTAATCATTCAATTTAAATCCTAAATTTTATTAATCTTATTTTAACTAATCTATTTGTTAAGATTAATTATCAATTATTTATGTCTTATCTAAAATTTATTATTTTAATTAGATCAATTAATTTTCAAGTTCAATAACTCTTGATTATTCCTTTTCAATCTTTTAATTTAATTGTTTAATACAATTATCTTAATCTATTTCAATTTTTCTTTAAGATTCTTAAATAACATCAAGATCTTCTATCTTTTAATAATAATCTTAATTTTCTAAGATCAATTAATTAATTTCTAAATCTTAATGTTTAATTTTTTCTCTTAAATTTTCAATTATTTTAAGTAATTCTTCATTCTAATTTTTTTATTCATTATAATTTGTAAAATTTCCACCTTATAATTCTATTTATCTATCATTATTTGATTATGTTTTGATATCATTTATTGGTTAATCAAGTAAATCATTAAGGTCTAATAAATATTCATTTGATTATTCTTAGTAAATTTATTATTCTTATTCTTTTTATCCAATTATTAACTAATTATTATTTTTATTTTTTTAGAAATTAATAATCTCATCTTATTGTTATTTGATTATTTCATTTAATTTTTAAATTTCAATTTTTAAAAGGACATTTTCTTAATTTTAATCAGTTTATATTAATATTATATCATTATCCTTCTTATCTAATTCTTCATCATTTGATTTTTCTTCAAATTGATCTAAATCTTTTTCATTTATAGATTAGATATTAACCAATTTATTAATTTAATCTTAAATTAATTTATTATCTTATTATTTGTGTTCAATTGTTGATAGAATTTACTCATATTCTGCAAATTTATCTTTTAAATTTACATTTTCTTAAGTGACATTCTAATATTTTTATTATAATTCTTCATTTTACATTTATAAATTATGTAAATTATCTGATAAATTTTATTATTATTGTTATGAATCATTTAATTATGATTGTAAAATTTCATTTCTTTAATTTGCTTGAATAATCTCTTATTTTTAATATATGATTTTTTCATTTAATTATTAATTCTCTTTTTATAAATTCTCTATTTAGTTATGACAATTCTTTATTTAATCCAATTATTATTAATTTTAAGATTATAAAATTAAACAATTATTATTTAAATCTTCCAAATTTTTATTCAATAACTGATTTAAATTTAATTATTCATTTATTTATAATTTAATATTATTTAAATCTTATTTAAGTATTGAATTTTCATTTTCTAAAACATTTTAATTATTTTAAAGTTCATTTATTTAATCATTTGCTATTTCTAACTCTTACTTTAATTATAATGTTTCTTTCTTTTATAAAATTAATTCTTATTTTGTTGAATCAATTAATTCATTTTTTTAAGTTAACATTTCTTCTTTATTTTAAATTTGAATTTATAGTTAATTGATTTATTCATTTGAGACATCTAATAATTATTTTAATTCTTTTATAAAATCTTAAAATTATAATGTTTATTTTTAATATTCTTTTATAGACTATAATTATTATTAAAGATTATCCTATGATTCTAACAATTAATCATTTATAATCTGATATTAAACTTGTAATTAATTATATTTATCATTAATTAAATCAAGAGCATCTTCTTTCTATTTTAGATAAGTGATTATTTTTTATTAATTTGAAATTTCTGTAATTAGAGTATCAATTCTTTCATTAAATTACTCATTTTAGTTTTCTTAATAATTTAATTAATCATTCAATTCATTAATAGTTTATTAATTATTTTCTAGATTTTCATTTAATAATTAAATGGAAATTTTTTTTTCTTTTATTTAATTATTTAAGTTTTCTATTTATTCTTTTTAATTATTTATATCATAATTTAATTTCTCAATTTAGATCTCAAGTTCATTAATTTAATCATTTAACAATTATTTATCATTATCAAATGATTTTAATAATTCATTTTTTTATTATTCAGATTCTTATCTCTATTAATTAATTTTATCTTTTAATGAATTAATTTAAGAATTATCTAATATCATTTATTTATCAAGAGAATCATTTTTAATATTTAATTGATTGATATTTTCAATAAGAGCTTGTTTTTCCTGATGCAAAACTTAATTCTAATCTTTATTATCTTTTAAATCCTTTTACAATTTAGTTATAATTTTATTAGCTTCATTTAATTCAAGTTGATATATTAAGTTTTAATGATTTAATTAATCTATGTTATTTTTCTATTGATTTAAAGATGTTTCTAAATTTTCAATTTATTTATTTTATTTTTCTAATTTATCTAAATATTATTAAGATTTTATATCTTAATCTTTATAATACAATTAGAAATTTTTAATTTCACTTTCTAATTCCTTAATTATAATTTGATTTTCTTCAGATTATTACAATAATTAAATAACTTGAGTAGTTAGATTTGCGTTTTGTAATTACAATTATTCTTTAGCTTCCTTTAGTTTATTTAAATCTTCATGAATAGCTTTATTTTAGTTTTTTAATTATTGATTTTCTTATTTAAATTACTCTTATTATTTTAATACATCTAATTATGCTAATTAAGATTAATAATCTTATTCTTACTAATTAATTTAATTTAATAAGGTTTATTTAATTTCTAAGAAATTATCAAATTAATCTTATTTTTCTTAAGATATCTAATTTAATTAATTATTTAATTCATGAATTGATTATAATTATTAATTTGATTAAATGGAATGTTCTTATATTTAATATTTTAATGAATCTATTAGTTTTTATAAATCAAATATTTTTTCATCTTTTGATGATGATTCTTCTCTTTCTTTACTTAATTGAAGTTATAATTTCTAAAAATCATCTTTCAAATTTGATTTATCTATTTCAAGATTTCTTATTTTTTTTTAATAATTTAATTCATTCAACTAATTATTTTATTTTTAAGTATTTATATATTATTCTTATACTTTTATTTCATATTCCAATTTTTCATTTTCCTATCTTAATTTAGTATTTATGTCATTAAATTCTTCTATTTATTTTTACAAATAACAAAAATCTTAATCTTGTTACTTTTATTTTTCTTAAAAATTTAATAGTTATAATTCTGTATCTTTTAATTAATTATTAAGATTCTAATTTTTCAATTTTAATTAACCACATTAATCATTTGATTATTTTAATTTTTATTATAAATCTAGGATCTTTGAATCAAACTCTTAACATGAATCTTCAGACTCCATTTACCACTAAAATCTCTAATTATTTTATTACACTAAATATTATTTATATATACTTCTTTTTTTATCATTTATTGTAGCTTAAGCTATTCTGACTAATTCTGTTAATTAATTTCTACTTACATTAGATATTGGTTCCAATTATTTTTTTAATTTTGCTATTTCATTAGAATAAGAATCATCTGAATATTAACATTCATCTTTTTTCTTATGTTAATCTGAATGCAATCCAAATGTTTCAAATTTGAATGGATCGACTGACTTTTGATTAGACTACTTTTCATTGCTATATTCAAACTATTTTGGAGATTAAACTAATTAATTAGGTGATTGCAAACTAGGAGAATAAGGATATTCTTTCAATTTATATCCACTGTTAAAAGATTTTGTTCCATTATCTAGGATTTACTTAATACTTTGATAAAATTGTATAATACATCTATTGAAGATCTTATCGTTGAAGTTGACAATTTTTAGAATCACTTCTAATAGGTTAATTGGATACTGCATTTTACAGTCTATTATAAGAAAAATCTCTTATTCTTGCCTGCAGATTTTCAAAGGTTTATGCCTGAGACCGTGATTCTTTTCTAAATTATAGTAATCTCATATTACTGCTTTTTTGGTCTATATGATTGATTTCTTGTTGCTTCACGATTAGGATTCATTTATAACTATAATTTTAAATATATTATATATTAATATATATATTCAATTTCATTATTTTATTTAAGCCAACATAGATTGCCACTGCAGTAAAACAGGATGTTTATCGTTTTTGTATACCTTAGTTCCACATTTTATAGCTTTATCATATCTATTTAAATTAGAATTATTACAATTCAATTGCCTATTTATGTTCTTGCTATTCCAATTCTATTTTAGCTAATTCAATGTATAATTTGCATTTCTCTAATGAATCTCCTATTATTATATTTAAAGCATTCTAAATATGTTCCTAAGCCTTCTAAACTTGTTGTTTCTTAATATAACCTTTGATAATTTAAATGTGAATCATAATCTTTAGATATTCATGTTAAACTTTGGAATTTCTATAAAATTCAAAGGCTTTTAGAGCATAATTAAGTTAAACATCTTCTTCAATTGAAATTTCACTCCATATTAAATATAAGATTGATTTTAAAGGATGCATTAAATTCAAAGGGGGATCTTCAAGTAAAATCTCTTTTAATTATGAATTTGTAAAGTTCAATTATTAAAACTATTTATATATATAAATTATACTTACTTCTTAAAAGAGTCGTAAAAATAATACATTAGTTTCAATAATTATTTGCTTAATATTTGGTATTTCTGTTTCACTACATTGATCCAATAATTCTTGAAATTCAAGCATAGATTCAAATGCTTCTTAAATTCTACCTAAATAGATCAAAAAAAATAAATGATTTGAAACTAATTAAACTTTATCTTCTAATGGAGCATCCTATGATAATTTTTATAATTAAATAATAATTTATAATCCTTACTCATAACATCTAAAATGTTTACATAAATCAACTAAACATCTAAGTTATTTTTCCTAAAATAATGTTTATTTAAAAGGTTTATCAGGAATTTACAGATTAGGTTGATTACCTAATTGCTCTTTAATTTTTTAAGTTTCTAAAATCAATTAATCAATATCAATAATAGGTGATATTAAATCTTATCTGAACATTTTCTTAAGTAATTAAGCTAGAGCTGTAAACTTTTATTTTTCAATCATTTGATTTAAATTTGGTAACATAATATCAATATTATTAGTTTAAGTTGGTTAAGGATAATATAGAATAACATAAATTATTCTAGCCAAAATCCATATCTAGGCTTATTAAACTTATTCATCTGTAAAATTGTTTGTATGTTATGTGATCAAATCATTTGTATTATAAATATTCTCTTATCTTTCTAATGCTTATTCTTATTAATCAATTTTTTAAATTATAATTGGGTCCATATAATCTGGTTTTATGGTTGTAGGATACTAATTAAAAGTTGTTGGTATATAAGTAGCAGTATCAAAATATATTTTATATTGGTTTTAATTGATATATTAGAACCAAACACTTTTGGCAGTAATTCCATTTAAGTATAAACCTTGTTATTAATATAGCTTAATTTATTGAGCCATATCTAATAATATTTGAAGCAATTATAATTCAGAAAATGTATGTAACTCATTTTAAACTAATTAATACAAATTAATTGTTCCTAATTCAACTAATAAACAATGTTTATTATCAATTTTTTTTATTTTTATGCTTGATCTAAACTTGCTATCTAATTCATTATGAATTTTAACAATTTCATTATATTATTTACCATTTTCTATAAAACATTAAATTTATATATTTTAATCTTCATTCATAGCATAAATAGTATATTTTGATTAATCTTCACTTAATTTATAATTAATATAATATAAATTTGCATATCCAATTTTTGAAAGATCATTAGCTTCTAAAGTAGTAAATGGCAAATAAGATTGATCGTTATCAATATATATTCTTTCTGAGGTTGAGTTTCCTAACAATGTTAGAATACTTTCCTATCTTAAATGTTCACTAAAATTATTTCTATAAAATCTACTCAAAGGTACCATTCCACTTCCCAAAATATCCAAAAATGATTATTAACCTCTCTCTTGATTAGTATGTAATGATCCAGTTCCAGTATAATGATAACTTATAAAATCTCCATGATCTCCCCACATTTATTTAAATAAAACAATAATTGGATTTAGGAATTTAGTATTATTTTCATTAATATCTAAAATCTTTTATCCTAATATTCTTTCTAAATCTAATCCCATACATTTCAATTGATATTCTAACATCAATAATCCAACTCTTTATTAATATACATTAGTTCTATCTAAACAAGCTAAACAATTAGTCCTAACTATTCCTCTTTATTTCAATTTTCTTTAATTTGTTATTAAATCATAGGCATCAAATTACATATTTTTAATAAAATTACTTATTTTCATTATATCTTAATTTATTATATGAAAATCAACACCTTAAGTAATTTCATCAAAATTATAATATATATATTTTAATCTATCAGGTTAATATTAATGAATTCCTAATTCATAAGCTTATATTAAATCATGTTCTGTTTATTTATTTTTATTCATTAAATTCACAGCTAATACTCTTTCATATTTTTATACTAATTTATTAAAATGATTTGTAAATCCAATTTGATTATCTTATTCATTCCCATACAATTCTAATTTCTTCATTAATAAATTTCCTGATTCTCTCCAAAATACAGGAACACTCCCTCTAATTTATTTAAATTAACATTTTAAATTTGCTACAACTACTATCTAAGTAGTTTCAACAAAATTAGCCACACTTCCATCTTTCTATACTCCTGTTTAAGCTAATCTAGTTCCTGGAGCCTTCAAAGATCTTTTTGCAATTAAAGCCACTTATACTCTTTTACCTTCCAAATAAACTGAGAAACTATCCATAAATCCTTAAATCATTAGAACATCCCAATTTTTTATTTATTAAGTATAAAGTTATTTACATAGTCCTCTATTCCACATAAATTCTTCTCTATCAATATCATCACATTTCTCATATGTAAAATAAAATCCTTTTGAAAGTAAATTTTTTAAGTTTGATACAGCTTCTTAAATTTCTGTAACTGAAGCTGCTCTATTGTCCAAAGCTATAAATTTAGTAGTATGAATATGAAAGAAATCTTTGTAAAGAGGATGCAATTAATGATGACTACAACGATCAACCATCAATAAAAATATCACAGATTTTATGTTTATAAAACCTAAAAATGCAGAATATAATTATGATGATTCTTATAGTTTTCGACTTTTTAGATCTTCAACAGAAATACGAAAATCTTTTCGATTGATTATTAATCGTGTATCTATTGGAAGACTTTTACTATTAGGTTCTAACTATCTATAAAATCAAATTTTACAATGATTTCTGATTATGTAATAAGTACCTTAATTGCTTAGATATTTTAAGGTAATAGTACAGATTGATTCTAATTAACAATTTCTCTCTTGAAATCTATTTGATTAATCAAATCCACCATTTTTTAATTTAATTTATATAATATAATATTTTATTAATTTTTGATATTATTAAATATTATATTATAATATACTCATTCACACATTTGATTAATCATTATTTTCATCCTATAGAGTTTCATATTTAGTCTAATTTTGTACTTTCTCTTTTGCTTCTTCCATTTATTTTTCTAATTATAAATTCAAATTCTCCTTCTTTAATTTTTTTATTTTTCTAAATATTTTACATAAAACACATGATCTAATATTAAATTGAATTATTACAATGATATAAGTACTGCTAAAAATATTGTAACTCCAACAATAAGTTCATTAAATCTATGTTTGTACCAATATAAGGAAATGTTTGGCATTCCAATTTAGGCAACATGGTAATATAATTCATAATCTTAAATTGTTAGATTATTAAAAACTAGAACCTAAGCTCTAATAGCAATAAATAATTATGGATGTTTTGATTATTTATCAACAATAATATTAAATAATATTTGATCAGTATGATTGAGAGCATAAAGACCAATGTCAACTTATTAAAAATTATCTGTATGATTTATATGATAATTTGCATACCAACTATATTAACAAAGTCCTATCACATGAGCATATTCAACATTACTACCCCAACTTATAGAATACTTTATTAAACTATTCATTTCTTGATTAAGATCACAACCAATACATTTTAATGGTTTAAATTTAACAGTAATAATATCTGTATCATATGTCTCAAAATAATAATTTATTTAGCCATCACCTCCCATAACTAATTGTCCATATGGAGCAAAATCTTGTGCTTTATAGACTTAAGTAGTGAATTTATACACACTTTTTATAGATTCAAATTTAAAATAAACAGGTCCTGGTATAACTGGTAATATAATATCAGTTAATTGACCTTCTATTGTTGTTTTACTACCATTATAAATTCCATCAATAAATTCATTATAATTTTGAGTAATTGAAACTTTCAACTCACCCAAACAATTATAAACTTAAACTGCTAACTTACCTTCATGAGGAATATAAGATTCATAATATTTAGCTTAAGAATCATATATTTAATCATTTAAACTTGATTTTTCATCAATCATTAAGATTTCTTTACCTACAATACTAATTTATAAATCAATTCGATTTAAATAATTGTGTCCATAATTATAAATTTCTCTAAATTAATAAATTCTAATAGGAACAATATCTCCTTCACGATTAAATACATATTAAATAGTATTATTCTCATTTCCTTTGATTTCTAATAAACTATGTATTTTAATAGTTAAAAGACCCTCTAAAATTGGTAAAATATAAGTGTATTAATCATTTCTACTTGATATAGGTGTAAGTAAAGTAAAATTAGTAGGCTCTGTTTCATTAGATATTTCTATTTTAAAGTATTCTAAACCTTATAATCTCATTCCATATGGAGTCATTTTAATTACTAGTTATGCTTATTTTAAATAACGATATTGATGATATAATGTAATAATTGGAGTTTATTTACTTAAATAAGCAAATGTAATAATTCCATCTTATAATAATTAACCATTACCAGTTGTTGATTATGATACTAATATAGAATAATTTGATGGCTTTTATTAATTATTCTTAACAATTATATAGAGGTCATCATCATTATAGTGACCTGCCAAAGTATGTGATCCATTTGCATAAGGAGTATAATTAGTTTCTTCTAAGTGTTCTCTTGGGGGAATGATTGCTTAATAGTAAGATATAGAGGAAGAAGTATTCATTAATTTTTATTATTTGATTATGTCATAGGGTCCATAATGATAAAGAGTAGAATCCAATACAGCATTATATCCAATCCACATTTATGTATCACCATTATATTGATTAATTTAAACTTCTATTTAATGATCTGTATCATAAGAAAAATGATAGATATTATAATCATTCTGATTTTCCAAGAAATCTGTAAAAGCAATATTTTAAGGTAATTAAACAAAATTTAATTATGATGTTACTACAACTAATAAATCTACATTAATTCCTATAGTTTTGATTTTGATAATATAAGTACATAATTCACAATATTTTTATTTATCATTTTTATGTATAATATGTTAATTGTAGAATTGTCCTGCTAGTAATTATTCATTTATAATAATTTCTTCTTCACAATCTTTTTTTATATTGTCTAAACATCTAGATATTTAGATCATTGAAGTACCTTAAACTTTAATAAATTTAAAGTATAAATCATCATTATTTTAGATATTAAAGTATTGATATTATACTTCTTCTTGAATATCTAATTTAATTCTTGTAGGTATTCCCATAATTAATTTGTGATTATTCATATCATTAGATATTTCTAATGATAATTAAAACTTGCTATTATCAACTAGAGAATATATTTATATCATAATATAAGGATTTCTAGTGAGATTAAGAGCAGTTAATTTTTCTTATATTTATGATTATGTCAATTCTAAAACATTGCCCAATACATTAAATTCACATGTATCTAAATTGATATGATCTTCATCATTAAAAGTTAAACATATGGATCCTTTGCCATAAATTTAATGTAATATTAATTTGAATCTTGATTATGGTGATATATCATTGATTTCTGAAAATATAAATTTTCTTGGTTATAATTTATTTACTGAGATTTAAATAGGTAATCCACTTTTTAGATCCATATAATGTTGGGTAATAGTGACATAGACAGTATCATCAAAATTAATTTATCTATCACTTTCATATTACAAATCTTATGCTTATAATAATATTTTCAAAACACAATCAGGTTCACAAAATTTGAATGCATCAGAATGAATACTCTTAGAATGCTAAGTTTTGTATTCTTCTTTTGCATATAGAGAATTAGATTCCTAATCTTGAGAATCCAATATTTAAATTTAATATTTAGTGTATCCATAATGTGAATTAATATGTAATTAAACATCAGTTTATGAAGATATTACTTTATAATATAAAAAAGTTTCTTGAAATAGATATTCTAAATTAAAAGTGTATTCTTATCCATCTTTAAGTTCTAGAGCAGATTAAGGATTCCAAACATTTAGATTAAATAAGATATCTTCATTTCCATGATTTTCTATTATGATATAAGCTTAACAAATAGCCATTACATATTTATCATCATCCTTGTCTTATTATGTAAGACCATCTAAACATAAACTATTTAATGCAGATTCTGATAATTTAAGTGTACTTGAATCTTAACTTTTTGCAAATTAAGAATGATTATCAGGTTTAATATCATTTTAGACAGTTAATGTTAATTTATTATTTTTTTTACTTTATAAACTAATATAAAATATAGTAGTATTTTAACTATAATAGAAACTGAAATATTTAGATTTGAATCCTTTAACTAGATCTACAAATTATTAACCTACATGAAGTGTTTTAACAGTTCTACTTGTTGAATAAGTGAAAGTATACATAATTTCTTTATCTAAAAATGTTTCAAACATATTCTGAATTCCAATAGTATAATTACCAGAATTCTAATAAAATTAATCTTATGGTTGTATTGATAAATAATTATTAAAAGTAATTAAATCAAATGATTTAAGAGATGGTAATTGATTACCTTGATTTAAAGTTAAAGCTACTTACATTCTTGAAGAATGAATAGCAAATTCAATTGTTGGTTATTATTCATCAATTACTTCAATATTTTAATCCACTTAATTAAAATTAATAATGACTCTAAAATAATGAATTTTTGATTAACCATCTGTTAATTATAATACTCCTCTATAAGTTTCATCTTCTTTTAATACTTTAATATTTATATCTGCTTATTTAGTAACTTTAGCCATAAATTAAAAGATTGTAGCTTCTCTTGCTGTCAAAGTAATATAATATTGAGTATGTTTTAATTGATCTCCTCTAAGAACAACTAAATGATCTACTCCACCAAAATGTTTTGCACATTCAATTCTAACAGGATAACAACTACTATCTCTACTAATCATATATACAATATTATGAGTATTAACTGTAAATACCAATTCTTCATCATCATCTGATTTTTAATATTTAAGTATTAAATGTTCTTCTTATGATTATTCCATATAATTAGTATAAGCAACATCAGATTTAAGAATACGTTAATTATTATCATTTTATGTAGTCATCATATAAATATTCTTATTATTACTTGATATTTCTAATTAAAATATACAGAATCCTTCTTTATCTTTATTTTAACAATGTGGTGTAATATAAACTGCAGGTTTTTATTCATTTTTATGAAATCTCAAATTATGATTATCTTCATCACTTAATTAACAACCATTTTAACATTCTGCTATTCTAATAGAATTATCACCTTTTTCAAAATATACTAATTTAATTCCTACTTCTTATTCACTTTCAATAGTTTTAAATAAATAATTATGTTTTCCTTTATCTTATATTTTAGATAATATCAATTAATTATTATATAAGATGGCTTCATCAATCAATTTTACAACCATCAAATATTTCATAGAACCACCTTAACTTAAATTAATTGTCACTTCATCCCCTTCAATATCTTCTCTTCTCAAAATAATATGAAATGCTTATCCTCTCTATTATAATTATATTGGTTCTTATGAACTAAAATATATATTATCCTTCTTATGAACTTTCAATAATGGTAGCATATCTCCAAAAATTCCTATTTATAAAATTTTAAATTATTGAGGTAATTTTAATTAATAATTGTTCTCATCTCTTTCAAATAAATAATCCTATATTTCTTAATTGATTTCAATTTCTTCTTCATCTTTATACAAATACAATTATCCATTTACTGTTGCTTCCTCTTTAATATTTAAATCTCCACTTAAAACAGCTAATAATTTACATTTCTCACAATCCTTTTTATTTATAGCTACTGTTAATTAAACTTCATCTCCATATAATTTAGCTTTCTCTTCAAATACTTCTATTTTTATTTTATCTGTCTCATCATCTTCTAATTTAAATTCTCCCACCATCCTACTATATTTTCCTGGTAATTGCATAGAAATCACTTAAACAGGCTGCTTTTAAGTTAAGATCAGTTCTGTATTCTTATTACCTAATTCAATTGCATCAGTGTTTATTATTGTAATTCTACCTGTACATGGAACACTAATACATTTTAAATTTATGTCTTCAGATTTTATAGTAAATAATGCAGTCTCATAAAATTCATTTAACTTAAACTCTTCATCTTTACTTTTTAATTAGATTTCACCCAAATCACTCTTCTTCTCATCTTATAATGGTCGAATATACAAAATAATAAAATCTTTATCTTATTTTTCAGGCAATTCAACTTATATTGATTTACCTTATTTCAAATCAAATAAGAAATCCTTCTACTTTTTAGTCTAAGTTAGCATTGCAATTAATAACATAACACATATTTGAATGATCATTTTATATTTTTATTATTTTATAATGATTCAATAATTCACACATCAATTATTTAAATAAAATCAACTCTTATTCATTTCTTCTCCTTAATTTAAACACTTATAATTATTTATAAATTCTAGCCTCATTTTAATATTTAATAATATGGCAATAAATTTATTTTAATCATCTACTAATAGTACATTCAATCCATTCACTAATCATCCCAATCCTATTTCATAATAAAATAATAAGTATTAATTTAAAATACTCTATTAGCTTTCATCCATCAGTCCCTGGGTCTTATAGAGGAATATTTAAAACTGAGAAAATTACATATACTCAAATAGATCGTGATGATTAAAATACAAATTTATATACAACAAATATGTTTATGCAACAAGAATATAAGGGAATTGTATATATTAGATATTCCCATAGAGTGCTTTTCAAATTAGATTAGAGGATTATTATTTAATTAGATCATAATAAATATAAGACCATCATAAATCACAAATTGAAGCAGCAGTGAAGAATAATAGTTTTAATCCTAAAATGATTAGATCTTCAAATTAACAAAGTTTTCATTACTTATTACAATAGATCTAAAACCGCCTTTATTTCAAGATTAAGGTGATATTTTCAAAAGATCAAATAACCTATTTAATAAACCCAATGATCACATAAAATAATCCAATAATAACCAAAATATATTCAATAATCCATCAAATATCAATAAATCTGATATTTTACCCAATAATTCAAATGATTTATTCAATAAAAATAATAATCCAAATATATTTAAAGCTCCTCCTTCTACTAATTAAATGAATAATAATAATAATTAATCTACGAATCTATTTCAATAGTAAAATAATAGTAATTCAAATAACATTTTTTAATAAAACAATGGAACAAACAATTAAGGTAATAATAATATATTTAATTAATCTAATAATAATTTTAATTAATAATAAAAGAATAATAATCTTTTCAATAATTAAAATCTCTTTTCAAATAATAATAATAATTCAAATAATTTATTTAATTAATCACTATAACCTATTTAACCTGCTATATTTTAGTATCCTACTAATACAAATAATAATTTATATTAACCTCTGATATAACCATCACTTTTATAATCATTAGATTATTTAAAATTTCAAGAGAATTAATTTAAAGATTTTACTCGTTAAGTAGATTCCCAAATAATAATAATGGAACAATAGAAATAAGCAAGTTTAGATGAATATGATTCTATGCTCAGAGACAGCGTTAACATAAATTTTGACTATCGATTGTAAAATTAATATACTTAAAGCATGAAATCCAATAAATCCTATAAATTACAAAATTAAAAATCTAGCAATTTGAGTAATAAAACTATTACTAGTCGTCATGATAAGAAAACTTATTCTACATTTTAACCAAATAGTTTAAACACAGAAATTAAAAGCATTTTTAATAGAGAAGATAGAAAACCTATATCAAAATTTTAAGAAAATTTTCAAAATACTGATTCTAAATGTGAGTTTAAAAGTTTTGCTTAGAGAAATGATAGAAAATCATAATCAATTATTTTTTTGGATTTAGAAATTATATTTCTAGAAAGTGAAAAATTCTTATCTATTTCTTAATAATTTTAGAATAAATCTAGAATTTATAATGTAAAATAATTTGTAGAAGAACAACTTCAAAATATTGAAATTTTTGGTTCATAATCATAACAATATTTTAATAATTGTTTAATTTATAATAATACTAATCTCATATAGGATTATAATATTTTACTTTCAAAATTTACTATTAATAAGCTAACATTCAATTACTTTTATGTAAAATTACCAAAATTAATTAATGATGCTTATTATTCAAATTTACATGAATTTCCAGATTTTAGAAAAGTTCATAACTTTTCTGTTTCAAATAAATTTGGTAAAATAGTTTGGACATAAGAAACTAATATTTATTATTTAGATTTAGATAAAATAATTGATATTAAATAGGAATCTATTGAAGTTTATGATACAACTAAAATAAATGAATTGCTGAAACCAGAAATTGGAATCAAATTAAATAGTGAAAGCTAAATTACATTCAAATTTTAATTAAAAAATTCATAAATAAATGAAGCAATGTTTAAAAGCAATTTAATTAGTTAAGCTTAGAAATAGGGATTAGAATTTATATCTATAGATTTTTTAAATTAAGAATATACTGTAAAAGCATTTCATTTTAGTGGCTATCATTTTAATTCTGATTATTCTAACTCAGATAACTAAAATTATTAAGATTAACAATAATAAGTAGAAATTTAAACTAACCAACATGAAATTTCATTTGAATAAGAAGAAAATGATTCTCTTTCCTTAGAATATTAAAATGAACATACACTATAATTCAAAAAAAAATTTGATATTAAGTTTTAGAATTTGAAAATTTAAGAGAAATAAATCAATTATTAATTATCAAATGATATAATCAATAAATATAATTAAAGACTAAATCAAAAATTCGTTATTCCACTGAATAATTTCTAATAAAATGAATAATTACTAATTAATATTTAATTAATTGATAATTACTTTAATAATTAGCAATAATCAGATCAAACAAAGAATACTTAAAAAATATCAATGTTATTAATTGATTGTATATATCAATTTCAGAGTCCATGTGAAGAAATAATAAGATCATTTCAATTATTGAATATTTTGTTTGGCAATTCTACTATAGATATTGTACAATTTCTATAATTATAATCAAATCATTTGGTATCATTTTAAGATATTGATAAGTCTCCAAAAATTAAAAATATTAGAGGTTTACGTTTAAGCTTATTTTTGGAATAATTTAAGATTTATTAGACATAAGTAGAATTTAGAGAATAATTGATATCACAATAATAATTATAAAATTAGCTATAGAATGTATTTTTAAGTTTAAACTTATAACCATATTCTAAAACTATGATAATATTAAATAAAAATGATTGGATTGATAGATTTGTTGATTGGAGAATTAATAGATCACAACCATAACCTTTGTATGAAGATTAATGGTGGAGTGAATTGTATAATTAATAAAAAGACAACTAGATTACATCATCTTAATTTGCTGCATTTATATATTATTTACTAAAGAAAACTAAATAACCATCTAAAGAATATAAAAAACTGTATGAATATTTGTATAATCATATTGATACATATACAATAATTTTGTTTAATATCNTAAAAGCATTTCATTTTAGTGGCTATCATTTTAATTCTGATTATTCTAACTCAGATAACTAAAATTATTAAGATTAACAATAATAAGTAGAAATTTAAACTAACCAACATGAAATTTCATTTGAATAAGAAGAAAATGATTCTCTTTCCTTAGAATATTAAAATGAACATACACTATAATTCAAAAAAAAATTTGATATTAAGTTTTAGAATTTGAAAATTTAAGAGAAATAAATCAATTATTAATTATCAAATGATATAATCAATAAATATAATTAAAGACTAAATCAAAAATTCGTTATTCCACTGAATAATTTCTAATAAAATGAATAATTACTAATTAATATTTAATTAATTGATAATTACTTTAATAATTAGCAATAATCAGATCAAACAAAGAATACTTAAAAAATATCAATGTTATTAATTGATTGTATATATCAATTTCAGAGTCCATGTGAAGAAATAATAAGATCATTTCAATTATTGAATATTTTGTTTGGCAATTCTACTATAGATATTGTACAATTTCTATAATTATAATCAAATCATTTGGTATCATTTTAAGATATTGATAAGTCTCCAAAAATTAAAAATATTAGAGGTTTACGTTTAAGCTTATTTTTGGAATAATTTAAGATTTATTAGACATAAGTAGAATTTAGAGAATAATTGATATCACAATAATAATTATAAAATTAGCTATAGAATGTATTTTTAAGTTTAAACTTATAACCATATTCTAAAACTATGATAATATTAAATAAAAATGATTGGATTGATAGATTTGTTGATTGGAGAATTAATAGATCACAACCATAACCTTTGTATGAAGATTAATGGTGGAGTGAATTGTATAATTAATAAAAAGACAACTAGATTACATCATCTTAATTTGCTGCATTTATATATTATTTACTAAAGAAAACTAAATAACCATCTAAAGAATATAAAAAACTGTATGAATATTTGTATAATCATATTGATACATATACAATAATTTTGTTTAATATCATAGTGAGAAAATAGAAGACAGTATCATAATAATTGAAATTAATAGGTAGAACAATTATTACAAAATTATTGAAATCTTAAGTATCTAATTAATTGATATTTACAATTCTAGAGACATTTAAAAATAAAGTATTTCAGAAAGAAGAATTAATTAGAATATAATCTTTGATTGGGAAAATAGGATTCTTTAATAATATAAGTGGGAAAGATATAAATGATGTTGATTTATATATTGATAGAAAATAATATCTACCAGCTGTCAAGATAATAATTGAAAAGAATTTAGAATACTAATACTATTCAATTTTAAATGAAAGTATATTACCTTATTTGGTTATCAATGATTACTATAATGAGAATGATGTAAGATTAATGATAAAACATATTATAAATTTAAAAAAAGGAAACTAGATTATAAACATTATATGCTAGGTATAAATATAATTAAATATTAGATGTATTTATAGGAAATAGAAATGAATGAGATATTAATTTAGAATTGGATAACAAAAAACGAATATCAATATCATATGAAGTAGATAATATTAAAAATATGCTATAATTCATTTTGATTGTATAAATATAATTAATTAATATCATTTTATTTTCTACTTAAACTTATTTGATTAGATAATAATGTATTTGATAATTAAATGTTTTTATTTATAATTTTATATATATCTGCAGGAAAAGATAGTTATTATTTAGGATCCATAAAACATACACTTTAACCAAATTAAACTTTTGAGCATCAATTCTTTGATGTCAATCAAATTAAATCCCTTGATTTATACTTTCCTGATCCACCCTTTAGAATAATTAATGATGAAGATATGAATTGTTATTGGTCCAATTAAGCAATAGGACTTAAACCAGTTTAAACAATATAAATGAACATAAGCAATTCATTAGATTCTGATATAGTTTGTTTTGATGAATGCTACATTAGATAAGGATAATTAATTTTTACAACTAAAAATTAAACAATTGATCTTCAATAATAAAATTTAAAATTATTAGTATTGCCTTCAGAAGGATAAATAATCTATTACAATGAAAAATTTGTTAGTGTTTTTGATACTATCAATATGAAAATAATAAATGAAAATATGCCTATTGATTTTACATTGAAATTAAAATAAAGTCTAATGAGTTAATAACATATGTCAACTAAAATAATTTATTTATGTTTAGAAAATGGAGTATTTGCTTATAATGATGAATATTTTATAATAAATTAATATGGGACTAGATGTAAATCAATAATAATACAAGATGATAATTTATTTATTGTAACAGATGCAATAGAAATTTATGATATAAATGATCCTTTTGAACCTATTTATTTATATTAATTTAACATAAGTGTTCATTATTTTGATATCTATTAGGATTATATGGCAGTTTTGGAATTATTAAATGAATAGAAAGGGAAATTGAGTTTATTTAAATTTAATTTTTAATTTGGATTAAATGAAATAGTTAATATTACATAAGAATCAGAAGGAACAATACAAGTGGATTCTTAAGATATTAGATTTGGATTGCTAAATAAAGATATTGCTATTATAATTAATAAGGAGTAAATTAATTTGATAACTTTATAAACTAATTTTCATTAAAAATATAGACATAATAATGGTTTGGGATAAGCATAACACTTTTTAGATCCAGAAAATAAAATATTTATTAGAGATTCACAAATAATTTAAGTCAGTAATAATAGTTTAATATTTTATAATACAACAAGTCAAATTTATAATTTAGTATGTAATGCTCCTGTTGAGAATAAATTGAGGAAACATCTATTCTTTGGTATAATCAGAAGTGAAGAAAAATGTAGAAATACTAAAAAAGTAGATGAAAGATTCAAAGAACTTTTATCTAGAGAAAAGACTGATCCCAAAATACAATGTTATTATACTTTTTAATTAAGTGTAAATATTATACCATTACAAACACATTGGTCTTTACAATCAAAAATTCTCTTATGTATATTCTTATTTCTACTTATCTTGCTTATATTTCAACAATTTAAGAATCAATAAGAAAAACAAACTCTAAATAATTTGCAAAAGTTTGAATAATTAAATAGAATCAACCTCTAAAAATAAAAAATACGTATTACTCATGATGATGAAGAATAAAATAATAATAAAATTGATTTTTATTGACAATTCCATATAATTAATTATATCTTTTATAATTTGAATATTTTCATAATATGTATTATTTCATTTTTAATAACTAAATAAATTATATATTATTATTCAATTACTTAAATGTACATACACAGATTCTTTTAAGAACATTAAAATTATTAATCTGAATGGCTTATTCTTTAGCAAAGTTATTCTCAAAGTAATTCTTTTTATCAAATATCAAAAGGGTTGTAACTCATACTTTTTTTAGAGACATCCAAGTGATTGGATAAGAAAATATTCCAAAAGTAATTCCATTATTTTATTTATAGGATGGTCCTATTTTACTCTATGGAAATCATAACAATTAATTTATTGATCCATTAGTATCAATTTAAATCATCTTAGTTAATTATATCCAATATGACTCGTAAGATCAATTTTATTGCAGCAGCAAAAGTAACATCTTCACTTATACATAGAGCATGAGAAAACCAATAATTGGAGATATAGGTAGAGCTTTAGGTGGTATTCCCGTTGAAAGACCTTAAGATTTGGCAAAAGTTGGAAGTGGTATTTTAAAGAAATTTGATGGAACATATTTATTCGGAGAAAATTCTTAGTTTACAAAATAATGCCAACTACATGATTCCATTCTTATACAAGGAGTAATATAATATATTATGCTAGATTGACACAATTATACTAGTAGTGGAAATTATTAGTGATACAAAAATTAAAGTGTAATGTGAAGATTCAAGTCAAGTTTACATTAAAGATAATAAATATAAAATTTAACCAAAAGTAGATCAATCCTAAATGTTTGAATAAGTTTGGTTAGCTTTGAAACAAGGAAAATGTATTGGAATATTTCCAGAAGGAGGATCGCATGATAATACTACATTATTACCATTGAAACCAGGAATATGCATCATGGCTTTAGGAGCTAGTTAAAAATATTCAACAAAAGTTAAATTATAACCTGTTGGATTAAATTATTTTAAAGGACATAAATTCAGATCCAAAGTTATTATTGAATTTGGAGTTCCTTATGAAATTAATTAATAACTAATTGATACTTATGCTGTTAATAAGAGATAAGCTATTAGTAAATTATTATTAGAAATAGAATAGGTATTAATATTAAATATAATAGCAACTTAAATCAGTAACCATTTAAGCTCCAAGTTATTCTCATTTATCAGCTGTTATGATAGGAAGATCTCTTTATTTACCAGATAGAACAAGGCTTTCTCCATAAGATCTTCTTTAACTTACAAAAAGGTTTACTTTTGTTTTAAATTTGGTTTAGATTTTCATAGGCTTTTTATAAATTAAAAGATCATCCTGAAGTAACTTAAGCATTAACTGAAATCAAATTATATAATTATAAACTTAAAGCATTAGGTGTTAAAGATTGGGAAGTTATGAGAATGTAAAAGAGAATGTATTTGGATCTACAGATGATTGGATTTAATATATTCATGACTTTAATTTGTTTACTATTTGCATTTCCTGGATATATCATGACAATTCCAATAACAATTGTATTAAATATGTATGCAGAAAAAGAAAGAAAAACTGCCTTAGCTGGATCTAAGGTTAAAATATCTGGAAAAGATGTTGTTGCTTCTTATAAAGTTTTGGCATCAATTATCATAGTTCCAATTGCAGTTATAATTTATACAATTCTATTTTATATATGGCTTATAGTTTACAATATAGTTGATCAAGAATCTACTGTAAAATATACTATCATTTTTTTATTAATGTGGCCACTTTACATTACTGCAATGATTCGTTCTAATGATGGTTTAATTAGACATGCAAGAAAAGTGAATAGTTAGATTCTATTCTATTTATATGAGAATAAGTATAAAAAATTAAAGATTTTAAGAGAAGAATTATAAAATAAGGTATTAGACAACATTTGAATTATATTTAGATTAGAAAATTGGTTGATACTTTTGGAGAAGAAGTAGTTTAAGATTTTAGTCATCATAGAATAGTTCAAAAAAATTAATTATAATCACCAAAATCAGTTGCTGAATTAGATATTTAAAATGTATTTGAATCACTTTTAGAGTTGGGTATTTGATTTAATATTATTTATACATATTTATACATTTAAAATCAATCCTTATTTAATTGTGAGAAAAATGAACTGATTTTCCCCATCATATTTTATTATTATTATTATTATTATTATGGTGGTTACTACTATTCTTAATCTGTTATCTAATTTTACTCTAATTATTATATTTAAGTCTATTTCTCTTATTAATCCTTCAATTATTTCTATTTTTCAAATCCTTCAATTGCATTCTATCATTAAGAATATATGTTATTTTTACAAATAAATCAGAAGATATTTCTTCATTCAATTCAAAAAAGGCCATAAATTTATACATAATATCTTTAATTGCTCCAAATTTAAAATTAAAAAGAAGCATATTTTATGCCATTTGTGTAAGGATAGTTAAGATCATATTCTTTTCTGTTTAAATCTAATCAAATATACTAATAATAGATAATTAAAAATACGTCAAAGATTTTTATCTTTATTATTATTCTTTAATTTATTCATAAATTTATTAAATAATACTAGTTTCCCACAAATCTCTATTTTCCCATATTTAAAGTTTAGAAAAATCATTTTAAATAAAATAACATTATGATTTACCATTTTCAATATTTTCCATATGAAATGTGAATGATAAATTCATTAATTATCTTGCTGTTCCAGCATCAAATGTATCAAGACACTAAAATAAATAAAATATAGAATACTATTTCTAATACTGAATTAAATAAATTAACAGCATTTTAAAATGCAATAGGTCCAAGTCTAAATTTTGAAGTTGATCTTTTATTTTATAAAGCAATAATGACTAATTTTCTTAATTAATAATCATCTTAAATCTTTTTTTTAAATTAATTGAATATTTCAATCTCAACTTTTTCTTCTTTCCAACAGTCATATACAATTTAAGCAGCATAATAGGCATTCTCTTATTTTTAATCTTCTTATTAAACATTTCCACCTTATTCAACTAATGAAATGATTTATTTAACTTTTTAATCATTATTCAATTATAATATTTCATCAAATTCTTTAGAAAAGAATCTTTATAAACTATTGCTAATAAAAGAATTCAATTATATCAATTCTGTTTTTTCAAAAAGAGGAGGATTATCCAATTTTTAAGATTAGGCAAATTTTTAAACTTCTTCTTCTGGATGTATCTCATCTGTTTTTTCATTAATTTTATCTAAATCATATTAAACATTTTTAGAATGAGAGACTTCAAAAATCTATTATAATTTTATAATTATTTTATATATACAATTTATCTAATAAGAGTGTCTTTGAAAACTGTAATTCTTTTTTCTTCCTATTCTTACATTTGAGTTAGAATTGATTGAATTCTAGCTTTTGCTGTATCACAATTTGTATTATAATCTGCAACTGATTATTTATATCTTTATTCCATTTCTTATGATTCTTTGGTTACCTAAGAGACTTTTTAATTTTAGCTAAGTCTTTTTTTATCTGGATATTCTGATAGAAGATTATAGACAACCATTACAGTAGCATTTTATTCATATTCTCTCTTTTTTTGTCTGTAATCTGAAAAATACTAATTTTTAATATATATATAATTATACTCTTTTGTATTCAGAATTAAGAAATAGATGCTCTTTTTCTATTTTCTTAGCTTCATCTATCAATTTTTTTGATGAAGTATTTTATTATTAGATCAATTATTTTAATTGAACAATAAGATCTTCTTTTAATGATTAACATAATCCTTCTGCTTAACGTTATCTACTTGTACTTAGACATTTTAAACAATATATTGGTATTTTAAACATTCTAATAATTACTTATAATATTATACTATTGTTTATCTTCAATTTTTGAGAGATTATTCACTAATTTTTCTAATGATTTTGCATATTTTTCTTCAATATTCACTCTTTCTTCAAAACTATCTATAATTTCTTCTATAATTTTTCTGCCTTGTTGAGATTAATTAGCTATAAGTTAGAAATGTGAAAAAAATAAATCTGCGTAATTTGATTGCATTTATTTTATAAATAAATAATATTTTTCAGAGATCTAATATAGATTTATGACGTCCCAGATTAGGAATTATGTTGGAAAACACAATATTAACTTCTTCATCTGCAATCTAATCAATATGATCAAAATCTCTATAATCATTATCTATTTCAAAAAATGCCATTTTTCTCTCTGTTTTAGTAGTTGCTTATTTGATAAATATCTTTTAATTTGGACTTGTTTCTCTTTCTTTTTTCTAAGTATCTACTGTATTATTTCTTTAATCTTTTCTTTCAGTAGGAAATCTCTTGAATTTATCAATCTAACTTATCTAATAATTATTAATCTAACTAGTTCCAAAACTAGATATATTCTAACTTATATTCTTATTATCACATATATATTAATACTCTGCTTTATTTATTTTTAATATCAGGTGATAAAGAATCTATTGCTTATTCCTTAAATGGTAAATTCAAAAATGAACTACCTTTTTGTTCTTAACCTTTATCCTCACTACTTTTACGAATATCAGAATCTACTCCTATTTATATAAGTTTTTCTAATTATTATAAATAATACCTATTTTTTATTTTTATTAATTTGTCCATAATCTAGACTTACGTTTCTTGATCTCTGGAAATCTCTCCCATTCGTATTCCTATGTACCCAAGCCTTATTATGTATACTATTCCTATTGTAATTATTTCTAGAACAGTTCCTTTAGGAATTCATAATCAGGTTCACCCTAAAAGTCAAGTCCACGAGCATAGATGAATAAATTCAAGAAACACTTAAATGATGATAATTAGGTTAAACTTTTGGCAATCCTTCACAAAGCTTTTCCAAAGTTATTTGTTATTTAAACTCTTTAATTTTCTAATACTTCTCAGACTTTGTGGTGGTATTCAAATTCATCCAAGGTAATTTCCCTTTGGCTAAATAGACTAATACGTATCCCAAACTCTCAATATCATCTTTACGTGATTATTCCTTAGCTTTGATTTCATATTCACAATAAAATACATAAATGTGCTGTCAAACTAGCATATCTTGCTGTTCCTATAATTCCTTTCTTATCTATCTATGGTATATGATTTCCATTTTATTCTCTATAATACTTAGCTAATCCAAAATCAATTAAATAAATTTTATCAACATCCTCATAACCTATACATATATTATCTGGTTTCATATCTCTATGAATTAAGTTTTTTGAATGTAATAATTTTAATCTATCAATTAAACTTATTCCTATTCTGCACACAGTTGTCATACTAAATTTATAATTACTCTTCTTAAAAAGATGTTCTAAATTTTATCCTAAATATGTTTGCATAAAGTAATTGTAATGTTCATCTCTCCCATAAAATACGATCTATGGAAAACCTTTATCGATTAGTATATTACCTTCAAATTCTTATACTTCTATTAAAACTTTTATTTCTTTCACTAATAAGCTCATTCCATTTGAATTCTCTTCTCTCTTCTCAAATTTAGTAGCAAATATATCTCCTGTCTCCAAATTTTCTGTCTTAAATATCATACCAAAACTCCCTTAACCAACTTTATCTATTAGTTTAAATTTCTATGCAATAATCTATCCAACAGATAATTTAAATGGGTTCTCTGAATGTGTAGTCGCGTGTTTTTTTGTGGATCTCATAATTATTTTTCAATCAATTATATATATATATATTTATAAATACTCATTAACAAATAAAGATATTCCTAAATTATATTATTTCTTTGATTAATAGAATATCTTCATATCCATTACTTATTTAATAAAAGTAATCTTTAGACTATAGATAATAAATCTATAAAAAAAAATTATAACAATTTCAACAAAAACAAAATGAAAATAATTCTCAACTATTAAAGTGTTTGTTTTAATCATTGAATATTTTTATATATATCTTACTATTAACAATTATGTTTTTTATTATATATGATATATATATTATAAACAATAATAAACTTTGATATCATAAATACGTTATAAATTATTTTTAGGTTTTAAGTTAATGCTAAAGCAAAGAATTAAATGTTAATCTTACAAGTGATATTTATTGATCAATTGATTATGTAAATTAAATTAACATAAAAATGGTCAATCATTTAAACAAGTATTTAGAATTATTAACTTAAACATAAAGTGAATTATTTTAAATCTATGTTTTATAATTTTCATATAACAATTATTTTCTGCTATTGAAAGTAGATTATTTAATAAGTTAAGTGATAATTAAATTAGGATGTTTTTAATTTATAGAAAATATAATACAGATATGAAATAATGTATGTTATAAACTATCTTTGGAAAATTAAGATATGTGTATTATTTAAAGAAGAATTTTGAAAATTTTAAAGATATAGGTATTATCAAAAAGAAGGATAAAGGAATTCCAACTGATTTATTTTAGATTTCTTGAATGCATGTACCTTATTCTTAATAAAAATGAATAACTAGATGAATAAGAGAAAATTGATATATTCACTATATAATTGGAAGATCTATAATGTTATATTAAATATGTTTTTGATTATAATGGTTTATTATTTTATATATTCATAAATATATATATAAAATGAAAAAATGGGATGATGATTTTCGAATGAAGAGTTATGTAAATAAGATTCAGAATGCAAAGTCTACAGTGCCTAGCAACCAAAAAAAAAACATTAAAAGTATGTATAGATAAACACTATATAATAGAACAAATAAATAGGGATACGGAATTCAGTAGTCATGCATCTTATAGATCTGATTTAACGGATGTCAAGGAAAGTTTGTTGTTCAAGTAAGTTAAGGATATATTAATATTAGATAGTTAGTTGAATACAATTTATAATAATACACAAATAAATTATTATTGAGAGGTTATATAGGCGGATTATAAACATTAGCTCAATAACCTATAGAATCATAAAATCTAGTATTGCAAGAGATTAAATTACTACCTGGGCATAAATAGAAATTTTAAGATTTGTTTAAATTTTTAAACGATCATTTTGATCCTCACAATTATAATGGCCAATCTTCCTTAACACCAATTAACAATAAATAAAGCAGAAATACAATGCCAGGATAATAAAATTCTCATGGAAAATTTGAACAAACTAGAGATACTTATGTTGAAATACTAAAACCTGTTAATAGACGTTCTTCTTTAAAACATTTCTCACCTCTTTAAGATATAGGAGTAATTAAACCAAGAGTTTTACCAAAATTAGAGAAACGTATTATAAATGGAAATAATGATAAAAGTCCTTAATTTAATGATACATTATCAAAATAATTAATTCTCAATTCAGAAACCATTCATGGGAGTTCTTTATCAATAACTAAAGATATTCCTAAACCATTATCAAAAACAATTAATCATCCTGTTGTAAAAATTAAATAAACTAAAAAGAAGAAATCTATGATTAAGTAAAATAATGATAAAGACAATAAATTATTAAAGAAATTATTATAAATCAATTCAAAAAATAGTATTGGAGCAGAAATTCATTTATAGTAAGATTAGATTTAATTGATGTATTAATCATTTGATAATGGAAAATTAGCTTCAACTCTTATCAATATTGATATTGAAGAGATTAGTTATTGTGTAGGAATTACTCTATAAAAAATGATATCGGTTGTTGATTTAGAGTAATAGAGATATCTCGAAAATGAAATCTAAGAAATTCAGTAAGCAATTTTTAAAGAGTCTGATTAATATTAGGAAATAGAATCCAGATGTATTAATTCATAATAATCATAATAATAGTAGATAGAGATAGAGATAGTGAGGATTGTAGAGAAGATGAAAATAATGATCAGACAGTCAATATGTCTAAAGTAGATGAGACAATTTGTTAAGATTACTTAAGAGAAGCAATAATAGAACCTGAAATAACAGATTAATATTATGGTAATGAAGATGTTGCAACTGAATAGTTTTAAAAATTAGATCAAAGTGAATAATCAAAATTATAGACAGAATAAGAATAATAGGATTATATTTAAGATTAAGATAATAAGTATTATTAATTAAAAATATTTTAATAGTTATTAAATTTCTAAATCCTATTTTTCAGTTGATACAACTTATAATTTAGAAGATTATCTTTTGTTTAATAAAGTTTTTGTTGATAAAACTATGTCTAATTATATTCCTAATGTTGATATTATACAAAATTATTGTAAAAATATTATGACAACTACTAAAATGGAAAGAGAAGTAGCAATCATCTCAATGATTTATATTAATAGATTGCTAAATTATAATTAAGGCTTAGAAATTAATTGTTTAAATTGGCAAAAAATATTATTTACTGCATTAGTTATGGCATCAAAAATATGGGATGATGAATCTTTTGAAAATAATAATTTTGCAAAAGTGCTTCCCCAATTTTCCACTGTACAAATAAATGAAATGGAAAGAGTATTCTTGAAATTCATAGAATATCATCTCTATGTTAACTCTGGGGAATATGCTAAACAATATTTCATCTTAAGAACTTATGCTGATAAAAAATAAAGAAGTTATGCTCTAAAATAATTAGATATCTCAACTGTTTTAAAATTACAAAGAGGAGGTTAACAACAAATTTCAAAGCAGTAATATTTAAATACTTAAAATAAAAGCTTTTGAAGATTACTCTATATTTTAATTGTATATATATTTATTTTTTATAACATTTAATACATATTTCTTTTTTAATTATTATTACTATAATTCTATTCCTATTATAAATATCCTTAACCTTTTTGGTTTTTAATATATATAAATATCTACAGAATATACTTAATCATTAACATTAAAAATCCATCATTACAAATTAATCAATAAAATTCTTAATAATAATATTTAGATTCAAAATCAAACAATTTAATTCAAGAATTTTTCCATTCTATTTATTCAAGTTATTTACTCTTTTTATTACTTCTCTTTATAATTTTTATATGATTTATTTTATCCATTTTATCAACTGATACTTTCTTAAATTTATTTTACTATAATTATTTATATATAATCAATAATAATGGATAATACAGATTAAGTAAACTTTACTTTATTAGATATTAGTCCATATCAGTTGATGAAGAATTTTGTGATAAAAATCTATTTAATCACTATCAAAAAACGAGAAGAGAAAATACAAAATAAAATCCAAAAATTCATCTTTAAGACTATTAACTTAATACTATTAACAGATATCATATAGGATATCTAGATCATCCTCACATTAAATCTAGTAAAATTATAATCCCTAATAAATACGAGCTCAAAACATTTCAATCAATAAGCTTCAATTAAAAAAGCACAACTTGTAGAAGCCAGTCTGTTAGGAACTCGAAAAAACTAAAGAGCCTCTCAACAGAAATTCGACAGTTTTAGATTTAAAGTCCAAAAATATGTTTTTTCAGAGGCAGTCAGGCTTAGGTAAACTTAAGCCGATCGTACAAAAATAAATGCTAGTAAATCCAATCTCTTAGACATAAAGATTAACTACTAAAAAAAATACAGAAACCCCTGTTATTGAAGTATGCAGCAATAATTTCACTGAACAAAAGCCAGCGTCTTTTCGTTATAATGATCTACAATTAAGTCAATATTTAGAAGAATTTAAATTACTAAAGTAAGAAACTCTTACAAATGTGATATTACCTCATATCTCATATAAAACAAATAGAAACTAAAATAATCACACTTAAACAACAAATAGACAATAAACTAATAATCATTATTATAATAGTATACTTCAAAAAAATAAAGTTAAATAAAGATAAACTCATATAGAATCATAAAAACAGAACCTAACTCTAAGTGGATGGAGTGATTATTCAAACAAATGATTTATTTTCTATATTATTTATTTAAAGAAAAAACTTGATTGTTGAAATATTAATATATCTTCTTTTATTGGGAATTTATAGGTATTTCCAATTATTCATAAAATCATTAAAAAAATAATTTATTATAATGAATCCAGCTTAAAGTATTGCCTAACAATTTCTATAATAATACTATTAGACATTGATGACTAATAAAATGGCTTTGATTTAATTTTACACCAATGCATCTATTATGACATATGGTAACATATTTGTATTATTATCATCAAGGTGGAGAACTATACAATGGTTTAAAAGCAATTAATGAAAAATTAGAATCATTAGCATTTCAAAAGATTGTATATAAAATTGACGATATGGATGTTTAACCAGGAGCAGTTTAGAATTCTTTATTCCTTTTTGTTACAGGTTCATTGCAAATGGATGATTCAGATGCATTTAAATTCTCTCAGAGTTTTCAGATCCTTCCTAATGGTTAAGGAGGATTATACGTACATAATGATATTTTCAGATTGGTTTATTGAAATATTAATAATAAAATTATTAAAAATGGGATTTGAAGATTAGATTCCACCTATTCCAAATAGAGATCAAGAAAAGAGATACATAGCTACAGTTGAAAAGTCTTTCTATGATCAACCTCTTTATAAATTTTATATGAATGAAGCATTAAGAGAAAGAAAGATGGATTATGCTGATAAATTGAATACATTTAAATATGAATGGATTCTCAATTTTGCTGCATCTGGCATAGTATTTAGCTTATTATATGTAAGAATATTATCATTTTGATTAGTTTATTCCTGTTTCTTATTTTTATAGATAAACAACTACAGGAGTTCCAACCTATTATTAGTATTATTTAATCTTAATATCTTAGACCTAAGAATAAAGCAGTTTTCAAATAAGGATATTTACAAAATCAAAATTGGAAAAGATTCAAGTTATATTCATTCTTAGTTTTTGGATCAGCATTCATTTTTGCTCATACTTATACAGATAGATCATAAATTCATGATGAATATTACAATAATGTTGGAGTCATTAAGCCAAAATTTGAATGAGATAGTATTAAAATAAGAATAATAAAATTATAATAGTATTGTCTAATAGTATTAATATAATAATTAATTTCATGTACTTTTTATATGCATCATTATATTATAACTTAAAAATGAAAAATGCATAAAATTACTAATGATTAAAGGTAATATTACATAAAACTTAATAACTTTTATTGTTACTCAGTTGTATAAAATATATTTATTTTCAAAAACTATCCTAGAAGTAAATTCTATTGTCTATTTAACTTAATAAAATAATTATTTGAGAAAATCCATTGTAATTAATTCCTTATACAAAAATTAATATTAAATTCAAATTAATTATTAATGAAATCAAATAAAGTAGCTTTTATAATAACTCTTAATTAGTTGAGTTCACGAATATAGTGATATATCTTGATATTCATATTCAACATATAAATATATATATTAAATTGTAAATATTATAATTTATTTTGATATTCTAATTATATTATTTATATTATTTAATATAAATAAATCATCTATATCCACAATTTTAATGATAAAAGGTAGAAATATAGTAAACCAAATACAGATATCTTAGATTTAAAGGATATGATCACAATTTTGTGGTTTGCTTATTGAGAAAAGTAAGAGAGGAAAATTAGTAAATAAAAAGAAGATAATATTGTAGTTAAAAAGAAGTTTAGAAAGAATAGAATGGATATTATGTTTGTAGTTATTTTAATTAAGGCTTAGATAGATAGATAAATAAATTATATAATATTATAAATTATTTAAAATGTCTGTCACTTTACATACTAGTCATGGAGATATTAAATTGGAACTATTTTGTGAATTAACACCTAAAACTTGTAAGAACTTTTTAGCACTATGTGCAAAGAAATTTTATGACAATACAATTTTCCATAGAAATATTCCAGGATTTATTATTTAAGGAGGAGATCCTACAGGTAATTTAAATATTGGATTTAATATTTTAGGTACAGGAAAGGGTGGGGAATGTATTTATGGAAAATATTTTGAGGATGAAATTGTTCCAGAAATTAAACATGATAGAAGAGGAATAGTTTCAATGGCAAATGCAGGAAAGGATACAAACTAATCACAATTTTTCATTACCTATTCTAAATAGAATCACTTAAATGGTCTCTATACTGCATTTGGTAAAGTAATATATGGATGGGAGACTCTAGATCTAATGGAAAAGGAAACTGTAGATAATAATTACAAACCATTGAATGAGATTAAAATTTTCAAGACTACCTTACATGCAAATCCAATAGCAGAAATCGAATAATTTTGAACAAATTTAGATATATCATTATTGGTAATCTGAAACAGATGGACATTAACATATAAGATTTCTATCTCCAAAAGCATTATTAATTCTGCTTACTGTTGGCCATACTTTGCCTCTTTGCATAACAAATGGCAATGGGAAAGCAGCCTCTTCTCTAGAGTATTTATGATTCCAACCACTATTGATCACTTAATCTTAAGTATGAGGAGCATTTTTCAATGGATTATCATTTTTATCATATTATCCATTTTTGACTTTCTCAATTTCTAATTTAATATTTTTCATTGCTTCAATGAATCTATCTAATTCAGATCTAATAATTAATAAATATTATATATACTTAGATTCACTTTCAGTTGGTTCAATCATAAGTGTTCCTGGTACTGGGAATGACATAGTAGGAGCATGGAATCCATAATCCATAAGTCTTTTTGCAATATCTTCTTCAGTAATTCCACTTTCTTATTTGATAGGTCTGATATCAATAATAAACTCATGAGCACACATTCCATTTTATCCAGTAAACAATACTTTGTAATCATTTTTTAAACTCATCATCAAATAATTAGCATTTAACATAGCCATAGCTGTACATTTCTTTGCACCTTATCTTCCAAGTTATCCAAAATAACTATAAGGTATTGGGATTATAGATGCAGAACTATATAAGGATGAAGCTACACTTCCTAATGAATATTCTCTACCTGGAAGATATGGTGCTAATTTCTTATTAACAGCAATAGGTCCTAATCCAGGACCACCTCCTCCATGTGGAATAGAGAATGTCTTATGTAGATTCAAATGACAAACATCAGCTCCTAAATATCCAGGAGATGTATATCCTACCTATGCATTCATATTTGCACCATCCATATAAACTAAACCTCCATGATCATGAATCAACTCAATAATCTTTTTTGTTTAATCTTCATAAACTCCATATGTTGATGGATAAGTAATCATCATACATGCCAAAGACTTCTCATTTTCTTTTATTTTTTTATTCAAATCATTCAAATCAACATAACCATCTATTACATTAACTGCTACAACATTTAATCCAGCAAGAACAGCTGAAGCAGGATTAGTACCATGTGCAGATATTGGTATTAAACAAATATTTCTATCCTTTTGTCCATTCATGATGTGATATTTTCTAATACATAATAAACCTGTATATTCTCCTTAAGCACCACTATTTGGCATTAATGATACAGCTTCCATTTATGTAATATCACATAACCATTTTTCAACATTATCAGTCAATTCTTAATATCCTTAAGTACAAGACAAAGGAGAAAATGGATGTAATTGAGAGAATCCTTAAAAGGAAACAGGCAACATGAAAGAAGTAGGATTCAATTTCATGGTACAACTACCTAATGAAATCATAGACTTAGCTAAAGAGATATCCTTCTATCTTAAATAGTTGATGTATCTCAACATTTCTGTTTCACTATGTAATGTATTGAAGACTTTTTATTGCATATAAGGTGCTCTTTCAGATTTATATGGAATAACTTTCTGAATCACTGACATAAAATCTGATTTTTTCTTTGTGTAATGTTGAAGATGGTTGAATAGATCTTCTACATCTTAGAGTGTGTGAGTCTCATCAAAACTAAAGATAGTGTCTTATCCAATTTTTCTGACATTAATTTGTGCATTGTAATGTAAATACTCTTACAAGTTTTCTGTATTATGTAAAACTACTGTATCAAAGATTCTTCCTTCTTTAACAACTATTCCTAAACTTTTTGCTAATTTAGCAAAGCTTCTAGCCAAACAATTGACTCTATTAGCTATCTTTTGTAATCCCTAAGGACCATGATAAGTTGCATACAAGCCAGCCATATTTGCTAATAATGCTTGGGCAGTACAAATATTGGATGTGGCTTTTTCTCTTCTAATATGTTATTCTCTTGTTTGCAATGACATTCTATAAGCTGATCTTCCATTAGCATCTTTGGATATTCCAATAATACGTCCTGGCATTTTTCTTTTGAATTCATCTTCAACAGCAAAGAAAGCAGCATGTGGTCCACCAAAACCCATAGGTACACCAAATCTTTATGAATTTCCATATGCAACATTTGCTCCTTAATCTTTAGGTGTTTTATTGATTGTTAAACTCAATAAGTCTGTTCCAATAACTTTTAAAAGTTTAGCATCTTTGAGAGTATGTTTGAATAGATCACTCCAATCATGGACTTCTCCCATATTATCTGGTGATTGTACCAAAACACCACAATATTAATCAGCATCTTTGAAATCATAAGTTTTGGCATCACCAACAACTATATCAATTCCTAAATAATATGCTTTAGTCTTGATGTGTTCAATGCTCTATGGAAATACATGGTTATCTACAAAGAATTTCTTTTTCTCAAACCAAGAATTTGCCAAGAACATTGCTTCTCCTGCAGCTGTTGCTTCATCCAATAATGAGGCATTAGATACATCCATACCAGTCAATTCAGTGATTACTGTTTAATAATTTAGAAGAGCCTCTAGTCTACCCTAAGAAATTTCAGCTTAATAGGGAGTATAGGATGTATACCATCCTGGGTCTTCAAGTACATTTCTCAAGATGACATATGGTGTGTGAGTACCATAAAAGCCTTAGCCTATATAGTTTTTGTAAATCTTGTTCTTATTGGCTAACGATTGGAGATGCTAGACCATTGATGATTCAGGTATTGCATCAGGAAAATTGTCTGGACTTTAGAAGGCTGCCTCACTGCGAATCTCCTTTGGAATAATTTTATCCACAAGCTCATCGAGTGAATTGGCATTGACTGCTTTCAACATCTCTTTCACTTATTAAGGCTCAGAGCCTATAAAACGTTGTTCCTAGATTTAAATGGAAGCCATACAATGTAGTCACTTGACTTGAACCAGTCAGGAATTTTGGGATTGACTTCGTGAGGATTGGCCAACCTGCTGAAATTAGCAACACGTTGAATTAATCTTATAGATCTAAGCATTAAATATTTAAAAATGACGCAGTACTCTTTCCTGCATTTATTTATATACATATATATATATATCGAAAAACTGTTATAATGCATTAAAGAGTACTAGCAAATGAAAGTCCATATCACAGGTAAATCTACGGACGACCTCGACTTTAATCACAAGATCCAGGTCGTAGAGTCCTGACAGAAACTGATACTAAGACTAATATTTCAAGAAAATTCACTAAATTCGACTTTGATTCCGTTCTAACAATTAGAACAAGTAAGGGAAGTAAGAAGTTTAAGCCCCAACGCTTTGAAGTTAAACCTATTGTAAAGTATTTGTGCAAAGCTAGAAAACTGAAGTGGACTCAGATTTGGAGACTTATTAAAGAATGGTTCTAGCCAAGATGAAAGAAAAGAATATATTACCAAAATAACGTTCATTAAGCAATGCTACACCATAATAAAAGAGCCAAGATCGTTATGCTTCTTTGGATTCATAAAATAGAATCAACAATAAGTAAACTCAGAATGTACATCCTAAGATATTGTGGGATATGTCAGAGGAAGAATGGTAATAATTTGGGGATCGCTTTCCCTAACACTTTGAAAAGAAGAAGCTACTTGGAAGAGGAGGATTTTCATTAGTATGGTTAGGAGAACATAAAAGAACCAAAGAAAAGTTTGCTATTAAATAAATCCTCTCTACCAACACTCATTAATCTCACATGAAAGAAATTTGGTTTGGAATACATTTCTTTTAAGATGGATAGCCAAAAAAATAATTTACAAATTTTCCAGGATGTAAGAATTTAGTACGTTTCCTCACCTATGACATCAAACCTTAAGACACTTGGATATTTTAAGAAATTTGTGGAGAAAGTCTTGGTAATCAACTATATGATCTTAAAGGAAAGAATGTTAATAATGAACGCATGTATAGGGTAGATACACTTCATTCTATTTTAGTTAACTCATAAACCACTTTATAACACTTTTCGTAAAGATTAAACTGAACTGAAAAAATTAATTCGAGAATTAGCATAGGCTCTTGATCTTCTATAGGATTAAAGAATAGTACATTCTGATCTTAAGACTGAAAACATTTTAGTTAAGAAAATAAAAAATGAGAATGATTTACATGAACTAACTTAAGTTAAATTGATTGATTATGGTAGTAGTTTTCCTTTTGATGATTTAAAATAATTTTCAATGGCTACACCAGAGTAATTCATTCTTTTTTTATATTAGATACATGTGTCCAGAAATATTAAATTATATCTTATATGAAAATTAAATGAATTACCGTCCTTGTTTGATGAAATATTTAAGAAATTACAAGAAACCTTGGGTAATTGATGTTTGGTCTCTTGGTTGTGTTGTACTAGAGATTATATCAGGAATACCTCTTTGGATGAGTCTTAAAACTATAGTTACCAAAAATGGAAAGGAAGTAATAGATTATGGATTATTTGCTGTAAAGGGTAGAGTTTTTGATAAAATAATTGATCGTCAAATGGAAGTTATTTAAAATTTAGATAGTTATATAGATAAAAATTATTCTGGTAATATAATAATGTATTATAATTTAATTAGGATTAAAAATTGATAATTAGATTCGATTTGTCTTAAAAGAAATGTTAAACTTAGATCCAGAGAAAAGATTATCCCCAAAGTAAATAATTGAATACTTATCCACCAAAAAAGAATACCTTATAACTCAATGATTTATACTATTAATAATTCAAAAACCCTCATCTCTATGAATTAAATTTGAAAATAATTTTAGATGTCTTGAATTTTTTTAATTAATATATAATGAACTCAGTATCCACAAACACTTCATTAACAGATATTAGAGTTGTGAAAATCTATTTTAAAATTCATTACAATACTGAATATGGATAAGCAATTTACTTATGTGGTGACGATGAAAGGTTAGGATTTTGGGATTCTACTAAAGCAATAAGACTCTAATGGAATGAGGTATAGTATTGAAGTTCAAAAAGAATAATGAATGGACTACCTGTCTAAGACTTCCAAGAATTTGTAAAAAATTTGAGTATAAATTCCTTGTGAATGATTATCATAATCCATCTAGTGAAAAAGAAATTTGGGAACCAGGAGAAAATCGTATTATTACTAAGCATTTATTATTAAATGGAAAGAAAGGGGAGTACTTTAATTGTAATAGTTCATTAAATTATTGTAGAGGAGTATTGGGGATATAGAACAATCAAATTAAAACTCAATCACAATTTATAACTTGGAGAAAGGATGATGATTATAGGTTCAATACCAGAAATAGGTTCTTGGAAAACACCTGTGTTAATGAAATAATAATAGAAGATTGATATATGTATTACTCAATCCATAATTCTGAAATAGTAACATAAGAGCCTATTTAACAATGGTCCATTTCATTTATTGTAAATCCTCTTAATTTCTATTTCCGATATTATTATGTGATACGTAACGATGAATCTGGGAATATGATATGGGAAAGAGGGAATGGACGTTATCTTAAAACTGCTGATCTCTCTTCTCTTCGATAGGTACTTGATTAATTTGCATTACATCCAATTAAAGTTAAAACTCAAATCTATACAGCATTTTAAACTAAATCATAACATAAAAATGGTTCATTTTCAGCAACTAAGATTCCAAAATAAAAAATTAAAACTAATAGTTAAGGATATTAATTTGCAGATAAAGAACCTTCTTTCTTTTATTATGAAGAATTTGGTAGGTTAAATAAATTGGATTGGAATTTTGTTGTTTAATTTTAGACTTATGAAATAAATGAAAATATAGTTATTGGTCCTTATCCTTAAAATGAATAAGATATTTTATTATTGAAAAATAAATAAGTGAAAGCAGTTCTAAATTTATAAACTCGTTTAGATATGTTTCATAGAGGAGTTAATTGGGAATAGATAGTTGATGCTTATAAGAGATAGAATATAGTAATGAAAAATTATTAAATTTTTGATATGGATGCAGCTGATTTTGAAAAGAAATCTAATAAAGCTGTATAAATTTTGAAGAAATTAATTAATGAATATGAATATGTTTATGTTCATTGTACTGCAGGAATAGGAAGAGCCCCTTCAATTGTTGTTTTATACTTAAGTTCGATACTTTAATATGATCTTAAAGAAGCAATAGAATTTGTTAAATAAAAACGATAATAATTTTATGTTAATTATTGTAAATATAAATCATATTATTAGCAATGCTAAAAAAATCTTTGTAGAAGACTCTTGTATTTAATCATGGATTGGGTTATTAAAATTTGGCTTAAACTTTGTGAAGGATGGAATAATAATTTATATATAATTAATTATAATTTGTAATTTCAGGCCAAACTTATTCAGTCGAATTGAGATTTATATATTATCTTAGAAATTTATTAATATCCCAAACCATTTATAAATATTAATTTGTTTGAATTTCATTTAATTATTAATGATAGATATGGAAATAATAGACACTTTTTAATGCTTAATTTCATTCCAGGATTAAGATAATTATTCACATAAAGCAAATTTACAATTTACAACAACCAAAATAAATCTAATTTTGAATACTCAGTGTTTTGAAATAGAAATATCATATAAACTTTAATTAAAATGGAAATGTGAAGAGAATAAATTGATTTCAATGCATTTTCAATAATTTACTATTTAGGCTGGAAATGAAGATCTCCTTAAATTTAAGAAACATTTAGATTGTTAAACAACATATATTGGAATTCGAGAAATTTACGATAATGTTATATTAATTTAATAAAAAGACAATGCAAAAGTAATTGGAGAAATAATTATTTTAGATATGCTCACTTAAAAGTAAATTAGATGGGAAAATGTATATTTGTAAGTGTTATAAAAAATAAGAAGTTGAAAAATATAAAATTTATGAGCAATTAGTTATTTTACGTAAATTAGGTGATTTTAAGAATGTTGCTTAAATAATAGATTTCTATGAATCATCTAATTCCTATTATTTTATTTTTGAATAGATGAATAGAATTCATTATAGTAGTTTAAGTCATGAAGATATATAATCTATGATGTTTGTATATTCAATTTTATATTAGGATATTTTATGTTGTGTAAAAATGTTGATATTGAATCATGTCTTTCATTCCTAAATAAATTTATCTAATATTGTAATAGATAATGATATGAATTGTAAACTTGCAGGCTTTGAACATGCAGAGTTATTAAATGAGAAGAATGCTATTTATAACTCTTTAATGTTGACAATGGTAGGACATATAATGATCAAATTGTATCAAATTAATAACTTATATAGATATCAATACAATTCCAAAAATAAGTAATAAATATTTATTCCTGATTATGGTAATTCACTTGTTTAAGGATTATTAGAAACAGATTTGAATTAATAAATTAATATTGAATAAGCTTTAAGTCATGAATACTTTGAATATTTTGATTACAATTCAAGTCCCATGATGTAATAATAGATTGTACCAAAATTGAAATCATTCATTACTTAATAATCTCTTTCATTACCAATAGAGAGCAATATCTGATTTTTATATTTTACTTTTTATAATTTAATCTTACTCAAAAATGGAATTGAATAATAACAAAAGAATTGAAACTCCAATCGATGGAGTAAATAATTAATCTATAAGATTATTTGTAACAATCAGAAAAGATTCAGAGTCAAATGTTGAATATAAAAAAATGACAGTAATGGCACCATGTATATTCCTTTTAAATTATCAGTGAGCATTAAGATATCAATGTTAAAAAGACACATTGAAAGAGAATTTGCAGATCTCTTTCCACATGAACCTACCTTTGTATGTGCTAAATTAGAAGATGAATTCGGTTATAGTTTATCCAATGCTTCTATAGTTAGTGAATTACTAAAAAATTCTGATAGATTATTTGCAATTCCAGAATCATTTACAAAAGACTTAATTGGTAAGATGCATGTTACTCATGATTTAAATGAATTAACATTCATGTTAAAAAGCATTACCTAAACAATCATAGCAAAATTAGCTGGTATATTATATGATTACCTCTATAGAGGCTGAATTAGGATCACCTGAAACTTAAATGGAAATTATGTAATTAATAGTCCCTGTAGGTTTTTCCTTATAACAAAAAGCAATTAATCATAACACAGCTCTAACATTAAAAAGAATATTTGAAAATGAAAGATTACAATTTTTAGATGATCAATCATATGCATTAATATCTTAATTGTTGATTAAGTTACTCTAATTTTGGACTAATGATTTAATCTTTTAAGATTAATTTCTTCTCAATTTAACTGTAGATCTATTAGAAATACTTACCAAAAGTGGTATCTATATTTCAAATCTCTAAATTAGCTGCCTTCTCTATTTCCTATAAAACTCCACAAATAGTAAATAGTCTTATGTCTGTTTCCAAATTAGATTTTGTTAGTGCTTAAACAAGATCTAGAATAATTAAACTTATCTCATTTCTATCCAGACCATAATTTACTAACTGTTTCTAACCCAGATCATATGATGGTCCTTTAACACTTAATTTACCTCCATAACCAAAAAGAAGGAATGAAGAATATGTACCTACTATTCTAGAATAACCAAATAGAAATTCAAATAGAAGATAAGGAAGTGCTGGAACTAGAAATTAAAATACCTATGAATAATAATAAGATTTTAATCAATATCCTTATAAATACAATAATGATTCAAATTAATATCCATATAGATAAAATTAATCAAATCAATAAGATTTCAAATAAAATGATTCAAATCAATATTAATAACCAAATATATCAAAAATACCTCCTACATAATAATTTGGATATTAATCTTAACCCTTATAATCTAATTATCCACCTGCTCCATAAAATCCAGTATATTCCAAACCTCAATTAAATTTAAATAATAGACCTCAAAGCAATAGAACTCAATATGGTGGTAATATGTAATAATAGGTCTTTGATGGATTAGTATAAGATTATCTAAATTTAATTTCTACAGAATCAAATGAAGAAATGTTACAATTTGCCATTTAAAATTTAAGTGATGGAATTGATACAACTATACATTAAATTATGGATAGTTCAGAAGCATTTTAAAAGATTGTTAATTTATTAGAAATTGCAATGAGTCCAAATTATTTGGGAATGTAATTAAGAATATTAGAAGCATTATCTAAAAATATGAATCAAGAAAGAGCTAAAGAAGCACTTAAATTAAAATTAATACCAAGAATCATGAAAGCCTTTACTTATTAACCTAAAGAATTTTAACCAATATTATATGATATGTTATCAGCTACACTTAAATTATCAGATTTTTAAGTTGATGTTCTAACTGTTATCAGTATGATTGAATCAGCATATCCAAGAATTTAGATGTTGGGAATTAAAATACTTTCATTAATGTCTGATCCATAAAGACTCTAAAATACTAATAATGTATCAATTTAATTTGAAAATTATATTAAAAGTTTAATGGATTGGACCTTAGATGGATAGAAAGGAGAGGAGTTCTAATATAATGCTCTTTAAACTTTATCAAATTTGGCTATTAATGATTACATTCGACCCTAAATACTACATCTAAAGGGAATTGAATTCTTCTTAAAGGTTTTAAGAGAAAGCTATAGAATTGATGCTTAAAGATTAGCTGCTAAAGGATTATTGAATTTATCAATAAAATCAAGAGAAACTAAACTATCTATTGTATCTTTGATGGAAGAGGAAATCTAAAGATTATAAAGAGGAGAGATGGACACTGTAGTATAAGGATATTTAACGACCTTATTAACAACAAGAGAAAGAGGATAGTTGTTATGATTTATATTCACACAATAACTAAATATTTTTTTGGTATTCCAAGATCAAATAAATTTGTTTGAATTTCTTCTTCAAATTAAGGACTGCCACAAACATATACTTTTGTTGGTTTGAATTTTATGTGTTCCTTCATATATTTAAGATCGAAATATGATTCAACCATATAAGCTGTCAGTTCTTCTGGAATATTACTTCGATCTTTGATTAATATTTTAATATCAAAAAAATCTAAATGAAAGGTTTTACAAATAAATAATAAATCCTAAATGATTGGAATACCATAAAAGTGAGCAATATCACTAATAGCAACATGAATTATTAATTAGAAATCTTAACCTAAGGTTGTTAAGTATTCCTCATTATTATCATTTATACAATCAGCTATTTCTTTACTTCTTTAATCATGTAGAATTGTGTAGATAGCTTTTCTTAAAAGGTAATCAATCAAATCAAGAAATGGTAAAATTCCAGTTCCTTAAACAAAAGCATAATGAATTCCATCAGATAAAGGATCTAATTCCAATCCAAAACCATATGGTCCTGTTATTTCATATGGTTTATGACCTGTACAATGAAGAAAACGACTCATGTTATTTGAAAAATCACATTTCTTTATAACAAAGTTAATTTCATTAGATAAAATTATTTGTTATTTTGGTATATAGGCTTAGTAATCTTATTCTATGACTTAAGATTTGAAATAGTCAAGTATTTATTATCTCTTTAGAATAGCAGATTGAGTGTATGACATAACTATTGAATAAGGTCTTTCTACAAGATTAATACCAGTTCCAAAAGGTTTGATATAGAAGTAACGACCAAACCATTAAACTCCTTTTAAGAATTATCTAACTTAAAAGAAATGACTTTTGAATATGAATAAACCAACATCTGAACCAAATGGAATATATTATTCAAATTTCCAAACATATTTATCTTTTTAGGATGTATTTTCTTCATAATATAATAATGGACAATTATCATTTCTGTAATCTCCTAGATACCTAGTTTCAATATAATTTATAGCAAATTAAGTGTGTATATGCATTTTGATATTTAAGTTTTGAATTGGGTATCCTCCATAAAAGTATCTACCAATTTCTCTACCTGTTATTCTTTCTAAAATGTACTAACCTCCTGGATGATTAAAATCACTCACATCATAGATAGCTTCTCTAAGTATAATATAATTTAATTTCTAATATTCTTTGACTAATTAATTTCTAGATACTAATTTATGATATAGAATTTATACTATTTTAATTGATTTTGTCAATCAAATTTTCATAGATTTAGTTCTTATCTAATTCTACATACTAATAAGTGATTCTCCGTCTTGGAATAATTGACACTTCATAATGATAAAGTATCTCTATTGAAATTTTTGAAAAGAAAAGAAACACATAGAAGTAATAAAAGGGAATTCTATTTTATATAATGTAAAATTTTACAATAAATCAGGTCTTTGTATATGCACTCCCATAGCTACTTAAGCCTTAGTAATTAAATAAATGAAATAGCCTAAGTAAAAATGAATTCTCTTAATTTTATAGATTTTATTGGAACCATTCAAAGATTCTAGATTATTTTTGACAATCATTCCCATCATCAATTAAAGTACTAGAAAACTTAGTATCAAAACTCCAACTATAAAATGTGCAATTATCAATCCATCATAATAATAAATCTCTTAAATCTTTAATTTATCTTTATTATTATATATATAAAGTACTGTACTCTATTTTACTGAAAGCAAAAATATAGGTTAAAATACTCTAAAATAAGAATATCATTCCATGAACTTTAGCATACTTTGGATAACTTTTTAATTGTCTCCCAAAGAAAATGCCAATATCTGACAAGAAACTCCAAAAAATAAATAGGAAAATAGTATGTCCCTAATCTGTAAATTGTTCATATTTCTCAACATAACTAGCCAAGTTGTATAAATCTACAGTAATTACTCCTCTATTGTAATTCCTATAAACGATTCCTTCTTTATTATAGATTATAAGATATCCTAGATCAAGAGTTTGCTTATTAAATTGATAATAATTTTGATTATCTGTAAGTAATGTTCTTGTTATTTTTATTCTGATTGTTTCATTTATAATTGCATATCCTAAAATGTGCCAATTTTTAAATCCTACCTTTTATTCATCATAAATGAAAGAAGTAGGAGATAATCCAATATTGTCATTTACATACAAATTGTCATAGGTTTCAACCCATCGAAAGATAATGATTTCTTTACCTGTAATATCATATTCATCATATGTTTTATTCAACTGATTTATTTTGGTGTAATCAAACACTATAGCAAATCTCTAGCAAAATTTTAATTCAAATAGCATAGTTATATTAGAAGTATCAAGTTCAAAGTACATAGTAAGATTTTTAGTAATTTTTACAAAGTTTTCAAGTTCTGTGATATTGTTTAGACAAGGTTCTCCATTACAATTAAATCTAGAACTCTCTGAAAAACAGTCGAATGAGTCTGTACATGCATATATGATAGGTAGAATGAAAAATACAACTTTCATAATTTAAACAATTTATAATTCATTTTATTTTCAATAAGTTTCTTATTGCCTCTGAATTAATTGAATTATTATATCCACTCTTATTTAAACTATTATTATTATGTTTAGTTTGACTTCTGTTTGGTTATATATTACATATTTCTGCTAAAGTTTATCGCCCTTTCATCATATATTAACTAATTTAAATATTATTAGATCGTTGACTTATAGAGGCCTACTATTATTACAAGAGTTTATTGTATCTCTTAAAGAGTTCATCACATGAACTTCTTTGAGAAGTATAACCTCCATGTTGAGAGAATGAGGATAATTTCTTTGGAGAATATTATCTATAAGAAGTAGACCCATCATTACTCTAATCTTTTTTCTTTGATTCTGATTAACAACTATCATACTTGTATTCATACTTAAATTTCTTTAATTTAGATATACTCTCTTATAATTTCTTAATTTCCTAATTAGCTTCCTCTAACTTTGTTTATAACCCATCCTAATATAATTTCATCTATTGTTCTAACTAAAATTAATAATCTATTTATACACTTATATGATTTCTAATGTCTGCTTCCTATTATTATAATACAGATTCTAATTTCTTATATTCTAGATTACTGTTCCTCAATTATCGAAATAACTTGCTTAATCGCTGTATTAGATCTTGACAATTACAGTTCTCTATTCCAAGTATCTTCTCATTACAAAATAACATCATCTGATATAATATGTTAAAATCTTAATACTTCTTCTAAAAGATTACGCAATCCTTATTCAACTTCCTATTTCTCATATCTGTTCATTTAACGAAATTTATTAAACTAAATCCAATTATTTTTTAAATGGACGAAGAAGACTGTACTATTTTTATTGAAGAACTCAAAAGTGATGATCCCACTCTTAAACTCAATGCTGTAGACAAAATTGTATAAATTGCTCAAATCCTTGGACCTTAAAGAACTTGTTAAGAACTCATTCCTTATTTAATTGATATAATAGAAGAATAAGACAATGAAGATGAATTCCTTATAAAATTAGCTAAAGAATTAGTCAATCTCAAACCTTTCACAGGTGCCAATATTCATTTGTTAAATGCACCTTTAGAAATATTAAGTTCTATGGAAGAGCCATTAGTTAGAGATAAAGCTGTCGAATCCTTAATCTTACTTGCAGAAGGAATGCCAAACAGTAAAATACAAACTATTTTATTTTAATAGGTTTTTTTGAAAATCACTTTTTTTAAATTGTTCAATAATTAGGTTAATGGGATAACTTTCCTTCCAGAATATCAGCAGCTAGTCTTCTTCCTCTCACTTACAAACATGTTTCATAAGATAAATAAAATATTCTATGGGATTTATTCAAATAATTATGTGGAGATGATACACCAATGGTTAGGAGAGTTTGTGCAGGAGTTTTGACTGATCTTGCTAAAATAAAATGTCAATCATAATAATTATTATAATTATGGGAAGCACTTTTAAAAGATCCTATAGATAGTGTTAAAATTAAAGCAATAGAAGGATCTCAATATATGCTAAAATTGATTGATGATGAACATGATTTAGAAACATCAATTTAAGGATACTTTGCTTTGGCTGATCCTAAAGAGAAAAGTTGGCGTGTCAGATATACTGTTCCTGAATGTTGGGAAAGTATCATTGACATAATTGTTAAATTAAGTAAAAGTTCTTTTTAAAAATCTAAGATAAAAATAAAAGTATATTAAAAAATCAAGCAGTTCCTGTGTTTTAGTAATTGCTTAAAGATACTGAACCTGAAGTAAGATCTATGGCATTAATATCTATATATCATTTATTAAAAGAATTACCTACTTCTAGCAAAGATTTATTTTTACCATAATTTTTAGCTCTCTCTACAGATACATCATAACATGTTAGGATGTCTTTGGCAGAATAAATTTGTAAGATTTCTAAATAATATCATGTTTAAATTGTCTTGTAAAACTTTATACCTTTAATTACAACATTGATTAAGGATGATGTTGTAGAAATCAAAATCATGTTAGCCCATAATTTAGATTAATTGTCATAAGCAATTGGATAAGAAAATTCAAAAAAACACTTAGTTCCATTGATATCTACATTTGCATCAGAGAAACAATGGAGATACAGATTAGAAATGATGTCAATTATACCCAAACTTCTTAAAGTGGCAGGATATGACAGTTTCTTAGAATTATAAGAAATTTATATTGAAAAAGGTGTTATGAATCACTATTAAGCAATAAGAGATTAGGCTATAGAAAATCTAATTTAATTGAGTGAAATATTTGGATATGATAAAATCAGAGAATTTATTTTAAAATGTATTAATAAACAATTCGAATAGTAAAATTATATATATAGAGTATCAGCAATGCATAGTATAGCAAAATTAAAGAATACATTATCAAAAGATGATTTAGTAAATTAATTTAAAGTATATAATATAAACTATTAATTATAAAGGAAGTAACCCAGAAGTCTTTGAATGATAAAGTTCCTAATGTTAGATTAAACATTTTTAAATTATTCACAGCAATTCAAAATAAATTAGACAATAAAACTTAAAATGAGTTTAAAAATAAAGCTAGAATTTTATAATAAGATTAGGATATTGATGTGAAATATTTTGCATAAAAAATTTGATTGATTTATATATGTTTCAATATCATAAATTTTGATATATAGATCATTTCTATTAAATTTCAGTTTTTTATTCACTTTCAAATGTATATTAAAATGCAATAGGATTTGTAGCAGTAGATAACTTTTTCATATAACCTAAAGTAGTATTTTAAAGAAAATTATCTCCTTTTAGGCCAACAAATGATGTTGATTTTCTATAGTTTCTGTCTGTACTTTGACATACTCTCAATACTTAAGATGCAGATTTTTCAATTTTTTATCTTTTGGTTCTACTTGTTAAATATATTTTAACATTCTAAAAATACAATTGTAATTCATCTTACTCTTTTTTAGTTGGCACAAACCATCTAATATGTTATATTTTAAATACTTAGGTTAAGAAATATTGCAATTTTTGAAACAATTGCTAATTGATCCAAATTATCTCACAGAAGCTGTTAATTTATTATATTCATTAAAAAGTTCATAAACTTGTAATGCTTATTTTTAATCAAGTTATGTATAACACTCCATAAATTGTCGTATGAACCTACAATACTTAAAAAGAGAATTCATAAACCGTACCTTTCAAGCATTAAATACATGGCTATTACATCGTTCCAGATTAATAAGTAAATCTCCATAACTACAGTTCTATTATGTAATTTTGATATATTGAAATATAACTAAAAATAGTATGAATTTATACATCATGTTAAGCTAAAATGAAATTTAGACAATTAATAGCTTTATAAAATTGAATGACTGATGAATCTATATCTTTAAAGAAAACTTCAATATTTGTTTTGAGTTTGCTTCTATTAGATATTTCTTATATGCCAGATAATTTATGTATTATCATAGTTTAAATGCCAATAAATTTATTTAAGATTTCATCTTTATTAGTATTAGTAAGTGTCCAACCATTAAAGTAATTTAATTACTATACAAATAATCTACCATGTTTGACATCTCCCATAAGTACATGCATAGTAAGTAGAACTTTTAGTTTCTTATGATTGTCTATAGTTGGTGGAATAAGTCTTAAGAATTCTCGACATACCTATACGATAGTCATACTTTAAACTAGTTAATCAATTTCAGATAAACAAGGAAATCCTATATTAATAGAATTAAATTTACCTTATAACATTTATTTTACATCTTCTAGATCAACAGTCTCTTGATTATCAAATATTGAAGATTCGAATAGTTTTCTCTCAAATCTTGATTGTTTCTTAAAGAAGTTTTTTATAAACATTTTTAATATTTATATTTATTTATCTATTTATTGTAATGATTGAATAAAGAACTGTTACAGAAACCAGTCAAGATGAAGAAGAATAGAATAAAAAGAAATTTATCTATTAAACAGAAAAACTTAAATTACTTTTATAAGTACCCATTGAATAAAGAACTCAACCAATTTGTAAAGATATTGCTGAGATTGCTTAAGTAAATCTCCTAAAATATTTATCTACTTTAGTAAATTAAATTCCTATCCCAATACAAACAAAAACCTGACTTCTTGGAATTATGTAAAAATCTCTATCTCAAAACATATGAAAAAAGATAATATATATTTAAATAAGGTGATTAAGGGGATGCATTCTATGTTATATTGAATGGAAGTGTCAAAGTTTATATAGATGAACCAACAGAATTTAAGAATTTCATGCAACTTGTAAGAATAGATTATTTTATATAGAAAGAAATAGCATAATTGGGTAAAGGTGATGCTTTTGGAGAAATATCTTTGCTTTATAATTCAAAGAGAACAGCAACTGTAATTTCAAATGAGAGAAGTGATTTAATAGTTTTAGAAAAAGATGCATTTTAAGAATATATGAAAACAATGGATAATACAAATGAAATGAAAACAGTTGCATTAAATAAATTACTTTAATTTTTAGAATCTCTTCCAGTATTTCAGATGTTTAATAAAGATTTACTTGTTTAATTATGTACAAAATGTTAAATACAAATGTATCCTTCTTAATAAATATTGTTAAAATAAGGTGTTGAACCAACATAAATGTATATAATAAAAAGTGGAAGAGTTAAAGCAATTAAAAAAATTAAATGGAATTTAGAAGATTATCCATCTTCATTAATAAGAGGTTAAACTACAAGCAGCACTGATTTATTTAATTAAGATGTTTATTTTGAAATTGATGAATTAGGAGATGGTGAAATCTTTGGTGATTTTGCTTTATTAAATGAAGAAGAATCATAATGTTCTTATATTACTTCTATTCCATCTGAGATTGTTTCAATTAGTTCATTTAATTTAAAAATGATTATGCCTTCTGATAGATTGGAGGCATATTAAAAATAAATTAAATAATATCCTGAAGATGATGATCTTAAATTATTATATGAAGAGAAGAGAAATTGGAATTAATATAAAAGAAAATTGATAAAGAATATATATGTTGATAAATAAAATAAAAAAGGATTCGATAATAGATTAAGATTACCAGAATTAAAAGGTAAATCAGCCTTACCTCCTATTAATATTATTGATATAAAAACAAGTGATAATAGAACATATTTCAAATATTTAGAATCTAAAATATCTCCTATGGCTGAATGTAAAAAAAAAGTTTAATCTTTAACTTAAGTTGGATTGAGTATGTAAGGTTTGGTGAAATAATTAGAATAAAGTACAAATCAATTAAGTATTGCAAATTCATTTTAGAGAAAATTAAAGAAACTCAACATTAATAGATCTTAATGAAATTAATCAATGTTATAAATCATAAAATGAAAAAGAACTTCCTGGTTATGTTGAATTAATTCTCCTATGATTCTATTATTACTATTTTGGCTAACCTATTTTACGAACAAAATCCTTGGTCCTTTGAGAATAGATTTTATTCTATGATTACACATTTTCTTAATCTAAATTTGAAGATTATTGTTATTATGCCTTTTTCTTTGGTTATTAAGTACTATTTATAATGATTTAATATATTACCATCTTTAAGAGTGATATTAATACAAAGATTCATTTTCTATCAAAAAAGATTGGTTGATTGTATGAGCAGTAATTGGAGATAATGATTATCCTTTATGTCCATTTGGAGAGTGAATCTTCATTTAATGTACATCCCATAAAACAGATTATTCTAATTCTTCTTAACTTCTACGTGTCTATTCTCTTGTATGTTAACTTCTTTTAGTATTCTTTAATATTGGACTAGTAGGTATAGTACCTGTAGGTTAAGTGTATGAGAATGCAATTTCTCTAAATGCTATATCCAATTATGATTTCTCAATTTTACAAATTGCTTATTCTAATAAAAATAATCCTGTTTATACTCTCTATTCAAGATGTCTTATATTTGTATTTCTACTTCTCCATAATTTAAAGAAAGTCTATTTTAATGATAATTAATTCTCTCTTTTAGATAATGTATTTTCTAACATTGCACTACTTAAACATTTTGATTTCAATGCATTTTATATTTACATATTCTATAATTCTAATTCATATTAATAAATTAATCTTTATTATTAATCTTATTCTTATTAAGAACAAACAAGTTCATTTCTTAATTGATCTACAAATAAACCTTATTTATTTCTCCATCTATTAAAAAACTTAGATTTCATTTTTTATTAATGTTATTCTGTTCTCAATCTTATGAATTTAAAAAACTCTAAATATTTTTATCTTAAACTATTAATTCCATTAGTCAAAATTAAAGCTATCTTACTCAAATATTGAGTTTACATATTAGATGAAGTTATTAAAAATATTTCATCATTAACTTTCCAAATGTGTCTATTCTCAAATTCAATATTCAAATTATTTGTTAATTCTGTATTTAAGTTTAAAGTTAATTAATAAAGAGTATTGAATTATGAAATATCATCAATATCTTCAAAATATTCTTATATTAATCCATATTCAGGTAAATAAGAAGTCAATGACAATATCTCAATATTTAAAATGGAAACTGCTAATTTTTCACCCATTAATTAAGCTACTTATTGTAAATACATTTCAATTGAATTTTCTGATTATAATGCTTATAACATTATAATTAAATCATCATTTCCAATTAATTACTTTATTGCATTACTCTTCAATCTACTTTAATACTTTTACAATATCATAAACAATTAAATTGTATAATTCCTTTCATTCTTTTTAACTTATTTGGCTGCTTAAAGAATTAATTTACAAATATTATTATTTATATTCTTTGAATTTCTTATAGAATAGTAATATTATTTCAATCTTTTAAATCCAAATTATTGAATTAGTCTTTTTAATTTTCTTAATTAATTTATAAACTATTTCATTCTCAAAATAACCATTAATCTTTTCATTCTTTATTATAATAATACAATCTTATTGATTTTATTGATACCCAATTCTAATTTATATTATAGATTACTAATATTCAATTAGATGTATTATTAAATCTATTTACAATATGAAGATTGATAATTCAAAGCATAAATTACTTTTCTATTAAAATGGGTTATTGGAATAAGAGTGAATTAATCATCAAGACTATAAATCTATTATTAAATTAAGGATTATTTAATTTATCTATAATCCACTTTTACATTTGATTATTAATTTTTTAATGTACATGATTAAAATTTTGAAATGTTAAAGTTATTTATTGATTCTCCTGTAACAATTTAATCATTTATACAATATTCATAATATCCACTTTCATTATTTTTTATTTATTAATAAAATTAAAGGGGATTTTTATATGGTAATTCAAATACATTTTTATAATTAATAGATTACTCAATTGATTTAGGTATTTATTAATGAGATGGTAATTGTTTAATAAAATTTGATGATTATGTCTACATATAACTTCGTTTTGAATTTTATTGAGTTGGAGTTTATTATTCTAAAGTTGGAATTACAAATTCTTTAACTAATTATTCAACCAATTAAAACATTGATTCTGGTTCATTACTCTTCTTAATGGATTCTTAATCAATTGAATCAAATAAAGTAACTAATCTTTATTTATCTAATTCTTTAGTATTGGAATTTTCAATTAATGAATTTAATTATGCAAATATGGGTTTAAAAGTTTAATAGTAATTGAATTAAGGTGTTTCTTCCTTTTATTTTCTAATATCTTCCTTTATTGTTTATTAAGGAATTGATATTGAAAGTTTAAGATCCTATTGTCTTTATTATTTTTCAATCTCATCACGTCTTTTCTAAATGAGAGTCTTCAATTAGCCAAATTCATTTTGCATTCTTGAACTAACCTTTTCTGTTTCCTACATTGATTTTTCAAAAGAACGATTATGTATGGATTTATCACAATCATTTGAACTAGTATGAAATGAGTGATTGCGTTTTGGACAAATTTCTCTAGGTCTAAGCATTTCAATTTCTCTTTTCTTATTCATTAGATCCCAATCATAATTAAATGATGCATTAAAATTATGCTTTGGAGGTAATTGAGTATTAAGTCTCATTTGAATTTAAATTATTATTAGTAACAAATAAATAATCATTCCTTCATAGAATAAAATCAATTCTCTAAACTAAAATGTATTATTAAAATAACACCTAAAAGCTATTTGATATTATGAGATATGCAATTCCAATAGAAATTATAGAAAATTATTTATTAAGTAAAAATAAATTTAGTCTCATATTAAGTTTACCATTTTCAATATTCTTAAATTATAACTTGTATCATTCTAAGTTATTATTTATATGTTTTATATATTATTTACATAAACATATTTAAATTTTAAGATATTTATTCTAATATAGAATATTTGATACAATATAAGATAAATAGATTAAATAGATTTTTATATTGAATTCTTAAATTGATTAATATAACAATTCAATTTGCATATAATTTTGTTTTATTAGATATTTATATATATATATAATAATGTCAGTTTTTATAGATTCTAATGATATCCTATATTTTAGTTCTGCAGATAGGGCAATCTTTTAGATTTTTACTGCATTTCAAACAAGCAGTATTATGTTTACAAGGCATATATAATGCATCACGATCATTTTCAATACAAATTATACAACTATTTTCGTGACTTCTATCAGCAACCAATTATGAAGTTCTTTTACATAAATAAGTAGATGTAGTTCCAATTTTAAAAACTGTTTAGTTTTATAATGGATATAACTATGAAGGTTAACCTTCTCTTGATAATCTAAGCCATGATCTAAATTTTGAGATATAAAAAATACCCATTAGTAGATCCCATATCTTCCAAATATGCTCTACCATCAATCAAACAAATTTTGGCATGGATATTAGAAAGATGATGATCTTCACTAAAAGTAAGATCAGCAGTCTATTTTCTACCAACAGTTGTCACACTCTTTTAAGTTGTTAAATTAATCACATGTTTTTCAGGTGTATTTGGTCCTTCTATAATTGCCATTACAACCTAATATTTTAATAATATTATTACATCTATATTTGAACCATTTACATTCACTTATTAAATTTCAAATTAATTGCTACCTAATTCAACAACCATTCCAATTTGTAATAGTTATTTTGTTTCAACTTTAATAAATGTTCCTGTTGTGGATCCTATATCTTTGATATAAAACTAATTTAAATAATATAAATACTTCTTCATTTTGAAATATCACTTCTGCATGAAATCTACTAATACTCTCTTCTAATATTAAAATTTAATTGCTTGAATGTCTTCCAATTTTACCTCCTGATTCTTTAATACAATAAAAATTAGTTTATGGTCCTTCTGTTGGTTGGATGATTAATTCGTTTTATACTTTTGAAACAAATTTTTCTAGGTCTTATTCAATTAAAATGCCGGTTTATTATTTTTTTTAAAACTGAGGTTTGTTTTCACTAAATATTAAGTATTATTATTACATCTCACATAATGGTTATTAAAATTGTTATGAAAACATTTCATTATTCTTAAGATAATTAGTCATCATATCATGAGAGATATTAATCTATCCATATTGAGGTTATGCAGATTCAGTATTTTCAAGGGTAGCATTTTCTTATTCCATCTTTTCATAACGTCTGTCTTCGAAAGTAGTTGATTTTATATGAGATGCATATTCTTTTAGACCTGTTTTAAGCCCTTTCATTAATATATTGTATTTACAATGCATTAGCTTTTTTCTAACTATCTTATTAGTAATTCCTAGATCTTCTATTAAGTCATTTTCTTCTATTAACTCTAAACATGATCCATCGATTGAATTTTAAGCTACAATATAAGTTCACTAATATACTAAAAGTTGTCTGTAGTTATTGTAACCCAACAAAATTGAGCCATGACGATACATCCTCCAAAGACCATTTCTTAGGTTCTTTTGGAAGAATTGTGAAGAGGGTTTCATAATCCATATTTTAAATTTAAAAGCACTAACTGAAAATAATTATTCACACATATAATTATTTCATCTTACTATATGACAAATAGACTAATTCTGGTATAACCATTGTATAATGATTACCACCAATAATTATCTTTTTATTTTCTAATTCTTTCTCAATTTTCTACATTTTCTCAAAATATCCAGGTTAAAATTCAATAAAGCTTTATATCCAATCATTTTTAATTATCATTTTTGGATCTTAAACATTTATTCCTAAATGAGAACTCAATTCTTTAAGAATCTAATCATCATTCACATCTTTTTATGTCATCACAGTTAGATTAGTTGAATCTTTAGGATATTGCATTGGAAATTACAATGAATCTGCAAGCATTCCTAATATATTTTGATTCTAATTTGGATTTATTAAATATCCAAGACCTCTAAACTTAAATAATAATACTTTAATTACATCAGAAGGTAATATCTTTTAATCCCAACAAATATTTCTTGTTATCATAGAATTATTCTTTATCTTTTTTAAATCATCCTTGATATGATTTAAATTTGAATTCTCTATCATAGAAACTATTTCTGATGATGGTACATTTAAAAATATGTAATCATATTCAATTTTTTTTATTTCTTTATTTTCATTTTCGATAATCAATTATTTTTATTCAATATCTATTTCTTTTCCCCTAGTATTCAAATGAATTTCAAAATCTTTTTCTTTTGTATTATCTTATAAATATCTTAATATTCGTTTTGGTAATGAATCCAATCCATAACTAAATCTGTAACTATTTGCTATTAAAATATTAATTTTATTTGATACCTTTATTTAATATCTTTTTCCTCATCTATTCAAATTCAGCATCATAAATTAAATCCTTCTTTAATTGTACTTCATCATATGAAGACATATAAACTTTTTAGAAACACATATTCTTTGATAATCTATATACAGATTCTCCAAATAATCCATAAAAAACTGTTTCAGCATATTTCTTTGTTAATTCTTTACCTAATATTTCATCTAAATATTCTCCCAAATTATCAGATTCTATCTTATTAAATAATATTTTAGGATATGCTTTGATTAAATTAAATAATTCATCTTTCCCATTATCCTTAATAAATCTAGATATAGTTTTTAAATTCATTTGTGATGGTACACTCTTTAATGCTCCATTCCAATAGAAATAATTATAAGGTTATTATATACTAGTCACAACTAAACATATAACTATTATATACATTCAGGATAAAGACCAATTTTATCTATCATATAAAATAGAGGTCTATTATATTTTCCTAATTTAATTGAACGTGGACCCTCTTCAAATATAAATTAATTTTCTTTTCTTGTTTTTATTATTCCTCCTATTCTATTAGATGATTCAATTATAGTGATTTTGGCCTTAGGATACAATTACTTAATGAAAAAAGCATTGCTCAAACCTGATAGACCTGCACCAACAACTAAAAATTTATAAGACATTTTATAAAAAATAAAATTTATGATTTTCATTTATACACATGTAAATTATCATAAAAAAATATTCAACTCTTATTTATCATTTAGTTTTTATATATTTCAATTTATTAATAAGATAAAATTTAACACTCAATATTCCTTGTTTGATATTAATTTTTACTATATATATTAATATTAAAATTGAAAAATTACTATTAAATTTTATGACATTATATATATATAGATGGATCATACTATATTATATGAAATTTTAGGTTAGTCTTATGATTAGTAGATTTAAAAACCTTTTTAATATTATAATGAAATAATAAAAACAAAGACTTTTTGTTTTTATTATCTTTATATATATATTTTATCATCTCATACAAAAATTCTTATAATTAAATATAATTTTATATAATGTATATCTTTTTTGGTATTTTAAAAATTGTATTAGTTATTGCAACTCTAATCAATACAAATATCAAAGAATTTCTTTTAACTAATTTCACTAATAAGAGTTTTAATAGATAAAGATGATTAATAACATAATAATGATTATTATTTACAATATTTCGAGGTATAAGAGCCTGATAAATAAAATCAATGATATTCTATCTATTATAATATTCCTTATTTATATTATCCTACTCTTATCTTGTATTCTTAATCAAATATTGTGGCTCTTCCTTCCAAATTACCATCTTTAAACATTCCGAATACTTTAGCATTTTTATAGTACAACACACCTTTTCCATTAAACTTATATTATTAATCCATTTATCCTTAATAATGTGTCCAATTCTTTTCCATCTAAGTAATGCTTTATTTATCGAAATACTTATTATTAAAATCTTTATTATAACGAATAGCCTTTCGAGTATCAGAATATTCTATTCTCTAAAATTATTAAAGCAAAACTGACTTTCTTTGTTGTAAAGCAGCAATCTTTTAATTAATAGATAAAATTTCATTTATAGTATCAGAAGAGAATTATTATGATAATTATCTCTAAGTCTTTTATATAGGCTCTACGAGAGTAGAAGGAGTACGAATCTTTTTCAAATTAATGGGGCTAATTTAAGGTTTTTTTATTGTTGAAACATCACTAGTTAATAAACTGTATTTCTCTGATGATTGTCTAGTTGTATCTAAAAGTGAAGGAGATTTTTTATGCTTAAACATTTAACGAACACAAATAATTAATATATAATTTTAATATTATTGTTTTTCAACATATCTAAATTGTATAGTGGTATAAATATATATATATCTTAATCTAAATACTTAATTTTTATGAGATATTCTAAAAATTCTTTATATTAAAATTATAAACTATTAGAACTCTTTTTCTTTATATTAGTTAAAGAGTTATAGCACAATTTTGAAGATATTTTGCTGAATTTATTAAAATTAAAGAAAAAAACAAAATATTGATGCCAAAATAGCAATTGTAACCCAAAAGACCTTATTATAAGATGTCATTTTAGAGTAAGGAGGCTTTGAAAACTCTAGTATTCCAAAAAGGATTTACTATTAAATAAGTATTAGATTATGATTATTTTTAAAGGCTGCTTAAACTTTATCAATAAATTATACAAGTGCTAAAACAATTATTCTCCAATTTAGGGAGTAATAGATAAGAAAATGTATTAAATATTTATCAATGAAACCTTGTCTTGTTAAATAGGCTTCAAAAATTAAATATAACCTTAAAATTATTTCCTAAACTGGTGGAGTAATGGTAAATGAAAAAATATATTGTTTAAGATGATTGATGTAATGTATACATAATATAAACTATATTCATTTAATTAATAAATTAACTGATCATTCTTAATCTGTATTATTATTAAGTTTGCTATCTACTAATGGTTAATATAATCAATAAATAGAAGTTCGATATAATTATAGTGAATTTTATTTAAGTTGTGCTTCATTATGCAACTTTTGAGTATAAAAATAATGAGAAAGTCTAATTTATAATTATTGTTTATAATAAAAGAAGATATTTAATTAGATAGACATTGATTTAGTCAAATTAATTTGTTGTTCATTCAAAATTAAGATGCATTTTAAATATAAAAACATCATATATAATATTATAATCAAAATATATAAATATTTTTTAGTTTATAATAATTTAGTAAATTTTTGTATTTAATTAATGAATGATTAAATAATTCTTATAATAAGTATTTATAAATTATTCCTTTATTAATATGCATCAAATAAAAGATTTATTTCCCTATTTTTTATTAAATAAAAAGAAAGATGTATATAATTAAAAATAAATTAAACATCACATCAAAACTATGTCTAAGACTTCTGCTAAAAAAAGATAATATGTCAAAATTTCAAAAAATGAAAAGCAATCCTTACTTCAATTAGTCTTCTATAATGGAATGAAAATTAGAGAAGTAATAACATTATTAACAATTAGGCTGCCTAGAAATTGAACTTAAAATATGCTGCAGCTAAAACCTTTGTTCTATAATTTAGAAAAAAATTAATAAGAAAAGAATTTAATTACGCTTCTGATAAACCTTGTTAAACTTGTCCTAGAAGAGATGAGAATACTACATTTAAAATCATATCATAGATTGGAGGAAAAGAAATCAGTTCAAAAACTTACATGTACAATTGAATAATATAACTATTGTTTGTAAATATTTATTATAATTTATAATGTTCTCTTAGACTTAAAGCTTTGATGATAAATTTCAAACAAAAAATTACTTTAAGCTAAAACTTAATCATCTAAAGTTGTAGTATCAGTTAAATATTCAATGAACAATAATTTAATTTCTATAACTTTAGAATGGTTAATATATATATCATTTGAATATCATAATAGATAAATCAAACTTAGACTTTGTTTGAAAATAAAGAAACAATTGAAAAATTATAGAAGGTTAAAAAAAGTATATAACAATTTAAATCTTTTATAATTAATTTAAGCTAATTAATAATCAAATCTTAAATTCTTTCTAGAAAAATTGTTTTAGTCTCTTATAAGTCAATGATAATAGTTTTATCTTCTTTATCAATATTAAATTCATTTTATAAGTTAAGAGTATTAGTATAATATTTAATGACACAATCGAAATTCTTTACTATTTTAATCTAATGATATTTGGATTAACAGTATAAAATTAATAGAAATCATTGTCCTAGTAGTTATTAAAATGATATAAATAAAAATTAAGGAATCAACAGTTTATTTTAACATGTACTAATTATCTTCTTATATCATAATTGCATTTTAATACATTAAATTATAAATCTTTTGTTTATAGTGTAAAAAAAGATAAAAATCACCTTATATAAAAGACATATAATAATTGAATAGAATTATTATACAATTCTTGATAATATTATAACAAGAAGATTTGTAATACTTTTTCTTAATTAAAATTTCTATTAAAGATTAAAGTAATATTGACTTAATCATATTGATCAAGTTTAGAAGATATAGATTTACATATTACTCATTGATAAGATAGAGTTGATGAATAAGGGATGGCAGTTTGATTTATAAAAGATGAGAAGATTCTTAATAGATTTTGAGTTAAAGAGCAGATGTAATAATGAACTTTATTAATAAATATCTATTTTAAATAATAAAGTCTAAATGGGACCGTATCTAAGCCAACCAAAAACAGAAAAGTCTACAGTTACAGGCTAAAATTAAGTACTTTAATATGCTGCCACTCATATGCAAGGTATTATAGATTTATTAAATTAGGATGGAGAAATACAATGGAGGATGCTCACATTTCTGATATAAACATAGAGCAAGATGTTCATTTATTTGCTGTTTTCGATGGCCATGGAGGAAGTGAAGTAGCTATATTTGCAGAAAAACATTTCAAAGAAGAATTGATGAAGAATAAAAACTATCTATCAAAAAATTATGAAAAGGCTTTGACAGAGACATTTTTCAAAATTGATAAAATGTTATAAGAGCCAGCTGGTTAAGATGAGTTAAATAAAATAAGAGGAGCAACTGATGAAGGTAATTTATATCCAGATTATAGCATCTTTGGCTGGATGCACTGCTAATGTTGCTTTGATTGTTGGCAAGACTTTATATGTTGCTAATGCTGGAGATTCAAGATCATTTTTAAATAGAGATGGAAAGCCATTTGATATGAGTAAAGATCATAAACCAGATGATGATTAAGAGAAAAAGAGAATAGAGAGAGCTGGAGGTTTTGTATCAGATGGTCGTGTCAATGGTTTAATTATATAATATTATATAAGGAAATCTTTCATTATCAAGAGCTTTGGGAGATTTGGAATACAAAAAAGATGGCAGATTTAAGCCTGAAGAATAGATTATAACTGCATTACCTGATATTAAAGTAACATAATTGACTGTTGCTGATAAGTAATTCGAATATATTTAATATTTGATTAGGTTTTTATTGATGGGATGTGATGGTGTGTTTGAAACATGGGATCATCAATAAATACTTAACTTTGTCAATTCTGAGTTGAAATCTCATTAAAGTCTGTAGAAAGCTGCTGAAAAATTGCTTGATTAATTGTTGGCAAAAGATACATCATGTAAATATTCACATCTATAATCTAGTGGGTACTGGATGTGATAATATGACTTGCATTTTGGTTCAGTTTAAATGATGAATCAATTGAGTATCAAAAACATATAAAATAAAATATAATTTATAATTATTATAGGATCAATTATTATTATTCAAACAAAAAATTTGTTCATTTATATCTATTATACATTTAACTCATAAACTCTCTAATTATTTTTGGTTATCTTATTTTATATGGATTATATGTAGATCACTTTATACAGTTATTAAAGTATAATTATAAAAAATAAGTAATTTAATTAATGATAACTACACATAGCTGAAATATTTGAAAGAAATAAATAGTTATCTATATTCCAAGAATAAATTGAAAGTTTATTTGACCTAATATCCAAATATCTTACAAAAAAATTAATTAAAAAAACTTATAAATTTATGGATTTCATAATAGATAAGTGCAAAAATAATTGATTATTGTATTCTATAAGAGGATTCATATTATATAATATATTTAGATCATGGATTCTAAATGTTTATCTCAGTATATAAGATATTTATTTAAGAACTTTATAATTGATTATTGCATTTGTATGGGTTTAAATTTATTCTACAATATTTGATTTTGTATTTTTAGTATTATCAAATTAAGAGTTGAAATTTTAATCAAATTCTTAAACCAAGAACTCAATAAATATAATGCTTTGGTATTATTATTTTAGGGTAATATTTATTTATTAAAAAATATAATGTATTGTCATGTAGAGACATTAAAATTATCGTAATATTAAAATGTACTATGAGTATGACAAATCAATCTAGAGCTTCAGCTATGTTAATTTTCGTAGATAACAGCAGAACGCTGATCCACAAACTCCATGAACTATTTAAGCACATGAATGAGAGTGAAGCTCTAATCATTTATATTTGCAATGAAATAAATTTTCCTTAATTATCCGATTAAATAATTATGGTTTCATACTTGAATGAGTTTTCTACATATTGCAGAACTGTAGGACTCTTAGGACTCTAAGAATCATTTAAATAGTAGTAAAGTACATTGGAAGAAACATTGCTCATGCATTTGATAACTCTAAAGAGGGAATAATTGATTGAATTATCTACTCGTATTGTAAGGATATGGAACATCAATAATAGAGATCAAAAATAAGGATCTTCATAGGAAAACCAATAAAGAAAAATGTCAGTTAGTGATATGTATACAAAGTCTAGTTCTTAATTAAATCATCTATATGAATAACATATATTAAATGAGGAGAATCAAATAGTCAAACGAGATTAATAAATTAATCATCTTATGAAGGAATGCACATTTAAACCATAAATATCAAAAAAGAGCTAAAAATTAGAATTAAATTCACCAGCTCATATTAGATTGAATAATTATGCAATGGACTCTAAAATAAAATTATAAATAGTTTAAGAACTTAATTAGAAATAAGAATTAAAAGATTGTACTTTCAAACCTTCAATTAATATTAAATCAATTGGTAATAATTAATCAGTTGAAAATCCATTTGATAGACTATATTAAAATGCATTAACTTAAAGAAATAAAACACCTAGAAACAATGAAGATTCATAATTTACTTATCGTCCTTAATTAATTAGCTCTCCTATAAAATTATAATAATTTGAAGGTATTTCAGTAGAAGAAAGACTATATAATCATCATTTTGAGAAAATGAATAATGTGGCTATGAAATAAGAGGAACTTTAATAAATTGAATTAGAATAATGTACATTTACTCCTGTTATTAATTAATATGGTAATAGTAGATAAAATGAAAAAGTCTATGAAAGATTATATAATCATAGTAGTGTAAAATCAGTATCAGATGTAAAAGATCATTCAATATCACATATTAATAAGAAATCAGAATCTTTAATTAAAAAGCCATAATCAGAAAATAATTCATATGTGACTTAATTTTACATAGAATCCAATCCATTTGATCGATTATATTAAGAACATTAAAGATAAGAGAAAAAGAAGAAATCCAATTAAATATAATATTACTAATCTATACCTTTTAAACCAATACTAAATAAAAAATTATCATTATAATGAATATAAAAATATATTTAATAATAGAATTTCATTTTTAATATTTACAAATAAATATAGAAATGTGAATAATTTACATAAAATATAACAAAAAACAGTATAATAATTATGAATTAATTAATTAAATTGTTTTTATAGATTCAATATAATAATATTATTATATAATTCCTATTATATATTAATTGATTATATGTAAAAATAGAAATATTTAGAGTATTTATCATATTGTATTGATATATTTTTGATAGTTTAAAGTATATATAGAACTATTGAGATAATTAGATATAATCTATTAATTTAATAAGAATTAATTAAAATTCATTTAGCTTTTGTTAATTAATAATGTTGTGATAATATAAATCTTATGGAATTAATAAATGATTGTTATTTATTAATTAAGTCAGTATATAAAATAGAATGAATATGATTTATAATATACTTAAATTAGAATATTTTCTAATGTAATTGATAATGTGTGGATTTCAATTAAGTTAATTTATTAAAAAGTATAATGAATCCTTATTTATGAGAATGCTACTATGTTAAATTATTAATTCATAAATCAAAGACTTAAAATTCTTATAAATATTTTAAGATAGTATTGGTGTGTAACTCTTATTCCCAAAGATTATTTAGAATGAAATATTATATTCAGTTGATTAAAAATAATTTTAATATTCTTTATGTCTTCTTTGTTTAATGAAGTACCACTCTAGAAAGTTATTGCTAATAAGGCATAAGTAACAGTAACTATATTAGATAGAAAATAGCCATTCTAGTAATGATGTTAAAAGATATACAAAAAGAAGAAGAAGAGATTTTGAAATAATTTAACAAAATGACTAAAGATGCTCGAACGATTAATGAATTATATGAGATTATGGAAATGATTAACTATGAGATGAGTGTGAGGAATGATGACAAAATGATGATTTTAAATGAAATCACTCTACAAGAAGAGTTATTGTAAATGCTTGAATATATTAAAGATTGACAGAGTAGGCAAGTCTATAGAAATAAATAAGTAGTATATCTAAGGATCTAGAGACATCAGAAAAGTTTTAATAAACAAGATCTTTACGTCAAACTGGAAGATTCTTATAATTCAATCATAGCAATCACAATTTGAATGTTGAGACCAAAATACTATAATCAAATATAATTACAAGTTATGATTTTGAAGAGTAATCAAAGTTAAATGATAAAATTCAAGATAATATATTCAATGATCCTATTAAATATAATACATAAGAAGGTATTGATGAAACATAAGTATATGATTGGATTCTTGATATAGATCTAATAAATAATGTTTAATAAGGATGGACAGTCTATATTAGTAAATAGTTTTAAGCAAACAAAGAATTAGTAGGATTAGCTAATAATGATAATAAGGCTCAAATAAAATGGGAAGGTGCCACAGTTGCAGTTGTAGGATTATATGATAAAGGTAAAACTTTTGTATTAAACAATCTTACTTAATCTAATTTACCATCTGGAAAGAAAGTAACAACAAAAGGAATTTCATTTAAACATGTTGATGTAGATTCAGGTACTTAATTAATCTTGGTTGATACTGCTGGAAGTTATTCACCTGTCAAAATTTAATCAGCTATGAGTATTGTAGAAAAAGAAGCTACTGAACATTTTATTATAGATTTAGTATTTGAATTAAGTGATTATTTCATTTGTGTTGTAAATGATTTTACTTCACTTGATTAGAGATATTTAGATAGATTATCAAGATATATTTAAAATAGTTCAAAAACATTTAGAGAAATAATTGTAGTTCATAATTTGAAGGAAGTTGAAACTGCTGAAATATTATAACATGTTTGGACAACTTAAGTGACTTAAATATATTCAACTGGTGGATCAATATAAAGAACTAAGGTTGCAGCTACTAATCCTAGAATTAATGAATTGTAAGAAAAACATGTTTTATGGTTTAAAACACAATATACAAGACATGTTTGTTTAGTTAGTGATGATAGTCAATTAGGATTAGATGTTAATCCATGGGTTTTTTCATTATTAAAATATTGGTTAAAAGCAGTTTTTGTTCCTGTTAATCGATAATTTTCTGTTTGTGAAAATATTCTATAATATGCTACTAGTAAACTTACTTAGTATTTTAAAAGAGAAGTGAATGTTAAATTAATAGATACGGATAATTAATATGTTAAGAAAATTGTTTAAATGGAGGCTGATTTATAAGATGGAGAATTGAAGATTCCTTAAACAAATATTGATTAATCTGGATTAATATTAGCTAGACCTGATTCATTTGCTCCTGCTACTGATATTATTGCTAATGATAAATATACTATTTATATGGATGTACCAGGAATTAGTGAAGAAGATATTGAAATGTATAGATAAAATGTAGTTACAATTGTTAAAGGAAATAGAAAAAAACCATATTAAGAAGAATAAAGTGATCATATTAAGAAATAAGAGAGAAAATATGGAGAATTTACTTTAAGTTTTAGAATTCCTGAAAATTTTGAAAGAAAATGGAAACATTTTGGAATTGAAAATGGTGTATTGAAAATTGTATATGAAAAAGATAAAGATGATATCATTCCAAGCAAATTTGTTAGTTAAGCAGAATGAAAATATTATTTTTTTTTGAGATATTCTGGTTTATATTTAAATAAGTTTTAAGTCTATACAAAGTTTAATATTTAATTATCATGTAATAATTCTAATAAATATAAGTACCTGAATGTTTTGTTTGTGCTTGTGGTTTCTCCTGTTTATACATGAAGGAGAAGGATATGGAATTTCATATTGATTCATGTCCTGTATATAGTGCATATAGTGAATTTATGAAATATATTGAAAGAAAAGATATTCAAAATGCTAATGAAGATTAACTTAGAACAATGAAAGCAGAAGCAAAAGTATATATATCCAGATTAGATATGATGTTAATGATTTGTAAGTATCAATATTAATAATATAGATTCTCAATAATAATAACCCATTTTATAGAAGGCTCCTTCATAAACAGTTTAATGTGAAAAATGTAAAAAGTAATTTGAAGCCAATTCAGATTTTGATAAGGTTTGGTATTTAGAAAATTGTTCACATATAATATGCAAAGATTGTATGTTAAAAATTTGTAAAGATGACTTTTTACCTAAAAAAAGTAATGTTACTTGTGTATGTGGAGAGAAATTCAAAGATTAAGAGATTAAATAAATATTGGGTAATGAACTTTATGAATAATTAACTGAGAAACTAAATTTATCACTTTAGAATATCATTGAGTGTTGTAATTGTAAAGAAAGATTTTGTTTTTAGAAAGGGAATATTGAAGAGAAAATTTAGGATTAGAATGGTAAATTAGTGTAAGGAGAATAATTAAAACATTATATTGAAAATAGATTTAAATGTTCAAAATGTCATACAGAATAATGTAAAAATTGTATGAGTGTACCTTATCATACAAATATGACTTGTGAAGAATATAAAATAAATAAAGCAGCTGTTAAATGCAGATTATGTGAATAACCAACAGAAATATAAAAGAATCAACCTGAAGCATTATAAACAATATGTTAATAATAAGATTGTTAAAATAGATCAAAAAAATTATGTACTATTAAATTAAAATGTGGACATTTTTGTTAAGGATTAAATAATACTCCTTGTTTACCATGTCTTAATGAGAAATGTGCTAAAGATTAAAATGAAGATGATTATTGTAATATATGTTTTACAGAAGCATTAAAATCATAACCTTGTGTTTAAACTACTTGTGGACATGTATAAATTATTATTATTATTATTATTAGATATTTCATGAAGATTGTTTAAGATAAAAATTAGATGCTAAATGGAATGGTCCTAGAATAGTATTCAATTTTATGAAATGTCCTTTATGCAATAAATTTTTAGATATTTAAGTACCTCATTTTAAAAATTCTATTGAATAAGGATAAATATTATTGAAAGAAGTTCAAGAATTATGTTTATAAAGATTAAAATTAGAAGAGAAAGAAAAAGATAAAGAATTATTGGATCCTACTCATTAATTTTTTTAAAAACCTTTAGATTATGCTATGCATATATATTGTTATTATTTATGTTTTAAATGCAAAAAACCATATTTTGGAGGATTAAAGAATTGTTAATAAGCAGCAGATTAAGATCCTAAAGTAGAATTCAAATAAGAAGATTTAGTTTGCACAAAATGCTGCCCATTATTAACTCTTGAAGATAAATGTAATAAACATGGAGTTGATTATATTGATTTTAAATGTAGACATTGTTGTTCAATTGCATTATGGTGGTGTCAGTATGATTTAAAATTTATTATTAAGTGGTACAACCCATTATTGTGATCCTTGTCATAGAAATATTAAAACTAATATGACCAAACCATGTCCAGGACCAGCTAAATGTCCTTTAGGAATTCCACATAAACCTAATGGTGAAGAAATGTCATTAGGTTGTTCTTTATGTAGAGCAGAAAGGTTGAAAGCCAAATGAATATCACATATAACACTAAAAACATAAAATATCATTCAATTTCTTTGCCTAGTGTATCATAAGGTAAAAAACAATTAGTGAGACTTGTCATAAATGAAATGACTATATTAATAATATAAATAATATACCTGTAAATAATAAAAATGGACTTAACAAATCTATAGATGATAAATAAAGACATATCCATGGCATTATTACTCCACCTAATCTCCCTATTCCATTTGCCATTCCAACTCCTGTTGTACGAATTTTAGTTGAATAAACTTCAGCTGTATATTAAAAGGAAAAAATAAATGTCATAGATAAAAAGAATTTACAAAAATTTGTCCATAACATAAATCTACTTGGATCATCAAAATAAGCAGCTACACAACTTAATGCTTAAATAAAAAAGAATAAAATTAATGAATTCTTTCTTCCCAAATATTTTATATCAATTATAATTGAAGCTGCTGCTGCTCCTATTATATCACTTATAGATGATATCACTAATTATAATAATTTATGAACTGCTAAATAAGAATCTCCTAAATTAAGACCTTATAAAAATGTAGGTAACATCATAACTATTCCATAATATATAAATGAAAGTGTGAACCAATTAAACCAAACTAAACAAGTTACAAACCATTTCTCTTTATCAAATAATGATGATATTGATGCCTATTATATTATTATTTTAATTTACATTTTCTTATTATTTAGCTATCTTATTCATCATATTAGCCCAATTTATCAATTATTATTTTATATCATCTGTCAATATAAATTCAGAATTATTTAATTTACTCATTTATTAAATAATCTCAAATGCTTCTTCCTTTTTACCTGTTAATAATTCAAATCTAGCTGATTCTTACAATTTCAATACACATAAAAACCAAGCCAATATTCCAGGAATTGCACAATAAAATGTCATTGCTCTCCAATTACCCTTTATTTCATTATTAAATTTATACATCATCAAAATTAATTAAAAAGAATGAAGCAACCCATAATGCAAATAATTAACCTAATGAAAAAGTCAATGTAATAAGACTCATATATCTACCTCTTACTTCTATCTAAGTAATCTCTGATAACATTGTTACTCCACAAGGTGAAAAGAATCCAACTAAAACTCCCATTATACCTCTTACAAATAATAATTAGTATATATCCTAACATAAAATTGTTGCCAAAGTAACTAAACAAGTGAAAAATGAACTATATAGAAAGGGACCACGTCTACCAAAACGATCCGAAAATTATCCTGACATCATAGAACCAGCTAAAAACCCTACGAAAACAAAACTTGCTTGAAGGGAATTTAATGAGTCAGGAACATTCCATTAGTTCTTAAGAATAGGTATCATTAATGTAAACAGAGTAATTTAAGCACCTTCTGTTACACCCAATAATCCCATGATTAAGTAAATCCATAATTAATAAGATCCAAATCCTATACGAGATAGTAATTGATCAAATGAAAAAAGAGGTTCATGATTGTGATTACTATTATTCTCAGTATTTGAAACCAATTTTCTCATTTGAATACTTTGTTAATCATCAACCTTTTTTGATTCTGACATTCTTAGTTTCTCTAATTGTACTTATTCATATATTTCTTCAGTCATTGATGTAAGTTGATGTTTTGTGCTTTATGAAAATAATTATAAATTATATTCTTAATTATCAAATTAAATCTAACAAATTCTAATCTTCCACTTTTTTAGATTAATTTATATCTAAATCCAATAAGTTTACTTCTTAAGCATTTATTTATTATTATTATTAGGCTCTTTAATTTTGCTGTTTATTTACCACAAAAACTGAAAGAAAATTTTTATATGAAATATTTTTCATAGTTTTTGGATCATATAACTTTATTCCTTTTATTTAATGAACTCCACAATTATAAGCTACTACATCTAATTTAATTCTTCTTGTTCTCAATCCTGGAGGATAATTTAATTTCTATTATTAATTATAAATATTTACCATTTAACTCATTCCTACAATTTTGATAGCTTTCATTTCTAATTCTTCTAATTTAATAGCCAAATCAATTTAAGGAACATCAAATAGGATTCCTAATTCAATATCAATTTCTATTGTTGTTATAACTTCTTTTTCAATTTAAATTGATCTTGAAGGTCTTAGATTAATTGGATAAATTCTAACCAAACAAGTCTTTTGGGTTCCATAATAATTACCACAAGTACCCCATTCTAAATGAATTTATCCCAATCTCAAATCATATTCAGTCAAATCCTCTATAAAATAAATAAGAAATTAGAAATACTCTTTTAAGTCAATACTGTATAAATAGCTTTTAAATCTGATGTTTCTATTAAAATACGATAAATTATTTTCACACATTCATCCTAAGCCAACACAATTGGTAATTAATAATCTTTCTAAATAAATAAATTATAAGAGATATATACCAATTTCTTAATAGACATGATATTTTCAACTTTAAATTCAATATTTTTCATTTCTAAAGGTTAAGATGATACATTTAAACATTAATACTCAAGAAAAACTTCAGGAAACTAATTAATATATATTTATAATTTACATTCTCACTAACCATTGAATAATGGGACTCAAAAGGTTGAAATGCTTTAAAAGTATGTTGTTATTTTTTTTCTAAGCGTAATATTTCTGGACTATTGAATTATTATAAAAGATATTTTACACTAGTTATGCTTAATTTTGAATCTTGTAATTTAGAAGATAACTTAAAGAATATTCATCCTATTCTTCTAATTTACTTTCATTAAAAATCAGTAATTCCTATCCATCTTTTACTCTCTCAAATTATGATGAAGATAATTAACGATATGTTTTATTCTTTTTTAAGGACTCTAGATTTGTCTAAATAGTTATACAATTTAGTAAATACATCAATTGTTATAGAATCCATTTCATATAAACCTTTGTATTTAATTAGTGTCAAATATTAGACTGAATATCCAACATAAGTTTTGCCTTACTAAATTTCTTTACGACCTACTAAATACAAATGTCCATCATTTATAAAATAAATAGGTTCATTGATTAATTTGCTTAAAGAATGAGGTTTACCTGTCTAAGCTGATGAGACAGAATAAGTTTATTTATTGAATGTGCTTAGATTGTTTTTGAAAGGTGGAATTTATTAAATCTCTTATAATGAGTAATGTGTGATCTCAAAGAAATCTTTTGGGTTCATATACAATAAATATATTATTAATGATCATGAATAAATATATATAAAAGAGAGAGTAACAAAAAATTGCCTTTTGCTAATATATATAAATTATTTATCATTAATTTAGCAAACTGAGGATGCCAGGGATTTCCATGAGCATTGAATGGACATCTTATTTCTACTAAAATCCATTATTATTCTCATCATCAGAAATTGGCTCTAATTCTTTTTTCTTTGATGGAATCAATTATCCTTATTACTTTTTCTATTGTAATTTATGATTTTCAATGACTCTCTTGAATTGAATGTGCTTCAATACATTAATATATTGAACTGGTTAAGGCAAGATTGTATTTGTACATTCTTTGAAATCTTTAACATAATACACGAAACATAAATGTGGTTTAAATTTCTCTAAATTATGATATTTATTTAAGCTATCCATTATTAATTGATTCCTAAAATATATATAAAAATTTCTTACTCTAATTCTTCTTTCATTATAATCCATTTAGTTGTAGGCTTAAGTTTATTCAAGTAATCATAATAAATCAATGTCAATCCAACATCACCTTATTTAGTTCCAACACATTATTTAGAATGTTTCAATTTATCTGCTAATTTAAATAAATCTCCAGCAACATTAAGATCTTTTGAATATAACCAACCAATCATCATTCTAAATTGACCTGATTTCCTCTATGTAAAATATTCCATAACTTCTTTAACAGGTGAGAATGTATCACAAGTAATTGTAAGATTTTCAGTTTTTGGAAAATGTTAAGCCATATGATGTTCATAAGTTAATAATTATGGTTTAATGAGAAATGATTCCCTTGTATCATTAACTTTTTTCTTAATTTATAAATTAATCTCTCCTAAATTCATCAATTGATTTTTTTATTTTCTATAAGGTGTATCTATTTATCCATCTGGATTATATAAAAGAACATCATTTGCTATTTGAATTGGTTGAGCAATAATAGTAGGTTATTTAGGAATTTCAGGTTTGACTTTCTTTTCAACATCTGGTTCACTTTTGATAGAATGTTAAGATATTAATTTTTAAGCACTTGTAATTTAAGGAACTTATGGTTATGATTATTTTTTTATCACTTTAATACTCTTCAATTACAAAGCTTATTTACTACTTGTATGTTAACTATTTGATTTCTTTTGATGGAGATATTGTTTATAGGCTTTCTTCATTTCTTCATAATTAAGTCTATATAAAATATATTTAAATATATTTACTCTATTTATTTATTTTGTTTTATTACTACTTTAATCTTTTCAATTTCTTTTAGATATTTCTCTTTATCAAAACTCTATTCCATAAACACTTAAGCTTCCAAATTTCTTATCTATTATTCATTTACTTATTTCCAATTTGAGCATTTTTTAAAACAAACTTATAAATCAAGTCTTTGTGTTTATCTCATATCTTCAGTGATATCTTCCAGAACTTATTAATTCTATTACTTTTTCTTCTTTATCTTTTATTCCTTCTATTACTTTTTTGTTTCAATACCAAAAGTCTCTCCTATATTCTAACTACTCTCTTCCATCCATCTAATCCATTCAAAATCATCTGACAAACTCTATAAAAATATATAATAATAAATTCTTACACAATCAATAAATTTGAAATCAGAATTGTTTGTATTCTCCTATTTCACTTTGAAAGTGAGACTTAACTTTTAAAACCACTCTTCACCTCCTAAGGCAACCAAAAGATTTATTTCTTCCAATCTTTATAAAATCTACTCTGTAGGATTCAATTATTTCAAACATTTTAATGATTATTACTTAATCATGTTGTACATCAATTAAACACAAAAATTCTTTACCTTCAAAAAACAACAACAATAATATGTTCTTATCTTTTACAATTATTAAATGTATAAACTATTATCTGGTTGTTTTTACACTAAATCATTATATTATTGTAACACTTAACGTACTTCTTATAAATCTTCAGCTAAATCTTTTACTTTAAATATTGGATATTCTTTAGCTTAAATATAAATTTAGTTAATTTATTCTGCATCTGGTTTATTCTCCAAATACTTATAGTAAGATTTATAAGATTGCAAATTATTAATCTATTCTCTACTCTTAACCCACAAAAATCTTTATTCTTAATATTCTTTAAGTTTTCTGCCCAAATCATCCATAATGAATAGATGTTCTTTAAGTTTCATTAATAAAACATTATTCTAATCAATATTTGCATATGTAGCACAGGAAATCAAAGTCTTGTAAGCTTAAGGATTAGCCTTAGCCTCTATAAATTCTGCAGCCTTTTACATCCAAAGCATCTAAATATAATATTACCACAATTTAGTCTATAAATTATTATCTTAATATTGATTCTTATTGATTAATTTAATCAATTAATTAAAATGAGGAGCCACTTGACCAGCCAATTAATTCTCAAACTCTTATAAATTGATTATCCAACTGTCATATTCCTTCTTTATCTTCTAAAGTTGTTAAGTGTAAAATGAATCTTAGATTTAAGAATCTGCATTTAATAAGTGTATTATTTGACTTATATTATATTTTTTATTACCCCCTTGAATCATCATTTGATTTGATTAATCTAATATTTGTTAACATTCGCATCTCCATTTGATTTATCTGAAATTCTATACAACTTATTTCATTTCATCATAAACTACTTCTGGTATAGTTACTTTATATAATAATTCATTATTAAAATCTAAATCTGTGATATCTTTTACTTTCTAAATCATCTTAGGCAATGTATCATATGAATTGTATACCAAATAATATAATTACTTCACAAAATCAATTTGTTATTCAGTTTACCTTATGTATGTATCCAATTCAAGAGACTTAAGTTTTTTAAATTCATCCAAAGAATCACATAAACTAGGTTATATATTTTGAATAATCTCTTGTGCTTAAAGCAATTATTATCTTCTTTGTTCTACATCCATATCAAATCCAAGTTAAAAACATTCATGTTCAATTTCATCTAATTATTCTAATGTTATTGATTCATTCAACTTTTTGTAGAGTTCTCTGAATTTCAAGAATTTAGTCTTTTGATTTTCAATATACATAGTAGTTAATTAACACTTTTACATTAAATCTAATATTTCATGACAAAATTAAATAGTTACTTTTTTTTAAGTTTAACATTTTTAATGAATTTCTTATAATTAATTATATACACTTCTTATAACAATAGAATCCTTAGCAGCCTTTTGGATATTTTCATAAGTATATACACCTGAATATTCCTTTTCAGTTAATCTACAACAACTCTCAATTTTTAATTCCAATTCCACTTTGAATTCATCAATAAATTCTTATTCAAAATAAGATTATAATTAATTCATAAGATTGTCACTATTGACTGGAAATTCTATTATTTTTTTATAAGAATTCTAAACATTCTCTTATTCTAATGAATTGAGTTCCTCTAATAATTTATCAATAATTTTTAAACATCCCAAAGTAACATTATTATGATTGGCCATCCTCTTTAAATCTATCAATTTCATTTTATTAGGTTTATTTTTTTAATTCTTAATCAAGATTAATTATTTATAAACAGTCAAATCAAGTTGATTATCAATAATAGGATATTCAATTTACATTCTTTCTACTTCAAATAAAGATCTCAAAGTAATTTTGATTTATTATGCCATTTTGTATCTATTAATAAGTTAACCTAAATTATCATTAGGAGATTTAAATATTTTTTAATTATCTGCAATATTTTCATTAAGAATCTTAAAAGTATCTTCCATTAAATATCCTTCAGAAATTCCTTTTTAAATTTATACTTTTATATCTTTTCTTGATAAAACAAAAGATTTAATAAGTTTATTCTCACTTAATTCAAAATAATAACCTTTAAATTTAAATGATTTAACTAATTCTTCTGCAAATAATTCACTCTATTCTAATTATGTAGGTATGATTGAATGCATTTTCTATTTTAATTCTTCTTATAGTTTTTCCTTCAATAAAATCTTATCTAAATGTATAACAGTAGATGGTTTGATAGGTAATGATGCTAAAAAGAGTTTATAGAATTTGATATTTCTATAATCATTTTCATCTAATGGAATAGATGGTAATCTCTTCATAATAGCTTCAATGTATAATAATAATGGAAGTAAGTCTATCAAATGTAAAATGTAAACACTTTTAGGAACAACTAAATCTTCAAAGTTTAATAATTTTGGATCTTCTAAATCTATTTTAGTTCTTTTAGCACTCCATCCTTTACATGCTTCACAGATATAACTATCATCTTTTACATTCTTACGTTTAATACATCCAAAATGATACCATTCATAACAATGATCACATTATACCATTTATTTATTATTCAAAGATTTACGACATATACAAAATAAACGATGACTTTCCATATGCACTTAGCAATAACTTTCTATCTTATTTTATGATGACCATTGTTAATTGCATTGTTGTAATGTATAATTATCAAAAATAGATTCTAAAGTGTTTTTTACATGTTCCTTGTATTATTGTGTTTAGTTTCCTCTTTTCTTTTATTTGTCTTAAAACTTATCAAGAGCATTGTAAAAAGCATCCTGAATCTCTTTTAATTCACATTTAATTTCACCTGACTCTACATCTAATTGATTTGGATCTTAATTATTTGCTTGAAACTTTAAATGGAAGATCCATTATTCTGTTTCTATGTCTTCTTATGCCTTTTCCACTTATTCTACAAAAATGCAATGAGGATGAGCATAAGCTTAACAATCTAGGCATTAAATGTTTGCACCACTTTTTCCACAATTTGTACATTTCTCCTTAGTTTTTTTGTCTATTTAACTTTTAGTAGCAAATGTCATTGTATGATAATTGATGACTTGGATATGAGGAGCAAAAATTGCACAAGAGACATGCACATATACTCCACTCTAATCTGATAGTCGTTTTAATAAACCCTTCTATCCACATATACAACATAATGGTTTCTTTGCTATGTCTTAGCATGGATCACATACTCCATCTAAATTATTATATCCATAACAGAAACGATGATATTTCAATTTACATTGTTGACATTCCATTTACTAACATCCTTTATCTTTTCTCTCAAAATTTAATCCACAAACTGAGCAATTCATTTATTATTAATATTACTAACGATTAAAAATATGGGCATTTGTACTAGCAAACCAAAACCAAGATAATAATAGAAACTCGAAGTTCGAATCCAAACCATTACAAACACTTAAGCAGATAGATAACTATCTTAAGCATCCTTTTATCGTTCTATTGATAGAGGCTATTAAATTGCTCAAGAACACGATGTATTTTGAAATCATACTCAATAAGACTAATTAATGAACTTAATACTCTTTATATATATATATTTGTGCCATCAATCAAACCTTACTTATATCCATGAAATTTATCAATCATTTTATTTTACCAAATACAATTTCCTCAATATTATCATTAACAGATCGAATTTCCTTTATTAACTTCCCTTTTTTAAAAGTTAAATCAATACAATCAAATTATGACTTTTCATTTTTTTAAATAAATCATTTCTATTTTATTTGATCTACTTTCTTGTTATATCAATATCTATATATATAAAAAAAGGGAGTTTAAAATATTATTGTAATGATATTTATTAATATACAAAATCATATATATTTATACAATATTTGGAGAGATTATGTTTTCTCCAACTTATCTATCCATTTTTTATTTTTCTTTACATCCTAGAGAACTTATTCTTTCAAATTAGTATTCTCTATTAATGCCAATAATAAGTATATTGCTTTACTAATAAGTGTTACTTTCAAATTCTAGATCAAAAGGCTCTTTATTTTTTAACAATAATTATTAATGATTTCATTAAATTCACCTTACTAATTTAATAGATTTTATAATTACAGCAATTTATTATTATTAAATAAGACATTTAGCAATTCTTTATGCTTCAGGTTATGTCAATATCCAATAATTTCCATTTTATTCAACTTCTCTACTGAAAATAGTATCAATCTTAAAATAAAGCAATTATTTAATCTATTCTTTAATGAAATCCAATGCTTAAACTTTTTAATACTTTATTATATATTAAATAAAGTAACAAATGAATTAATTTATATTGCTTTCCAATAAAATATTAGTTTCACTTGATTACAAAGAGTTCAAGATAGATTCAAAACAATAATCTTAAAGTTCTTAAATTCTAATCTCATCATCTTTCAAACTCACTGTATTTTATAAACCAATTGTATCAAATTTTATATCATCTCTAAGTTTTGGTTAATAAATTGATTATATTATTTTAAACACATGTATAGAATTTAACCATTCAGGTAAGATATCTTACAATATAGATTTATTAACTTATTTAGTATCATCATATGTAAATATCACCTTTTGCAATGCTAAATAAAATTATGAATTTCTGTGTAAATGTTCTTAAGATTATTACATATAAGTTTATATATTTTTTAGAAAATTCTTCCTTTCTTTCTTATCTGTAACATTTAATATTGCACAAAATATCTAAATATTTAATTTATTAATACTGAAATGCCATCCTTATGTCTAAGATAATCTAGATTTTCTAATTATTAAAAGTATTCAATAACTTTTTATCTCTCTTCTGGTACTAGATTTGGTAATGCCACTTTTAAAATTTATAAACTAAGCAAATGATTATGAATTCCTTTTTCAATGATTTTCATTGCTAAATTATCAATTTTTTCACTGTGATTTAAAAACAATTATTTTACTTTATTGATTTATTAAGTAGTTGCTTCTCTTGTTAAGAATCTATCTAATACAATACTTGCATCTCCTTAGGCTACATAATGATTTGCATTTTTTAATAAAATCTCAAAAAATTAATTTCTAAATTCTGGAAGCATATTTCTAACCATTGTAATTCCAATATAATGACCATATTTTGATTATAATAATTCTCCAAATTGTTTATCATTCAATAATTTAGAAAATATTTATTATCTTATATTTTGATCTGCACATTTAATTACTAATTAAATAGTTCTACCTCCAATTTTAGTTTAGGCAATTTAATATAAAATACCTTCTATTTTATTATAAACTTCTTCAGCTTTTTATTACTTTTCTTCATTTTCTTTATTTCTATGTTGAATTAAAAATCGAATATCCTCTTTTAAAAAAGAAATGAAATCAACATCTTTGCTTATTTTATTCTAATTTTTAGCAATTTTTTTTTATTTTTTATTATCTGCTTTTGCAATCACCTCTTAGACTTCTTCTGGCTCTTCATTTTAATTTTCTTCTACAATTCTCTTTTTCCCCATATATTAATTTTATAATTTTTATTTAAAACATCTATTTGAAGTATTTGAAAATTTAAATTAGATAAACATTTTCTTCTCAAATCATGTTAAAATATCATGACATCTATAGTATTTATTATTGTTAATCTATTACTTTCAATAGAATTTTCCATTAAAATCTTAACTAATAGTTAATGAATTATTCGCATTTAAATGGCAAGTTTGATAAAAAAATTAGTTAAATTTTTTTTATTTAATGGCTAAATTATCGCTCCTAGACTCTACATATGCAAAGGCATTTTACCTTATTCAAGAATTATAGAAATACTAATATATTACTTAAAATGAAAAATGTCATATTAAAGGTAAAATTATATATAATTTTTAGACTTAATAATTCAAAAAGATGCTTCAGTTTACAATTTAATATGCTCATAAAGTGATTTAGAGCTTAATGAAAATCTATAAAAATTAATTAAAACAATTAGAATATAAATAGAATAATAAAATGAAGATGATGATGTATCAACTAGCAAAAGTCTTAAATTCTTTTTAAGACAGAAATTAAAGTTGAATTTAACTAATAGTAACTTTGATCTAGGTACAAATAAAAGATGAAATTGTTTATAATAATGAATGTTTAATATGTTTATATGATTACATATATATTGTTTACATTCTCTGGTTAACCTCATGGTTACAAATTGTTTTACAACATCTAATTATTGTAAATTTTATATAGTTCTGCCCTTTATGTAATTTGATCAATCTGACTTGTAAATTAAGATTAGATTGGAATTTGATAATTCAGCAATTACTATTATTACATTAAATCTATGAAAGGATTAACAAAATTAATTCTTGCCAATTAATTTAATTAATATGACATTTGCATTCTGTCAAATTATGGTTATTTGAATTATTGTGTATTGATTATTGGTAAATTTTATTATGGATATATGAGAGGAGTCTATTATGATGGTACAAATTAACTATTAAATACAATTGGAGATATAGTTGAGGGGAACATGTTAATTTATGGAATGGTTTATTAAATAATAGAAGAATTATTATTAAAATGATCACATTTTAATTAATTTTCTTCCTTTATATTAATTTAATTTCCTTGATGAGTACAATAACTTGGGGAACTTTGAATATGTTATAATCCTAAGATTAGTATTATTAATACCTGAATTATGTTCATTATTTTAATCTTCATTTGGACTATCCTACTTTTAACTATCATCATTTTATTTTTGATTTTTTGATCTAGTCATTCTTTAGAAATTTTCAGCATTTTCATCTGATATTACAACTTTTTTTATTTTTTATGGCTCTTTCCTACTTTTCTAAGGTCTTCTTCTTTTCTATAACTTACTTTTTTCTTCATCTGAGGAATTTAAGGAATCTTCTTAGAAATCTTCATCATCTGAATCACCTAAATCACATTAATATCTCCTTTTAAGGTTGGCATAGAAACGATTTTTGACCATATTTTCCTAAGTATTTATAAATAGAAATATACAGGTCTTCCATTCAAAAAACTTGAAATATAGCTCCATTTAGTTCCAAACTTCTTATATAATTTTAATATCAATTTATCTTCCTCTTCAGTCCATTTGTCTTAGTTAATTGTTCCTTAAAGCTAGTTCAAATAACGCTCTCTAACTTATTTTCCTGTTCTCCAATTCATTACTGTACAGATCTTACTCCATTTTTTACCAAATTTTTAGACTAATTCTTTCAACTATTCATCCTCTTCTGGTGACCATAGTTATCTGGAAGGTGCCTAGATAATGAAAAAGTAATTACTGAATCTGGATGGAGTTGTTGCCATTTAAACATACATTCTAATGGTGTTGGTCCATTTAGTAACGAACTGATTGATTTCCAGTTCCCTTGTTATAATACATGAAGCTCTTTCAGTTTTTCTATACACTTAGCTGTCCATGTGAACTTTGTCTATTTTATATTAGATATAAAATAATACTTCAATAGGAGTCTCTTTGAATTCATTTTCATCCTTAGAATTAGATGCAACACTCATTACTATTGACAGAAAATATTTTTTTAAATATAATGAAAAAAATCATACATTTTTGCTTCCTTTTATATACAAAAAGTGACGAATTATTAATCCTGTAATGTTAACAAGATTTTGTTATAGAAATCTCATTCATCACATTTGTTACATTATAAATCTCTTACTTATTAGAAAAAATGATAAACTTAAACGTCAATCATTAGTATTTATCAAAATATGTTTCATGCAATATATCAACACTTAAAATCTCTTAGAGAACATAAAATTTCTAAGTATATTTTTTAATTTAGTAATCTATTCTTTTTAGTTTAATTTTTGTTATAATATATATGCGTTATTTATTACAGAATGAATTATTTCTAAATTCAAAGAATATTTGAATATATGAATTATAGTGCTAAATCAGAAACTTTTAAAGAATAATTAAAGTTATTTGGTACTATAAGCTTATTATTTTAATATATTTGATATAAATGATTAGTAAATCATAAGAATTAGAAAATTTTAAGAAAAGGATCAATAAAAAAAAATACTCCATATGTTAATATTATATTTTAATAATTATATAATATGATTATGTGGGATAGCAGATAAAAAAACAATTAAGATCTCTTAGTTGTTAATGAATTGTCAGAGTATTCTTCTGTTTCCCTTAAGAAAACTTTGTTGTAAGGTTCATAAAATCAAATTGAAATGATGCCATTAAAGCCAAAGCCTGTTCAGATTGTTCCTTTAAGTGAAGAATACGCTTATACTATGACTTAGCATATCCAATTAATAGGAGATTTAGCAGCCATAGATAAAGCAGCAGTATGTACTTAAAATTGGAAAGACGTAATTAAAGTTAATAATTGATAGACTGTTCGTAAACAATTCAATACTTAAACAATAACATAATTTAAAACATCATACTAAATTAATAGAGAAATATAATTACTAACTTAATTAAAAAGAACATATGTAAATTTGATGCCAATAATTGATCCATAAAGTTCTTTTCTCTCATATTGGAAAATTCCTGTGTTGATAATAACATTTATAGTATTTATAGAAGTTCCATTAATAATATTTTTTGGAGATGACTTCTATTATACGTTCCATAGTGCAACATATATATTCTTTAGAAGTGTAGTGATTGTACAAATATTAAAATAAACATCATATAGCTGATTTTCATGATGGATATCTTCATAGAATTTCATGTGGCATTTTATAAGTATGGAGCCTTGGTAAAAAATAGACGTAGAGTAGCTTTACATTATTTAATGGGTTCATTTACATTTGATTTTGTACCATTAATAGAAATTTTAATAACTACATTTTCATATACAATGGCAAATGTTTATACATTTCATTTACTATTTTTATTAAAAATGTATCCTGTTTATGAAATTGATTAAAGATATTAAGATAAATTGTAAGTGTATCCAAAATGGAAAAGTATATATATGATAGTGAGAATGATAATTGAGATTGTTTACTTGACACATTTCTTTGGTTGTATATTTTTTGGAACTGGAATGTATATGTTAAATCATTATGATAATCCAGATGAAGGTAAATATACTAATTCTTGGTTAACCTTTTCAAGTGGTAATTTTGGAACTATTTTATATTATGATTGGACAAAAAGATACATATTATCAACATATTGGGCATTTGCAACTTTAACAACTGTTGCTTATGGTGATATTACACCAATGAATGAATTTGAAATTATTGTTGCTGAAGTTGCTATGATTGCAGCTGTATTTTTAGTTGCTTTTAATGTTAATAACATATAATAAACATTTGTTGATTATTTTGATGAAAAAAGAAAATACAATAAAGAAATAGTTGCAATAACTAAATTTATGAGATCCAAAAATGTTTCAGAGAAAACAGAAAAGGAAATAAGAAATTTCTTAGAACATTATTTTAAAGAAAAAAGAAATAGAGATTAATATTTAGAAGATTAAGTTTTTTAAAAATTGGCTCCTTAATTAAAGAATAGATTAATGTATGAAGCATATTAACCATATTTATATTAAGTTCCTTGGATTACCAATAATTTCTCAGATGATTTAATGAGAGAATTAAGTTAAGTTATGGAAGAAGTTGATTATTCTAAAAAAGAAAATATATTTTTAGATGGTGATGCAAATAGAGATGATAATGCCTTATATTTTGTATAAATTGGACATATTGAAATATTTGTAAATGTTCCTGAAACTGAAAAGTAAGAAGTAATTATGGCTCATTTAAAATCAGGGGCAAGATTTGGTGATTATGCCTTTGTAACAGGATTATAAAGAAAAGCATCAGCCAGATCTAAAAAATATTCATAAGTTGTAAGATTATCACGTACAGATTTTATGGATAAATTAAAGTTATTTCCATTAGATCATTAACGTTACTGTTTCTTAAGAGATGAAATCATATTCAATAATGCATATTATGAATTAGGTATAGAATGTTTCACTTGTGGTTCTACTGATCATATGAGTATAGATTGTTCATTAACCCATTTGAGTATAGGTAAAGAAATTATCAAAAGTGTTAGAAAAAGCATTATTGAAAAGAAACTTAAAAAATTAACATTAAGTATTTGATTATATAATTTTATAGATATATAACAAAATAGAAATTACTAATTTTAAAGAAATAAAAAACAAAAGATTAGAATTATCAAAACTAAATAGCCAGAATAAGCAGAATTAGATGAATATAATTCAATAATTAATAAGAAAATCTAGTTTGAAGCATTTTATAGTGAGAATTAGATTATTATTGAATGTAAATTCATCATTATATTATTTTAGCATATACAATTGATAAGATTGATAATTTTGTTAATTATTATCCTAACTTTAATATCGACTTTTTAATTAGTAAAAATAGGAAATAAGAAAAACTAGTTTTTGCTAGAGAAGTTAGATAAAGAAGTGTAAGTTAAATCATCAGAAAAAGTGAAGCTGCTTTTTGATTTTATATGTTAAATAGTTTAATCCTATTGTTTTAATTAATTTAATTCGTGAACCATTTAAGGCAATAATAATTTAAATACTAATGTTTATTATCTAATATTATTACTGCAAATAAATTTCATTATGAAATTGATTTATTTATTTAATTATATCATAAATGGGGTGTGGAGCATAAAAGAATTCAACAGGTCTTAATGAGAAACTTAGAGCTAAAGCTTTAGAAATATTTCGAAGAATTGACATAAATAATTCAGGTTCTATAGATAAAGATGAAACTTAAAAATTTTGGAAAACCAACTTCGCCAAAGTTAATACTTAAGCTTTATTCAATGCTGTTGATTTTGATAAGAGTGGATAAATATCAGAAGATGAATGGATGGCATTTTGGGAGATTGTTAAAAAAAGTGGTTATACTGATAAAGAAATCTTTGAAGAAGTATTGTGTGTAACAATAAAAATAGCTAGATAATTTAATGGAAGGAAAGGCTTGGGTATAATTCAGAAAAGTTGATGAGTTTGTAAAAAGAGATCAATTAAGAAAGAACAGTTAAGTTTAGTAAATTGTAAAATAGAATTCAAAGAGAAAGTCACTTGTTCAATAATAATAAAGCTTTCATCAACAATGAATTTATTATATATCTTCATAATTTAAAGTTACTTATAATATAAATGCTGTAATTTTATTATCCAAATTAATGAATATAAAATGAAGGGGGTATAGATTTAATTATATATAATTTTAGTTAATATAATTGACGACTAAATTGTTTAGTTGTCTTTTATATAAAAAGAGTATGAGATCAATCTTCCAAAAATTTCTAGGAGATTTATATCATTTAATTTTGTATTGAATTAACCTATTTTTGATAGATTTCCATTTTCTAAATTATATATTCATAATATTCTTTATAGATCTCCAATGATTTTGAATAATCATTGTAAGGTTATTTGAATCTACCAAATTTCTTATGATAATCAGCACAGTCTCTTAATTTAATTGCTAAATTACCATAAATTTCTCAACATAATTAAGTATGTATTTTTATTAATTATTAAAAACATTTAATTGCTTTTTCATACTATTTTCTATCTTAATATGATCTTCCAAAATTATTTATTATTATTGCAATGCTTGCATGACTCTAGTCATACAATTCTTATAATATTTGTTATGATTTTATAAAATATTCTTCAAATTCATTCGAATTCTTATTATAGGCTTTAATTTTTCCAAAAGAATGATAACAATCAGCAACATCTTATGAGAAATCACCCATAATTTTAATATCTATTTCCAAATTTTAAATAATTAATTTTTCTGCTTACTCTAAATCTAGATTTTCATAATAATAATTACTTTCTGGAGTACTTTTCATTCTTATATACAAATTTCCTTTCAAATAAATAGATTTAGCTGTTTTAATATGTTCATAACCCAATACATATATCCATATAGATAATGGTTTAATCAATTGATTACATAGCATTTTCAATTTTCCCTTGATCCGAGAACAATTAAGCTAATACATGTAATTATAAGCCACTTACTAATATATTTATGAATTTTACTATTTAATTACTTGAAATATAGTTCTTCCCTAATTTTGATAATTTGAAATAACAATTATTTTGCCAAATCATGTTAAAGTTAATGCATAAACTCCTGTATTAGTGAGATTATGTTAAATGAGTAATTATTGAGCATAATTTAAAAATTAGAAAGTCTATTCATAATAATAGCAATAGAAACAACATCTTCCTTTGTTTATGTGAATTCTTTAATCACCTATTTTTGCATAAGAATTACAGAGTCTCAAAATGTTATCTGTATTATTGGATGATTTACATATGTCTTTCTCAATTTTTATCATTTTATCAAATATTACTTAGCTCTATAAACTTAATTAATATCAATTAATATAGTAGCAAATCTCTCAAATATATTACATTATAAAATCTAATTTTTAATTATTATTTTCTTATTCATATTCTTTACTTTCTTCTGGATTTATAATTCTATCATTAAGTTGATTTTATAGTTATATAAGTTTTTCAATGTTTCTTAAAGTTCTGTTTTTTAATTAAGATATCAATTTATTAAAGTTTATCTTCCATTTGTGTGATTAAATAAATTTTAATTAAACTTATAAAACTAAAATAATAAATTATCATTAAACTCTATTAATACATATATAATATATAATCAATTGTTTGTGTAATTAGTTATTTCGAAATTAAGATCATCTATTTCTGTTAATAGATTTTCTGAAAAATTATATTTATCTGAGCCTTTATTTTATGATAACAATTTCATAAGGAAAGTCGAAATTTTTTGGTTATGAATTTCTGCAATTAAACCCATTATTATATTATTATCATCTGAATAATGGATATCTTTATAATTAACTATTTTTTTAGTAATCCTACTTCTAAATATATAAATACATTTATATAAATATTAAGCCACAGTCAAAATAGTCTTTATCTGGATAAGTATTTAGACAAGTTTAAGTATTTAATTCTGAATTATCTTTTGTTGTTTTTGAGAAGTAAGAATCACCAGCTGTAACTGATTGATTTTTGAACAAAGATTTTCCAAAGTCAATTAGAGTTATCTGACTCATCAACGAATAATAATAAATGTTTTCTAATTTTATATTTTAATGAGAGTATCCTTCCATTTTCATAAATTAAACAACTTTCAATAATTCCTTTATTATATAATTATCTACAATACCTTCATAATATGAATCATCTATTGATCATCAAGAATATTATTCTTTATACAAATATCAAGTGGATGACCTTCAAAGAGATCATAAATAATATAATTATGATTGGCTTCTATATAATATTCTCTAATTTTTGGTAAATTCTTATGTTTTAATAACTAGAGAGCTAAGACTTCATTTCTAAATTCCTATTAATGTCTAGATTGAATACTTATTCTAATTCTGATCTGCCTTATTTATAAATTTTACAGGTGACCAATTCTTCATTTTGGAGATGTCTCATTCTTACAATCTATAATATAGAACTATAGTATACAGAACTAGAATTTCCGTTTGAGATGATTTTTGCTATTTTGAAATGATTATTGATTCCTTAGAAGCATACTTTTCCATTTAAAAATTCCTTTAACAACAATCCCATAGAGGGATCTATCTTATAGATTCTGCTCTTTTAATTATCGAATAACTCAAATTATCCAATGTCAGAAATGTCGCATTTTGACCATTTAAATCTAGGCTGGAAGGAGTTAAGTTTTATTATTTCAATTTCATTTTCCTACATAATATAGAGAAATACATGCTATAAGTGAATCTCATCTTTTAACATAAAAATATTGTATTTCTAGGATGAAAGGAACTTATATTTATAGCAGAACATCCAAATATTTTATTATAAGATATTATATAAATAAATTTCGATTTAGAACTAAAAAGATTAATATATTATTACATTTTATCAGTTTTTATTTCATTTTATTATTGATAGAGGTGATTTAACATAGTAAATATTTTACATAATAAGAATAATTAACATTTACTGATTATTAATTCAGTTTTAATTTTTAAAGTCATTTTATTAGGAGAATAATGATAGAATATTTCATATATCAAATAGTCAAACAATTGTTTAAATACTGAGTAATCTATAAAATCAATTATTAATTATATAATGATTCTAAATAATTAGATATAATTGATAAAGAAATATAAATTTATTTTAATCTGATTATAGGAAGATGAATTGAAATGAAAAATAAATTATGAAACTCTACACATTATTTATAATTATTATATTAAATTAATGTGTTGTTCAAGGAAATAAAAAACTAATACATAAAGAGAAGAAATTAATAAATTAGGAAAACTTACTAGACTTACAGAAACTGAATTGATAGAATTAAAAACTAGATTTGCTAGAATGTCATAGGGTTCTAATTTTGTAACTAAATTTCAATTTAGAGATAATCTTGGTTTACTTGGTATGGGAACAATGCTACATTTATCAGATAGGATTTTCCATATTATGGATGATGATAAGGATGGTAAAGTATGAATTTAAATGTAATCTATTTAGATTAGATTTGAAGATTTTGCTCTTTATTTTGATAAAGTGAGTCATGGAGATGCCAGAGAAAAAGCAGAAATAAGTTTTAAGTTGATTGATAAGAATAAGGTTGGAAGCTTTACATCGGCTGAATTTAATGATACAATGTAAGGAGTGATTAATAGTTGGATAGCCATGACTGGATAAAATCTAACCAGCGAAACCAAGAAATAGATTGATTAAAGAATTAAATTAATATTCTCAACTATGGATGTTGATAAAGCAGACAGAGTTACATTATAATAATATCAAGATTCTGTAGTTGCTGATCCTGCACTTTTAGAAATATTTGACTTTGCTAGAAGAGGTGTTACTCTTGAAACTATAGATTTTAGTATATATCAGCAATAGAGATATATTTAGAATATAGAAAAAAAAATAGATCAATTATTAGAATATATGAAATAAGACAATAAAAAATAAGAAAAAGAACTTCCTCATTTTGTTTAAGGAACTGTTGAATAAGAATAAAAATAAAGAAATAGTTAAGTTGATAATCTTCATTCTCCAATTGTTAGTCTATTTAAATATGAAAGTGAAGAAACTTAAAATAATAATAATAACAAAAATGATTTAGGAATTAATAGATTCTTTGCTTCAGAACAATTTCCATCAATCAATTATAATCATTGTAATGAATTATCAATTGAACATTTAAAAAATGATTAAAATTAAGATTTCTCATTTTATACATAATAAAAACCTAAAACAAAATTGAAAGCATTATTTTAATAGATTCCATAAAATTAAATTGAAGGAGATAATTAAGATCCTAAAGAAGAAGATTAATTTTATTAAACAGAAAAGAGTTTAGAAAGTGAAAATGATAAAAATTAATTTAATTTATTTATAGATTAAATGAGTACTGATTAACTTAAAGAAAAATATAAATCTATGATTACATGTGTAGAAGATATTAGTAAAGAAGTATAAAGATTAAGAGAATTAATAGATTAAAACTAAATTAAATAATAAAAAATGGAACTAGTAGATTAAATTAATGAATAAAGATTACATACAATTATTAATATACCAAGAAAGTAATAATCTATTAACAATTAAAAACCTACTAAAAAACCTAAAATAAGTGTTTCATTTGGACATGAAAACTTTAATTTAGTTTTAAATATGATGATAGGTATTTAAATGGCAGTAAGCAGTATCAATATAGCTGATGATTATGAAGTAGGTCCAAAAGATTTTAAATTAAAATATTATTTTGAACTTCTTCCAAGAAGAGCATAAGGTGATAAAAGTTCTTTTAAAGTATGTTAATTTTTTGATTATGCTCCAAGAGTATTCAATAGTATTAGAACTATATATGGAATAGATAATCATTAATATCTTAAAAGTATTGGCCCTGAATCTATTTTATAATCATTAATAAAAGGAGATTTATCTTGTTTATAAGAATTAACATCAACAGGAAAAAGTGGAAGTTTTTTCTATTATACTGCAGATGGACAATTCACATTGAAAACTATTCATCATTAAGAATTCAGATTTTTAAAATAAATAATGAGAAATTATTATTATCATCTCAAAAACTATCCAGAAACACTTATTATAAAGTAATATAAAATATTTAAATAATAAGATTGTTTGGAATGCATAAAATTGGAATAAAATATTAAACTATGCTAAGAGAAAAAGTTATTTATTTTGTAATTATGAGTAATGTATTTTCAACAAATCAAGAGATTAATGTAAGATATGATTTAAAAGGTTCTACTTATGGAAGATATACTATTGATAAGTAATAAATATATATTTATAGTTAGTGATCCAACTGTTGCCAGAAAAGATTTGAATTTCTTAGAAGATAAAGAAAAGAATATTAAATTGAATATCAATAAGAATAAATCAATGTTATTCTTTAATTAATTAGAAAAAGATTGTAAATTTTTTGAAGATAATAATATTATTGATTATAGTCTTTTATTAGGTTTACATGCTAAAGGAAACAAATAATTAGATAATGAATCTTCTGTGTATTCAGAAAATCCTTAATTTGATAATTTTAGTAAGATGGTAACTGTTGATAATTAATACACATTATATATAGGAATTATTGATATTTTAACAAATTTTAGTACAAAAAAGAAACTAGAATTTTTATCAAAAAGAGTCATATATGGACCAACAATATCAGCCATACCTCCAAGAGATTATGCAGAAAGATTTCTAAAATTTTTAAAAGATCATTTATTTGCAAATTGAAAAATTATTACTCATTCATTTAAACTGCTTATAATTCTACTCAATACCATTGATGTTTATCTGACTTATCTTGATATTAATTATAATGGTCCCAATTTTTATTCTATAGTATCAATTTCATCATGAATTTTAAATCTTTGCATAGACATTGTTTAAACTGATAATTTTTGTTCTTCATTAGGCATATTCATAGAATGTTATATTTTAAGTATTTATTCAGTTTCCTTTTAGATCTATTTAAATAATAAAAATAATTACATTATCACTAATCCTATTGATCGAATGAATTTCATTTGATAATAGAAGATTCTCTATTGTATCTGTTAAATACACAAGATCATCATAAAGAGATAAATCAAATTTATCAACAATTTTCTATTCTCCATTTATATATTATATCTCTCTTACACAACATAATTTACTAATTTCAGAGAATTCTACTAATTCTTCTCCATTTGGTTTAAGTATTATTTTCTTAAGACTTTTTTTTAATCCAATAAGTTACTTAATTACCTAAAATAGTTTTCTTTCATTGTTAATGTATTTCTTTAATAAAATATGAAATCATACTTTAAGATTATCTAAACTATAGACAAGTGCAAAAATTTATTAACTAAATTTGATATAGGATTGAGATTAAGGATTTCTTATATTTGATACTAAAGCAAGAGATTTTTTGTTAGAGCTTTCTTTTACTTTTTTAAACTTAACATCTCCATATTATACAATTTCAGTTTCAGTTCTGACCTTCTTAAATTTATTTTGTTTTTAAGTATTTTTCTAAGATCTTAATGTATTCAAATGATCTAAATAATCTTTAATTGTTTTATCATCAGTGTATGCTGTTCTTATTGTTAAGTTCTATTTATAAGTTGTTTCTTTTGGAGATGTCTTATTTATAACAGGAAAAGTAATATCAGTTTTATTTGCTTACATTTCTACAGTTGGTTAATGTTTATCAAGACTCAATTTTTGATTTTTTTAGGTTTTTTATTATGATCTCAAAGTTGTAATTGAGTTAGATTTTTAATTTTTGAAAGGGATAGTTTCATTAAGTTTGAAATTCGGTAATATTAGATGATGCTTTAATATTAAGCTCATTAATTATATTAAAATGATTTTAGATTTTCCTGATAATCTAAATTCTAGTCAATAAATAATGCCAGAGAAATAAACAAAAGATTGGCATTCTGAATTGAAGTTTTTGCATTATTTTCCAAAAAGTAAATGTTTTGGAAAAGAAGAGCAAGAAATCACCAGAAATATTAAAAATATTGAAATGCATTATAAAGTATTAATTTTTATTTAAAAAGCAAAAAGTATAAGAAATGGTATCATAAATATTAACAGACGAATAAGGAACATTAAATATAATACCAAAAAAAGCAAATATAGATTTAAAAAGAGCAATCTAACCTAAATTAGATAAATTAAAGAAAAAAACAGAAAGATCAATAGTAGAAATATTGAGTATATATTTGATATCATTTAAAGATGAAAGATTTTTTAAAAAAGAAGATGAAAAAAAAGAAGAAGTCATTGAACCATAAAATACAGCTACTATTCAACCAATAAAAGAAATAATTAATGTTTATGATAAAGAAATTGATTTAGATGATGAAGATTATGATGATGATTATGAAACATTATGAGTAATATTATTATTAATTAATAATTCATGTATATAAAATAATAATATAAGAATAAATATAAAGCTATTAATATAAATAATCAATGAATAAAAAAATTAACTCGAATATGGAATTCTTTATATAGTTTAACTAAAAAAATCCTGTGTAATTCAAACAAAAAATCATTGCCTAAGTCCCATAAGTTTTAGAACAAGAAAATTATCATTATGGATTAGAAAGTATTTATGAATAAAATAATATTTAGGTTAACAAAAATTATGGGAAGAGTAAATGTTGTAAAATTTACATATTCCTGAAGATTAATTAAAGACAAATTAGGATATATGTGAATTTATGTATCATTAATTATAATAGCCATAACAATCAAAATTTAAAGTATAAAGATTTATTATCAAAAAGGATACCAAAAAAAATGTTTCCTATACTGAATTAAATGAGCATATAGAAAATATATTATTTTTAAAATTTGTTGAATCTTTTAGTCCATAGATTAATTGTGATAATTAATAAGAATAACCATAATAGTCATAAAACAATTAATAGATCATATAAATGAATAAAAAAAATGTACCAACTGATTAAATATATGAAAATTCTCCTTAAAGTTAAGACTGATTTAGTTTAAATAATAAATAATATTCTGTATTATATGTTAATTAAATAAAATATTATATTTTTAATTTTTTATTGAAAAATTTAATTTGATATAATATATAAATGGATATAATTAAATAACAAAAAAATTATTCTATTGATTAAAAAACTATTTTGAACATCAAAAACATGATAATTTCTTTGAGAATACTTGTAGATAAAATAATTATGCTTTTTAACAAATTATAATATTTCAATTTTATCTTTTCATTATTAATGGGAATTACTATTAAAATCCTGCTTATCTTAAAGTTAAATATAAACTTTCAATTTCATTGTTATAGTTATAGTACTTTATTTCATTATTTCCTTAATTAAGTTCAAAAGATTCAAGTAAAGTTTGGAATGTTGTGTCTTTATGGCATTCAATCTAACAAATCTCTTAACATATTTAAAGTTAAACAAATTATTCAGGTTTGGAAATAGAATTTTTAACTTATGAAATATATTTTCTTACACTTTGAATATCTAAAAGATAATTTTGATATTACTCTAAAGAATTATTAATACTTTATTGTAATTGGTTCGTTAATACACACTCACCTTACTATGAATAATGGTCTTTAATAAGTTCAGCTAGTTCTTGATAATTGGAAGTGGTATAAACAGGCAAATTGTGATATTTTTCAAATGGATTTTGTATAGAGGTTCTTTTTATTGCATTTATATTTTTTCTCATATCATATAATAATTATTTAAATTCCCTTTCTATATGATCTATTTCAGAAATCATAATACTAACTATATCACTGGTTCTTCGCTCAAATTAATTGTTAATGAAGGTATCAATTTTATTCAAAATTGCTTATCCTTTTGTTAATTCAATTGGTTAATCTAAAGTACATTTTACACACAAAGCCCTATCTCCTATTTGTTGATTTGGTTTAATATTTAAAAATTAAATTTTTTTTTGGTGAGCTTAACAGTGTGCTGCTTTTTAATCAAAGGTTCGGAACATAATAAATCAAATATAATAAATTAAATTTTTAATAAAATAAATAATAATATTAATATACTACTTGGTTGAGTTAAAAAATAACAATTATGGAAATTTTAAAATATGATAATTAAAATATATACTTAAATATTTTTTACTATTTGATATGTATTAATTGAACAAATTTTGATAACTTTAATTAATATTAATTTTTATAATGTATTTACATATGAAATATATTTCTATTAATAAGAATAATTTTGTATTATAATTGATTTAGTTTCATAAATATAGTAATTTGAAAATATGTGTTTTCATAGAAGTTTTATTTAATAAAATTATTGATAATTTAAATTGAAATGAATTTAGTACATTTTGATTCGTTATGCAATGACTGCTGTTTCTCAAGAACATTGGAAGTAATTACTGTTTTTAAGTTTATAGAGTAAATAATTAGCTGAATAATAAATTTATCAGTTCATCGAAGATATAAGAAATATTGATTTTTTATGTCAGATTATACAATAAACTCAGTCAGGTTCAACTTTGTTTGTGATTTCAGAATATATAGCTAAAATTGTAGTTTCTGAAAGGTCTTTCAAAGGATTATAATCTTCTGATCGTAGTTTATCAGAAGGGTAATAAATAGTGGGATAATTCTAAAATTTAGAAGAAAATGATGTGTTATCTAAAAAATGTAGAGTGTATGAAACATTAGTTTAATTATTTTGTACAAGTCTTTAAAAGCAATAAGAAAATCATGTATAAAATTCAATCTGTAATTTGGTGGGTTTGTTAATTTAGCAAATAATAATGGTAAGTTGTAATCAATTCTCAAAGTTCAAGTTAGTTTTTAACTCTTTTTTTTAAGGGAATCAAACTTACCTTCTTTCTATAGGTTTGAAATTAGTTTAACATGTATTATAAAATTTACAACTTTATTCATCATATGATTCTTATGTATCATATAGGAAAATTATGTTTTAATTTTAAAGTAGTGATATTTTAGATTTTATGTCTACAGTTTGTACAGTTTTAAAATAATGTGCTTCAAATCTCTATAAACCAGCTTTAGCATCACTTAGAGATATTTTAATGTTCAATTTTAATGTTAGTTACTTTGAATTAGAATCTGATTTTGATCCTAATGATTAAAATAACGTTAGTGTAAATTAATATATTATTTACATAGTTTCCAGAAAGATTTGCTGAATTTTTTAATGATAGGTAATTGGTTGAATTGTTATTTAAGATTGTAGCATCATATAGTTCAACTGATTCATCTTTAGCTTTGTTAGCATTAAAATCATTAAAAAGAATGGCTTCATCTAAGAAGAGAATTTTTAATGAGAAAATTAAAAAAAGATTATTTGCTAAAGAAATGTATTAAGGTTGTATTTTCCTTTTTGAGAAAGTATAATAAGCTAATGAAGAAATAATAAGTGATATTCTTGAATTAAATACTAAATTAAATAATTGTTTTGGTTTAAGATAGATTAGATTTGATTTTACATTTAGTTAATAATGGTTATATTGTTTATAAACATTTTGTATTTAAATATTACAAAAATAAATGAAAATTAAAGATCCTCATATGTATTAAATGATAGAATTAATGAAGAAATTAGTCAAATTTATAACTGATTTTAAATTGGATATTACATTTAAATAATCAATCTCAAAATCAATATCTGAAATAAGTAAATCTATTATTCATTTATTATTGAATTCTCAAAATTCCTTTTTTTAAGGTTACACACCTTAAAATCATAAAAAATTGAAACATACTTTAAAAGAATTTTTTGAAAATCTATTTCCAATTTTATCTATAGATTTAACAACTCATATAAAGATGATTTATCATTCTTTTAAAAATGCAGCATAAGATTAAGAAAAATTCATTATTGAATTAAGTTTAATTAATTATATTGTAATAAATCCATAAATTTTAGAAAAAAACAATGAAGAAATAGTATAAATGATATAAACTGTAATTAAAGATTCATTAACCTTTCTATAAGTTTCTACTCATAATTTACCTCCCTTAGTTATTATGTCTGCAATGTCTTTAGCAGATAATTTATTTTAATTTGCTCTTAGTGAATCAGATGAATCAATAGGTAGATAAAGGTCTAACAAAGCATTTTTTGATAATTTTATTAAACCAATTCAAATTTAACCATAATAAGCTACTAATTAATTATTATAATTCATAATTTTATAATTATAAATTGAGAACAAAGAAATAATAGAATATGCTTTAGTAATTATGAAAGAAACAATAGTTCGATTAAAACATCATTTATATAATGAAGCCTTTTAAAGTTCAAATGTTGTAACATAAATTAAAAGTGTTTTATTAAATCTAAAAAATACTGCTTTATAGAAGGATACATTTTTAAGTTGTAGAACTTTAGCCTCTGAAATTTTATCAATATTATTATTTGACACAGCCTATGAGAATTATATTGAATCAATAATTTAATTAAATTAATTTTTGACGATACAACCAACATAATAATCAATTTTAATATATTTATATGAAATGCTAGGTTATTTTAGACATGTAGATACTAGCAAAATATTTAGACTTCTTATTAAATAACATTTATTAAAAATAGCTGAATTGACAAGATTTATTTTAATTGATAATCCTTAACAATTTTAAATGTGTAAATTATGTTTAAAATTAATGGTTGCAATAACTGAGAATAAAAGTTTAAGATATTAATATCATAGTTCTTCTGTTGTTTAAATTGAATTAGTCAGAACATTTCAAGGTATTTTAGCAAGTTATTTGTAACATTTAATAAATGCTATACAAGATGAAAAAGTAAAATAGGAATTTTCAGCAGAGATTTGTAGATTAGTAGGATTAATATTTAAAATTATGAATAATATTTTAAAAGGTAAATATATTTCATAAACATGTTAATTACTATTTGCTGATAGAAAATATTTAGACTTACTTATAACTGCATTAGATATTACATCAAAAATCTCTAATTATATTATTGTATTTATATATATATATATATTAGATGTACAACAAAACTTGTTTATAAGTAGTATAAGTATTGTAAGTAGTGAGTTCATCACAATTATAATTATTTGAATTGAATCCACAATCATTGACTACTTTAATGGTTATTATTGAAAGTTTATAAAAACACTTATTACGTTAATTATCACAAGAATATAAGACTTCAACAATATCTACATATCATTAACCATTAGACAAAATTACTTTGGATCATACAACAGATATAGTTTTATCAATTTTAGAATTTGTATCAGAAGAATAGTAATTGACTTAAATGGGCATATTATAATCATTTGTTTAACCTTTAGATGGTATTATTGAACTTGTTTTGTAAGAATTATTATTATGTTTAATAAAAGGTTAATGTTCATAACAAACAAACATCAAAATAACAAGATAGATTTTTGCTATTATGTGCACTTTTTAATAAGTTTTTGTTTCAATTTTAAGCAAAGTCTTACTGAGATCTGATTAATAATTAGATCCTTCATAATTATAGATTTTAACATAAGATCTAGATCTAAGAATCAAACAATAAAATGAAGACTAATTTAAAAAAAACTTCAATCTATTTATGAAATAATTTGGAATTTGAGAGTAATGATGTTTTTATTTTGTTATTAAATATATTCATATAATGAGCAGAAGATTTATAACTTAGTATCCCTTAGCACCACCAATGAATGACATTTCTAATCTATACAAAAGAATCAGAATACAAGAACAATTAGAATTCTTTGATGAAATAATCAAAAAGGTGAAATACAAAAGACCAGTACAACAATCCAAAAAAATTAAATTACCCATTTCTATTTCATCAAAAACCATTTAATTATAAAGTGAACGATCTCTTTCTATTCGCTCACCAAGAATTATTGAATAACCCAAGAAATAAATACTGCCACCTATTTCAAGTTAAAAAGCATCAATTTCTGGTTGGGAAGTAAACACATCCAATGATTCTTATTTATATTTTTAATGAAAAATAATATCAACTAATAATACACTTCTTTTTTATCATTAGATTCTTATCTCAATTTAAACCCATTCCTCACAAATATTTCAATTATTTAATCCTTAAAACTAATATTACTAAATAATTTAACACATTCCAACTCAATCATAACTTAATTTTACTTAAAATTAGATATCCTAATATTGTAGTTACTAAGTTCATAAATATTATGTTTAATTTTCAAACACAATAAACTAAATAAGTAAGATAACTTTAAATAAACTACACTTGATAAAGCTCAGCTACTATAATATTTAGATTTATTTTACCATTTTATTGAATTTTAATTTAAAAATAACTTTTTTATAATTTAACAACCTCTCCACTTTTTATTTGTTATTTCTTTATTCATTCATCATCTCATAATGATATGATATAGATTATTAAAAATAAATATACGAAAATTTCATTAGATATATATTTTAAGTAACTTTTTAATATAATGTAAAGTTATTCTCTATAAGTAATTCTCAACTGATTTCAAATTATATTTGCAAGTTCCTTATCATTAAAAATTATTACAATTTATTTATTCTTATAATTATAGTTATATTATTATAAGATATATACATGTCTTAATTATTTCTCATTTATAATATCATCAAAATAAAAATTATATCTAAAAGTTTATGAATATATATTATGTTATTATCAATTATATTATCCAACTAATCTTAATACTCTTGTAGTTTCTTTACTAAGAATTGATATTCGAAAACTTGGTTAAGAACGTGTGGTTTCACTTATTTTGATTTTAAAATTCGGAAGTAACTTCTTGTTTAATTCACTTATCTCAAATAATGGATTTTTAAATGATAATTTTTTACATGAATTGTTCAGCCTGATATTATTCTTTTAAATTATTTTTTATTTTCTGTATTACTTATTTGCATAAACTTTATTTTAAAATTCTGGGTTTATGAAGGTCTTTTTATTTGTTATACACTATTATTATTATTAAATTTTCAACATAAATTTATAATATTCTTGTTAATTATCTAAGTATAAGTATTTAGACATCAATTGAATATATTTTAGATATTAAATTCAAATTATATTGGATTTGATCTTATTTCCTAATTCAATTGAAAAATACTTATTGTAGTATTGATTAAATATAGATTATATTAATATAATCATAAACTTAAATGTATATTAAATGTTTGTGAATACTCTAATAAATCTTGGAAATCTTAATTTAAAAAATAAATATATTCTTTTTAGATTTTTTGAAGATCAATGAAATTAAAAAATCCTTTTTTAAACATTACTAATAAATAATCAAATCATTTGAAAAATTCTATTTAAACTAATAATAAGCATCAAAATTTAAATTTATATTAGAATTCAAGATATGTAATTTAAATTGTTTATAAAACCATTAATAAAGCAAATAGAGAGAATATAAACTTAAATTTTCCTTTCTATTGTTGAATTACCATTATATTTTTAACTAGTTTTCTGAACATTTTAATTGACTATAAAACTATTATATGAATTTTCTAAAAAGTTGAATGGTTGATATTATTTAAAGAATATTAAATCAATGATTATTTGTATTAATGAATTTATAAAAGAGAGATATACTAAATTTTGAATATTTCATTCGTTTCATTGGTTTATTTTTATTAAATTGTTGTTTTACTATTTAATTATTTTATGTGATTAAAACAATTCTTAGATGGCTACTTAATCATCAATGGATTCCTAAGATTTTTAAATATTTATGCAATTTGGTTAAATTAATTTACCATTTACATTTTCAAAATTATACTAAAGTTTTATGTCCAAATAATCTTTAAGTAATTAAAATGCTTTTTAGCATTCTTGATTGGATCCATATTTTATATAAATATAAATTTAGCTTTATTTCAAATACATCTAAATATTATATTAAATTTTTTACAATTTATCCAAAGAGACAAAATATTTTGAAAACAAAATTCAAATCATTTAATACATCATAAGTGATTAATACTTAAATACACATTGTATTTTATTGTAACTTGTCCAAAGCAGTAACAATCTTAGTTTCAATTGTTTTATTAATTTCTTCATCTATTTAATTGAGTCTAGTAAGAATATCTATCATTTTTTCTTCTGAAAACTAGGGTTGTTCTTCATCAGATACTTCATCCGTTGAATTATTATCAAATTAGAAATCCTACCATTCATTGATTCTGGTAATTTCTTATTATTCCTCATTTGGCTCTATCAAATCTGCAGTATTAGATGGAGAGTTAGTAAAATCAAGACCTTTAGTATATGGAACAGTATCAAGTTTTAGTTATTTCAACCTCGAATGATAAACATTGCAAGAAATTTAATTTAAAATTTTAGTATTATTTAGAGAACTACAATATAAGATTGAATCTATACTTTATTGCATCAATAGCAGAATCAACTTCATCATATTCAATAAATACTTTCGTTTAAAGCTAACCTCTTTCGAATATTAAAATCTATTATATTATATCACAATTTTGGAATACTTTTGAAATAGAGCCATGCTTGGAGAAAACTTTTAATAAAGATTGATTATTGATTTAGATATTATTCTAAGTTGTCTTCAAGCAAACCAAAGCAACTCTAGTAGGTTTTGCTTCTGTTTTTTTTTTCCTTTAGGACATTATTAATTACTAAAATAATTAATGTTATCTTAAAAATCATATATATCAGTTTGAGATAGAATTGGTCAATTTATGAATTGAATTAATTTTATTGTTAAGAATGGTGATAAATGTAGAGATATGTGGAGAACATAAAATATATTAGATAATCAACTTAGCATTTTATTGATGAAAACACTAGTATATCATAGATTAAATATCAATAAATTAAAAATTGAACTCATATACATTAATTGAGCTTTATTTTTTATTTTATCAATAATAATTAATTTGCGTAGATTAGCCTATTTAAATATAAGAAGATTATTGGTTTATTTAATTGTAGTAAATAGAAAAATAGATTTTTATAATTAAAAATAATCACTTTACTCAATTATATTGATAATCTTAATAAATTTAATATTTCTTATATCTATATATTATTTATTTAATATAATTGATTGGATTATGTGAAATCAATATTTATATATTGAATAAATTTAAATTTATAAATTATTGAATGTCTAGATTTATTTAAGGTTTGCTATTAAGTTATTTTTGAGAGTTTGAGTTTGTTATGCTAAGTTCTTTGTTAAGATAGTATAGATTAAGATATAATTTTAATTCATTAATAGAAAATATATATGAATGAGAATTATTTTGATTTATAGATTAATTAATTTACGTGTTATTATTTAAGAAATGATAATAATTCTAGGTCTGTTGATTTTATGTGTGTAAGGGTAGAATGAAGTGAAGGTATCATTTAATGAACTTGAATCTCCAGTGTCTAATATATATTGGTGTGGATCATCTGTTGTATTTACAAAAGATGATGAAACAATTGAATAAACTCATTAAGAGAGCAGAAAAGTGTTGTTTATTCTTACAGACAAAGGAAGAATATGGAGATCAGCAGATTATGGATCAACATGGTTAGATGAAACAAAGAGTTGGGAAAAGATGGAACCAGAGAATAAATAATTACAATTTGAAAGTATTCATATTTCACCAGCTGATTCAAGGGTTATATTCTTTTTTGGTTCAAATGGTATTAGTTATAAATCTAAGAATTGTGGTAGAACTTATACAAGGTTCACACATTCAGAAGATCTTTATGATTTTAAATTAAATAAGATGGATCCTTAATGGATTATGGCTTTTAAAGACAAACCTTGTGGAAAAAATGATATTAATTGTAAAGACTTTTATAAAAAATCAATTTATGTTACTGAAGATGGAGGTGAAACTTGGAAATCAGCATTAAATTATGTTAGGGATGCAGCATGGGATAAACTCTTATAATATCAATTAATCCCTGATTAAAGAATTATAGTGTGTCATATGAAAGAAGGCAAATCTGTTATTTCCTATTCTGATGATTACTTTGCTTCAATATAAACAATGTAAGAAAATGCTTTAGGATTTTTCTAAACATCCCATTATATATTTGTACTTGTTACAGGTGAAGATGGAGAAACTGGATATGAATTATTAATTGCTCCTGCTTATTTAGATAAATTCTAACCATAACCTGTATAATTACCTATTCCTTTGAATTAACATACATTTACTATTCTTGATACTTCAGAAGGATAAATATTTTTATCTGTTTCTCATAAAGAAGAAAATCAAAGATTAACTAATGTTTATGTAAGTGATTTTAGAGGATTTAAATTTACTTTATCTTTATTACATAATGTTAGATCACTTGATACTGGAAATTGTGATTTTGAGAGAATGTTAGGTATGGAAGGAGTATATGTTTCTAATGTTTTTGATCATTAAGAAGTCGAAAAATCTAAATCTAGAAGTTCCATTACTCCTGCTACCTTAGAATTATATAAAAAAACTGTAAAATTAATTAAATTAATATTATTTAGTTCATATCTTATGATAGAGGAGGTTAATGGCATCCATTAAAAGCTCCAGAAATTGATTCTAAGGGTGATTAAATTTAATGTTCTGGAGATTGCTCTTTACATTTGAAAGGTAGAACAGAAGCCAATTAAAATCCTCTCTATTCTAGTTAAAATGCTCCTGGACTTAGTATTGGTGTTGGAAATACTGGTTTATATTTAACTTAGAAAGATCATGAAGTTAACACATATCTAACTAGAGATGGAGGCCATGAATGGTTTGAAATTAGGAAAGGTTCCCATATGTATGAAATTGGAGATAGAGGAGGTTTGATTGTTATGGGATAAGATGATAAACCAATTAATCAAATCATTTATTCTTGGGATTAAGGATTTTCATGGGAGGAAGTTAAAATTGGTGAAAGAGAATTTGAAATTTAAAATATAGTCACAGAACCCTCTAATATGGAATAGAAATTTATTGTTTATGGATAGAGTAGATCATAAGAGAATCAATTAAAAGGATATGTTGTAGCATTAAATTTCTAAACTCTTCATTAAAGAGTCTGCTCTGGTGCATGGGATCCAACAATGCCTGAATCAGATTATGAATTTTGGATTCCTAAGAATTTTGAATCAGGTAAATGCTTATTTGGTAGAAAAATTAAGTACATTAGAAGAAAAAGAGAGGCTAAATGTTTTAATTAAGAGGAAATTGATAAGAAATTCTTTATAGAAACTTGCCCTTGTATAGAGGATGATTGGGAATGTGATTTTGGTTTCTATAGAAAAATAGAAGGAGGACCTTGTGTGCCTATTGCAGATAAATTTGAAGAAGATGATACTCCAGATTTATTAAAACCACCTGCTAATTGCAAATAGACTTATATGAAAACATAAGGTTATAGAAAAGTATCTGGAGATTATTGTTAAGGAGGTGTTGATCTTTCCCCTATAGAGACACCATGTCCAAATACTTAATCCAATAATACTTCTTTCAATAATACTGAAATTCCTATTAATGATCTCAAATAACCTACAATTAGTAAACCATAAATTAATAACTCGTAAATATAAATTAATTCTTCAAAATAAAATTCATATTTATGGTATATTTTAGTCTTTATAGGTGTTATTGTACTAATTATGTTCTATAAAAATAAAATCATTAAGTAATTATAATATATCAATTCTAGTTTATTTAGCCAAAAACCACCAAAGAAATCCTAATCTTATATGGGAAAAGGAAATTATGAATAACTTAAATTATTTAGTGGAAATGACGATGATGATGAGGCTGGGCTTTGATTTTGTATTTTATATTCATTTGGTTTGAAAATATTAAATAAAAAAATAATGATTTAAGACTCATTCTAGATAGAAGATTTAACTAAGTGTTAGATAGAACAAGTATTTAAAATAAATTGATTATGAAAAGGTTGAGACTTTGATGAAGAATTTAGATAAGATCAAAAGTGAAAATTTTGTATTCTTTCCAAATAGTTTAATAATTGAAAAACAGGAAAAACAATATGAATTTAAATTTACAGAAGAAAATGCTTCTTTAATAGGTTAAAGAAATTAAAAATTACTCTAAGATCAGAGATAGCCAATTCATAATTCCAAACATATTTTGTTGTTATTAAATAGACTTTCAAAATTAAAGTAAATAAAACAATATTTTAAGTATCTATTTACCCACTTTAACATAAGAGAGTTTTTTAATGATTGAAGAAGAAAAACAAGAGTCTGAAAAGGTAGGTCAAAAAAAATAAAATTACGTATTAAAAGGTCTTCTGTATAAGTTTTCTTTAGAGAAATTACATTAAAATACACCAGAAATTAAAAATAATCATTGCATATCTCCAGAATTAATAAATTCTATTCAACATTCATAAAAAGATGGTAATAACATAATATTCACTGAAAAAATGGCTATTTTTAATATCGGATGCATATTATTTGAATTTTTCACATTACAAAAATTATACTAAAGAGAAAGTAGTTTTTAAGATAATTGTAAATATGCGTTAACTTCATACATTTTTCTTTCTGGATTTAAGTACGATAGCTTTTTATTTGGATAACTAGTATAAAAATGCACTCTTGAAGAAGAAACTGAATTAAATAGAAGGTTCACTTTTTAAGAAGCTTTAGATTAAATTATTTATATTGAATAATGTGTAAAATATATTGATAAAGCTAAGTTGGAATAAAAGTCAATATCAATTCATGACTTTTTTTCTCAAAAATCAAGTTTATATGATAAATTAGTTGAAAGTTTACAAATGAAAGTAAATCATTAAGTCACTGGAAGATTATATATTTTGTAAAATTTAATGAGAATGAAATTCATTTACATTTTCTTTTAGGAAGAGGAGTTGGAATGTTTTAGAGATTTTCTTATATTAAAATTAATAATTTAAGAACTTTAAGAACTGAAAAAATTTGATTTGATAACAAATTAGCCTTTAAACAAATAAAATGATATTCTAAATTTCAAAGATTCTTTAGATGAAATTAAAGAATTTTAAACTCATTATTCCTCTAAATATTAGCAAATTTTATTTTAATTAATAAAAGGAATTGATGAACATAAATATAATGAAATATCTTAAACTCATTTTAAAAAATAATTTAGATCAAGTAAGGTATAGGATTTTTAGAAAAATTTCCATGCTGATTTATTTTAACAAAATAATCCAAAATAAGAATTATTTAAATTATGCTTATAAAATATCAATTCTATATTTCTGTAGGATAAATTAACAATATATTTCAAACCAATCTTTATACAATTGATTATTGACAATCCTTATAAAATTTATGATAACTTATTATAAATGTTATTTGGAAATGAGATTTAAGATAATAAAATTTAAGAAATTATTTAGACAATAAAATTGAATTCAAATTAATTTTGAATATTTTATATTAAGATATAATATCATTAATAAAGATATATTATTATTAAATAATTCTGTTAAATAGGATTAGAAATACAATATATAAAAATTTATTTTTTTTTTTACCTGATTTAATATTTTTATCAAAATTTATTATTTAATTTTGATCATGAATTAGCATCCATAAATATTTGAATAATTAGAAAATTAAAGAGTGACTTCAAAAAGTAAACTAATATTAGTCTTATAATTAACTTAAAGATCAGATATTGTAGATTAATACATTTGTCCTCATACTGTTTAATATATCTAAAAAGAATTAGAAATCGATTCAAACAAACCTTAATGCAATTGTATAAACACTTAAGAAATGAAAAATTCTTTTTTTGAATCTATTCTTTTATTTTTGTTTACTATATTAGAAGATGATAAAGAATTGGAATATTATAAGAGAGAAGAATAAAAATATAAGAATATTAGTTAGAACCCATAAATAATAATTTATTTTAAAATAGAAAAATTTGAAATAGATATTTTTGAATAATTTAAAAGAAATTTAAGAGAGTATGAGGTTTTTGAAGATCAAAAAAATCAAGATGCATTAAATTTAATTTAACTAGTAAATTTTGCTAATGATAATAACTTTAAGAATCAAATTTCATTTTCAATAATAAAATTTCATAATTGCTATTTAAAATTGGTTAATTTGTTTAATGGATAAATTACTTCTAATTCATTTGATTAGATATTACCTGGTTACATTAAATTATTAGAATTCTTTTAAAAGGCTTCTAATAACAATGTTATAAATTTAAAGCCTGTTTGCATTCATACTGTTAATTTAGGATAATTAAACTAAATTGAATAAATTGAAGGTAAGAATTTTTAAGATTTATAAACACAATAAAAATAATGTCTAGAACAAAGTGAAAATAATGAAATTTGTGAAAAACTTTAAATTTGTTAAAGTTTTGGATTGTTATTGGATGATATTTTAGAAAAAAATAGAGATAAAGTAGTAACTTACTAAGATCTTGTAAATAAAATTGTTTAAGGTAAAATCAATTCTTTAAAATTAATAATCTAATTTTTGGATCCAAAGTATATAGATAATGTAGATCTAATTGATTTAAATAACGAAGATTATAGGCCAATAGATAAAAAAACAATTAAAAATATTGATACCCATTTAGAAATTGAAATAAAGTTGTATAAAATTTATTTCATTCGTAAGACTTTATATATTTTGGCAAATTTAGTTGTTGAGTCGTTAGAAACAGATGAAGTTTATAAATATATTTTACAATTGTTTAATTATGTTGAAGATATTTATTATCTAAATTCAAAAAATTTTTTAGAAGACTATAAAAATTCTTAATATATGAAATTATTCTAAAACTAATATGAATAAATGTAATAAGAAGAGGAAAATTATAAGAATTTACCAAGGGTATAAGAAGTTTAAATCTATTAATAACAATTATAATAATTAAATAATTATAGAGTTTAGTTTGAAAAAATTTTAAAACAGTTGTAATTTGAACAACTTTAATTTCGTATTATTTGCTGCTTACATAGTGATTTTTTCTTCTCAAAATAAAACATAATACAAAATATGACTATATATTTAAATGATACTAATTATCAAAAAGGGATTCAGTTTGAAGGGTTTGAATAATTTCTCGAGGATAGTAATAAAATAGTTTAAATAAATTAAATGTATTAGTATATTTATGATGAAATAGAGGAAATTATTAATTAATAACAATAATAATAATAGAGATGATATTTATTTATTGAAATATTTAGTATTTTTATTAAATTTATAGTTTTATTGGTTAATTTGATTGAAACCCTTTGTTATTAATATAAAAATAAAGGTTATTGAAAAGATTAGACAAGCATTTTTTATATATATATATATAAAACATTATCTTTTTAATATATTTAGATCATAGAAACTTTAAATTTTTATAATACGCAATATTGTTCAATAGTCATGAAATACTGATTAGATTTGATGGTATTTATATGACGTATTTAATGATTCTTATAGAAATTGTACTTTACATCATAAAATTAACCGATCGCACTATGATTTATCGTTTTCTAGATAATATAAGAAAGCAACTTAGGGAGTTTGAAATGTAAAAATTACAAAATGAAAATTTTAGACGAAATCAAGAAACAAGTAGAAATGGAAATGTAAAAAATAAAGAAAGTATAACCTACTCGCATTCATCAACCTCTTAATTCTTAATTAAAAAAAGACCTCATCATTTTGATTAATAAAGGTGTTTAATTAAAAGATGCCGCCAGAGAATTGAAAATCACATATCATGAAGCTAAGATTGCTTATAATGAGTATCGTCGTAAGGCTCTCAGTAGCCAAAGTGAGACTGAATCTACAATTCTTGACATTCGAACTGCTGGTGTGAGTTTGTTGAGAGTACCACCTCATCATTTCATTGTTTAGAGTGTAGTTGAGAATACTATTACATCTGTTCGTAAATTGTACAATGTAATAGTTTAAAATCCAATACTCAACTCAAATATATGATGATATTTAATTTGTTAGTTCTTCTTTTAACACATTCTGCGTCATAAATGTTATGTACTTTATAAAATATTTAATAATATCAAAACAACTCTAATGTACCCTATTCTTTTTCCTTTTTTAAGGTTTCAAAATAGCCATAAATAATTGTAACAGACAACAAAATTCCAGTTCCTTTATAAATTAACATTAATATATACCTGAACCAATGGCACCTAAGAAATCAGCAAGAATTGTCAAAGCTCCAATACACATACCTCCAAATGATGCTGCAATTGGAATATATCTTTTTAAAACATCTTTCATTGATGAATCTCTATATCCAACAATTTACATGTCTTGTTCCTTAAGTTATTTGGCAACCTATGATTAAATTTAAAAAAAAATATTACATCTTTAGGTGATGATCCTGATACATCAATCCAAGTTTTTGAGAACAAAGCACAAGTTCCAAGAATAAATGCAGTATAAAGGATAGTGTGGATTGGATCAAAAATAGCTTCTGAAATTGATCTTGGAGGAGACACATAATATACTAATCCTCCAATAGGTATTGTCTATCCATTTTCTAATTCTTAATAATATCCCAATAATCTAATTAAGAAGTTTCCTTTGAAATTTCTATAAAGGATTTATGAAAGGAAATAAAGGTTTGAAACTAATGCAGTTTATAAAATGATTGGAATGTTAGAAGTATAAAACAATTTAATAGGATATGATGTTAATCCTCCTCTTACTTTATTATTTTTAATTGGAATATCAACTTTAAATCCTTAGAAATAGATGACAATTAAAAACACTAATACTGTTGCCAATAAATTAGTTAAGTTTGGTAATGAATCTCTCAATATTGCTGATTGAAGTGCACTGATTTTATCACTCTAAATAAATAAACCATGCAATAATGCAATTATGGCTCCTTCATATTCTAATCCCAATTAAGTCTTATGTGTAATTGGTGAAAATGCTTTCCACATAATATTTTCACATATATTAATAGCTATAAATAAAGATGTTCCTGAATTTCCAATTCCATATCCTTTTGATAATAATTCATCAATCATAATCATAACAATTGCTGAAAATACCAACTATATTATTATTAAAATTGCATTTCCTGCACCCAATTTATCTAAATCACCATACATTCCTGACCAGACATATGCAAATGCTTCTCCAAAAGCTATAAGAATTCCTAATACTATAAATAATATTAATAATTATATACATTTTTATGCTCCTGAATATAGTTATTTGTCTTCCTTTACATTTTAATCAACATCAATTAATTTAGCACCAGCCAATAATTACATTATCATTGATGCTGTGACCATTGGAGAAATACCCAATTCCATTAAAGTACCTCTATTTGATGCTAAGATGACTCTCATCCAATAAAATGGATCACCAGCTGATGATTTGTAAATTCCATAAAGTGGTATTTATGAACAAATCAAATACAACAATGTTGCTATAGCTGTCCATAATGCTCTATATTTAAATAATATCTAAATTTCATATATATTAATTATACTCTTCTTTCTGGTTCAGCTACATCTGGAATGATAGCCATAGCTGGTCTCATATAATTAAGAATCTTGGTTTTGTTTGCCATTTTTATTATTGATTTTACACTTTATATTTTTCCTTTTAATTCTTCTCACACACGTGGGAAATATATTTATTAATTATTTAGTAATTTTTTACACTTACAATAATACATTTAGTATATCAAAATTCTTTTTAACAATACTTACTTAAAATCTAAAGATAATATATTCAATTGATTAAATATAATTGTCATCATTCAAAAATTCTATTAACTAAAAATATTTTTGATTTAATTTCTTGATCTTTCTTATATCCTCATAATATATTTATATAGATTTATATTAAGATATGTACTTAATGAATTACAATTATAAAAAGAGAGTTAAATTTGAAGAGATTATAATAATAAATTTATATTGATAAAAATCCATATGTTTTTCATTTCAAAGTTCCCTTTGGAAAATTATAAAACATTGTTGTCATATAATAACCAGAATTCCATAATGTTTTCATAGTTGTGGATATCAACTCAATTTAACTACCAAAATCTTTTATTTCTGACATTCGTCTACAATTAAATGAATTTTCTCACCTCTCCAAAAAATCCCAAGTCATAAAAAAGTTTGGTGATTTATCAGTTAACATAAATAGTTCTGTTGAAATGTAGATATATAAAAACATCATTCTCTTTGTATAATGATTATAATCTTATGATTTATCACCAGCCAAATACCAAGAATCATCAGCAAATTACCATAAAATAGCACTTGTTTAATTAGCATTTTATGCTCCTAAAGCCATAGCTTCATTCCATCTTCCCATATATGGACCTTATAATTGTAATCTTTGCTTTATTAAATTCTTGATTTTATTAGGAACAGTAAATTGCTTAAAATTTTCATCAAAAGTCATAGTGTCTATAATTTCACGATTCCATTTTCTCATTGAATAATGTATTAAATCTATTGGTTAAATGACAGTGGATGCAGCACTTGAAATATTAAGATCTAGACATGCTTATTATAATGCCTTATTATTAAAGCCATGATTTATGGCATGTATAAGACTTAAGTTAAATAGTTTGTTTCTAATATCACAAAAATGGAATTTAGCTATGAATTTATACATAAATAATAATTAAATATTTTGTAAATTAAGAGATTATTAAAAATGTTTATTTTATTACAAAATCTTTAGATTTTTATAATATTATACTCTAATTAAGATAATTACAATAATTATAACCTAATGAATTTGTATAATAGATAAAATGATAAGTATTATAAATTAAAAAGTTCATTTTTTTTGATATAGTCTTATTGGTTATAAAGGAGTTTCTCTTCTACTCTTGGATAAATCAAATAAATGGTTAGAAGTAGTGGCTTGATTAAAATTAAAATCAATGAAATTATTTACTTTTTATTAGATATGTTTCTATTTGAAAGTGCTGTTAAGATAATTTTCTATACTGAATTACATTTTCTTATTAATTTCTTAAGATGTAAGCAATAAACTCTTATTGATTTCCTTCAAATCTTCATTACCAGATGATTCTAAGTCTTTCATAAAACTTTCACTAGAATCATGATTTGCATGATTTTGTTTAATTATAGGACTTTAATGATGTGAAAGTTGTTTTTTGTATGTAAAAGGACATTTTAATTTCTTGACTTTGAAATCATTTATTTTAGGTTATGGAGAACAATTTGGTAATTTGAGATGCATTCTAGGTGTGTACTTAGGTTGTGTATTATTGCGAGATGTATAAATTTAATAGATTTGCTTATGTCGAGCATTGCAAATCAAAGTGGAGTTATTCATTATAATAATAATCAAGCGAAATAGAGATGTGCAGTTGTGGTGAAATCGAATTTTTTGAATCTATGTTAAGGTGTCTTAGGTCCTGTGCTAATCGTAGTAGTTTGTGTACGAATTCTAAATTTCTATTATGATGGTGAGTTTCCTCTAGAAACTGAACGGACTATGTGATGTAGTTCTGCATTAGTAAGAAAAGTAGATTCACACATCTCATTTAATTTGATCTTTAGATCTAATACTTCTTTGTCTTTCTTATAAAAGTAAAGAGCTTTTCTCAACTTTATAGTAGACACTACTCTTTAGGGAGTTAATTATTTTGATTTCATTAATTTTAATGCTGAATCATTTTAATTGTAATAATGAACTTAAGATCAATAAGCTAATCATTTATAGAGTCTGTAAAATCATTTATTCCTTCCCTAATAAAACATAAATTCATTTGAACATATGTATTTTAATATTATTTTCACTATAAGAATAAATAATATATTTTGGCATATTACATATAATTGTAAAATAAGATATGTTTTAATTTCATTTATTTGAATTCTTATATCATATCATAAATAATAAGTATTCAATAATAGAATTTATTTATTCTTAAAATTCTAATATAAAGCCAAAAAAAAAATATATGATTATCATTAATTATAATAAAATACATTTAAGATGATAAATAAATGTTAATGAGATGAGTACTTTATTAAAAAATGAAATTTATATGTATGTGATAATTATTATTTTGAAAATATTACTTAAAAGACAATTTATAATTCATAATCTTTTTAAAAAATATTGTAAAATTGACAAGAAAAGAAATAAAAATCCTATATGAAATTATGAAGTTATATTTATCATGAAATTTTGATCCATTTAGTTAGAATAAATAATAATGCATCTATCATTATTGGTTTAGATAAGAAATCATGAAAGGGTAATTTCATAATATCCTTTCTATTTTCTTAATGCATATCTCCCATTAATGCAATTATTTTAAGTTCTACTTTAAATTTGTTATATATCTCTTTGATTTCAGTGAATAATTATAATAATTCTTCATCATATTATTCTACTCCTATGAATAATAATTCTAAGCCTTTACAACAATGTTATATTCTACTTAAATGTTTATTTAGACTATTGATAATAATTTATCTTTATGTTATATATTCATAAAGAATTCCAAGATTATCAAGTTAATGTGACATTGCATATAGATCTAAATCTAAACTTTCACATATTAATATTTTAGGACACTTTAATAATATTAAATATTTATACTTAACAATTAAATTAAAATTTTTACATTTTAAGTTTTTCCATTTTTTCAAAACAATCCAATAAATCATTTGGTTACATACTTCCACTAGAATAACCCAATGATGAATATATTGAAGATCTACCTTATACAAAACCTCCAAATGTTAATTATTGAGAAGGTTGTGAATTCAAAATTTCTTATCTCTTTTTATCTTCATTTATATAATCAAAAAAGTATGGTTCTGCTTATGCCATTTAGTCTACTTTAATTGATAATCCCATCCTTGATTCAATTGATATTGCATCATCTTCTTATAAATCAGATTCATTTTAATCAGATTCAATTAATTTTTCTTTAATTCCAACATATGTAGGAATTACATTCTTCTTTATTTATTTATGATCTAATATATCATTTGAACTTGGTAATTCAGACAAAACTCTTTAAAGTCCTTCTTTATTAACAAATAGTTAATGAAAGGTTTTTTAATTTTATATAACTGATAGTCTTTTTTGTGTTAATAATTCATTAAATTATGTATTTAGATTTTAAACTTTAATAATAAATTAAAGGCTTTCTTAATTTTCAATTCTTTCATAATCATATTCAAAAGGAATAGAAGATAAATATTTAGTTAAATAAAAAGCTATTAATATAGATTATGAATATTATTTTAATTTTGATAATTCTATAACTTTAGATTATAAAGATTAAGATTTAAAAAACCTTACTGTTTTATTGATCATTTTTAATATCTAAAAATTAGTTTCATAAGCATTAACTTTAATAATGATATCAATATGATCAGAATTCAATGAACACTTTCTTACTAATAATATTATTTTACCATTAATAGTAGCTTATATAGTAGTAACTAATAAATCAATTAAAATTTATCTTAATCTATTTGGATCAGTTCTAATAAATTAAGTTACCTTTTATTCAATAGTTACAATTAATTTTAGACCTCTAAATGTAGCTTAAGATTTAACTACATTAACTATATCAGATATAAATGAATGTATTTAAATATCAATTAATATTAATTCTAATTTGGTTCTTTTCAATAATTAAGCATAATCCAAAATATCATTAGCAGTATTAATTAATAATTTACAACCTGCCAAAGCTGGATTTATGTATTTTTCTCTTACATCTACTGGAATAGTATTCTAAAATCATATTAATATTATTTATTACCATTATTATTTCTAACATAGATATAGTACTATTTAATGGTTATCTTATTTTTTATGAAATATCACTAATTAAATAATCATCATTATTTCTATTATTTTCTAAAAGTTATGAAATTTCAAGTTCATTAGTGATATCTGATATAAATAGTATTTAATATAGTTTTTATTTATGTACCAATGGAGATAGTACTATTTATAAATGAAGATTATCATATTTAATATATGTTTTAATTGAAAAGTCTACCATACTGTGATTTTTAGAATATTTAAGATGATTAAAAGCCATTAAATTATCTAATAAATATTTTAAAGATATATTCTTGCCAAAAAGTTATAATCTTTGAATTGGATGTATCTGTTTATCAAATTAATAAAATGGAACTCAATTATATATTATCATATTTTACTCTAAAGTTTAGCTAAATTTCAAGAATTATTCAATATCATTACTTCTATGAAGTTTAGGAATGATCAAATAGTTTTCATCACCATTTATACTATATTCAATAATCTAAGATTCAAATAATTTTTAATTCAATTTATCATTAATTAAAATCAAATTACTTAAAATTGGATTGATTATTTATGTTTATTGGAATGAATTATCAATTATATAAATTCCTTAATCAAAATTAGATAGTAAAACTTCATATAATTAATCTTATTAAATAGATTCTGTTAAATTATCATCTATTTTTTAATCTTATGGATAACTAGAGTGATTTCTCTTGTCTAATATTTCAACACAAAATTATGTTTAAGCTTATTTTGGACTTAAAACTCGATTTGAATATATTTAAGAATAATTAATATTATTATTTGCACTCATTGCTATTAATTATGCATTAGAATAGCTTTTATTATTTCTCTGACTTTACTTAATAATGTAAATTTATAGTATAATGTGCATAATAATAAATCTAATTGCAAATGATATATTATTCTTTGAATCAAACTTAAAATGTCTAGTAAGACTATAAATTAGATTAAATAAAAGTGCAAATGTTTAACAAATTTAAGATTCAATTGCAAATACAAAACAAAGTACAATCAAAAATTATTCTAACATTGATTAGTTTATTGTTTTCTATATATTAATATCCAATTCTTCCCAACATATGATTACACATATACATTTTAATAATGTTATTAAATTTATTAATCTATTTTTTATTTTTAATAATTTTATCAATAGCACATGAAAGAATGCTATCAAGAAGATTTGTGTCTAATATTATAATATATTTTACCAAAATTCGATAAATTAATATAAATTTTTCACCCTAAATATTTTCTGTTATAGCTTCTCCTGCAATTATCATTGCATCACTTAATTAATAGAGTGCTATTATTATCATTAATCTTCTCCAAGATTCAATATTCTTCAGATTTTCTGAACAAATCACAAAATAATCTTTTAAATTATATTACATAAATTAATAATAATTTAATCTAATCATTCTTTCTGAGAGCTTTGTTTGTAATTTTCTAAAGAAATTAATCTATGATATCTTTTTCCATCTAATTCTTTTATTTTTATAAAAACACTTTAATCTTCATCTATTGAATCCATTTATGCTTAGGTTTCTTATTCCTCTATAATCACATTTACATTATAATGATATTATTTCATCATTTATAAATGAGGATAAACTACATCTTTCTCTGTATAACCACAACCATTCAATAATTTCCGAAAAAGTTATTTATATTTTTCATAATCTTATGGATAATCACTAAAAGATGATTATTTAACTCCATTATAATATTAAATAAATTCTAAAGGTGCTCCTTTAAATGATAGTTCTGGTAGTAGAGTTAATTTAATTTGTTCCAACTTTTTTATTTTAAGTCCTTTATTCTCTTCTTTGATATCTAAGATCGAAGCAAATCCTCCATAATATAGTATGATTAAGGCTAGAGACTCAAGATCATCTTTAGGTGAAGAAACTAAATTCTATTATATATGATAATTACCTTATTCTAAATGTTAATTCAGACTTGAGAATTTATTTAGAAATCGTTTATTGGAAGAACTACGTAAAGTATCATTAACAATGATATTATTTTATTGTTTCCTATATCTACAAGCATACTTAAAATCAGTCAATAATATTTCCAAACCACTTTAAGAGATTAATAATTTCTTTGGTCTAATATTCCTATGTATAATTTATTGTTTATGAATTTACTCTAGACAAGTAATCTATTATACTTATAAATATATACAGTTTATATTGCTATCAAACATAATATTGTAATAGGAATATTTTTGGATAAGTAATTGTAAAGTAATTTTAAAGAAGGACCATGACGTTCCATAACTTAATAGTGATAGAGTTATTCTTTAATTATTTATTCACCTATTGACAGAATTCTTGTAGTACATTTACCTATATAAAAATTTTACTTTACTGTCTTTGAGTTTATTCAAGAAATACTACTCAAAATTCTGTTCTGAGGCATTAGTTCTTTTATAAATGGAATTGGCTACCTGCGCATTTTGATCAATACAAACTTGGTTTAATCGTCAGAACAGTCTCTTTTTACAGCTAGCTAGGCTTTCAATCTCTACCTATGTATAAATTGTAGGTGTTTCCCTTATAAATATTTTTCACTATTATGTATTCATTATCAATTACAACATAATTAGGGATTTCATTTGTTGATCTAGTTTATGAAGTATTTAACATTTTTTATTTAATTAACAAAGTATATATATATATATATAAAATATTATATTATTATTTACTTTCAATGATTTAGTAAATGTATAATAATAATATATAAAGTAATATGAAATTTAAAATAAAAATTCATTATTGAATTTGTTCATTTATGGTTTCAAAATTTTAGAGGGTATTTTGTAATTAATTAAAATGTTAGATTTTTCAGATGACTCCTATTCTTTTTAAATTTAACCTGTTAATTAAAGAAAGAAGAATATTAAACTATTAGTTAAATTGATGAAACATCAAAAAATTGCTAAATTGAATCAAACTATTACACTTGATAGAAGTTTAGACTAATTATATGAAAATTATAAAAATATTAATACATAGGCTGAAGAAATAGTAGAAGTTCAATAAATTCTAAGTGCTGTTTATAATAAAGGACATATAAGTAGATAAATAACTAGAGAAAAGAAATTAAAATTTAGTTAAAAAGTAAATTAAGAGAAATTGAGATAAGATGATAGTATAGAAGAAAGTGAAGATGATGAAGTAGAAGTAAATAAAAAAATAAAAAATGAAATTAAACAGAAATTATTATACTTAATAATAAATAAAGTTCCATTACCTTTTATATTAAATTTTATAGAATTCTAAAAAAAAAGAGAATAATTAGTAAAATTAAAAATAAGATGTGAAGATTCTTTATTAGATTCATTAAATTTTACATTAATTAAAGATCATAGAAATGAAGAAGAATTAATTTAAAATTTAAAATGCATTTAAATTATTAAAATGAAAGAACTTTTAATGATGAGTTTAGAATAATTAGAAAAAAGTAAAGAAAGTATTTTAACTGAATTAAATGAAATGTTTCTTGATTTAAAATCATGTAAAACATAATTAATGAAAAAACTTGAATTTTTCTAATAATATGATGATAGTTTAGATCCATAAATTAATAAATTATTAGGAATAATTAGAAATCTTATTAATTATTGTAAATCTAAATCATCATTAAATGGTTAATTTGATAAATCAGTATTAATGCCTAGAAAAAATGGTTTAAGATGGTTACAAAAGATTATTATGTTAAATTGTTGGGTATCTTAAATATCATTTCCAGAAATATTAATATATATTTAAATGAAAGGAGATTTAGATAAAAATAAATCTAATCCAAAAAGATAATGTGTTATACAATTATCAAAAAAACTTGATTTCCTTAGAAAAATATATAATATTCCAGAAGTAAGAAAGAAGTGTTGGGATCAAAAAGTTGTATTAATGGATTAAAGTAAACGAACTCCTAGTTATATTCTCTAAGAATACAATTTGCATTTACATCAATTACATAAAAATCTATTTTATGATAAATTGTATTTGGATAATATGCAAGATTATGTTTTAGAATCATAATTAAGAATGTTAGTTTAAAGATTTTAATAATAAAAATATCAAATTTTTGAAGCATATTAAGATTTAAGATGTTAAATCAATATGATACCAATCAATATATTATATAAGGATTATTTAGAATGGTATAAATATGATATTGAATAATTATCAAGATTAGATTATATAAAACATGCTAAAGATGTGATTGTTGTTTGTCTAATTAAACATTTAGGTATGCTTTTAAGAAAGGAGAACATATTTAAATCTGAATCAGAAATAATCAGATTCAATTTTGATAATAGATTCTCTTATTCAATATATTATAAAGAGAAAGACAAAGGAGATATGTATTAATGTAACAAATATTTCTATATTAAAATATTGTTATGTGATTTTATAGCAATGGATTAACCATTTCCATATTTATTTAAATACTTAACTTTAAGACTTGAAAAGGTTGAATCAAATAATTCAGAAGAGATTTTAGCTTAATTAATAAGTGAGAAAAATATAAGAAATTATTTAATGACTAAATATAATTTAAAAATTGGACTTGAATAAACAGGAAATCGAATAATTATTACAAGTATTCCACTTTCATTTGATGATATCACAAGAGAATTATATTATATACCATGGGAATATGTTGTAACTTCTTCTTTATCCATTATATATAGATATAGAAATTATTTAAAAAATGAAATCATTTAAATGATTACAAGCAGAGAATATTAAGATTATAAATCAAATTTAAAAGTAGATACAAGACTATATATATAATAATCAGAAATTATAACAAAACTAGAAAATATATAAAAAGATTTGTAAAAATGAATAAACTGTTTTATATTTATTAAAAAAACTAAATTTATTTTATATTTTAAATATAAATTAATAATAATGTTATATCTTTATTTATGAATCAAAATGGTTGATATTATATTTAATTGTTTGTCTATCTCAATCGATATATAATGAGTTTTTAGGATTATTGTAACTTTATAAGTTTCTATTAATTTTTAAAAGATAAAATAATTGACTTATATTGATA